GACGACGGGCTCTCACAGTTGACAGACTTGGCAGGCTAGAAGTAGTAGATTGAAGAACAACCAATGCTTGCGTGGTAAATAATCTGTGTAACAAATTTTTTTTATCAAGGTAAAGGATTGTCCACCGCGTCAAAGGCCGTCAGTACCTTATGGCTTCCCGGAATCTGAGATGCCGAATCACCAGATCTGGGCTTTGGCTTCAGGGACTCGGCAGAGATGAAAAAAGGAGATACGCGCCATCCCCGCTATAAGTGACCCCACCGATCCTCCAAGAGACCACAGGCCACATGTTTCTCGACTATTGTGGAGCAACTTTTGAGGAACACGGCGCTGGTCAAGCGCTTGAGCGCACCATTTTGATTGATTATAGCACTGAGTGAGGGGTTGACGACTATTTCTCTATTTTTGTTTACTGAGTGGTTTGAGTGACAGCATACGGAGCAAAGTATCAACATTCGAAAGGCCCCTCTCAGGCAACGCGTCCCGCCCCTATTTACAGCTGCGGTGCCTGCCTGGTCCCTGAACCCCACCAACCTTGTGCCAAACAGCTTTAGAGTAGCGCGGCACCAGCACTGCCTCTCTCTGCTTCACCACTTTATTCCTCCTTCTCATCCCTAGACCTCATTCATTTTATTTCGTCTTTCCACACCCATCGCGATTTCGACTCTTCAAGCGCTATTATTTCCTTTGCAGCCCATTTCGCCGCCCATCTTTCCGAAATTGTAGCCTAGTCCCGGTTAGTCGTCACGATTTTTCACGGCTCTTGGTCTAGGGCTAGAATTAGCAAAAAAAAAAGCTACGACCCCCCTTCGACGAAACCACCCCTTCACATAGGCTACGACACTTTGCAACAACGCAATGGCCGTAGCGACGAGGACAATGTCGAAAACAGCTGCGGGAAAGAACGGCAAGCTGCAGACGACCGACGCCGAGATCAAGACGGACGCCAATGGCCCCAAGGACTTTTTCTGGACATATACTGAAGAGCCGCACCGGACGCGACGTCTCGAGATCATCAAGAAGCACCCCGAGGTACGATCTACATGGCCGCTAAACAAGATGCTCGATCAGTTTAGCTTGCCAGGCGACTGAAGCAAACCGCTGACACTGCTCAGGTCACAAAGCTTTGCGGTCCCGAGCCCCTCACCAAATATCTAGTCATCGCCGTCGTAGCCCTCCAAGTCGCACTCGCCGTTTACCTGCAATCGACGCCCTTTTGGTCCCTCAAGTTTTGGGCCATTGCATACGTAATTGGCGCCACAGCAAACCAGAATCTTTTCCTCGCCATTCACGAAATCTCACACAATTTGGCCTTCAAGAATCCCATGGCGAATCGTCTCCTCGCCATTGTTGCCAACCTGCCCATCGGCATCCCCTACAGCGCCTCCTTCCGAGTACGATACAAATCCCTGTTCAGAAAACGACACTCCTCAAAGCTGACATCTAATAATAGCCCTACCACCTAACCCATCACAAGTCTCTTGGCGTCGATGGCCTCGATACCGATCTGCCTACCGCCCTCGAAGCCTTCTTCCTTGACTCCATCTTCGGCAAGGCCTTTTTCTGCACCTTTCAAATCTTCTTCTACGCCATCCGGCCCATGACCGTTTACCGCGTCCCCCTCACGCGCATTCACGCCCTCAACATTGCTGTCCAGGTCGCCTTTGACGCCGTTCTCATCCACTACACCTCGTCAAAGGCTCTGCTCTACCTGCTGCTCTCATCGTTTCTCGCCGGCAGTCTGCACCCCGTCGCCGGCCACTTCATTGCCGAGCACTACGTGTACGAGACGGTCACGCCCACCCAGCGCGACCCTGCCAACAAGATTCCCGTTCCCGAGACCTTTTCCTACTACGGACCCCTCAACTGGTTCACCTACAACGTCGGCCTGCACAACGAACACCACGATTTCCCCGCCATCCCGTGGACTCGTCTGCACAAGGTCAATCGCATCGCCAGCGAATTCTACGACGACCTTCCTCGCCACGAGAGCTGGGTCTATGCCATCTGGCGCTTCATTTGGGACGATAGCGTTGGCATGAACTGCCGCGTCAAGCGTCAAAACGGCGGTCGCCTTGTTGGCGGGGCTGTGAGCTGGAAGGAGTCTGAAATCCAAGCATAGATGGTCATTGATGATGATAGAATTTGGGTCTCTTTTTATTGTTCTTTTCAAGCTGCAGGCGTCATGATGTGAGATGACTTGTTTTTCCAAGTAGGTGTGCGTTTGTACTGTTTCTAATCACCTCGCTATGTATCATCTGCCAATGATACATGACTTTTATATAATAGAAGCACACGCAACGCACAAGACTACGCTATGAAAAGCCGATTGGGACTGCCTGCGATTCGTGAATGCAAGTCCAAAGCCGAGACTGAACGAATTTTGTGACATGAAAATTACATAAGACTAGCTTCATACGGATGATTACAATGGAACAAGAAGGGGCAAGAAAGTAGGGGACAAAAAAGAAAGAAAAAAAAAAGAAGAAGAACAAAAATAGACCATACAAGGCCACAGCAGGACAGTTCAACTAAAGTCTTTGCAAAGAGACTCCTTCAGTTTCTCACTGCTTGAGCTGCTGCAAATGCCAATTCTCTGCGTCCTGCCGGCTGATACGCATCTGCCTGCTAAGCAGGTTACAGATCTTTGAACAAGAAAAAAGTTGCAAATTTTCCGGCAATGTGCGATTTAAAACGAAGAACAAAAAAAAACCAATTAACGCAAGTTCAAACTCCTTCGACCCTATTCCGTTTCTGCTCACTGCTGTGCTGCTTGCTGCTTCTCTTTCTCCTTCTTCTTCATTTTCTCTAGCCAAATGCTCTTAAATCATGGACCAACATGAATGTTGCTTTAAAAGAAAAAGTATGCCAGAAGAAAGCTCATGAGACACAGAATGGCCACGACTTGCACCGAGACACCGTCGGCATTTTGCTTGACTGTCTGGGCCAGCTCGCCAGCGGGAATCTTTTCGGCCTCGCCGGCCTTGACGTTGCGCTGGCGGAGGCCGCTGTTATCCGTGAGCCTAACAATCTCTGCTTGCGCGGCGGCCAGCTTAGCTTTAACCGTCTCGAGCGTCTCGTTGCCGGCCTCCTTGATGGCAGGGATAGCACGGCTGGCCAGAGCGGCGGGAGTGTCTATCGGGGCCTTTTCGTCGACATCGGCGGCGGGAGTGTCGTCGTCGTATGGCGGAGGAGCATTGGTATTGGGCGAGGAAAAGTTGTGCGAAACGTCTGGGGTATCGGCATGCTGCATGGACGAGATTAGCGCAGCTACAAGGCAAACCTGGGATCAGTTGCATACACCGTTGACAAGCTTCTTGTTAGGTGTCATGACGACAGTATTCGCATCAGCTTCGCCATGAGCTGGAAGCCAGTTTACGCGAATTTTTCTCTCCTGCTTCAGGGACTTATCCGTGTTGTCAAGCTGCGTTTGGTTAGCCGGTGGCTGCCAGCTTCGTGCGCCGGGTCAGACGCCACTCACCACCTCGGCAATGCTAGTGAATTCCTTGTCTCCAGTAATAGGAGCAGATTGAACGAGAAACTTGTCGCGGCATTTCGTGTCGGGCTCAGGATCGGCCTTCATGGCCTGGAGGAGGACTGTGGCACGTCAGTATCAGTCAGGGCCAGAAAGGCGCGAAAACGCGCGATCGTCGCACGCACCAGAGACATCAAACGCCTGGCCGGGCTCGATACGGCCAGCATTGGGTCGGACGCAGTATCTAAAGGCATGTTAATGGCGGCACTGAAAGTGTCGCGAATGTGGGGTTTTGAGCCCATACTGTCTAGGAGCAGTGGTTTTCACCTATGAGGGCAGCATTGTTAGTATCATGAGGATTGGGATTGAACGGCAAAAGTAGCTGCAAGAAACTGGCAGCATGCGCGAAGCATCGACATACCTTGAAAGCCAAGGGGTCGGAGCTGGTATTTCTGATGGTGAGGGTCTGCGACACCTCGACAGTAAAGGGGCCTGTGGACGGAGGCTGACGTTAGCACAACGTCAACAAGACTCAGCAAGGTAGGGCGGGGGCCATAATACGTCGAAAGTTGAGCTCGAGGGGCTCGACATCGATGGACATGATGGGCAGTTGTATCGGAGTCGCAATACAGGGTGGTGGCGATGACGAAGTGACCGAGGACACGAAGTGATTAACCGGGGTTGGTGGTTGTAGGTAGAACCGCGGCTGAGTGTGGCGTAGGTAGTCGAGCGAGCAGAGCAGAGAGTACACCAAGCTCGTGGGGTTTTGGATTCGTAGGCGCGGACAAGAAGGGGAAAGCCAAGGGCAAAGAAGTAATAATGACGGCGAAGTAGAGGATGAAGGACAGCGATAAGAGGTCTGCCAGGGTTACAGGAGAATGGCGAGGAGGGGGAGGACGAGGCTGTTGTGGCGGGAGTCGTCTGTCGGACGGCTTGAGAAGCTTGGTGCTTGGGAGCGGAGGAGGGACCTCGGAGCGTCTTTTTGTCGAGGCGTGAAGCCGAATAGCAGTCTAACACGTCGCAGCTGCCCCCTTGGGTCTTGGGAGGTGGTCAGGTACTTGGGTGTCCGCAGCAAGTCAAGTGCCTAGCCGAGCGCCTTGAAAGCAGGCTTGTGCCCTGGAAACCAGCCTTGAGAGTGCGCCTCACAGCGCTACAGTGCTCTGACGTAGCACTGCACCATGGGGCTGGAAACCGAGCCGTCAACCTCAATTCGATACCAGCCAGCTTATTTATTTTGGTGCCCAAGTATTAGGGCATGTAGCTGCAAAGTATGCTAGAGGAGCAATGAATCGGATTGTCCAATCTTTTGTTTATTGTTGTGTGAAATTCGAAACCTGCTTTTCATGAAGTGGTGATACCAAGACCTTCCCAGCCAACTGTGGCGTCGTTGAGTGACCTCATCAAAATGACACGGCATTGGCAAATTGGCTGTCACGCTGTCGAAGACGAATGTGCATTCTGCACTGCAGCTGGTTGCCACACCTTGACCAGACTGAAACTCGATTATTGTATACCAGCTTCTTTGGACGGAAACTTGTCCCCAGCCAGCCACATATTATATTTCCAAGCTCTGGATCCCAAGATTTTGTTGCATCTGGTAGACCTGAGTGACAGCTACGGGCTGGCTGCCTTGAGAGTCGCCAATCCATGATTCATCTGCAGATAATTCGACCCAACTCATAGACATCCACCCAATTCTTGAGTTGCTTGTCAATTCACATATACCTTACCTGCTCGGTGATACCTGACAACTCTGTAGCCGCTAGTGCAACATTCCGTACGTCACTTGGGCCGCCGCCTGCTCTGACTACCCCACTAAGGTACCTACCTAGTCAACGGTAACTCGACAGCTTCGTTTGCATTGTTCACGCAACACCGCATAATTTCGTACCAAACAATTTAACACCACAATGCCTTCCGATATGGATCAACTGCTCGATATGGGCTTTGACAAGGCCCGTGCCGAAATCGCCGTTAAGAAGTCCGGAGGCCGTACGCTGATCCTTTCCACGACCTTCCACTACGATGGCTAGCTAACACGAATCGCAATGCAGTTCAAGGCGCCCTGCAATGGCTCGAGGATAACCAAGACAAATCCATCGAAGACATCCAAGCCGAAGCCGCGGCCAAGTCAGCCGACGACGCAGAGGATGAAGACGAGACCAAAGCCCAGATTAGCGCGCTCGAGACTGGTAATGCAAAGTCGCTAGTCTGCAACGATTGCGGCAAGAAGTTTAGAACACCAGATCTGGCCAGCTTTCACGCCAGCAGAACGTGAGTCCTGCCAGCCATGCTTTGTGTACCTTTTGTATGATGGCATGTACTGAATTCGCCCAATCTGTCAGAGAGCATACCGACTTTTCCGAATCGACAGAAGAGATAGCCCCTTTGACTGAAGAGGAGAAGAAGACGAGGCTCCAGGAGTTGCGAGAGCGGCTGGCGGCTAAGCGTGCCGGCCAGGCTGTCCAAGATAAGGAAGACCATAAGCGCAACGAGGTAAGCAGTGGGCACGCAATTCTTCCAGACACATGGCTAATAAGGTAATTTACCAGCAAATTCGTCAAAAGTCTACAAAAGAATCGCAAGCTGCCAAGGAAGATCTGCAGCGAAAAGAGCAGATCAAGGACGCCGCCCGCAAGCGCCAGGAGAAGCTCGACGACATCGAGGCTAAGAAGCGCATCAAGGCCAAGATTGAAGCCGACAAGGCCGAGCGCAAGCGCAAGGCCGACGAGGCCAAGGCGGCGCGCGAGGGAAGAGCGCCAGAGGCGCCCGCACCTGCTGCCGCGGCTGCTGCGCCGGCGCCCAAGCCCAAGGTGAACCACGCTGAGGCCCGTCTGCGGTTGCAGACCCCCAATGGCAACATTATGAAGACCCTGCCTGCCGAGACGACTCTGTTTGAGCTGGCCCAGGCCGTTCAGAGCGAAACCGGTACGGTGGTGAGCAGCTTCTCGACGACATTTCCTCGACAGACGTTTCAGGGCGACATTGACATGTCCAAGACGCTCAAGGAAGCAGGCCTCGTCCCCAGTGCTGCTCTGATTGTGAAATAGACTGTTCTCTTGCCCCGATTTGCATTTGGTGGGGTTTCCAGAGCATGTGATAGGCGTTGAGAGAATTGGAAGGGAGAGCTGCAGTGGCCGATATTGCTTTTTACAGTGCTAGACATGGGAGTAGAGGCGTCATGGGCAGAGTTGATGGCAAACCCCTGGTTGGAAAGAAAAAAGTTGAGTAATTAGAGGCATATCGGCGCTTGTATGTCTTTGCGTGGCACCGAGTGGACATAATGCTATGACTTACGACACGTCGATGATATGCCGACAGTGATATCACATTTCACAGTTTCAAAGGCCAGATGATTTTTATCTTCGCTTTTTTTTTCGCAGTGCTTTTTTTTTTGTCCAAACAGACCAACTCTGTTTCTGATATTCTAACCCCGCGCGTAAATAACTCCGTTAAAAAACGTTTCTTTCAGAAGCATTTCATCGCATTATCGTATGGAAGAAAGCTACTCTGCCCAAGGCCCGCAGGATATGTCGTGCCTCTTTCCCAAGACCCTGTATGATCGATTCGAAAATGGTATTTTCTCGTAATGCCGAAGCCATGCAGTGGTAAAGTTACAAAAGGAAGCAAAGAAAACAGTTCGTCGTAGGCTTTTGTCTTGTAGGTTTCTTGGTTCTTTAGTCGAACAGACCGAAACCCATATCCTCGTCGGACTCTTCCTTCTCTGTTGATAAAACATGGTTAGCAATGTCGCGGTCGCAACCGATGATTCGGGACATCTCTTACCCTCCTCCTTGGCCTCCTCGGCGGGGGCGTCGGCAGCACCGCCGGCGGCAGGGGCAGCACCACCAGCAGCGGGGGCGGCACCGCCACCGGAGCCGACGTTGACGAGAAGGTCCTTGACGTCCTTGCCCTCGAGAGCCTGTGCAGCGAAAGCAGTTAGCGTACCGTGTTCATCGTTTCGTCGCGCTCGGGCCATGGTCGCGCTCCCTGTACGAGCGCGGGGTTATCGGAGAGTCGTACCTTGGCGAAGATGGAGGTCCAGATGGGCTCAACCTCGACGTTGGCGGCCTTGATCAGAGACTGGAGCTTGTCGGCCTGGGAACGGTTAGCATCGAGCTCGTCAGTGCTAGGTAGCATGTATTCGTGTTTGAGGTTCGAATCTTCATGTCGCATGAATATCGGAAGGTAAAGACGGGGCCCTTGATCGGTAATAGGCTCTAGAATCGGTCGAGACAGGGCGTAAAAAGGAATTGTCGACCGTCGAAGATTGCCGTTTTACTGAGCCCTATCCCAGCCTGAGATTCTTGCCCTCATCTTTCCCCCCCGAATCGATGCCAACAGAAGATCGTTAAGCCCCAAACCGGAAGCTCATGCGAATTGCCGGTATAAACGTACGGTGATCTCAATGCCATCGTCGGCAAGGATGAGGGCCGCGTAGGAAGAAGCGAGCTCAGAGGTGGACATTGTGACGGTTGGTGGTTGTGATGTGTAGTTGAACGTGGGAAAGGAAGTTTCTACGTTCCAAGGGCGCAAATCCGTTGGTGGGTTTGCAAGGTGGCTCGTGGAGTGACTTTCTCGCCTGTAAGCGGGCTAGGGCCACAAGAAAAAAATCCCAGGCTCTTGGGCGAAATTCACGCTGGAAAGGGCTTCAAGACCTAAAAGCGGACACGTAAGAATAGTTTTTCCGGACCGGCTAGAGATAGCCACACGTATGGCATCATATCTGTGGCTTAGTCCTGTAGTGAGTGGCTTGTCTCCACTGAGCAAGAGAGCCCCATCTCCGGTGAATAAATGTGTTTGATTGGCGAAAGCGAGACAGCCAATCAGTAGAGGAAACTGCACAGAGGCTGGGTCCAGAAGTCCACTGTCGGGGGATGCACATGGATGCTTTCAGCGCAAAGACAAGCCAACAGCCTGTATGGCTGGTGAAGAACCCACTCATGGGTCGCCTACAGGGCGCCCCCGCTGTAGCAGCGGCATCTGCGGTCCAAAGTTGCATCTGTCAAATGCTCTGCTTGCGACTCAAAGGAGAGAAAATCATGGCCATGCTAATAAGGCTAGACTGATCAGTCAACGCATCTGCATATCTCAGAAAGACGCTCCCAATCCGAATAATACCCTTTCCTCTTTCTTCATTACTCCTTTAAATCGCAACGCCGCGCCAAAAGGTGGGAAACTTTAGGTATTTCTTTTGCCCCTCTGGGTACCTACCTACTAGTCATCCCCAAACAACCAACCCAAATTACCTTACCCCACGCCATCCTCCTCCACCTTCGTCGGAAACGCTGGAACCTTTTCCAGATCCTTCTTTCAACATCATCTCACCGTGTAACCTCTTTTCTGCCCACCGAACTATTTACTTGTCATTTGGGCGCCCATTGATTTGCGAGTTTTATGCATAAGTTATTATAGTTGCTCGCATCAGCAATCAGCTGCCTTCTTCGCTCTGCACAGTCGCAAAAATGGACACCCCCGCGGTCCCCATGCCGCGCAACGCCCGCGAGCTTGCCGTTCTTGAGCGCCTCACCGAGATACGCGACAAGCTCCTTTTGCTCAAGCAAGACAGAACCACATATATCCGCAGCCAAGATGTTCTGCCGCTTTACGACCAGACCATTGCGCAGGTCAAGGAACTCACAACCGTCCGCGCAGAGACGGGCTCCAGTGACGAGAACAGAGGTACGTTAGCGCTTTAGAACACCAGTGATGTCGCATACTGATTCGTGTTTCCCGCAGTCGACAAGGTGCTCGAGGCATGCTTCCAGCTCCTGTCGCTCTTCTACCTGACCATAGGCCGCAACGACGAGGCCCCCGCTACATATGCGCTTACTTCGACGATCAAGAGACTACTTGACCACCTCATCGAGGCGAACCTGTACTCATCGAAGGATCTCGAGAGCCTCAAAGCGACGCTGGAGAAACTATCTACCAACATTAGCCGCTCGAGCAATGATGACACCCCGGGCCCCCAGCACTCGCCCTACCTGCTGGAGCTCTTGTCGAAACGTGTCGAACGATGCACTGCGACGCTGGCCAAGCTGCAGAAGCGCCTGAGCACTCTCGACGAGGCTTCGCTTCCGACCTACGAAAAGCTCATCTCTATCCTCCGCTCCATTTCCTATGCCAATACCAGATTCAAAGTGAGCATACGTCATGTGCGTGTCGGAAGGTGAGAGTAACGAAATTGACACAGCGTACAGTTCTCTTCGAGCGAAGTCCAGAAGCTGCAGAAGCAGTTGTACGAGATTGGCGAAAAGTACAACGGAGGCCAGTTCTGTGTCGCAGGCTCAGAATCGCCAGGGGCTGCCACCATGCAGGAAGTCTATGACAAGTGCTCTCGCTGGTCCGAGATTGTGCTAGAAAGGCATGAATTCCAATTAAAGCGCACTCGATCGCTCGCTAACAGTCAATGCAGAAAGGGCGACGTCCCCGAACCGTTCCGCGAAACATACCGGGCACTCGTCGGCATCCGCAACGAGCTGGAAAAGCTATCCCTCACACAAGCCTGGTCGCTCCGCGAGACTGACCTGTACGATTTCCAGCGCAAGCTCGACAAGATTGACGAGAGCCGACAAAACGGCAACTTTTTTGATGATAAGGGCCGCCCTGCCGATTTGTGGACGCAGCGCACCATGCTATATCTGATTCGACGAAGCTACGCCTACATTTACTCCTTCATGCTGTCCTCTGAGCCGGTCTCTGAGGCACTACTGCCCATCTACAACCAGCTGCAGACACTGAAGCGCTGCCTCATTGAGGTCAAGGACAACGGCGGCGTCTCGTCTGTTCGGGAACTTTACCCTTATAGCATGAAGGTTTGTTCATCTTGAATTTTGGTTTACGTGTGCCGGTTGACTAACAGCAGACAGCTCGCTTCTCTGGATAATATGCGCGTGGATGGCAAGTTTGTCGTCAATGGTGACATTCCCGAAGGGCAAAGCAGTGTGTCGGAGCTGCTTGCCGAGTGCTTTGACTTGAATTACGACCTGCGTGTGGCTGCCGACGAAGACATCGCCAACAACGCCAAATAACGGCTGTTTCCCCTGCTCGAGCGACCTCGATTTTTGTTTTTTTTTTATTATGATTATGCTGATGTCATTCTCTTTCTGCGGGATGTCGTCTTCTCTGTTTTCGAACGACAAAGGTTTCCTCGAGCTTTGTCACACAGCATGACCATTTTTACTTTGGGCACATCAGAAAGGATACGCAATCAGCTTACAGATACTGTTTAAGACTTGGGGAGGCTATCCAGCAATGGAGGTATGACAAGTCCAGCTGCGCTGGGTCGTACTTGAAGCACCTTTTTTTTCTTGTTTGAATGGCGGGAAAAAAATGCTGGGATATTTTTTTATATAGTATCGTTTCGGCTAGGAATCCAATCCACCTGGGCACTTTCTTTTTTGGGATACCAAGACACAACTCCTTCCGTTGCCGCATGCATTTAATGAGACCTGGTGAATGTCCGGGACATCTCTAGTCCTTGGCTGACCGGAAGGCGCAGATAAAGGGAAATACTTGGGCCTTTTCCAGGTCCCAGACGCCGCTGGTCACGTAGACGTCGTCCTTGAGCTGCTCCAGCACCGCCTCCTTGGACTCGGCCTCGGCCACAAAGGAGCTGCCGTGAAAGTCAAAGGTAGACGGGTCAGTTCCGTTGGGGACGCTATTTAGCACAGCACCTGATTTTTTGCAACCTCGATTAGTAGCAGACTCGTTACGGGGAACAACAATGGTAATCTGCAAAGACTCACCCCCCATCTTATAGGTGCCATTCTCGAACCGGGGCTTAACCTCGGCTAAATGCGCGCTACTGGGCTGTCAGTGGATGAAAAAGGGGAAGGCATAAGAGGGCGGAAAAGGGAGAAGCGCACGCGCGAACTTCGAGACGCTTCTGCTGTGTGCCCGGCTTGTCAGGGACGATGACGAGAAACTCGAATTTGCGGGGGGCGGCGGCAGTGGACATTGTGCGGACGAGGTGCTTTGCGGTGGCGGCGATACGAGAGGCCATTAAAATCAAGGCAGATGCTGGGAGAAGAGAGGCGGCTGGGAGGATGGATGGCGCCAATTGCAATATTTATGGATGTAGATGAGAAGCTTAGATTGGATGTATGGGCGCGCCTTTTCACATGGGGAGTTGTCAATTGTTTGGGAGGGGCTGGTCGGCACCAGCGAGGTAGGTAGTAGTAATACGACCCTGGGGAACTAGAGGCTGCGGGGTACGGCTTACAGCGGCAAGTATTGATCTAAAATGGTAATCTTTCAAGGGGGAAATTCAGAGAATTAATGCTCAACTTGGGCATGACAAAAGGTTTCAACGTCGCTGATACAAAGCGACGAGTTGTACATGTTCAACTTCTCGACTCCCCAAGTTATAAAGCTGGCATTGTAAGCCACGCAAAGCTCTCTTTACTACTGGCATGCTCAAAGTCGAGCAAAGTTGAACAGAGTCGAGTGTGAATTACCAGCTAATTATTTATCTTTATTTCTTTTGAAAAAAAATCTTCTTTTGAGCTCTCTCGCCTGGTTGCTTTCGGTCTTGCCCATCGTCTGTACGCACCCATGCCTTCGTGTGGCAATTGTCCCGTACCTGGTAGCTGACAAATGCAAACGCTCAAAGCGGCTGTGAAGAGGATCCATTCTCGACATGCAACACATCTAGCTTCACATCGCCATGTACACAGTTGGGAAAAAACAATGAAGCGCAATCGCTCACTCACGGGCTGCGCGACATGCCGCCAACGTCACCTCAAATGCGACGAGACGCGACCAGCTTGCCGGATGTGTCGGTCTTTCGGGGTCGCGTGTCCCGGGTATCGGCCACGGCTCCAGTGGATAAACGAGGGCGCTCGGCGGCCCCGCGGTCCAGATGATGCAACTTCCCGCCGAGCCTTGTTTGCAGGTGTGTGTCGCGTGAAAAATCAATATGATACGGTGTGGGCGGCTGATTTCAAGGAACAGAGCCGCATCAAAAAGCCATGGCGCAAATGCTGGCCACCAGCCTGGGCGGGTTCAGTGTGGGCAAAGCGCTAGACGGGTTGGACATGGAGGGCGCAGAATCGACTGTGACTATGCAGCCCGCAGCGCTGGCCAAGGATCGCTTCCATGGGCCATTTGGTATATTATATACGATAGCCAGACCTGCTGGAAGATCAACACCCGCTGATGAAGGTCAGAGATCAATTCTCCAACATGGAGACTCGACATCAGAACCAATATATGCATCAGCGACCCCTTGGCCTGTATATGGGCCACCAACATCAGGTTCGCTAGCGTTGCTTTTTTCCTTAGAGTTGATGCAGAGCCTCCTCCTGTATTTCAAGAGCGACGTCGTTTCATTCTCATTTGCAACGCGGCACGATGCCAGGATATGCCCTTGGCAAAACATCCATCTTCCCGCAGCAGAGAAAACTTGCACGCAGCTGATTCGACAATCCTCCACCACGCCGACTGGTCTATCACTGCTATACTCAGTCCTGGCGTCGACCTGCTTCCATCTCGCCCCTCGGGATGTGGCGTCGGCTGACAGGTGGACCGATTTGGGAGAACGATACAAGCAAGAGGCTCGGCAGCATCTCGAAGTCGCCATCCAAGAGGAGATCTTGCTATTGACTCGAACAAACTATGAAAAGCTGCTTATGGCGCTGCTTTCCACAACCATGCTTGAGGTATGTTTGATCACCTCCCCACCGTCTTGTATAAAGCTTACATGCGTGACGCTCAAGATATTGTGCGCCGAGTACAATGAGGCAGAACATCTTCTCCTAGAAGCTGAGTATCTCATCCGCACACGAGGGCTGCCCGCATCGCCTAAATCGCTCCAGCTACGCACGCTCCACCATGTCTACACACATCTCCGCGTTCTGACCGAGAGCACGTGCGGGTGCATCCTGCGCAACATCTGCCCTCAGAAGCCCGGCTCGCGGTCCAGTCTAGTGACTGAGGAGTCGAGACATCAGCTGCGAAGTTTTCGCGTCGCAGACCAGAGCACCGAATCGGACTTGCGCATGAGCGTCGAGAAAAGTGCTGCAGCGGCGCATGATGACATTCACTTGGAAGTGATGGGCGACTGGCAAGACTCGCTGTTTCCGCAGTTGTACGGACTGCCAGAGAGTCTTTTGGGCCTGTTGTCGCAGACAATTCGGCTGGCGAATGAGCAGGAGTTGCTGCAGCGCGATGCAAACGTCGACGTGAGCATGATTGCGAATCTGTGCCGACGTACAAAGGTTCTCGAACATAATATCCTTTCCTGGAAGATGCCGAGTGAGAATCTTCACAGCCACAACTTACAAAATCCCGCCGAGAGCCAACCCGCAACAAACTTGGGCGGCCAGATTATCCCACGCCTGACTACGACGTTCCGCCATGCCGTCACTCTGTTCTACTACAGACGGGTACAGAATATCAATGGTTTGATGCTGCAGAATGTGGTACAAAAAGTGTTGGAAAGCATGTCCTTGGAGGACGGACCGCACGAGGCGGCGCAGATGCTCTGGCCGGCGTTTCTGGCATCGTGCGAAGCCATTGAGCCACCACTTCGAGATGGCCTAGGCGGTTGGCTCAGGCAAATGGGCAACAAAACCAGAATACCGACATTCAAAATCGTGTCCGAGCTGGCAGAGAAAGTGTGGATTTTGAGAGAGGAGAAGCAAGATTATACTCTAGGCTGGTTCGATGTGACGAGCTTAGAAAGGTGCCCTATTGTTGCCCTATGATGGGCGACTTTTCCAAGCGAAGAAAACACGTCGAAGCTCTACATGTTTGACCGTGCGCTCTTCTTGCTGTTGGCAGCTTCCTCCGTCACCAATCTCTCAATCTCGGCGTCGAGGCTAGGGCCTTGCGGCTCCCATCCCAGCCACGTGCGGGCCCTATCCCCTCTGGTCTGCGCGTTGGTTCCGAGCAGCACGGCAGCATGTGCCATGATGGATTCCGCGGCCTCAGCATCGATTTCCTTGACAGCGGACAATTTGATGAGTCCTTTGGCGGCCGCAATATCGGCTATTTTGCGGGCGACTTGGCCAAAAGGCTACCGAAATGGTCAGCGATACCGAAACGACGGTGGCAAAGATTTCTATGGCTGGGATGAGGACTCACAATTCTTCCTGCGTCGGCGAAATAAATACCGTCCTTGTTCCACAGCGGGTGCTGGCTGTTGCTGTCCTGCGCTGCCGCGATGAGCTTGAGGACCAGCTGCACAATGTCGGAGACGTGCACGCTGCTCCAGGCGTTCAAGCCCTTGCCAATATAAGGAGCGTGCCCGTTTTTCAGAGTCGCTCTGGCAAGGCTCGGCATCTGGATGCTGCGCTGGTTCACGGGGCCCTTTCCCAGACCGTAAATCATGGGTCCGTAGATGATGGCTGTTCGCGCTCGAGGCTGGTCGGCGGCCAGATTGGTCACGAGCCTGTCGACCACTCTGTTGGGCGACGACGCAATGATTTCGCGCAACTCGGTGACGTCTTTCACGTCGTTGTACACCTTGGCACCGGCATTTCCATACGAGCGCTTGGCGACTTCTGGACCCGAGAGGACGCTTGCGCCCGAAATCTGTACCCAGACTTACATGCCATTTTAGCATTGCTCACAAGCACCGGGTCGCGGAGACGACTTACCTGGGCTATCGCTCTGCGACTTCCCGAGGCCTCGGACAATGGCCTTTGCGCTGCCAACGTGATTCGAACTCGCCAGGTCTGCGCCGGTCAGCGGGCGGTATGCCAGAATGAAAAAAAGGGCCTAGTTACTCACGAAGAACCACATCTGCCTGAGACGCAGCGGTCTCGATGGCGTCACTCGCGTCCAAGTCGGCAATGAGCGGGATGACGGCCGGGTACTTTGCGATGATTTGCGCGGCGCGCGCCTCGCTGCGCACGAGAGCGACCGTTTTCGAGGCAAGACGCGAGTGTGCGAGGCCGTGCAGGACCTCGCCGCCGATGAAACCTGTGGCGCCGGTGCTGGAGACAAGTCAGTCAAGGGGTTCTTAATGGCCCGAGAGCTTGCGTTGTACATGAAGATGCGACTCATTGCTGCGTCTTTTTCTTTGGGGAAAAAACAAAGAAATCGTAGAAATACTGGTATACGGGCGAATGGGTTAGAGAAAGGGAATATGTGATTTCTTTCACAGAACTGTCAAGTCCTTTTATACATTTACATTGGACATGTGTATGGGGTGCTGAGATGGCACGACCGGGATAACTTGCCTTTTTGGAAGCTATGCTTGTAAATCAATCTAATTATCTAGACCGGCGCTATCCGAACGGGCAAAGTTGATTGCCCCACCAGATTTGTGGAGGGGCCGGGCCGCAAGTGAGGAAGGTTATCCCGGCTTATACAAGCAAATTGGAGGGACTCGATTTTCGCAGCCATGTTGAAGGTTGAGAAAGTGATTTAGCCCAAGTATTCTTACATGTTGCTGTGCGATATAATAAATCCCATGGGCTCTGAGAATGCCTCCTGCTTACAATGCGACACTGATTGGCCGTGTTGGCGGTGTATGTTCCTACTTTTATAGACTCGATCCATCCTGGACTGGTATAATCCACCATGGAACTACTGGCTTGGTAATGCCGCCATGGCGCATTGCGGCTGGTACCTGAGCGGTTGGTACCTGATGGCTGATCTGGGCAAGATGTTAAAACGAGTCTTTTCAATCAAATCATGTTTGTTCGGTGATGTGCTCCAGACATTCAATACCCATGTAGAATAAAAGTGGTCGTTGCGGATGCATCGTCACCATGAGGTCAATGGCCAGTCTTTGCATTACAGCAACAACACGTCAGCGCAGGTACCAACCGCCACTCCTCTCAAGCCGCCTATAAAGCCTTTTAGAAAATCAACATTCACTTTATCCACTGAAACAGAACGGCAAAAAATCTTCACTGCTACGCTTTTCACTCAGTCAAACACCATGGGGACTGTATCGCGCATCTTTCCGTTTGGCGGAACATGCAACAACTACGAATGGGGCCGCAAAGGCAGCAAGTCGCTCGCGGCACGCCTGTGTGCCGCTTCTCCGGAGACAGATTTCAAGATTGATGAGGAGAAGCGCTACTCGGAGATGTGGTTTGGCGATTATCCCAATTTCCCCGGTCGGCTGGGAGATGGCCGGCCGCTGGGCGATGTGCTGCGCGAACATAAAAATGAACTCTTAGGAGAGCACTCGGTTGGCAAATGGGGGGACCAGTTGCCATATCTGCCCAAGGTCAGTCAACCGGAAACAGCCAATCCTGAAACATTGCCGCCAAAGACAAGAACTAATCAGACCCGTGGCGACTAGATTCTCTCGATTGCCAAGGCCCTCCCCTTGCAAGTGCATCCAAATAAGGACCTGGCGGCCAAGCTGCACACGCAGAACCCGGAGCAATTCACCGACCCCAATCACAAGCCCGAAATCGCCATTGCCCTGTCGCACTTTGAGCTGTTTGCCGGCTGGAAGGAGCTCGACGAGATTGCGCAGCTCTTCCGCACGCCGTTTCTGCGCGGCGTGATGCCGCCGTCCGCCGCTAGCAGCAGCCGCTGGACCGACGAGACGCTGCGCGAGGTGGTGCGCGCGCTCCTCAAGGCCGACGCCGACAGCGTCCGCGCCATGCAGGCCGAGCTGGCCGTGCAGCTCGAGGCCGACTTCAAAAAGGGCGGCGCGCACCGCGCCAGCCACCTGCTGCGCGTGCTGCGGGACCTGCAGGCGCAGTGCACCGACCTCGACCCCGGCGCGCTCGTCGCCGTGCTGTGCATGAACTTCCTCACGCTCGACCCCGGCGAGGCCATCTTCATCCCCGCCGACGGCGTGCACTGCTACCTGTCGGGCGACGTCTTTGAGTGCATGGCGCGCTCCGACAACATGCTCGCGGGCGGGCTGTGTCCCGCGGCGGACCGCGACCACGCCGACGTCTTTTGCGACGCGCTGCGCTTCGGGGATTTGACGCGCCCGCGCGGCATCCGTCTGCCCGCGCAGACGGTGCGCGACCCGGCGACGGGACTCGTGGACCACAACGCGGCCCGGTTCGCCCCGCCGGTGGGCGAGTTTGACGTGCTGCGGGTTGCGTTGCTGGCGGGCCGGGAGCAGGCGCTGCGGCCGGCGCGGGGGCCGACGGTGGCGATTGTGCTGAGAGGCGAGGGCACGCTGGTGGGCGACGACGACGGGCGCGAGGTGAGGCTGATGCAGGGCCAGATATTCTTTGTCGCGGCCAATACGGCGGCGACGGTGCGGGCGACTGAGGACTTGGAGTTGTATGCGACAGTCGGTGGTTGAGAGGATGTTCAAAGTCTTTTCTGGAGGCTAGTCTCGAGGTAGGGTATATAAAAAAAATGAAGCCTGTATCATGATTTCTGCCTTTACTTAATATGCGCCAGTGCTCGGCGGCTGTGCCGAAATGACGTTGTGTATCTTAAGTAGCAGGCTGGGCACAGCCAACGTCATCTAAACCGACATGCTGAGCCTGACATGTATTACCAGTAATGAAAGGCTCGTTGAGAAGAGGAGTAGAAAATAAAAAAAATGCCCCAACACTCTTTTCCAGGTGTTGGGGATCCAGTCTCGCCCGTTTGTGGCGCTCGGCCAACGTGAACGGGGATAACCAGCGTTTGCCAGCGGAAACCGAGATAATAGGGGGGTGAAGATCGCTCATCAGACGGCTTGATCGGCGCTTTCAGAGATGCCGTTGTTATGTATTTTTGATGGGTAATATATTCTGCCTGTGGTAGGGTCGATAAATATGCCCAAGAAATGTTTGCTTGCCCAAAAAAATGCCTCGGCTGGGTGGTCGCAGCGGACCCTTTTCTTCAAGACCCGCTCCGGCTGTCTTTGAATGCCGCGACAGCGTGCAGCCTAACTAAGGTACCAAGCTTCAGACGGCCAACGGCGGACTTGTAACATCTCTCTCCGTTTTCTCCCTCCTTCAACCTGCTTTTCCCCTCCCAAATTTCCTCTTCCGAATTATTCTGAATTCTATCATCACCAATCCGATACAAAGGCGACCGTTGCACAGCCCAGCATGGACTCTCAGGGCGGCAGCCTCAAGGCTGGTCATCTATGCGTCCTCGTCCACGGAGTACGTCATCGCGACTCACCTCGGCCCTATCTCTCAAAATTCCATGCTAACAACTTCATCCCACGACCAGCTTTGGGGCAATCCCGAACACATGCGCAACATTGCAAAATGCCTACGCGACGAGTATTCCCGCGACCAGCTCTATTTGCTGCTCGCCAAGCGCAACACGGGTAGCTTCACGTACGACGGCATCGAGCGCGGCGGCGAGCGCGTGTGTGCCGAGATTGAGGAAGAGCTGCGTAGCATCGAGGCCGCGGGCGGTCGCATCACCAAGCTCAGCATCATTGGCTACTCGCTCGGCGGGCTGGTCTCGCGGTACACGGTCGGGCTGCTGTACGCCAAGGGCATCCTCGACCGCATGGAGTGCATGGTACGGAACCGACGCGAGGATTACGAAGTTTTGGGTCAAGATTGGGTGCCCTTTTTGCTGACACTCCCCGGTGTATAGAACTTTTGCACATTTGCGAGTCCGCATCTCGGCGTGCGCACGCCCCTCCGCGGCTGGCACAACCACATCTGGAACGTCGTCGGCGCGCGCACGCTGTCCATGTCGGGTCAGCAGCTGTTCACGACGGACCGCTTCCGCGACACTAACCGGCCGCTGCTACAAGTCATGGCGGACCCCAAATCCATCTTCATGTCGGGCCTGCGCAAGTTTAAGCGCCACACGCTCTACGCCAACATCACCAACGACAAGAGCGCCGTCTACTACACGACGTGCATCCAAAAGACGGACCCGTACCGCAACCTCGACCTCATCCGCCCCAATTTTGTGCCCGGCCGCGGCGACGTCATTCTCGACCCGGAGACGCCGTTCCTGCCGCGACCCAAGCTGGTGTCGACAACGTCCCCGTGGAGCACGCTGCTGGGGTACGCGAAGCGCATCCCGCTGGCGCTGGCCATTGCCGTGTTTGTGCCCATTGGAGTGGCGGCGTACCTGGTCAACTCGGTGATTCAAAACGTGCGCAGCTCACAGCGCATCCGGCTGCACGAGCGCGGCCAGCTGGGAATCAGCATTGAAGAATACCGCGTGCCGCTGCTGATCAAGGAGCTGCGCGGCGAGGTCGAGTCGGCGTATGAGGCGCTCAACAACTCCCAGCAGCAAGAGTACCTCAAGGACGACGACGACGACGATGATGACGAGGAGGGAGAGGAGGGAGCGATGAATACAGAAGACAGGCAGATGCTGACGCGGGAGCGCAGGCTGTCGCAGCCGACGCAGCCGACGCTGGCGCTCGCGCCGTGCCAGTTTGACATGGTGCGCAACCTGGACACGCTGGGATGGCGCAAGTATCCGGTCTGGATCCACGATACCGGGCACTCGCACGGGGCTATTATTGCGCGGATCGATAAGAGGAAGTATGACGAAGGATTCATCGTGCTAGGGCACTATGCAGAGGAGGAGTTTTTGCTGTAGAGGCATCTGGAATGGGATTGGGATTGGCTTGGCAAGCGTGTTTTTTTTTGGGTGTGTGCACAATACGTGTGAGGTCAATGATAATTCAACTCTGATACAGGTGTATGTGGCATTCGTTTTGAATGAGTAGTAGGCGGGGGATTGGATTGTAATCGTTTGTGATAACCCTCGATGACCCAGCCGTTGTGGATGCACCTTTCTGAACTAGTTAAATGCAAAGAAAATAATACTAAATACTGCTAGTCCACGGAGGATGCAACACACGCATCACTCCTCGAACTGGCAACTGGCAGGACTTGTTAGCGTGAATGGTGATGCAATCGAACCGAGGTGTGTGCCAGAGAGACCATCATCCATCTCCCTGCAGCCGCAGGATCCGGGTGCATGAAGAAAATAAATAGCTCTTTGATGCTTGACACTAATGACAGCCTACCTTGAGGTCACTTTCGGCGCATGTAGCTGCACAGTTGCGACAAAGTCTGGCCACAGCTGGGTCCGTGTCGTCTCATTTTCAGCAACGAATCACGTGTGGCTGCTGAAACCCCGGACTGTATGCCCCGCATTTTCTGACCAATCAGAACACTTCTCAGATGGCCTCCGCACTCTGAACCAATCAGCACCTTGGACATTTGGCAGCAAACGTGCCCCAGCCAGGAGAAAATTCGCCTCTGCCTGCAATTGGCATCACCTCCTCTTGCTGGCATTTCTCCCTCAGGTCTCGGAGCACACCACCCTCCATCTTCCCCTCCCGCCCAATCTTCCTTCATCACCTCTCGCAGCCCGTCATCTCTGCGTCGCTTCAGGACTTATTCTTCATCTCTGCTTGTTTTCCATCATCTCCTTGACAGCCTCTCAGCTGGTCTCGTGATTTTTTCCTTCACCATTCCATGGGCTGTCCCGACTGAGCCGAACCTGCTCACGGGCAACACAAAATCATCTATCACGCACGCGTAACGCAACCAATTCGCATAGCCTGTTCCCTCGCACCGCCAACGGCGAGCAATTGACACGCTCTGAATAAAAATGGTGCTCCAGCATTCGATCAACCACACCTACTCGCACCCCTTCCCGACCGTCACCCTCGCCTACTTTCTCCGCTACTCGTCGCCCAACCTCAATCCTTTCGCCGCACACGTCCTCAGCACCGACACCATCTCCAGCCATGTCGACCCCGTAACGCAGCGACTGCACACTACCCGCATCCACCTGAAGAAGAGCCGCATGCCGGGCGCCGTATACAAGCTGCTGCCGGCCAGCGTCACGGGCGGAGGTACGGGCGACAAGGCCTCGTACATTCTCGAGACGAGTGTCGTCGACATCAAGCAAGGCTGGATGCGCACCGAGAGCCGCAACCTCAACTTTACCGGCGTGCTCTCCGTCGTGGAGAAGCAGGACTTTTGCGTCCCCAACGAGGCGGCCGGCCGCGCCCCGAACCTCGAGACGGATGTCAAGACGTCGGTGATTTTCAAGTCGCACCTCGGCGAAAAGCTTCGGGGCAAAATCGGCCAGGCGACGGCAGAAGACGGCTGGTTCTCGGGCATCATTGGTGGCTGGGGAGCCAAGGGCATCCAGCGCAGCATCGAGAGCATGGCGTCGACCAAGACGCAGGCGCAGCTGGGCAAGAGCCGCGACGGAATGAAGATGGTGCTGGAGCGCATTCGCAACAATGGTGTGCTGGGTGTTCTAGAGGCCATCCGCCGTGAGCGGCAGCGTCAGCAACTGGCCATGTAGACGACGACTCTACACGCTACACATGTATAACATGACGACGCGGCACACCAACAAACCTGGCATGTGCCCGCACAGCTGTCGGAACCACCGTCGGCTGCTTATGACGGATCGTGTATCCATATTGTACATTACACCCCCTTTTCTATTTCAGCCTGGCGTCTTTGTTTCTTATTATGTCGTGGTGTTTGGTGTCATTGAAGGACGACTAACGGCGGGCCATGGGGACCCAGCCACCAACGCAGAAAAATCGTGTATAGCTGCAGCGTGCATTGGTGCAGCATCCCCTCTCTTGTACTGAGTAACAATAAAAAAAAAGTATTTGAAATGAATGCAAGAAATCTTTGACAACCATTTTGTTACTTTGTGCCATGTCTAACCAGTTGGGCCTGGACCGCGATCAGCAGCGTTGGTGGCACTGCTGGACAGGGCAGACCACTCACCACAAGGCTGGTCGAAGCCGAAACAAAGCTCATATTCGTCAGATGCGTTTGACTCTACTTTTTTTGTTTCCTTGCAGCGGCGAGTTGAAGAAGAGGGGGGCAAAGCCGGTCGATTCTTTCCTCTTTTATTCTTCAGCTAGCTGGCCAATGTCTCGGGAGAGGGGAGGAGGGATAGACTATCGAGATATGCGACCCCGCGCGGCCAAAAGATGAACGGCCCGTGCTCCGGCCAAAAACTTGCACGTAACACCAAACATTTTGCCCGATCTGCAGTTGCATTCAACGATCTCCAAACTCGTCTGTCCTTTTCTCTTGTCCCCTCATTTTGTTTTGCACTTTTTTTTTTCTTTCTTTCTTTCTTTCTTTCTTATCTTCTCCTCTTGATACATTTCTTAAGAAGAAATATGCCCGAAAAAATATCCGTCCTCTTTGTCTGTCTGGGCAACATTTGCCGCTCGACCATGGCCGAGGGCATCTTTCGGCACCTGGCGCAGAAGCCCGAGTGGAAGGACAAGATTGGTCGCATTGATTCCTGCGGCACAGGTATGTCCTTTTGCTTTCTCCTCTCTTTATCACCTCCAGCAGTGTATTCATGGAAGAAACGGGCGGTGTTCTTGGGCGTGCTTTCTTTCTTTTGGGCTGACGAGAAATTAACCCCTCCATAGCGGCATATCACACGGGCGACTCGCCCGACGACCGCACCATGGCGACGCTCGAGGAGAATGGCATCACAGACTACCACCACTCTGCGCGACGTGTACGTATTACCTGTATTACCAACCCCCCCTCTTTGCTTTTGCGTGTTCACCTCGTGCCTGCGACATCTTACACATGACTGCCCTCTCCTTCAGCGGGCCCAGTCCATCCACGCAATTCCTCGCACCGTGTGCTAAAATCTCCGTTCCTGTGTCTGCAGTTTGCCACGTCGGACTTTGAAAAGTTTGACTACATCTTCGCCATGGACCGCTCCAACCTGTCCGACCTGGTGCGCTTACAGCGCGGCAACCCCGACGCCAAGGCGCGCGTCATGCTCTTTGGCGAGTACAGCGGCGCCGGCAAGGCCGAAATCGTAAACGATCCGTACTATGGCGGCGATGCGGGCTTCAAGCGCGCTTTTGAGCAGTGCACGCGCTTTTCGCAGAACTTCTTGGCAGAGGTGGTGGACGGCGGCGGCGAGAAGACGGCGTCGCTGTAGAGAAGGAGGGGAAGAAGGACGAGAGGAACCAGGCGGAGGTTGATGATTTTGCTGATACCCAGATAAGAGGAGGAGCGGATCAGGATGAATGACGAGTAATGACATGTAGATACATATGCTCTCTGCCACCGTGGCGGGCTAATAGAGGCGATGATGGAATAGTATAATGCAATGCAGTCAGACCCAAGATTGGTCAATACATTTGTTGCCGGTCATCTTCCAGCAGAATTGGCGAGAATCTCGCAGATCAGTTGGGCCTACCGTCCTGCTCGTCCAATGCTTAGTCTTCGTAAGCCCCTCATTACCCTTCCATCAACAAGACCCGGTCGAGAACAAGAAATTGTACCTCCCAATTTGTACATGATACATTGCTTGGACAACAGCGACTCATTGGTAAAGGTGCGGACAGAAATCACTAGCCGTCGCATATTACAGTTCATTTGCATAGAAAGAATCGGTCAGATTCCGGCCGAATCTCACCAGGCTTTTGATCCATCAGAGTATGCAGTTCGGCCAATTGTCGCGTAGTGGTCGTCGCTCTCTTCGTCAACGTCCTTGCCAAGCACGTCAACTAGTTTTGATATCACTTGGGGGACTGCTACTTTTAAAGTGCTCCTTAGGGCTGGCTGCCTCATGCACTGAAAGGTTCCTAGGTAAGTATTTAGACGATGCAGTGGTTCGCTTATGCTCAGCGCGAGTCGGGACAGTCTAGAGAGATTGATTCCACATCAGGCTGCTGCGGCGAGTGATGGTCTAGACGCTACCGCTGCGGTTTGATGTGGCATGGGAGCCTGCTGTGTGATCAGTTTTCCAGAGCCTCGAGCCTCGTATTTGCGAGTTAGACGAATATGATGGCTGAGACCGATTGAGGATTGAATCAGAAAAAAGGCGAAGAACACGTATCGCAGCTCAAACAGGCCAAGGCTTCTTTGTCTTGTTGTTGCTGGTCTGACCTAATAGTCATGGTGTGGGGTCGCAGAACAAACGTCGCATTGGAGGCCCAGTTTGGCAGGCCATACTGGTAATTAGTATTGAGGCTCATGGCGCTCCGCAGACTGTGCATTGTCACCTTCTGGTCCAGGCAGCTGGAGATTGGCCAATACCTGGCTCGTGACAAATACAGCCAGGTTTTGCTCGCCTGGGTCCGAGGAGTTTGCAAACACCAACATGACTACCTCGACGAGGATAGCGTGACCAGAGGGGTGGCATGATTCGAGTTGTGGCAGCCTGTTCCAGTCTGAGACTCGATTAAGAAGGGTACTGGACAAGGGCATATTACTATATAGCGACGAGGACAGGCAGGTTATCGTGACGAGCGAGCATCGGCAGCCTGACTGGGCGGCAAAGTCTCCGGGGCGGCCAATGAGAGCAGCGAGCGAGGTGACGAGATGCGAGACTGGGTGACTGCGGGAAGAACATTACGACTTCAATTTGGATTGGGATCAGCCATGGTGTGAAACCAGTGATGGGCGGAGGGATGGTGAAAGAATGGAGAACGGTGGACGACGAGGATGGTGACCAGATGGAAGAACTTGATGGTAGTTAGAGGTAGGAAGCCAAAGCGAGTGCAAACGGGCGAGCAAGTATTTGCTCCTAAGAGTGCTGTAGAAGATTTTACGGGCCTCTGTTGGCGCTGTTACCTCGCAGCTGTGGCCTGGCGGAGGGATTGTGTTACTGTATGCTCGGCCCCTGAGGGAGAACTCATCTCCGCCAAAGTCCCCTATTGAGCAGCACAGCAGCTCATTCGTTAAATCAAACGATGTAGCTCATTTCTTTGGTGGGGTTCTCTCTTTTTTGCTCGGTCTGCCCACCCCCAAAAGGGCCATTTTCAAATTTCCCTCTCCTCCAGGCTCGGTCCAGGCTCCCTCTAGCCGCCGACCAGCTTCTGACCAGCTTCCTGGCTCCATATATAACTTGCTATCAACCACCATCCCATATATTTCCATTTCTCCTAGGTAGCTCGCTTCAGCGTCTCATCTCATTTTCTGCAGCACGCCTCTTTGTAGAGTCTCCTCTGTCCCGTCGTTATATCTGCAGATAGCCTTCTGCTCGCACACGCGCCAACGTCGCCGTTACTCGTCCATACCTCGGGCAAGCCTCTGCCCCGCACTCTCGCTTTTTGCGCACGCACGCGCTCTTCGCCGTGCGACGAAATCGCCATCATGGGCGATCTCCAGGGACGCAAAGTCTTCAAGGTCTTTAATCAAGATTTCATTGTCGACGAACGCTACACTGTGACCAAGGAAGTCGGGCAAGGTGCCTACGGTATCGTCTGGTAAGTCGTTGACAGCTTCGTGACGTCGAGGCCATGCCTCGTACCCCGCGCCGACCTGCACGTCGTATCTGGGTTTGACGACTAACCGTTGCGCCTCTTTTTCTTCAGTGCGGCCGTCAACAACCAAACTTCCGAGGGTGTCGCTATCAAAAAAGTCACCAATGTCTTTTCCAAAAAGATTCTTGCCAAGCGAGCGCTGCGGGAGATAAAGCTGCTCCAGCACTTTCGCGGCCACCGTAATGTGCGCCTGCCCGCCCCGACCCCGGTGCCCTCGCACCCAGCTAATCGCCTCGCCAGATTACTTGCCTCTACGACATGGACATTCCTCGGCCGAATGACTTCAACGAAACATATCTATACGAAGGTCAGACTGGGTTCTTACGACCCGTCACAGAGTGCATGCTAACACCTCGCAGAGCTCATGGAGTGCGACCTGGCTGCCATTATTCGCTCGGGACAGCCCTTGACCGACGCACACTTTCAATCCTTCATCTACCAGATTCTTTGCGGTCTCAAGTACATTCACTCGGCCAATGTGCTGCATCGTGACTTGAAACCGGGCAACCTACTTGTCAACGCCGACTGCGAACTCAAGATTTGTGACTTTGGTCTTGCTCGCGGCTTCTCTGTTGACCCCCAGGAAAATGCCGGATATATGACAGAATACGTTGCCACCCGATGGTACCGCGCGCCCGAGATTATGCTGAGCTTCCAGAGCTACACCAAAGCTAGTGCGTAGGCAATGACCACTGTTCGCAAGAAATCATGCTAACCTTGACTAGTTGATGTGTGGTCTGTGGGCTGCATTCTCGCCGAGCTCCTCGGTGGCCGCCCTTTCTTCAAGGGTCGCGACTATGTTGACCAGCTTAACCAAATTCTTCACATCCTCGGCACCCCCAATGAGGAGACACTTTCCCGCATTGGCTCACCCCGTGCCCAGGAATACGTCCGCAACCTACCTTTCATGCCCAAGAGGTCCTTCCCTAGCCTGTTTCCCAATGCCAACCCCGACGCGTTGGATCTACTCGACAAGATGCTGGCCTTTGACCCATCGTCGCGCATCAGCGTCGAGGAAGCCCTGGAGCACCCTTACCTGCACATCTGGCACGACGCCTCTGATGAGCCCGACTGCCCCACAACCTTCAACTTTGACTTTGAGGTTGTTGAGGAGGTGCCCGAGATGCGTCGCATGATTCTCGACGAGGTGATGCGCTTCCGCCAGATGGTACGCACCGTGCCCACTTCGGGCCCTGCCCTCGCCCAGATGCAACAGCAGCAGCAGAGCCAGGTGCCCATGCCCCAGGGCTCGACGCAGTGGAAATCGGAGGATCCTCGTCCTCAGGAATACTTGGGCGGCGCCAACGGTCTCGAGCAGGACTTGGCCGGTGGTCTGGACGCCAGCATGAGATAGACGCTGCGTAGGGGCGGGACATATTCAAGCAGGACTTGCCACGCCTGCATGTTGCCCGGGTAGTGTGGCAGCTACGAAAAAAGATTGACGTTGGAATTCTAATGACCAATGATTACATACGATGCCAGAATTTATTTGGAGAAGAGAGCCAGAGTGACATGGATGCCGAAGCAATCTCCGTAGCCGCCAGGAACCGCTGACCTGAGGTGGTGGGTCGCCGCCATTGCCACGACTTACAAGTGCCAAGAGAGGACAATCCAAAAAGATGTGGGCGCATAATGCAGGCTCCGGGCGACGTGGTGCTGTTATAATGCGGCACATCTTATTGGGGCAGACATTGGCGCCGTGTTTCGACAGCATCGCTTGATGGCCACTCACTACAAGCCTTGAGGTGCCATGTGTAAGAGCAGGCAGAGAGCAGCAAGTGGAGGCGAGACTGTTTTGACAGACGCGAGGTGTTTCTAGAATGAATGAATGCTTGATTGCTATATACATCTCTAGCGATTGAAATTTTTCGGTTTCCTTTTGAGAAAAGAAAAAGGGAACAAAAACAGTGAAAATGATGTGGGGAAAAAACAACCTTTATATCCCAAACGAGCCGTGTGATGCGAATGCAAAACAGCAAACAATAAACGGAAACCCATGAAACAATTTTTGACCTCTCCATATAAAATGACAAGCAGCGACATTAAAGGTATCTAACGAGTGAAAGAAGGAGACGACAACGGAAAGAACTCTATCGGCAAGCGCAAGCCACTGCAGATTTAACCGTAAAACCAGTACGTGGCAGTGTAGCTGGTGCTGTCGCCGCCCGCACCGTTGTCGCAGCCGTGCGGGTTTCCGCCGGCCGTCAGCACACGGTAGACGAGCTTGGCCGGGCCGACGGCGGCATCGGTGGCGCTGAGCTTGAGCCAGGCGACCGCCCCGGTGCCGTCGGGCCCGGCGCTGGCGTCGGCGGGCGCATTGACGGCCTCGTCCTTTTTCGACGTCAAGAAGATGGCGCCGTTGTCGAGCAGGAAGCTGGGGACGCCCTGGTCGGTGAAGAAGTGGTGGCCAATGTAGGCGAGAGGCTCGTCGATGCCGTCGACGGTCAGGTCGGCGGGCGGCGGGAAGGGCGCGGCGAGGTCGGCGCCCGGGTGGGCGGGATCGGCGCGGTCCTTGGTGTTGTTGAGGTTGAGCGGCACGGAGTGCTGCGCGAGCACGTCGCCGGGCAGGGCGTTGAAGCGCTCGGCAGAGAGGGAGCGCGGCCCTTGCTTGGGGTGCAAGGGGCGAGCATCGTAAAGCACGGCGAGGGCGCCGGTGGCGATGGGCGTGGCGCCCTGCGCCTCGCAGGTGTAGTTTTGGATGCCGAAGCCTAGGGCGATGTGGAGGAGCTTGAGGTCGTCGGGAGGGTTGGAGAGTTCCTTGGCTGGTGGGGGGAAGAAGGTGTTAGTCGAGGTTCCCAATTGGGTTTATTAGGACGTGGAAAATATTGAAGGACATACCATCACCGCTGAGAGGGAGAATGGGAGTCTGCACCTTGGCAGGACAGGCGGCCGGGGCGGCGAGGACGGAAGCGAGAGAGGCGAGGAGGATGAAGGACTTGGAAAGCATCCTGGACAAGAGAGACGAAGAAAAAAAAGTCGAAAGAAAAGAAGAAAGACAAGGTCTTGGACAAAAGAGAAGAAACAAAGTCAAAAGAAAAAGAAGAAAAGACAAAGGAAGCAAACGTATGTCTTGGATGATGTTGGTTTAGATGATGAGATCTGAACCGAATTGGGAGAAGGATTGTCTCGGGTATAAGTAAGTATATAGAGACAAGAACAGTCAACGTTTGCGTGTGTGTATGACCAAGCGAGGCGGTTCCCAGAATAGAACGGGTGCAGCTATCCAGCTATCCTGCAGTGTAATAACGTGGTATTATTGGGAAGAGGGGGGTGGTGGCTTCTTTTCAAGGGTACTCCGCCAGGGCGCTTGCAGAGTCTGGGCGGGATGCAGCTAGCGACGCGTTGTGCATAAGCTTCGAGAAACTAGCTTTTCTTCTAGCAAAAAAAAAGTAAGGAAACTTAAAGAGGAGAGAAAGAGGAGGAATTGGTGTAGTGATTGATGAGCTCTGTTACTCGTCATCGTGGAGGAGGTTGGGGGCAGCGCTTTATATATACGGATACAAGATCTGTTAAACAGGGAAGAGGGGGGGGGGACACGAGCTAGATTGCACGACCCAAACGTTTGGGATAAAATTTTGACCGAGCCTCCTTAAGAGTGACTGCCCCCCCTGCAGACCAATGTCAGATCCGTTTACTTCCTTCCTTTCCTTGTCTCTTTGTCTGTCTGCCATAAGCTATTCTTACATGGGGTATGACTCCATAGGAGGAGGAGGTGGAAGGGGGCGCGGGCCTCATCCCGAAGCAGCCAAGGGCGGGTAAGAATGTGTGTTGTGTGTGGGCTGGGGCTGGGCTGACACGATGGGCCAAGGATGATGTGAGGCTAGGTAGCAATAGGGAAAAGGACGACGCGAGTTCAAAAGTAGCTGAGAGCAAGACCCAAGGTGTTAGTTTGAGGAAGCATCCAGTGCTGGTGCAACCCAAGCCACCGGCAAGAAAGACTCTCACCATCGGCACCCATCTCTGTGGGAGATTGTGCCATATTGAAGTGGTTGATGTCTATTTTTTTTTCTTCTTCCCAGCTGATGAGGATGGGCATATGGAATCGCTAGCTTTTGACAAGCTTAGCATTCTTGCATGGCGCGTCCAGAGAGCCAAGACACCACGAGGCCCGTTATATCCGGCTTGCTTGCTCGATTGCCCACCACCCCGCATACGCCACGGTTCAATGGTTAGTCAAAAGAATGAACTCGTGGTTAAAAAAGATGCGCCAATGTACATGGCTTTGTAATATCAATCTCGTAATAGAACGGAAAAAAGGCATATAACGGCCCTAAGCTTAGTGGACTTGAGACCACCACCAACCACCCCTCCCTCCCTGGCCGGTATTACGTCGCCGGATCAGCAAAAATCGTTGTGTGCTGCACGTCAGATTGAGACATCATCTACACACGGATCACAAGTGCCAGAGTTCCAGCGCAGGGAACAATGGGAGGGGTCACCATTGCCGCTAATGGAATTGTCCACCCCTGTCTTTGCATTGCCGCATTACCAAATTATTTTCCTAACTTTTATTGTATGTACCGGCATACTTTGATACTTTGTCCATGCAGGGCCTAAGCAGAAAAGGCACCCCGCCCATCTTACACCGCACATGTACCTGCGGGCGCTTAGATAAAAATGAATCAATAAAACGATTTTATGGTCCTAGCACTATTACTATTTTGGCAAGAGACGAACCAAAACGTACTAGTGTACCAGCTTTGCTCATAGGTAAAAAACGGACGCTAGATATTGTCCAACCAAACAGCCGCAAATAAGCCAGCCATACATACCCCAGCCCCCAAATATAGAAACCAGCCGTCGCGTCGTTCAAGATGGGCTTCTTCTTTAGTTTAGCTTCGTTTGTTCATAGTTGGGCGGCTAAAATGAAAAGCATACATTGCACAACACCGTCACCAAAAACAATTGGACGACGTGCCACAATCTTGTCTAAAGAAAAGAAAAAAACGGTTCATCATCCGGGTTTATCGGCACCGTTATTACCACTTTCCCGGTTCCGTTCTGTCCACAAACTGCAACCTCAGAAACCCACGATGCTCGTCGCAACCCCCCCCCCCCCCTTCCTTTGCGACGGGAGACGAGAGAGAAATTTGCACGAGATTCGAGGCTAAACATGCTCTTTCCTCCATCCTTCTTGGCCCGGACCGACGTTGACACCGAGGAGTGCAGGGGCTGTTTCGGTGATGCAAGCCACCAGAGAGGTTCTGAAACGGGGTCGTGATTCTCCGTTTGTCTGTCTGCCCTATGGCTAGAACAACCTTGACCCATTCACCAAGCAAAAAAAGATGAAAAACAAAAGAAGAGAAAGAAAAGAGGTACTTCATCATGGGCGATAAAATCTGTAAAGAATACAAATAAATATGGTAGAACCTGCTGCCACGCCCAGACGAGGTCTTTTTTGCATCCTTCTTTTCCGCCGCCTGTATGATCTCTACTCAATCGCGACAATCGCTCGCTCTGTTTCCTCAGCCCTGCGCCACGCCTCTCATCACGGTCTTGTTCCGATCTCCATAGTCATCAATGCGTTTTAAAATCACACGAGGAAAGAGTTTCAACTAGAACGGGTCCGGCTTGCAATCCGCAAAGGAAAGGGGGGAGCCAGAAAAGGAAGGAAGAAGAAGAAAAAGGAAGAAAAGATTTCCGCGTTTCGGAGGAGCATCATTCTGGAGCAAAACGCATTGACACTTTGTCAACGGTTCGCGTGGGTTCTTAGTGTTTTAGTGCCCAGCGTTAGCGTAATTATACCGTTCAATGAGAAACAAGTTGGCAGCATGCAGGTGAAAGGTGAAACTCGATAGCTTGCCGAGATGTGTTTTATGCAAGACGCTGGGCGCAGCGCTGCTCGACGCGACAAACATCTGCATATCTTAATCGTAGCAAGTGTTGGGCAAAGAAAAAAAAAAAAAAAAAAGACCAGGGACCCGGCAGATGCCTCATGTTCAGCTTGTCGCAGCTTGATGGCGAATGCGTCTCCGTAGAACAAGGTGTATTAGTTGGAGCATGAGTAGGAATCGCCAAAAAGCAATCAAAACGGGCTCATTCTATGCGGAAACAAGTCACACCGAGACACAGCCTCCCCCTTGGGGGATGTGAACATCTTGGCGTTGTGCCTGAAGTAGTTGCAAGTTTTCTGAAGTTGGTCTGGCATTTTTTACTAGAGATTCACAAGAGCTTCCATTTCTTTGCCCTGTTTTCCGCCTTGTATAGGCCCCAGTTGTTGGTACACGGGAGGTCATGGCCCGGCGTTTTGTCACGATTCAACGAGTCATCTAGTGAGGAAATATGTTCCAAAATACAAAAGGCATGAGCCTATGCTGTTATGAAACTCGAAAGACTTGCAGTTGATAAGTTATCCATTTTATTCCTTTTTTTTCTCTCTTGGCTAGAACGCGTTTAAACAAGTCGTGCCCATATCATCTGCAGACGCCTCAATGACGACATAGCTCGTTTTATAAACACGCTAATCAAAGCTCATGCAAGCGATGATTCTTTTTGTAAACCAATCATCTCAAATTCCTGAAGCGAGAAGGCCCTATGACAGTCTTGATGTGTCCTTGACCTCGTTGCCGATCATGGCTCAACCAGCACGCTAGAATATTGGGGTATGTACTTGCTGACGCCTATGATAGCAACATCTGTGCTATGAAAATTTTGGCATATATTTGAATTAAAATCAATCTTCTGGTTTGATGGGTAATTTTTTCAATGATCAATGATAACTGCTTCTATTTTCCACACAACGTGATTAGATGTATCACGTACTTCGCTTTGGCCACTGCTTCTTGTCTATTGCCCCACACAAGCTCTCGCGACATGACCAAGCTGCAACCGCACTCCAAACCTGCATCGCTACAGCTACCACCTCCATCAAGATGTCGCGCCGATCAGCAAAAGGTGACTATATAGAAACTGTAAGAGTCACGAGATCCCGCATAGAAGACGACCCAAGAAATTCTCAAACACTAGCTTAGGCTGTCGTAATTCAGCGTGCTAATGCCCCCCTAGGACACCGGCAACAAGGTCGCCCGCAAGGCCGTCCTCGTTGGCACGCAAAATATTGTTCTCGGCGGCAAGACCGTCATCCAGCCCGAAGTCATGATCCGCGGCGACCTCGTCCGAACCGCGCCCTCTAGCTCCTCCTCCTCCTCCTCCTCGACCCCCTCCAGCGGCGCTGCCGCCTCCAACACGGCCGTCGCCATCGGCCGATACTGCTTCCTCAGCCGGGGCGTGACGCTGCGCCCGCCGGGCCGCATGTACAAGGGCGCATACACGTACATGCCGCTGCGGCTGGGCGACCACGTCTTTGTCGGGGCGGCCAGCGTCGTGCAGGCCGCGAGCGTCGGCAGCCACGTGTCCATCGGCCGCGGGTGCACCGTTGGCGAGTTTGCCATCATCAAGGACTACGTCAAGGTGCTGGACGGCGCCACCATTGCGCCCTTTTCTGTGATTCCGAGCTTCTCGATTGTGGCTGGGCAGCCGGCGCGCGTCGTGGGCGAGATACCAGAGGGGGGCCATGATGAGTTTGAGCTGCGCGACCTCTACAAGACGGTCGGCAATAATCCGCAGCCGCCTCCCTAAGGGGGGGTTTCCAGGAACACTTTAGCAAAGGAGTGGGCTCGAAACCACCGCAAGTCAGAGGAACACAGGCGTTTTACGCGGACATTGCGTTACAGCGTCGATCGAGGAGAAATTCCATGGCGTCAATATCATTACATAATACGATACCAGCATAGCGATGATTTATTCAACCAAGAACGGAGTCACGGCTTTATGATTACAAAAAAGTAAGCTTGTCCAATTTCGTTTTCGTGATTGTCATCTAGCAGAACATATATACATGACCACCGGCGTGTATCGTCAGGCACCAAGCGCTCCGAATTCTCAGTCTACGGTTGGGCCTTTCCCAGCGCAGCGTCAAGTGACCAGCTCTCTGCTCTCTACTTCTAAGCACAGAGGGTCAGAGTCGTGTCGCTCTCGCGCGTGCAGGTCTTGACCTGGCTGCCGGCGGGCGGGACGCCGTTGGGCCAGACAATGGACTGGCAGTTGCTGTTGGAGGGGACGACCTGGATGCGGTAGCCCGCGAACGGGTCGCCAAAGACGTCGGACAGGTCGTAATAAAGGCGATCCGGGTCGAGAGTGTAGGCAAAGTTGGTCTGGGGTTTGCCCTTGAAGAGGCCGTCGGGCTCGCGCGTGATCTTGAGGGCGCGGCCGCCTGTTTTGGGGTCCCGCGTGTACTGCTCGGAGTACTTGCCGCCGCGGGCCGCGAGCGTGTGCGGGGGAGAGATTTCACTGCCAACGGACCACAGCGTGACATCAAAATTGCATTTGTTGATGACCCTGGCTCTGCCTGGGTCGGTAGCGGTGGCGAGGCCGGCGAGGGCGACGAGGGTGAGCTGCTTGAGCATCATGTTTAACCAGTGAAAGATTTGTAAGTAAGGGAGTTTAGGGTATAATGTGTGATGAGTTTGTTTCTACCAAAGCAACTTTCTCAAAACTTTGGGAGAAATCCCTTCCTTTATATACATGCATCTCGCTCGCCGAACGGCTTCTCTCAGCTGCCCGACTCAGCTCTTATGTCGCCGGATTTGTCGTGCTCGCCACACAAGTAAGGCTGAGCAGCAGACTATTACTTCATTGCTACGCATTCGGCTCGTGTACCGCATCACACCACTTGTGGACTGTGAGGTAGGCGGCGTTGTATTACGCTGCGTCAACGTGCATCTCCAAAGACCACTTCAGAGCTGCCTGCAGTCATCCCAACGGACCGAAATGTATCCGACTTCAGCTCTCGCAGGGCTGAAAAAAAAAAGAGGTGCCCTAGCTGAAGAAGGATTGCAAGACCACCTTGACAAACAGGTATCGATGACTCTGGGCAGCCGATTGGATATATTCAATCACATAGGTACCAAGCAATACTTGCGAGGCTTGGCAGGCCAAGCACGGCAGACGGTAGAATACGAGGTTCGATGCATCGCATGTCGGGGGGTCTCAAAGCTGAAAAGGGAAAGACTAGCTAGTTGGCCAGTATCGCGAGGTTGATGGAGGGGGTAGCGCCTCGATCATATTGCGCGGGCATGGCTCGAGTGTTGATCTTGGAGCATGGTGCGAAACTCTATACGACGAGGCTCTCGGGAAGGGTCACCTGCCCAGCCGTGTTACTGGAATGATGGTCGTCTAGCCGGATGGACCGGTTGACAGGCTCTACACGGCATCATTCATGTTGTGCCTCTTTCCGTCGTGCATGGCCCGGCAAAGCTCCGTCTCGCAATGATGCTTGCCGGGGAAGTATGCAGTCTCTGCACAGGCTGCCCGACGAGGCGATTCGGCCACACTGGGAACCCCGCATATTCCTGAGGGTGGCAGAGCAGTTAGAGTACACAACGAGGCTTAGTCTCGTAAAGCAGACTGCGTCATTGCGACAATTTTTTATTGAAACTTGATCCCAAGAAAATAAGAACAAGGAGAAAAGTATCCGAGTTAGAAAGAAAAATAAACATGTTTGCAAAAAGAGGCTCTCAGCTCGACGCACCCCTCCAGCTGAGACTCGAATGTTGGTGGCGGGGTAACTAACTTGGTTGGGTTGACAATAGGAAGAAGGAATGGAGGGGTAATGGGCTCGCTTCCGGAGCACCCTGAGAGTCTTGTTGCTAATTATAGATGCAATTTGCAAAGTCGCGTAGAAATTCATACGGGAAGACGTGGCTCGGTATTTTGTTCATTGAGGCGATATTCCTCATGCTCATGATGCACTTGTTTATTAGATGGCCACAGATCAGCTCTCTCGCCCGTCACATATCGTGTTTCAATAGCCGACCGTCCACAGGGCGTCTTTGTGCTATTGCAATACCTCACTTTTAGGCTCACAAAGTCTTTGATCAGCTCCTTTGCAAAGCTTATAAACTATTTACTCTTGTACAGCAAGATAGCTGCGATGAGGGGGTGCCAACTCGGTGGTACTTTGACTGGTTTAGTAGAGATACCGAGTCCACCTGTACACTAAGAATCAACGCTGAATGCATTGAATCTATAGAGTCATCTTGTAGCAGTGGGCATATGTGATTACTTGAGTCTTTGCACATCTCCAAGGCACGTCGAACTGGTCAATGATTCTGTCTAGTCGGGTGAAAGACGCCCGCAGAAGAATTCATCTCGATATGCTGTGCGTCTTCTTCAGTTCCTTGTAGAAAGCCTTGAAATAAACTCATCCAAAATATTCATATATATATAAAGAAAAAAGAAATGTAAATATCAGGTAACAATGTACCATAGCCTGTAAAGGCGGCAAATTCCTCTGCGGTTCAACTAGCTATGCGGCCGTTTACTCGCCGAAGCACGTAGCGGACGACTTTTCGCCATCTCAATCGCCCAACTCACACAGCCCATGAGTATCATACAAGGTGTCTTTGGCCACAGCGGAGATTGTAGATGCCTGCAACTGACATGTTTAAATGTATTCAGCCTAGACGAAATCTTTTTTTTTTCTCTTTCAGAGGCATCCATTATTCGACATCTCTCTTGACTAGAATGTCGTATAAAAGTGACAAGTACTACCTGGGCAGACGGCCACGCTTTCAATACCCGCACCAGATGCCCACTGATCGGCACTATTAGTACTAGCCAAAGCTTCGTCTAAACTAACATGAGAGCTTTATTCGTAGCTGTATACCATCGCTAGCATCGGCGACATATACTGTGTAGTAGCGACATCAAAGGGTCGCCTGCACGCCAAAATCTATCCGCCAGAGCAGACACTGGTCTTTACGCCGGCCATTGATCGAAACAATCAATTCCGCATTTAATAATTCATATGCAGTCATTGTGATTCCACTTCTCTCTATACATTCGTTCGACTTGTAAGTTGTAGTGTAATACGTAACCAGCGAGAATGGTAATGTGGCTTGGCAATGACAATGACGGGTACTCAAAGAGGCAGACACAGGGATAGGAAGTTCGAATCCTAGTCGACTTACATACCGCGCACTCATCATCAGCAATGACGGCGGTGCATCTTTGATTTGTAATACCATTGCATGCCATGTGGGTTCATCTGCAAGAGAAGCATATGCTAGCGGCATCAGCTTCAAATACACAACCACTATAAAAAGCCATTGCAGACCTCTAAAAAGATTGACCATTTCACAGTCCACTTTGTAACATACCTTTGGGGTCCATCATTCCCATCACCAATCCCAAAATGACTTCATCCCTTAAACCCCTCGTCCTCTGGGGCGTCGAGCACGGCCCCAACCCATGGAAGGTCGCCTTCGCCCTCGACGAGCTCTCCCTCCCCTACACGCACCGCATCATTGACTTTGCCGCCGTCAAATCCCCGCCCTTTACCGACCTCTGCGTCAACGGCCGCGTGCCCGCCCTCGAGGACCCCAACACCGGCATCACACTCTGGGAATCCGGCGCCATCCTCGAGTACCTCGTCGAGACCTACGACAACACCACCTCATCGCCGCAGCGCCGCCTCTCCTTTTCCCGCGGCACGCCCGAGTATTTCCTCGCCAAGCAGTGGCTGCATTTTCAAGTCTCGGGCCAGGGCCCCTACTTTGGCCAGGCCGTGTGGTTCAGCAAGTACCACGCGGAACAGCTGCCGAGCGCCGTGGAGCGCTACGTGAGCGAGATACGCCGCGTCACGGGCGTGGTTGACAAGGCGCTCGAGGGAAAAGAGTACCTGGTGGGCGGGCGATATAGTTATGCGGATCTGGCGTTTTTACCGTGGTTCATGATTGCGTATTCTCATTGGTATGCGAGGACGCAGCCGGGCATGTTTGCGGACAAAGTGTCGCTCGACGAGTTTCCAAATGTCAAGGCGTGGTTGGCAAGGATTCGAGCGCGGCCCGTGACGGCCAAGTCGCTAGAAGACAGGTTTCTGACGATAGAGAACCTTCACAAAGACACCGCCTAGGCCATGGGGGCATGATCACACACAGGTCAAGTAGAGAGACGTGAGGTTCAAATAAAGCAAAGACATTCACACATTGGACCTTGTTCATGTATTCATATATACTCATTATTAGTCCCTTACAGCTTCTGCTTACTGTTATTGGCGCAGTTGTCGACCTCGCAATAGGCCTTGAATGTCGTAAACTCCTCGTCCTCGCCTGTCGTCGACTCAAGCACCAGCTCAGCCGTGGAACCCACAAAGAAGACGTAACCTTCCTTCATTTCGTAGCTCGTGGGGCCGACGGAGATGGTGCCGGTGCCGTTTGTGCAAATGACGATACTCGGGCCATCGAGCGGCTCAAAGGTCGCCTTGGCGTCCGGGCCGCGCAGAACGCTGCGCACCACGGCAAACTCGTCAATGGGCGGGTCGTACAGGAGGACGGCCGAGCCGCTGCTGTAGCCGGCGCGGTTGAGGGTGGCGTAGGGGTACTCTGTGGGCGTCATTTTTTGCTCTTCAATGGGCGCGTAGTTGTACGTGAGCATGTCGACGAGGGTGGACACATCTTTGAACTTGGGTGTGAAGCCGGCGCGCACCACATTGTCCGAGGCGGCCATGCACTCCATGATGTCACCCGAGACGTAGGCGTGGATGTCGTCGGCGACGAGGAAGAGAGCCTCACCGGGTTGCATCTTGATAAAGTTGAGAAAGAACAAAACAAACAGGCCAATGTCGTCTTCGAACTGGCTGTCGAGACGGACCACGAGCTCAGCGAGCGTTTCGCCCGGGGTGGATTGCACACCGCCAGCGGCAAACTGATCCTTGTCCTTTTTGGCCAGCTCGACCAGATTCTTGACTTCGGTAGCGACCGCATCCTGGGAGGAGCCCATAAGGCCGGCAAACGCCTTCTTCAACGCCTGTTTCTTGTTTTCCGAACACGGGCCCTCGGGGTCCTCTTTAGCGATCTTCTCAAACTGGACCGCATTGTCCTCGCCGACGAGCCGACGCAGGGGGGGAAGGACGCTCAGAAAGTGCGCAATCTCGTGCGGGGGGCGGAAGCCGCAGAGGCTTTCAAAGGGAGTAATGGCAATGGCCATTTCGGGTTTGTGGTTGTCGTCGGGGTAATTTTTGGCATCGCGGGCGTGCAGCTGCTCGGCGAGCTTCTTGTTGGGGTGGGCCTGGATCGAGAGGGCCTTGTTGATGGAAAGGACCTTGAAGAGAAAGGGCAGCTTCTCGCCGAATCGGGCTGAAACGGTCGTGGAGAGAAGCGCCTGGTTCTCACCGATGAGCTCCAGGAGAGTTCGACCGGTCTGGACGTCGCGCGAGGGGTTGGAGGGATGGGTGCCCATCCAGAGCTGTACAAGAGACCCGCGTTAGAACACGAAAGCTCAAGAGCAGAGCAAACAAGGGAAGACCACAGATACGAGGAGACTACCAACCTCGGAGTAGGGCTTATCTTGTTGCACGGAAAAGTCGGCTGCCGGCGTCGCAGCTGCAAACTTGGCGGCGGCAGAGTCGTTGCCCTTTTTGCCCCATTCGTACGAGTTGACGCCGCACTGGAGGCGGATGAGGGGAACCTGCATGGCCGTGGTCGCGCAGGCGTTAACTTTGATGGATATGGAGAGGCTTTTTCCGTTTCAGATGAGGTCTTGGGATGGTTCAATTGATTAGCACGATGAAAAGAAGTGAACCAGGCAACCAGTTATCGGGAGAAGATGCAAGAACAAGGTGTAATTTGTGGCCATCAAAGAGCTACTGGTCGACTGGAGAGCTTCAACCCCGCCATCCGCCACAGCCCCGCCACGAACACGCGCCACAGGTTGCATCTAGACGCCAAACGGCTAACAAATCATAAAGCAGCGGATTTTTCTTCAAGGGAAAAAAGGATCCAAACACACTTCCCGCCTTGCATCAGCCTATCGGTCCATTCCATCCACCAGCTTTTGTCCCACATCGGCCCATCGACCACTTATATAAATATAAAGCTACCGATGTAATAGGTCCGTTCCGCGCCAGCCAACCATTGCCGTTCCCCTAGCTTGCCGCCACGCGCTTCGGGGCAGCACAAGTACACGACAGCACTGCGGGATCACCTTCCGGTTTGCTAATTCCCTTTTTTATTCCGTCTTTTGCGGGAAAAAGAGAAGAAAAAAAAAATCGCGGGCCGTTTTGCTTCTCCGTGATTCGGGATGCTTGACCGCTTTCCCGTGTCAAGGTTTTTTTTTGTCGTTGCACAGTCTCAACGCGGATCGGGCCGTTGTCAGTGACGAACTGGCACAACGGGGCTGATTCACGGGGCTGGTCCCAAGTATAAAAAAGGACGACACGACTCTTCTTTTCAAAAAATTTGGCTCGAATTTCACAACACTTTTTAATTTTACACTCGAGACTCGAAGAATCCCAAACCCATGACCGCTAGCAGATTACCTCCCTTGCCCGTCTTTGCCCATGACAAAATCCCACCCAAGAAAACTCCAACCCAAAAAAGGCCCATGATCAAGGCGCAGCAGATACCCTCCGACAGTAACATGGCCCTTTTTTCGGACCATGTGCGTTGACCGCGACATTATTAATTAGTAGGTTCCAGACGCCGCCGCGTGGTTGTTGACCATGTCTACACCACTACCGCCAGAGTGTTCCTCTCCGTTGCCCTCCGACTGCCCACCAGCGCTATTCCCATAGTCGTATTCGAAGTGGTTATGTTGCTGCTGGGTCTGGTTATGCCCGTTGCCACTGCTGCTCCCGTCACCACCGTTCAGGCCCTCGTCGTCTCCGTGCTGGCTACTACGACCCGACGCCGCATTCTCAGCTGGTGGCGGCGGTGTCGCCGTGTACAGGTCTGGCAGCCTCTCAAGCGACTGCGCAGCCATGCTGGTGGGCATCGCGGCCGTCCCGTAAGGCGACTGCTCATATCCCGTCCATACCGGGCTCACGCCGCTCGTGATGGGTGTCGTCGCCGGGGACGGGTACTGCTGCGGCGCTCGTGAGGCGGAAAAGACGGACGAGGGCGGCACGCCCCGCGAGGAGCCCAGCACCGTCGGCGGTCCGGGGAGCGATCGAGGTGTCGATGTCGCCATGGCGCCGTGTCCGTGCCCGTGCCCGTGCCCGTGGCCATACGGGTGGCTGTGGCCGCCGCTCGTCAAGCCCTGCGACAAGCTCTGCAGCGCAAACGCCCCGGCGTCGGCCATAGTTGCCGTCGTCGGTCGATCCAACAAGTCATTTTCTCCCTACGGAATGCGTTAGCGTTCCTTGCCAAAAGGGGAAAAGCGAGGGAAAAGGCAAGGTGAGAGCACAAAGAGAGAGCGCTTACCAAATAGCTTGCTTCCGGGCTCGGCATGCCGTGGTAGGACATGCTGTTATAGGGCATTCCATACCCCATGCTCGCTCCGCCGTTGCCGTGTGCGCCAGTTCCGTGGCCGCTACCGTCGCCATATCCTCCGCCAGCAGCGCCTGGAGCCCAATTATACATGACGTTGCTCGGGCCGCCAAAAGCACTCGTGGATGACGCACCGTACAGGGAGGAGTGTGCGGGAGGCGCGGAGACGGACATGTTTGGTCCGATGGATGCCGCGCCGCGCGATTGGTATTGGCGACAGGCGTCCAGGTCGTAGCTAAAGGTGTTGACAGTAGCCGCCGCCGCCATTCGCTTCTCGTGCTCCTTTTTGCGCATCTCCTGGTAGCACGTGTCAGTTTTATGGTCTCATCTATCGGCCGCCATGAAGAGACCGTTTGGCAAAAGGTCGAGGCACTCACAGCTAAGGAACCTGCCTGAACTCGCATAAACCGGCATTCTGGTTCATTCGCATTCTTGCAGTTGGTGCATGAACCACCGTTTCCGTCGTCTCCGCTGCATCGGATTTTGCGCTTTCGGCATCTCATGCACTAAACAACATGCCCGGGTTAGCATTCAAACAACTGTTGAACTGAGGGGCACGGCCAAACTATGGACTTACAGCGACGACGACTCTCTTGCGCTCTGGGTCACCTCCCTGGCTCTGGCCGTTTTGCGTCCTCCGGTCACGAGAGGAACCCGCCGCAGAGCTTATCTGGTTTCGACGTCTGACCAGCGAGGTTTCGTATGGGTTTCCCGTCCGGGTAGCGTACCGTCCGCTGCCGCCAGACGTCGGAAACATGCTACCGCTGCCGCTGTTGAGATGGGGCCGGCCGATGCCGCTGCTGCTGCTGTTGCTCGTCGTGGGTGAGGTGTGCGCCGCGTTGGTGCCGACTGCGGCGGCGGCGTTGAATCCCGCGGCGTTGAAGGGCCAGGTGCTGGGATAGCCGCCGCCGCCGGCACCCTGCGAGGTGTTGTTGTTGGCGTTGGCGTGGCTCGACATTTCGTTGAGGGGAAATGGCAAGGGATGCCTCTCGCCGAGGCTAGGGTATCTTGAGAAGTTTTGGTCGTTGGTGGTTGACCGTTTGCTTCTCCTCTAACCGACTCGCAGTCAGAGACAAATAAAAGGCAGGAAAAGGGAACTAGTTGTGGGCGGGATCCGGGTGGGAAAAGCGGGAGAGGCTTTTTGCCAAGCGGGTAGGAAATGAGGCAAATCGAGGATGAGGAAGGGCAGTAGCTTGTTTTGGTTCGGCTAACGAGAAAATAGTTGTTGTGTTTTTGTTTGGTTCTTTCTTTCTTTCTTTAAAAAAACAGAAGCTCCAATATCTTTTCAAAAGTTCTCGAGTTGCCCTTTGTAGAGATGGTCTTGTATGTATGTGCTTTTGGCGAGTAGGTGATGATGATATCGGGACGGGAGGGCAAAGACCGCAGGAACCCGGGAGATTTTATACTTTTTGTCTCTCCGGAAGCTCAATTGAGCTCTGGCTTTTCGTCGACAACGGCTCTTTCAGCGCAATAACGGTCAAGGACCGCCCCAAAATCAACCGCCTGTTTGGTTTGTCCTCCACACACAACCCAGCATCGATCTCCCGGCCCACACCCCCCCCCCCCTCTCCGTCGTCACTGCTTCACCCCCCTGGTCGTTGTAAGATGATACGTAAATAATGAAATAAAAGAATAAAAAATAAAAGAGATAATAAAAATGGTCCCAAATTGATGCTTGGTCATTGCGTCGCCGCTAAAACCACTGCTGCTGTTGATCGAGTTGCAGTGCGTACAAGAGAAACGTTGTGCTAGCCCACTTACACCGCGGCGCGCGTGTGCAGCACCAACAATGGTATTCACACCCCCCTCCCCCCCCCCCCTCCCTTCTGCTGTCGATGGTCTTGTGCAACTACTTCTTCTACGAAAGGTGTGGGAAAAAAGATAGAGGCGGAATTAGAGCGCCCCATTAAGTGCAAGAATAAGATCAGTTTCAGAGTTTACTTCTGTATTCTTCTGGCGAGCGACCCAAGTAACCAAGGGTAACACGACCAGACCAAGAGGGCGGTGGGCAGCGCCGGCGAGCCGCAGTGTTGGACAAAGGAAGAGCCGGACGCATGGCAGCCCTGTTTTTCCCTTTCTCTCTCTCTCTCTCTCTCTTTATCTCTCTCTCCCTGTGTCTCTCTCTATCTCGACCCCCCCTGCTCCTCTTTACCGACCATGGGCTGAAGAGGAGAATGTTGCGCGACACCTTGGGTCCTAATTATGGCAACCGAGAAAGGTACATTGCCTGCATACAACTTGTATGTTTGCAATTCTGGTACGTGCCCGTCTCTCGATCCGGGTTCTTCCCCCCTCCCCAATTCCTCTCTATCTTTACCTCTCCCTGCTCCTTCCTTCCTTCCTTCGACTTTTTTTTTTCGGCTGGGCAAACAATCTGCGTATCATGTCTGTGATTGTGATGGCGCACCCACAGCCTTGGATCCAGCTTTTCAGCAACCCCCCCCCCCCCCAAAAAAGGGTTCAAAGATAACTAAAGAAAGCAAAGGCAAAGAAAAATGGCCCAGCGCCAGACCAATAGTATAGCACAATGGGGGACAAAAGAAAGGGCCCTAACCGGTATTACAGCACAGTCCACAACGACCATCCAGGTCGACAACACAGGCCGCCGTCTGGTAAATGTACGCCATCACTCGCCAATGAGAGAAACCAATGAGAGAAAAAAAGATGAGGAAACCTCAAAACAGCTAGTGCGTTAAAAGAAAACGAAAAGAACCTGTGGTACAAATAAGCCAGAAGCTGCGCTCTTCGCTGCCAGCGCCTAAAAGCAGGGGGGGGGTTGTCGAAGAAATATAAAAAAAGATTAAAAATAAGAAAGCGAAAGAATAAAAAGGTGGCTTGTGGCGGCGGGCGGTGCGCTTGTTGTGGTGCATCTTTTTTTTTTTTGGCGAGAGGCGTCGTTATCGCCAGGGATGTCATCGCCTATACCGAGAAGCCCGCACATGCACATCATCCAATACGATTGAACCCTGGGTTCCCATGTCCTGTCCCCGGCCTTCCGCTCCTGTCTAAATCCAAGATTCGCTTTCTAGATCAGATTTACAAATACACACACACACACGCACGCGCACGCGCGCCCCGAGATTCTCATCCGTCCTCATCGTCCTCGTCGCCAGAATAATTATTTTTCCCGCCCATTCTGCAGCCCAATTCTAATGACAACTAAAAAAGAATCCAAAAAAAAAAAAAAAAGAAAGCATCGACCATGTCCCGTCTCTTCTTGGCCTTTTCTCGTCCTCTTTTGCATACGACTTGACCATTTTTGCCTTTATTCGTTTGCGTAACCTCATTTCAGGACCACGCTCGCGCCCCCGCCCCCCCCCCTTCTCCCCATCCCTCCCCTCCCCTCCATCTCATCACCGGGGAAGCGCGGAAAACTAGGGTACCCTCTTTCGTTTCTTCAGCACGTTGCCGAAGATGGTCTGGGGTGTTGTATGTCTCTCTTGTCTGTTGACGTCTTGCCCTCTGCGGCCCTTGCATGGCCCGCCGTCAAACCTTGTCCCTCAAACGCTGTTACAAGGGGAAAAGAAAAAAAAAGGCCCCAAAAGTTCAGCCTTGGGGGAATGAGAAAGGGGCAGCAATGATTCAGATTTCGAAAATCACAGACGCAAATATCCCATGCGTCTTGCACACATCGGGCGGTCAAGGGGGGACCCCCCGGTTCTGATTGCTTTCATGCACGTAATAATGCATCCAGACGACGGACGGCACACAAAATATGCACAGCATTTCTCAATCAATCCTTATCCATTCACTCTAGCTACAATGGGAAAGAACATCTAGACATCTGGCAAGCAGAGAATAACCAGAAACAACAGCAGAACCTGGTTCGCAGTCAGCGCTGAAGAGTCCATGTGATTGTGACATCAGCCGCAGTCTGCCCAAACCAAACAGCAAACACACCGCCACGTAATGAGACAATTCCCCTCCAAGGAAAAAAAAAAGGCTGCAGAGAGGCCAACCCAAATCATCTTTTTATTCATTCACCTAGTCTCGTTCTGGCTCAATCCCTTCGAGTCTGATAAACCTCACCGTTGTGCGCTGCGCCTTGTTGTTTATTACACAGCATCAAACCATCCATCGCAAGACTCTACAAATGCAGCCACTCTCTCTCTATCCTTTGTTCAACACCGACTTGCACAGGTGTATTCCCCCGCAGCGTTACACCGCTTTCAACACCGTATCAACTCGAACCCTCGTAATAGAGGCAGATGAGAGTTTCGGTCGAGTCCGCCTCAAGTTCGTCCACGCAGCCGGTCGCGGCTCACGAAAAATTGATGATTCATGGCAACACAGAGGCAGCACACGAGCATCCACAGCAGGAAGACCCCCCCCCCCCCCCTCGAATGTAGCAGACCCCAGTGGCACAGCGTCTAATTCTCGCTCTCAGATAGATTAAAGGGCGAGCACAAGGCACTATACACCAACGTTTGACAAAACCAAAAAAGGCTCCGATGGCGTGCAGCAACAAAGAGGGTCGCCGCTTCTTTCTTCCCAGGCAATCTGCAAGTCGGCCGCGGCTACCACGCTCTCTGCATCTCTTCTTAATCATCTTTTCCTTGCCTCTCCCGTGAGTTTTCACGTCAGTATCCCCGAGACAAATGTTACACTTCTATACCGCCAGTATGGTTCGGGGTCCGGCTGACCGAAAATCGCCTCGTTTTCTTTGTTCCTGGTCTGCAGGTGTCACCGCCCTGAGAGGGCTAGATCCCAGGAACAAAGACCTGCCATCAGTTCCCCGGCGCTGCAGAAATGTACAATTCGCCCCCAAAAAGAAGGCATCAGGAGAAGTGAGGCAGAGGCTTCTCCCGCCGACGCATTCTCCCTCTAGGGCCGCTGCCAACCTGTCAGGGGTGCTTTCCTCTGACCGACACGACACGTCGTGTCTGTATCGCTCTGGATGGCGCGCATGTCAAGGGGCGACTAGTCGTGACGTGTCGCTTTTCTGTCCTTCTTTCCCCTCTCCTGTTCCTCCATCTGGAAGAACATCTCTTTTCTCCTCGTCCAGCTCAACTCTGCGCCCAACGCTGCCGCCTCTTTCTCTCTTGCCTCCTCCACATCATGACTTCATCTTGCCGAAACTGTTCATTTCCTGATACATCCTAGCGCAACGAGCACAAGAATCGTTTCGTCCAAAATACAAGGCGAAAAAAGAGCTCAGCGATGTGGATTCTGTATCGCGACTGGCCATTGACAATGAGGCAAAATTCTCCATGATGCACGTAGCCGTCCTCAGTGGTACAGCCCGACAAGGCTTCCCTTCATCTAGCGAGTGTGCAGGAGACTTGCAGGAGGGAATCGCTCCCGGGGGCTGCGGGAGGATTGGCCCGGCGCGCGCTTCATTGCTCAACGTCAGTAACTCTGCCTGTACACTGAATCCGTAACAGTTGCCAACAAGGTGCCGCATTCACTGACGTAGCTTCACATGGTCCGTCACCGCTCGCATCTTCTTTACATGCCGTAAACCTCTCGCTACGAGAGCTTGCCTCGACGATTGTGTGACTCAAGTAACGGTTCCTTTCGTAAAAGGTCTCATTTAGCCTCTCAGGCAGCAGTTCCCCAACATCATCACCAACACAAGTACGGGCCGTGCCAAGGTCAATGGCGACTCCACCTCAGTGGTCTGTTGACTTCTTTGTGCCACGCTGCAGGCTATTCTCTCACTCTCAATTGAAAGCAGAGAAGCGACCCCAGAAGATGAGCCTTTGCATTGATGAAACAGCCCCAGTCGAATATCGACTAGTGGTTGCAGAATTGCATCAGCCTAGATGAGTCTCTCTCCACGGCATCGTGTAACGACTAGTTCTCCATGTGGAAGCCACTACTGGTCGGCCCGTAACTGGGACGAGGTAATGAACAGCTGCTTCTGTTCGTATACCATGAAGCACACGCCTTTCCTGGGCTTTGCGTCTTTCTGTGCAACGCACGAGGGCGCGGTCGCGGGCGCAAATACACGTCTTGAAGCCTGACGAAAGCGAAGCAATGCCCAAGAAAGTCCCTCTGCACCTTGCAGCGTTACGCAGAATCAGCACGCAAAGACGCCTCGCCAGCCATGATTCGACGCAAGCTGGAAATGAGCAAAGGGAAGCAGTGGGGGGGTCTTTGCAATAGCGCTCTGGCGGGGGAGTTTCGCGACGCAAAGCCACAATGGCACTGCATTTTCTGTATCTGAGCCACTGCTTACGCTGAATCATTGAGAAGCATACTGTGGTGCACCCCACGGTTGTAGATAGCCCTCTGCACTAAGCGCCCTCGTGCTTTGGTATCCCCTGGCACCGTAGAGAGGCTCTTTGTCCTCAAAGGTTCCAATTAGATGATAATGTGGTCGACAGTGTTCAGGTGGTCTAGTTGAGGGATTTAGATCATTTCGATCAAAGGTTGCGCCGAAATTGCCTGTTGTAGTTTGGCCTCTCTACGAGGTACACTGTGGAGGAGATGAACTCGTAATCTGGCGCAAGTTCTTCATCTCCGTCTGTCATCTCGAGGTCTATCATGGTCCCGATCTCGGCGGTAGTAGTCTCTACGATGATCATCTCTCCTACGTCCATCGTCGCGCCTGCTTACACGATCACCGTGTCGACCGTCTGGACTGCGGTCTCGCCTGCGAGGGCTTCGGCTTCGGCTTCGGCTTCTTCGGCGAAGGTCCCTGTCCCGATCCCGGCTCGTCTTGAGTTCGCTGAGAGGAGCTCCGTCGACATTCTCGCCGTCCCGGCGACGTCCATCATCAGCTCCAGAACGTTCGTGTCGACCCCGCATTTCCTCGTTTCCGTATACCATGCCGTAGCTCCTTCCCGTAGGCCGATCAGCTTCCTCCCTGTACTGTCGGCGCTTCTCGAGCTCGTCCACGCCACCCCATCCACCGCGTGATGCATTGGCTCTACGCTTGTTGTTGGCATTCTTTCGCCAGACATCACTGATTCTGCTGACACTTTGAGAGAAGTCGACATGGATGCGGCGGTCATCGATAAGAACACCCTGCATCTTGAAGTAGGCAGTTTCGCAAGATGCTTTTTCGTCGTATTCGATAAAGGCATATTGTAGTGAGTCGCCCGTCTTGGCATCGCGAATGACCTCGCAGCTGAGGATCTTGCCAAAACGACCAAAGATGAGCTCTAGGTCCTCGTCGGCAGTTACGGGGTTCAGTTTGGCCACAAAGAGAACGTTCTCTGGCGGCCGAACCTCTGCAAACGGCAAGTCGCCCATCATCTCCAGAGTGAGCGCTTGCGCGTTCGCCTCGCGTTCGCGTCTTTTACGCTCGAGCGTCTCTTCATCAACGCCGTCATCTTCGTGAAGGGCTGCCTCGTCAGCGATGCGCACCGTCTTGAGCTGCTCTTCTGACGGCGGAGGGCTGGCGCTGGGCTCACGGAGACGGTCGGGGTCTGGATAAGGATCATCGAGGATGACGGTATGCTTTATGCGAATGTCGACGAGCGGGTAGCCCTTGTCGTCAACAATGGCGTCGTTGATCTTTTCCAGTGCGTCAAAGCCCTCAACGACCTTGCCAAAAATGGCGGCCTTGCCGTCTAGGAAATCGGTATCTTCGCCGAGTGTGATGATGAACTGGGACCCAGCCACCCGGGTATCAGGGTCAGAGGCGGATGGGGCCGTGGCCATGCTAACCGTGCCACGCTCCAGATGCTTGAGCTTCGGGTGGAAGAGGGCGGGAAAGGTGCGTTCGCGCGGATCGCGGGATATGTTGCCCCATATCGATGAACCGCCATCGGAAGCTGTCGAGAGTGGGCCAAGAGGGTCGCCGGTCTGGAAGGAGAAGTTCTTTTGGACGGAGTGAACGGGAGAAAAGTTGTAATATTTAGTTTTGCAGAGTTTGAGGAAGCTAGCTCGTTAGTACTGGATACAAGACGGTGGGGTTATTAGATCTTATAGTGCATACTTTTCGCAGAGCTTGGGCGCATGCTCAACGAGCAAGTCAATGACAATGTCGCCAACGGTGGTCTCGAGGAGAACCGACATGGTGGCGTGTTTGCGCGTCCTGCTGGATTGCTTGCGTAGTTCACGAGGAGAAGTTGACGGCCCGTTCGCCAAAGTAATCAAAATAGATGAAGAATCAAGGACCGCAGCAACGTCGATATCGCCAATATCGCGACGAGCAAACAAGTTCGTTGCAAGATGATATCTCGACGTCAGAGGACAAAATGATGAAGAGCCGAAGTTCAGCCACCAACTTTTCTTTGGTGTTGCCATTTTTGGAAAGCTGATAGCCCCACCCGGTCGACGGGCTCCACACCAGCAAGCAAGGCGCTGGGCGCCAACGCCATCTAGACTCGAGTCTCCATCGGCCGCTCAAGTGAAGTTGACAATTGACTACCGTTGGAGATGATCGTATTCTTTATTAGTTGGCTACATGAATTGCTTTGGTGGCGCTAAACATGCGCAGAGGTAAGTGTGTGTGGTGCAAAACGGTGACTTGGTCATTAAGCAGTCTACCTAATGCAACTCGGACTCTTCAACTGTTTCAGTCGCACAGACATCAACAATGTCGAGATGAGTGTCAAAATATATAAACAGACAAACAAAGTAAAGCGACACTTTTGGCCATGTTGACCCAGTTACGTGACGCCCTCCACCCGAATAAAAGAACAAAGAACAAATGATTTCGCTGTGCAAAGTGTTATTGGCCAAGCTCCGTCGCAGAGAGTGCCTTCGCAAATGTGTCCCAGAAACGCCAAATCGAGCAATGCATTAAAAGTGGTAGTACAATTTTGAGCGGATGTACATTATCCGCTGTTGAAGAAGATGCCGATTTGGTTATTATTTCTCGACGTTCAGTTTTGGGGTGAGGTGCCTATTCGCGGCAGGGTGAGCTGCGACGGCGACGACCAGAGCGCAGCTCCTTCTCGGCCTCCATGAGGCGGGTTTGCGTCCACATGCGTATGGAGCTGTCGGCGCGGACAATGTCGCAGTTGAGCATCTCGGTGAGCGCGCGTTTGATGCTCTCGTTGACGTCAAAAAGGCGCTGCTCCTCGGCGGAGATGGCCTGCAGGGTCTCCTCGTCGGGGATGGTGTCGAGGACGGCGGAGCCGCGTCGGCTGTCGGTGGCCCAGGCGGAACAGCGAGACTGACCACTCCGAGACCTCTTTCGGGGAGAATATCGGGTGACAGGGTAGGAGAGGGACGGCTCGGCGCGGTTGGGTGAGGATTCAGGCGACGAGGTGGTAGAGGCACCGCTGCAGAGAGAGGACTGGCGAGGGCGGATCTGCTCGAGGTGGGTGCTGAGCTCGGCATGCTGCTCCTGTAGAAGCAGGTATTTTTGCATAGCAAAAGTGTAGTTGTGAGGGGCAGGCATGATGATTGTGGTTAAACTAGGCGTATGGAATCGGGGCGTGAAAGATGCGGTGACAACCGTGACGGACCATCGGAGGCTTTTCGTTTGCAGGCGATGCGATTGAAGCAGGCCGAGATGTTGTTGTTCTGCCGATAAGAGATAATAATTTTGGGGTAGCCGCAAATAATTCTTGGGAATCAAAGCAAGCAAGATGAAGATAGGGAGCAGAGGGAAGATATAGGAAACAAGTAAAGGGTGAAATTTGAGTTTGGGAGAGGCGCGCCAACGATATTAAAGCTGATTGAACCAGTTGCTGGTCAGGAGAAGGAGACCGGCTGGGGTATCCGGGGCGGCGAGGTAACTAATTTTCCCCCACTGTAGGCGTTTGGAAGGAGCCCAAGCCCAGCGCGCTGTGGCTTGACAGAGCGGATAAAGGTGAGGCAGTTGGCGTTTTTCCGCTGGGGAAAGTTGGTAATGGTGACGTTTGTGATTAAAGCACGATCGGCGTTTGTACGACAAGAGTCGGTATGAGAAGTTGAATTTGCAAGAGAGAGACACTGCAATTAGCAACGTGGCGAGAGATTTTTCTTCCTCTCGTTTTCTAAACATGGAGCTTATCAGCGAGGGCAGACGCTGCTTTTCTAATAATATTAAGTATAACAAGAGGGTCAAGAGGGTGTGGCCACTGGCCAGAAGGGGGTGGGAACTAATTGCATGCTAGTTAGCTGAGGCGCCGGTAAAAAGCACACACCTCCCTCCCTCTGCCACTAACAATCACTGGCCTGAGAATTATCAAAAAGACGACAAAGAAAAGAAAAGTCTAACTAGCGTGCAGGTGCAGCCTACGAAGTAGTGCAGGAGACTTTTGGAGGGGGTCGATGGCCATCAAGACACCAAATGTGCGTCGGTGTGAGTGGGCATGCAGGCGGTTGGTGAGAGATTCTTTCAGCGTCAAGAGCGTATCTGCAGTGCTGAATGTGAATGACATGGCCATGACGAGGCACATGGCACGAAGATGGGTTTGTTCACGTTTTTTTTTGCTTGAATTAAAGGGTTACATGGACATTGCTGGGAATGATAATAGGTAGCCGTCGCCATCCATGGGCAAGTACGTACTTTGTCGGTCTGAGGCGCTGGCAGTGGTTTGTTGTAGACGGCACAAGGGAGAAGCATGTGCTTTCATCATGGATTGCGTGAGCGCGTACAGATTTGCTGGCAATTTTCTGCAACATCACAGCAATTGGAGTACGAAGAGGACCACAAGGTCCATCAAACCTGGTTCTGGTACGGAGCCGAGTTCTCCATTGCTCTCTAATTGGACAAGTTCCAGCACTGATCCCCAGGCAGGCACCTCAAGGAACACAACAGCGCCTGTGAGAGCCAGGTCGTTAGCGCGCAAGTCCACTGTAATACCTTGTCTGTTGCCCCACTGGGCCGCAGTACTGAGTAGGTAGCTCGGTAGCCACTCATCAGCCACCACTCGTCAACCGCTGCAAGAACTTGGCTGCTCAAAGTCGGCACAAACAAAAGCTACCACCACTTTTCATCGCGATCGATTGGGGAAGAAGTTACCAAGCAAACGGGACAGACAAGAAGTCAAGAAGCATGCACACACACCACCACACCTTGCTGTGGCGTGACAACTGCACGCCTCAACCTTGTCAGCTTTCTGTCTCCCAATCAAGCTTTCGAAAAAGGAGCAATGCGCAGGATAAGGGCCCGATGCAAACGCAACGCGCATACCTCGAGCAATCAATTAATTCAATGTTAGGGAACGGCTCCCGTCGCTCCCGCGAAATGGACCAATTTCGATGCCACAGCGACCTTACTAGCCCCAGACCGGCTTGCGATGCAATCCATCCCTGATTATAAGGTAGGCAGTTACTAAATTTATTGGTGGACGCGCCGCTAAAGAGCAGGTAGATATAGGCAGGCAGGTCTTGATAATTATGTACTGATAGTACCGCATTCCACCATCGCCCGCCCTGACCCGGCTTAGCACCACCACACCTCTTACAAGGGTTCGGCGCCCGGCGAACGGTCGAGACGGTCTCGAACCTTTTGGGGTTCCATCCAAGACAGAGTGCAGCGCCAAAAAGTAATCAATACTACCTCTTCGCACTTATAAGTGAAGCTAACTAATCCGGCTCTTCTGCCTCCACCTTGCTAGCCGAAGCTACCTACCAATGTTCGCAGAAGCAAAAACGACGGGGGCAATGTTGGGCCAAAATTGGGGTAAAAGGACAGACGAGCGAGCCGGCTACATGCATGCAACAAACACCATAATGTGAGGGGAAGTGTCTATTTATCCAATCCGTCGCCGACACGGGGAGTGAGATTTGGAGAACTGCATGAAGCACATCTCGCTCGGTACTAGTAAACACCGCCGAATTGCTGCGTTGGTACCTGACCTCGGGCCCGAGCTCAACTTGGCGGGATATCAGTAATTATTATAAACGGCAATTGCAAATCGCCTTGGTTCCTGCTTCGCCTTCATGTTGAGTCACACTCCAGCCCAAAAGGCAGTATGTGGTGAGCTAAAAGCCGCTCCAGCTGTCAATTCTAGGTAGCCAAGACATGTAGAGAATCAGAAAGCCTGTGACAATGCATCACGAAAAGGTCCACACTTGGAAGAGTCGACAATACGATGGTGGCAAAGATATCAGTTCATTACTCTTCACAGGAAGAAAACTTTCGGCACGCCTACTTCAACGCCCTCAAGGAAATCACCTCCATAGACTGGCATCGCCGATATGACGATCATGGCCTCTTCTCTGCCCTCATCTTAGTTACACCATGTCAGCCAAGTGGCATCCTTCGTACTGGTAGCCTCAACGACTGATCATCGTCGCCGCTGCCGCGCCGCATCACCAAAGACCACACACGTGGTGTCGTGCATTCACCGCTTGACCGCCTTCTCCTCCCATTACCCAGCCGCATGCCGCGTCAACGTGTCTAATATGCAGCCGGCGTGCATGCAGGCTAGAGGCGTCGTCCGGCATTGCTCACATGGCCACAATTGGATGTTCTTGATCAATAAAAGCAACGCATTTGCTTCGGCTTCGCGGGCCCTTTTTTATCCCTTCCCACTCAGCCTGCATGATGCAGAACTCGAGATCCCCGCAGACTCAGCGCAACCGGCAATCCCCTCGTTTTGCCATCTTGAATGGGATTACGGATGGACATCTGTGCCTGTCAGGCAAACACCTTGCAAGCTTGGGGCCCGAAACTAATGGTCTTTGCGTTCATAGTGGACATTTGTTAAAAGGTAATTCCCCGTAGACGCGGCTCCAAAGCCACCCCCCAAGGCCCCAAACCCCAAACCGCTCTCTGAGCAACGCTTTCTTCTAACGTTAGAGACAAAGCGCTGTCTCCACACTTGGCCTCAACCTCAGTGCTCACCACCTCCTTCGCGCGTTAGGTGGAACAACCTCTCTTTCTCTAGTCTCAGAGGTTTGACACCCGCAAAGGTCAGCCGATTCGTCAATGCGTCTCTCCTCACTGACTGTCTCATGACGGCGCTTGATGTCACTCTTGCCGACCCGTCGCATGCAAGCAGGGCATCAAGCTCGAATCAAGCCTCGCAATCTCGATCTCGCCAACTTGTTGAATTGCCCGGCACACCGGGTCGAGGAAAAGCATGGCAGAAAATCTTACTCACATCACTAATTACCAGACTCTGCTTCTGCAGGGTCCCATGATCCGGGAAAGAACTGGAGCATCATTATCTAGGGACAATAGCTCCGGGTTGACCAAGGACGCGCAGCCAGTCAACCAGGGCCATACCAAGGGACGCCGTTGCCACTACGCAGTCCATGACGCCATGCATACGGTCGAGGTCCCTGACCATCAGTGCATCACCATTCTGCCGTACCATTGTTGGTTTTTTTTTACTTTGAAAAGTCTCTTTTCAATCTCTTATGATCCTTCTTTGATGGGGCAACAATTGATACTTTATGGCAACGAGAAAGAACGAAGAATGATGCTGCAACGTGCTCAAGGCGCCTGCGCGTGACGGCATTCACAGGTCATCATACGCGTGTCAGGACTGTGGCACAGCGCAAACAAGCTTGCAACTTGGCCGTTTCGCCACGATCAACGTAAAACACACTTTGGCTTTCCAGCTGTCCCCTGTCTAACGGCTATCGCTGAAGTATGCACGGCATGGTGGTGGGCTCAAATTGCTTTGCACAAAGTGCCATAAACGCCAACTCGTGGTAAGTGTGTCAGTGTGATGTAAACAGTTTCTCATGTTGAACTGTAGTACCAACTTCATGTACGCCACAACGTAGCGTCATAACACCCAGCCTGTTTTTCATCGCAATCATGTAAACGTTGAGAAAGCCCCTGTCCTTGCAGAAATTCCTCCCGTCCAACCGGCGCACCTTCAATACGAATATCGCCGCGCCCAGACTCGTGGAGCCAGCATTGTAGCTGATTACACGCAGCAATAGTACGCGTGCTAAAGAACATTCTCGACAATTCATGTTGCTATTTCGGGCTTTTGTATTCACCAACGCCCGTGTGGCACTTTCCTGCATCCTTCGATGTCCAGCTCAGCAACACTACCAGCGTCAGAGCTGAACCGACGGCCGAGCGTATCTGCATCAGGCATTAATCAGGTAAGCTCGGGCACATTAATAACTCACACCATCTCGGGCTAGAAGCCTCATTAGGCGCAGTCGCGGCTCGACTTTGATTGTCAAATGTCTAGGGTAATAAACACCCCAATACTTGAACCTCATGTTGTACAACGGTCAACGTGCTACTGTGTGACACTTGTCCTCGTGATGCAAGAGAAGAGTCGCCTATCGTTTACCAAACACCTCTTTTTGGAACTGTATAGATGTCACGCATGACAAGTCCTTGTTGCCAACTAGGCAAGCTCTCTTGGCTCGGTTTTGCACACCAATCACTTTTCCCGCGCCAGCATCATTCTTGGCCCAATCCCCGCAGTCCCATTCGCATCATAATACTCTGCTTATCTTGCACGCCCGAATTTCCACCGCATCACTGTAGAACGGCCCCGTCTGCTTCCCGCGCGGGGTGACGCCGTATCGTAGGTCCTGCACCGCCAGCTGATTCTCCTGGCACGCCTCCAGAAACACCGAAAACGTCGCGTGGTTGCGCTGCGTCGCCGCAAGGTAAACCTCCACACTCGGATATAGTGCAAACAGCTCCAGCAGTGTCGCGACCAGCGCGGGGATCACGCTCCTGTCGTAGGTGATGTCGGCGCCGAGCACCACGTCCACGTCGCGACCGCCGTTCCACTGCGCCTCCTCGGTACCGACGAGCGCGTGGCCCCATTTGAGATCCATGGGAGCGATCCGTCTCGAGGCGCTGGCACCCTGCAGGCCATTCAGGAACAGACTCTCTGTGAGATTGTGCAGGACGTCATCGGAGCCGTCGGACGCGATGACATGCGCGGCCTGCAGATGGCGCGCGCACAAGATCGACAGGTAGCCGGTGCCGGCGCCGAGCTCGAGCACGCGACGGTCGCGCACGAGAGCCGGACGCGTGCAGAGGTACTGGCCCAGATGCAGCGCGGCCTCCCACGTCCGCAGGCCCGTGGTGCCGCCCGCCGAGATGAGGGAGCGGTTCTCGAGCAACGTGATGGCTGGCGGCGGCGACGCGGCCGAGGCAGACGGCGGTAAAAGAGACAGCGCGTAGGTTACGTAGCATTTCTGCTGCGCCGAGTCGACTTCGGACGGCAGTCGCGTGGCGAGGAGCAGCGCCAGGGCCGTCATGAGGTCTTCAGAAAGCGCCTACGAAGGTGGAGAACGAGTATCAGACGATGCTTGATGTCTACGGGAAGGTTGTTGGGCAGCCGGCGACGTGTTGCTGCTGTTATAGAAGCAACTTACATGCTGCTCCCAGTCATCTATGCTCCTCTCAATGGCTGCTACCAGGGCTTTGAGCAGGCGTAGCTGATAGCGCGGCGGCGGCGCATAGAGCACACTGTCGGAGAACGCGCCTTTGTAAATCGCTTCTTGCACGTCATGTAGCTTGAGATACTCGGCCGGTGGCAGGTCCGGCTCTGCTTCTAATTGCAGATACTGATGACAGAATCTATCCACAGAAGCCTGCCAGGGCGCCATGATGACTACATGAATCGAGGTCGTGTCAAGTCTTTGGCCGCAAAAGATAGTCGACAAACAGATCGTCCAAGGTAAGTTAGAGTGCCGACTAACTTTTTTTGACAGGGATGTGCCCCACCTTATCTAATCCAAGGCCGGGGCGAGCCTTTTGGCATGTACACGTGACTTGTACCGCACTTGCTTAGGGTTGGACCCAGTTAAGCGACAGAGAGCGGGCCCAAAAAAATTCGTTAGGAGGAGTGAGTGTGTGCGTATTGGGGCCCCTCCGGTGCGTGGTGCCTAGCCCTGATATCCACGGCCATTGTATTTGCAACGCCTTTCCCTTCCCTTCCCATCCACCACAACCCCCATCGACAACAGCAACCATGGCGGACAACGACAGCCCCGTGACGCTTCGCACTCGCAAGTTCATCCGCAACCCTCTGCTGGGCCGTAAGCAGATGGTCGTGTGAGTTTGACCCCCCCTTATACCCGCCTCGAATGATTCGGATACCCGGCCGCGGCGCGACCAAGAGAAGAATTTTCGGTTACTCGAGACGGCGACGGCAACGACGAAATTGATGTGTAGGAGACGAATTGAGCGACAACTACGGTCGCAGCAACGACTTTTGTGGCCGCTTAGACGTTGCAACTTTTCAATCGACAGAATTTCGATGCGCAAGACATGCATCCAATTCGGTAGCTTGGCCAACGTCGGAACAAACGTCACACAACGCAGCCCATCATCCGTCCTCGTCGATCGACTGAAATTCTTCTCTTGCCGCGTCTGGATGGCAATGCCGATTTGGTTCACACGTTCTTGTATATGTGTGCGCGGCTGCTAACCTCTGGCCAGTGACATCCTCCACCCCGGTCGTGCTGGCATCTCCAAGGACGAGCTCGCCGAGAAGCTCGGTGGCATGTACAAGGCCCAGAAGGACCAGATCTCCGTCTTTGGCCTCCGCAGCCAGTATGGTGGTGGCAAGACCACCGGCTTCGCCCTCGTCTACGACTCGCCCGAGGCCATGCTGAAGTTCGAACCCCGCTACCGCCTTATCCGCGTCGGCAAGGCTACCAAGCCCGAGCGTGCCGCCAAGCAGCAGCGTACGTGCTATCCTTTGCTTTTTTTCGTGGTGTTTTGGGTTGATGCCGGAATATTCCCGTCATTGATCAGATGTACACCTCTTTGATGTTGGCGAAACACTGGGAAATACTGACAACCTCGCAGGCAAGCAGCGCAAGAACCGTCTAAAGAAGCTCCGCGGTACGGCGAAGGTCAAGGGTGCCAAGCCCAAGAAGGAGAAATAAGCGCATACTCTGTAACAAACCGGGATGCAAGAGGGAATACGTATCCACCGATGATGCGGTTCGGCTCCGTCAGACTGAACAGCACCTCTCTCTCTTTTCCCGACGAAATCACTACGGGAAAAGAAGATCTCTCTTGCGGTTGGGGGCTGGCGCTGGTACATTGTTTTCAGTCTTTTGTGTGGAAATATCTGGCCAAGTACCATGGTGCAAAACACTTGGGTTTCTGTTTTCCTTGTTCTTTTTTTGACTCATCCACGTCGTGACGAATGGGGGATAACAAAAAGAAAGAGGGGCATGATGAAGAAGTAAAAGAGAAAAAAAATATAGTAGAAAGTTGGAAGCGGTCTTTCTACCACTTCTCAATTCACTAGCATGAATCAAAATGGTGTTTTGGGGGTTTCTACCAAAAAAAAATTAAATTACATGATGGGTTCTTGGGTGATGCGGTACGTGACGTATCTAATGTTTGACATCTTTCATCGTATATCAGGGCAATCGACGCAGGAGCAGCAAGAGAGAACTCACAGCACCAACGAACATACAGCAGCAGTTTTAGACTGATATCTATATCTGTTACACCGGGGCCACTTGTAATCGTGTCGAATTTGAGCAAGGTAATGGTCAAGTGGAATCCAAGTGATGTAGTAGCATAATGTAAATCACATGAATGTGTTTCTTCAGCAGTCGCTGTAAATGCGATCTCATAACGAATGTTGTGGTATCTCCTGTACATGTCCTGTTCCCGACACGTGCGCCGCCAAAACGCCCAAAAGTCTGTCTGTCCAACAAGAACATATAGCCTAAACAAAGAAGAAGGTAAACACATCGTAATCATAATCGTAAATGTCATCAGCATCATCGTCATGGTGCGGGGCCATCCTGCTGTTCTCGCCAAACAGAGCCCGCGAACGAAAGTAAATCAAGATACCCGCCGCTATTGCCAAAGAGAAAGAACAGAAAGAAGTTGAAAAAAACAAAGTATGTGAAAAGAATGGAAAAGAAAGAACGCCAGTCTATTCGGGGCTCTTTTTTCTTTTCACATCATGCCTACGGCAAAGAGGCCCGCCAAAGCGGCGATGACCACAACCACGACCCGGGCGTCCGTGGCCCGGCCGGGAGCCGCGACGGCGCCGGCCTGCTTGGCCTGCTTGAGCACAGGCGTATGCCAGCCGCAGTGTTCGCGGCCGCTGGGCGCCGTCATGCATGTGTAGTACGTCTCCTGACGGAATCCTTGGTTGGCGAGGACCCGGTCGTCGGGGAGAGCCGAGGGCGCAGGCGTGACGAGCGGCGTGTACGGGCCGGACGGTTGCTGCTGCTGCTGCTGGGGGTCACGGTTGGCGTTGTAGTGCTGGCGAGGTGGTGGTGGTGCTGCTGCTGCAGCTGCAGCGACGACGTTGTGCAGGGTTGGGAGGGGTGCGGGCGGCGGGTTGGCGGCGGAGACGGAGGAGAGGATGCAGAGGAAGAGCAACGAGGTGAGAATCGAAGCGGTGGTGGGTGTTGACGGTGCAGCGTGTGATGAGGTTGGTGATCTTGACATGGTGAGATGGCAGCATGTATCAATGGCCTCTGTATGATTATCCCCGCGGGGTGGCTGGATGTCGGTGTGTGTGCGAATTTGGCGAGGGGTTGATGTTATAAGGGCAGCATCAATGATGCCTATCGGCAAACAGCAGCAGAGGGAAGATGAAGTTTGTAGTTGAAAGAAGTAGCAAAAGCTTCGAGCCGTTGACCAAGTGGCAAACAAAAGTTGTGAATCGCCTTTCGAATGCCGGAATCCTGCGCGAAAACAAAGCTGGCTCTTTGCGCTTTATTACAAGTGGCGAGCGAGACCCTAATAGTTCACCACCCCCAGCTCCCCGGCCCTTGCGGTCCAGGTGTAGGTAACTTGATTGATTCGCCGGCTCTTCGCCTGTCCGTGTCGCAAAGGATGGGTTGATTTGACCAGGATTCCCCACAGCCTTCCGAGTAGGGGACCTTTAACTGGACCTCTGTTGCCTCTGGTCGTCTTCAGCCAAAACGATCGGCAGTGTCGGGGATGTCGGGACTCGAGGGTTCTTTGGGGGTATGATGTAAAACTTGGCTTCGTGTCAGGGAAATCCTTTTGACCATGCGGCGTGAGTGGTTCGAAAGAGAGAGAAAGAAAGCAGGAAAAAAGGCCAGAATAATGAGAACAACGTCACAGAAAGGTGCGTCCGAGGAAAAACGGCTACGAGATCCAAACAAGAGTCAGGCATGTCATGATATTTATTGGGCTTGGCTTTAAGCCAAGCCTTTCATGGTGAGACAGGCACATCCCACCCAATGCCTCGGGGTGGCACGCCCTACTCCCTCACAATTCACCAGCCACCTCCAGCCAGCACTCCCCGCTAAATAGGTACCTTGAGTTGACTTAACGAGATGAAAATAGCCGAGTCAAATGGCGGTGGTTTAGGGACTAAAACTAAAACTATAGTAATTCGTACAGTACAGCGCCCTTTTCTGCTCATGTGCCCGTGGGGTCCTGTTGAACTGGGACGGCTGCACTCACACCGCATTGTACAGCATGCACTGCACTGCATATTCAATGGAGGTCTTGGCGAAACCACTTGCCGAGCGTACAGAGTACCTACCAAGGGGGGGACAATAAAAACCGGCCCTCGTCGATTCTCGATACCGTCTTATTAATTAAAAATACACGCGAGAGTAAATAAAATAATTCTTTTAAAAATATAGGTTATATATTTTATCATTTTCACACTTAATATATTTTTCTTCTATTTATTTAAATAGTCTTTATCTTAAAAAGTGACGGTTTAGAAACGGGGTGCTTTCTCAGAAGGGCCGGTTTAATGTGTCCCCCACATGCCTACCTAGGTATGTATAACTAGAGTGATTTAAAGTGAGGGGGGAAAGAACGGAAAAGAACCAGAAGAAAATGCCTGCACACCCTGCACGACACCGACTCCAACCGGCCCGTCCTTTCCGCCCGTTTCCTTCAGCACCGCAAAATGGCCCGCGTGTAAAGTGCATGAGGGGACTAACTACCTCATCCAAACATGAAAAAAAACCAAAGGAATAAGCACTGATTCACCTTTTTTAGGTCCTGCAAAAACAACGAAGCAAGTCACTTAACGGTTCGACGAGACATTCTAGACCACCGAGAAGAGTGTCGCGTGACAACCACCAACCACCAACCACCTGGCGGTCAGCCCCGACAAAAGCCACCCTCCACCACCAAACCTGATCAGCCCTAGCCAGTCGTCCAGTGATCACCATGCCTCTTTCATTCTTAGCTCGCCCGCCAAGAAAAATGTCCCAGAACCCTACGGCTGCGCTGAAGAAAATTAGGGGTCCTCAATGAAACGTGCACTTTTCCTCACCACCACTGCCACCACATGCATCATAAATCTCCATGACCGCAATATACCTGTACCAAGATGCAAATGCGCTAAAAACCATACAATTACTATACATATGCTAAATCTTGAAGTTGCAACTTTGAGACAGCAACTTTTCATCTGGGTATAATCTTGTACATGATACGATGCGATACGACAAAATCCGCTTCTGCTCCCCCGGACCGGCTCCCAAGCTTCGCGTGCTACTTCTGGCTCCCCTCGTCCTCCGACTACAGCTGCAAGCTCGGGCTGCGTCGCCTCGCCGCCGCCGGTGATGGCCGTCGCTGCACCGGACTAGAGCCCAACGTAATCACCTGGCTGCCCTCGGGCAGCACCCACCCGCTCTTCTTCGTCTTGGCCTGTCTGCGCGGACTGCTTCGCACGGCCGGCGCTGCACCGCCTGCTGCTTGCATCTTCACCACCTTCGGTTGCGTCGCGTTGGGAAACAGAGTTTGCGACTCGCTATCCAGCTCGTCATTATCGAGCCGTCGCATGGCTTCTTCGTACTCGGTGTCGTTGACGCACTTGGTCGGTATAACCGGCAGCGAGCTGGCAGTCGCATCCAAAGACCGCCGCGACGATGACGCCGAGACAAAAAGCTCCTCGAGTGAGTCAAACGGGCTGCTGCTCAGCCGATCGCGAACCGTTAAGGGCACCGCCGCGGCATCAATCAGCGTCTCTGGTATAAGCCCGTCATCGTGCGATGCCATCGACTCGCCAACATCCGCGTCCACGTCGCCGCTCTCCCCGCCATCCGGGGCATCGGAAGCCAGTGACGACGGCACAGCCATGATAGCATCACCATTCTCGATGGGCGCTGCCATTCTCTTCTTGCTCTTGTTTCCTTCTTTCGCCGCCGCCTTTTGTCGCTGAGCTGTATCCTGAGCGTCCGCTGTCGTCTCGGCTTTGTTGTCTAAACTTGGCTGACCGGAGAGGGAATCTGTTGCCACGGTGTCAGCAGCAGCCTCTCGTTGTTGGCGACCCTCTCCGGGAGACTCCGGCGCGTCGTGATCATGGCTTTGCTGCCGCGCACCAAACGTCCGACCCGTATCAAGGCTGTCGCTCGCTGCACTCACTACTCCGTCGTCTGCTAGGGGCAGCTCGAAGTGATGCTGGCGCTGCGCCGAGTAGATCGACGCCGATTCAGCACCATCTGCGCTCGCGTGGGTTTCGGCACGCGATTGCTGCGTATCTGGCTGTCCCGTCGAAGTATGCAAATTCTTGCCTGCGCTTACCTCTTCTGTCGCATCAGCCCCATTTGTCATCTCAAAAAATCCTTCAGGTGCTGATCCGGGAATCAACCGTGGCTCCGTCATCTCAAACCATCTGACAGTTCGATGTCCGTCGTCTGCTTCAGAATCTTCCTCATCTAGAGCGGGAGCCTCAAACTTTTCGTAGACTCTTTGCCCTGTGTGCTCGTCGTATACGTGGTCATTTGTCTCCCGGTCACGTTTAGCCAAAACCACATTGAGACTGTTTCCATCAGAGCCCGGCAGTACAACACCTGTAAACGAGGCAAGTTGAGGCTGCCAGTTGGTCGCTTTCGACATAAACAGCTGCTTCCAGGTGATTAGTTGACCTGGAGTCACCGCATCCTGTTCCAAGGCCACCAGCGATGTGAGATCAGAAGGGAGTGGGGGCAAATCTGCCACGGCTCCAGCATCGTCGGCATGGCCGTTCGTTAGTTCCAGCCCGTCTTCGGCCTCTAGATTTCTCTGTCGTGTCTTCTTCTTTTTATTCGAGGCCGTCACCGCAGGTGCGTCGTACACTAGCGAATCATCTTCGTAGCCGTCGTAATGCTGCGATTGGCGTTTGCGCTTTCGCATCGAGTTGTACTGCTGTTGTGGATCCCAGCGCTGCACAAATGGGAATGGAGGTTCGCTCAGAACAATGCCATCGCGGCCGCATTCGACAGCTCGGTAGTTAATCTTGTCTCGCCAGCTGTCATCTTCTGTGACAGTATTTGACTGCGCCGGCTCTTCCACTTCTTCCACCAGCCGTTTGTTGGTCAGAGGCTTAACGCCCTTCATTAAACCCTGCTTAATTTTCTCCTCGTCCGCTTTATTCTTGGGCGTTTTTAGCCCAAGCGCGCCAAAAAGTAGCCTCCGACTAGCTCCGGTGTCCAAGTTGGGTCTTCTTGGTGAAGGGTCGGCAGATTCGCCATTCGTTTGTGATTCCTCGACGCCGTTTGTCCCAGGCGCCGGCGCTTGATCAGACGGCTCGCTGCCCGATGATTTCAACGGTTTAGGCCAAGTCCCGTTGTCAAGCGAGCTGAGAAGAGATGCCTTGAGCAGCTCAAGCTCAGCCATGGTTTCGTCAGGCTTAGAATCCTCAATAGCCTGGCTACCGCTGACTGAAGCGCGCATTTGCTTGCTGCGTTTTCTTCTTGCGTTTCGCTTCTGCGTTTTGCTTAGACCGCATCCGGGGTCGACTGCAGGCACAACTACCGATGACGTAGATGGTGCTGCGGCTTTAGGGATTGTTTGTACCCTTGATGTAGGGATCTCCATTGGTCCAGCGTCGGAGTCATCTGACGAGTTATTAGAATCGCTGTCAGATGAGTCAGATTCAGATTCGCTGCTACCAACAGTCTCAAAAACATTTCGAGATTTGGCAGTAGCAAGTTTGTTTCTCGAGCCTGTAGCATTTCGAGATTTGGCAGTGGCAATTTCGTTGCCCGAGTCTGAATCAGAGCTTGAATCGGTATCAGAGTTGGAACCTGAGCTTCCCGTTTCGTCGTCGCTATCCTCTTCGTCGTCACTATCCTCTTCGGCCACAGCGGCATCTTGCGTATAAGAGGCACCACCTGACGAGTCCGAATGAGAATCTGAATCACTAGTATCGTCATCACTCTCGCTTCCGCTGTCCAATCCAACATCAATGTCACGAATACCCAGACCAACGACCTTGCCACTCTTGTTATTTGTCTCCTCTTCTTCGTTTTCTTCGCTCTCCACAACCTCAATCAAGCGTCGACCTGAAGATGGCTTCGCCGGCGATTCTTCACCCAACGACTTAAATCGTGCTGCAACAGGTGTATTGGACGGTCGCGACGCCGTCAGGACAGAATCCATCATTTCGTCGAAACTGAGAGTCGGACCGTACGACTGTGACAATGCCTTATACGTATCTCGTACATCTTGATTGTGGCGGCGCAGCTCTTGCTGGACGATGAATGACGGTATGTTGGGAAACGCCATGCGCAAGGCCGCCAACGAGTCTAGCGTTGGCAGCAAGCCAAACCCCACATCCTCATTATCACTCGATGCTTCTGAGATGTCGCGTCTATCCTGCTTCAGAAGCTCCAGCTCCTGCATCAGATCATCGCCGCCCTGCTCCTCCTCGAAGGAGGAGCCGCTGGCGTGCTCTGCATCATCGGCGTCCGGCTCGTCGTTGGAATCCCAATCAGCCTCGAATTCGGATTCGGCATCTTCGTCCTCGTCTTCGTCATCTTCGTCGTCATAGGCAATGCGTGCCCGTTTGCGCGGTGGAAGCTCGAGAGCCGGGCGATCTGCGGGCAGATGCAGCCAGGGCCTACCAAAGGCGATCCCGTCAACCAGATGCTTGCCGCCAGTGGAAATTTGATGCCGTCCGCTTCGTCTTCGCCTCTTAAGGTCGTCGCTCAAAAGTGGTCGAATTCTAGCTCAAGACGTTAGCTGGGTCACCCCTTTGTCTGACACGCGCGCCACGCTTACAAAACTTGGTCTTCATCCTTTAGGATGCGCGATACGAGTTGGAAGTGTAGGCACTCGAAGCTGGCACCGTTGCTACCGTCGCCCAGCTCGGCCACATAATCCTCAAGGCCCCATTCGCCACCTTCGAGGGGCACGACTTCGTTGACTTGGCCGAGCAGTTTGGCGATGGTCAAGTCATCCGACGGCGAGCATGGCCAAACGAGCTTCACGTCTGGTACAGTATGCCTGCGAATCACCAGCCGCAGCCGAATATCGCCGAATGACATGGTAATCGCGTCTGGTATCAATATTCCATGCTAATAGGTAAGATTTTGTTTCAAGAATGCCATAGCGGGTATGGAAGTTGAGATAATGGTTTCAGCGCGGCTGCCGAAGATCTTAACGCGACCTGTGAAATTTCCAGGTGGGGCTTTAGCAGCAGCGCATCAGGTGCCCGTCAGACAAGTTGCACCTCGCATCACACGACCATTTAGGTACGGAACTAGACCTCAAAATTGACACACAAATACTGCGTCGTTGGGGAACATTCAGTTTTTAGTCTTGTTTGTTGCATAAGCTCTAGCGCCGAATCGGCGTGGTATTTGCATGTGGTTGCGCGCGAGCCCGCTACTGTATGAATCCAAATTGAAGTCAACAAAATCAACGCCATAAACTCCATGTATGTGTGCCATGCTGTTGTCCATATCCCATAATGTAAATCGTATTGCTAGTGTGGCATGCTTTCCATGTCTAGCATGTGTCCCATTCGTTCAATCTGCGAAAGCGTGTCAGTATGCAAGTTAAAGCACAACCCCGGAATAGAAAGTGCTGACCTTTGTCTTCAAGTAGCCCTCTACCTCTTCGCTTCGAAAGCCACCTTTGCCGCGCCATGAGAGTGGCACCATGGCAACTCTCTCCTTGACAACGACCTCTCTGTTGGGCCCCTCGACAGCACGGATTTTGTCGGGGTTGTTTGTCAGTAGCCGCACACTGTCTTGTCCGAGATCAAGAAGCATGGCCGTGGCTAAGCCGTAGCTTCTGGCATCAGCGGGATGGCGGAGAAGCAGATTCGCCTCGACGGTATCGGAACCAAGGTCCTGCAGGTTGTACGCCTTGAGCTTCTCGCCCAGCCCGATGCCGCGACCCTCTTGCCGCAGGTAAATAATGATTCCGCCGCTCTCGTTGTCGGAAAGGCCCATCAGACGAGCTGCCTCGTCAAGCTGCTCGCCGCAGTCGCACCGCGCGGACCAGGCTGTCTCTCCCGTATAACACTCGGAATGAATTCGTACCAGCGGAGGATCCGCAGACTTTGTAGTCGCGGGTTCCGAAGATGGTGTGTTTGGTTCACTGCTGCCCATGCCGCTCGTGGTACGGCCAGGGAACAGACGGCCGGTATAGGCGCCGCGAGTCATGCGGTCCATTTCCGTCTCGCCCTCGCGGGGCGCATCAAGGCTCTTGCTGCGAATATGATTGCCAAAGACAATAGCCAAGTGCTCCTTCTTGTCAACATTGTTGGTATAGAGATGCAGGAACATCTCGGTGCCATTGACGGTCGGGATGCGCGCGCGCACGAGGCATTGCACCTCCGGCAGCTTCTCGAGCAGGCGGGGCTTCTTGGAGCCGCATCCGCCCGAGGGGATGGAGCTGTCAACGGGAACGCTGCGAGGCCCTCGAGTCTTGGGCGTCTGCGTGCCGGGAGTGGCCGGCGGCGTGAATGCCGGCGACAACAGCGACGGTGGTGGGGGTTGCGAGGTGGGTGTGCCGGCGGCAGCGGACAGCAACAGGTCGTCTACCGGAGCGGCGGCCGCGTCACCACTGCCTTCGGCACCGGAATCGACAGGCGCAGCGCGCGGCGAGTAGAACGCCGGCAGCTGGTGTGACTCGGTCAAGTTGTTGGTGGTGGGTGAGGGTGAGGGCATGATGGCGGAGGGGTACTACTTAGCCGTAATTGCATCGATTGCAGCAAAATAGGGCTGTATAGCGATGATGACGGCGTAGATAGGACGAAACTGGAAGAATTGGACAGTCGTCGCCAGTGTAACAATAAAGAAAAGGAACGAGTATGAAGAGAACAGGAAATAAGGGTCGGTGCCGCCCGTGCAACGGAGCCTTCGTGCGTTTAACCAAACCTTAGCTGCTTAGCAAACTGCCTCACATCGGCCTGCGTATTTTGGTAGGCCATTAGTCATGTGCTTTTCCACTTCTCGGCCGCACCGGCCGGTGGCTGCCATAGAACCTCGGCGAAGTGTGGGGGCGGAGATGTTGGAATATCCTCTACGTATTAATGACTACTTATAACGGACGCGGCTACATCAATTAAACGCTCATCGGTACTGAAGGAAATTCTTGATCAGGCCGGTCAAATATGTCAATGGCAGCGCATATGTCTCTGTCTGCCGGTGTTTGGCAACTAAACCCCGGATATCCGCGCATAATGCACTGCGCGATTCGGTGTTCGCCCGTGCGCGCTTTGCGTGAATATATCCCGACGGCACGTTTCTACTACCCTCATCCTGGTGCAGTGAGCTATTGTTGGTGAGCCTTGAAACTCTATGGGACTTGAACCCCTTTTATCTGATCTATCAAGCGCGACAGTCCAGACTCACTGTCACCGTGCGCGAGGCGACACTGGACAGTGGCAGTGCGGGAACCTACGTAACTTAAACTCTAACATTGCATTGGGAGAACAGGACAGATTTTGACTGATTGTTGGTCCGCCCGTTGAATGTTCACGCTATACAGCTATCATATTATATGACGCTATTCTGTAGCACCCTGGCAGTTTGTTTCTGTTTGGCAGCCAAACTTCCTACACGAGTTTCGAATGCAGCCATCGCTACGGGATGTTGACTCATGCTCTAGATATTCGACCCCGTTGACTCTTTTGGAACAAGTATTGTGGTGAGATCAGACGCCACTAATAACGTGTTCCAGAGAGTAGTAAGCAGGTAGATCTAGCCGCAGCTAATCGAGAGCCGGCACACCATGTACACTAAGACCCAAGCCCAACAAAGCCAGTATTGAAACCAACAATTTCACAAGGACGAGTGTGAACACCAAAATACCCAAAGACACAGGGAAAACACTCAGGCCGTTCCCAAATCGTGCTGACAATTTACGACCTTAAAGATAGGGTAGCTCACGGTTCTGTCCAGCGATGCCCCACCGAAGCAATCGATAACGAGCCGGCAAAAAAATTTACCTGCAACTTGCAGATGCACCTCACCATTCCAATTTGCGTCGTAGCATCCCGACACAACCATTCTTGCCACAATGCCGGCCACGACGTCGCCGGAACCGGCCTCTTCAAAGGCTGAAAAAAAATCCAAAAAGACTCACAAGTCAGAAAAAAAGCGATCCCGTGACGAGGACGGCGCTGCCGACACCGAAGAGCGCAAGCATAAAAAATCAAAGAGTGTCTCTGCCGATGCCAGCCAAGAGCACCACGATGTTACTGGCAAGAAGGACAAGAAGAAGAAGAAGAGCAAGCACGATGGCGAACAAGACGAAGAAAGTAGCGAGAAGAAATCGAAAAAGAAGCACGGCGACGGCGACAAGAAAGCGCAACGCAGAAAGAAACACCACAATAAGGACAGTGACGACGCCGACGCTATAGAAACGAACGCCGATGATGCTCTAGCGCAATTGCAACTGGAACGCGAAAACGCACAGCAGGCAGTCGATGCAATGGATATCGATGAGCCTGCTATCAACTCCATATCCGATATATACCAACCTCCCGACATCCCCGCCAAGCCGCAATTCCCCTTTTTCTCGCAGACAGTCTCGCTATACGAACCCATATACCCCATTGGCTGGGCGCAACCCGTCACAAATTGCGAGTTCCACTACCTGCGCCATCTGCAGAACAAGTATGTGCCCTCACTGCGCGGCGTTCTTCTGAACTACAAGAATGTGACGCTTGGTGATGAGCCTAGTCGCGAGGGTGCTGCCAGGAATGACGAGGAAGTCACAACTCTCAAATCGCAGCGAGAGTACGGTGTGGGATTCGGCTGGATTACCGCTGATGTGGACCTATTTGTGCCTAGCCGTGGCGCTTGGATGGAAGGCAGTGTCAATTTGCAGACCGAGGGCCACATTGGCGTCGTATGCTTTGGCAAGTTCAACGCCTCTATCGAGGCTCGCCGTCTACCCCCGTCTTGGAAGTGGGTGTCCAACGAGGACCCAGAGGCCGAGGGCATGGAGGAGACGGCATCAATTGTCGCGCCCGACGAGCACGGTGTCGTGCATCAGATTCACAGCACTGGCTTTTGGGTTGACGCTAACGGCGACAAAATCAAAGGCAAGATCCGCTTTCGAATACGCAATTTTGACGTCGGTGTGAGTGGTGAGACGACGTACCTGAGTCTCGAGGGCACCATGCTCGACAAGGCTAGCGAGAAGACTCTTGTGCAGCAAGAGGCACACGCGCTCAAGATGCGCCGCGATACCACCAAGTCGAACCGTCGCGTCGAGCGCCGCCGTGCACCCGAATTCAGCATGACACGCTTCTTCTCGGAAGAAGAGAAGCAGGCGCACGAGGAGCGAGAAGCCATGCGGGCGGCAGAGCGGGCTGCGGCCGCTGAGGCTGATACTGCAGCAGCAGCCTCGTCTGAGGGAACAAAGATCGTGTTTGGTGAGTAAGCTGCGATGGTACCGATTTGCAGGGAAGCATTCATTGTATAAAGGATTTGGGGGTTGGTTGCATTGCAAGTTCTCTTCTGGTTGAAACGCGGTGGTACAAGGTGTATCTGAGAAGCGAACCGTCACTTAAAGGACTGTTGAATTTTTACATATAAATAAAGGACCAAAATCATGGACAGAAAGCAGTGAAAGTATTATACATCAATCTGAGTTGTTTAATCACCATGTTCTGTGAGACCCGGCCTCCGACGTGAGTGACAAAATGAATCGCTGAAAAACAAATGTTATAGGATGATAATGTAGGGTTACATCTACGCAGACGCCCTGATCATGGGCTCCCATGGACGGCCCATATCCCAGAGATACACCTCGTCGCGGGGGTTCTCTCCTAAACCCTTGACGACAATATGTCGCAAGACAGGAAGAGCGGAAAATACAAAAATGTTGAACGGCGATGTGCACGGCGACTCGCTCCAAAGAGCGTCGAGTTGTGCAGCATCGGGATCCGACTGAGCGCAAAGCGCATCAACCTTTTCGGCGAACGCCTCTTTCTCGGATGAGTGGTCATTGGCAATGATTTGAAAGCGAACGCCCTGGATATCGACAGTGATGCACCGCACATTGCTGGGGAAGCCGTCGGTGTAGCCGCTTGTGAGGATCCACGTGTAGTCGCGCTGGTCGCCCGCGCAGTCCCAGTCGTACCAGACCTGGGTTCCCGTCTCGGAAAAATCGTCCAGCGTGAGACGAGACAGGTCGTCGAAGCCGATGGAGCAGTGCTGTGAGGAGATGCCTTCCAGTCTCGGAAGAACAATGTCGCAGTGGCGCGCATCGGTGCCGATGACGAAGCGGCCGTGTCGCCGTGGCAGCTGCCCGGTGAAGGTGAGGGCGAGGGCGTGCTGTGGAGGGCCATCGGCGAGGAGACTGGTTTTGATACGAGAAGAGAGGAAGTCTGTTCCGGCGCAGGGGACTCGACGAGAGGTATTCTCGGGCATGCTGACGGTCTTTTCTGCGGCTGGACAGTTGGGTGCCGGCACCAGCCAGGCAATGATGTCTTGCGAAGAGATCATAATGAAGTGATTAAAAAGTTGTATGTAAAGAAAGAATGATGTCAGACTGGGTATCGTTGAACGAAAGTAAAAGGTAAATCCTGAATAGCAGAAAGTGTATTGAGTCCGGAAAAGAATGGCCGAGTGACGATGGGTTTCTGGATGGACGTCCCTCAAAGGTAGTGGAGGAGGCTGGAAGGCGAGGAGAGAGAATATCCTGGATGAGATCAAAATGCAATAATGACAGAAATCAATCTACGAGTGATGCCACTACATCTTTATAGACCCAACTGGGCGTCTATGTGTACATACATGAACGTTGAATTAGGTGCGTGAGAACCAGGGTCTGGGTTGCGTCAAATGGTAGGACAGACAACCATCACAGCGCGCATCGAGAATCCCTGTTGGACACGCTTCTTCGACGTGCCGACCGCGACCGCGTTTCGAGGGTCCCGTCAAACATGCAACACGGCCCGGAATAGCCAGAGCGCGTCGTCTGGCCCATGCAAGGTGTGACCGTGAATTTCCCCACGTCCATCGCCAGCAAGAGGCTCACGATGCAGCCACGGAGCGCTGTGGGCCAATCATTTACAGCGAGGTTGGGCAAACTCGGAAATTGGGCACGGCGACGTTGACCAGCCTCATGACGAGCAGGGCAATATCATGGAGATGGATTCGATGAGTTGGCGCTGCAGCGGCGCCGCAGACGCTGCGGTTGCGTGGTTGCTTTCTTCTACAGCATAGGTGGGTGAGGCACTCGCCACTGGACAGGACACATTGGTTGCAGTATGAGTCAAAGATGCGGTCTGCGTGGATGCCGAGCCTGAAGGAAAACATATGTTCAGATCCAAATGGCCATTGGATTTGCTGCGGCAGGTGAACTCAGAGGTTGCAGATGTTTTGAGAGCGAGGAGTGTAGCAGTGTGAGTGCATCAAGAGTTGCGATAAGTGCCTGCGCCTGCCGAGGATGGATGCAACGTGGTTCAGTATGCCTGTACAAAGCTTTTGACAGCGTCAAACATGAGTCGAACTTTTTTGACCTCGTCGTTTCTTGTCAGCCGTTGAAGAACATTTCCAAGATGATTGTTGAAGCTGTGATGCTTGGCAATGCGCTATCACTGACTGGCTGGTTTCTGCCTGATGTATCAGGTCTCCACATGCACGGCCATTGGCCGAACTTTGCCCGCCAAACAGCAACCAAGAGCTCCCAATCCAACGGCAAATATCCCCGAACGCCGTCAATTCCGCCCCTGTGCCGGCCAGGACGATCAAGTAAACGAATCAATTGACCCGGGGAAAACATGGCCACCGACACAGCTTCCGATGCGCGCCGTACGTGACCCTCTTGCCGCACCGCACCGACGGGATGCCCTCTAGACCGGACGCTTTTGACTAACCCAGACATGCAGAAGCGACGCGCGAGGAGATGAGCGAGGCTCGCCTCCCTCACGCCTACAGAGATAGCTGCGCTCATCTATTGATCCCGCTCAACAAGTGCCGCAAATCGACGTGGTACGCTCCATGGAAGTGCGAGGTAAGAAAACGAGCTTAAGTTGGAAACTGTCGAGGATTGCGCCGGGCGGTACTGATTCTGCTATTTTGCAATCACTATAGGACGAGAGACATAGTTACGAAAAGTGCCAGTACGTCGAGTTCAAGAAGCGAGTCGCCAAGATGGACGAGTTGCGAGAGTCCAAGGGCGGTGCCCGCAGCAACTAAGGCGAAACGGAAACGCAGACGACGCTGTGAATCGGAGGAACGACTACCCCGGACTGTACATATACTTGTGTTAAAATGGGCAGGAAATAGAAGAAATCTTGCAATACGGTTGCTCGGATGTGATATTTGGGTGTCATGCGTTGGTGATCTACGTGTCGATGGGAGCTAGAGGAGCAATTGTCCGAGCTGCAGGACTGAGAGCGATTAACTGCAGTCGTCTGGCCATAGGAAACCCGACGAAAGCGACGCCACATGACTGCACCGTCAACATCACGGCAAAACGGTCATGGATACTTACATTATGGCCAAAGCTCACATAGCTTGGATTACACGAGGTGAGCAACGATGCTACATATGCAATGCCAAAATCACACCAACGAACTCGGAGCAGTTTACAATTCGTTATTCATGTTATGTACATTTCTTGAAACGCCATACACCATCAAGTCGCTCACTCGACATTCTCAAAATATCGAGTTATCGGCACAAGTAAAGGATCCCTCAAGCTTGCCGGGTGTGTGGTAGACCTCAAGCAAACCCTGAACAGATGCCCACATGCCGACACCATTCATGAACAGCGCTTGAATAATAAGCAGAGCGTTGACAATGGCCAGGGGAATATTCTTGCGGGCAAACTTCTCCTGCCAGTTACGATGGTACCAAAACACACCACTGACGCCAAACGTGAACCAGGCCACAAACGTCGCCGACGAAATAGACAAAATCGAGTCAAAGATGGGAATGGCACTGGCTAGGATGAAGGCAAGAACCCAAAATATGGTGGCGCTTCCAACCCAGAGACCCCAGGAGCGCACCGAGTTTTCCGTGGCGCGGTGCGTCGTCTTGGTAGCCCGCAAGGCAACCACGTAGATGTACTTGATGGCGGTGTGGCCAAAGACCATGCCCGTTGACAAGATGGCAGGCAGTGCGATGGCATAGGCCACCTTGGCGGGAATGTCGGGCGCTGAGCCGAGCGCGGGCGAACGCACAGCCTGCCCAGAAAGAGCATAGATGGTCACCGCAGTGAGGATGTACAGAAGCACGGAGAAGACCTGCAGGATAGTGAGGGCCTTGGGAAAGTCGCGGGAAGGGTTCTTCATCTCGGCCATGTACGAGACGAAACCAACATTACCAGCATACGCATAGCACACCTTGAGGCATGCGCTGACGCCCTCGCGAAAGCTGGGGTTTCCGATAATGACGACTTCCTTGGCGAAACCATGGACCTCACCCCGCGGGTGACCCGCCACGCCAAGGCTGATGATGACGATGAAAACGGCCACGATGATGCTTACCGTGCACGGCAAGCCCGCCTGGGCGACAAACTTGAATGTGCGTGGTAGGCACAGGATCCAGCAGCACACGGCACCAACCGCGGCAAAAGCGACAGTGCACGTCGAGTGATTGGACAGCGTGTTGAAGGCAATGGAGAGTGTGACGGTGGCGGAGCCGCACGTCATCATGACCTTGAACAAGAGACCGACACCAAAGATGAGCTCGAGAGGCCGGCCGCCGACAATGCGCGCCATGTCAACCATGTTGACGACCTGGGGGTGTGCGCGGTAGAATTGCAGCAGCTCGTAGGCAGTATACCAGGACACGACGCCCAGCCCGACAATGGCAATGAGGCCGGGAACGAGACCCAACGTCTTGAGAATGGCGGGGAGCGTGAGAATGCCAAGGCCGACCTGGTTCGTGGCGAGGACAAGCATGGTGTCCCACAGGCCCATGGTGCGGTACGTTTTGCCGCCGCCAAAGAGGTTGTCGTCGCCGCCTGGCACATCGCCTACGACGCCCTCCTGGGGCTTGGACGTCTTGGAGGCATCGTCTTCGAAGCTCGTCTTTTCCCGAATCTTTTCCGAATCAGAGCTCGAGTTGGCGGGGTTGGCGCCGCCGGTGTGAATGTCGGCAGGACGCTCGATGATGTCTTGGTTGTTGGTCATGGTGTCACTATGATATTTTGAACAAGTGAAGCACCGACAAGACACATGCAATGGGAGGGAGAAGGGGTTGAAAAAAAGCAACTGTTGGAAGAGGGAGTGCGATGACAGGGACCTTATCAAGGTGTGGAAAAGGCTCCAGCAAAAGCTGGTTGGTGGGTAATAGCTTGTGGTTGAGGGGGTTCGTCGTCACTCGCTCGTCCGAGGGCAGCCGATTCTGGCCAAGAAGCACCCAAAAAGCGGCTGGCTTCTGCCAAGGGTGGTGTGCAAGCAAATGAGGAAGGATAAGCCACCACACACAGAATGGGGAGGAAAACTAAGAAAAGGAGCAGTGACGAGTTACAAAACCGCTTTCGACGACCCCAGAGACGCGTCGGGCCAAGACCTCAAGGGGACCTCTGGGGTTCCTATCATTTACGTTCCATTGGCTGAAGACGCGAAAAGATCTCTGGGGGAGGCTATGTTAAGGCCTGGGATGTTTGAAGAGATTTCTGCCCCCATTTGCTCTCGTCATAACTCTCCATGTACCCTGTTGGGTCTTGGCAGCGCATGAAAAGAAAAAGCCTACGAAAATTGACAAGAGTCAGGACCGTCAAAGTCGAAAGTGGACAATTGGGGTCGCAGCCAACGAATCATGGAAGGCGGCTAGAACCCACCATCGATGGCCAAGCAAGCCACCGCCATGCTTTAATTCCCTGGGTTGGTTTAGTGGCTTGCAGAAGTTGCGCTAGAAAGGCTCGGCATACGGCATGGGACAATTGAGACAGCGTAAATAGTCAGTTTCCGCTGGTACTTCTTTTGTTCCGCCCCTTGTGGCGTTTTTCTCATGGCATGGCTTTCCGAGGTGAGCGCGCGGGCGCCGCCGCCGCCGCCGCCGTACTGCCGCCACTTGATGAGTTACGGCCGATCGCACCGCGCGCTGTTCAGACGTGCAAAGTCCAAAAGCGAGCCTGGCTGTTGCTCCGGCTTTAGTGCATCCCCTCGGGAGGCTGCACCAGCCGGCACACGGCATTTTCCTGCGCTTTCGCTCAACAAAGTTTGCCGTCTTCTCGGGAATCCCCCCACTTCCCAGAATGGTCCGTTCAGGGTCGACGACGACGGTTGCGACCTGTACCCCAGAGTCTGGGGAGTTTCATTCCTCACCGTTGTTGCATCCCTTTCGTGTTGTCCATAATGCCGCGCAAACCTTGCAAATCAGGCCCTTTTTTTTATCGGGCGAGGACCCAGCCAAGCTTCGGAATGGTGAGACTGATGGTGGGTTGTGCTGTCATGGGACGTGGGCCGGCCCACTGGCTGGAAATTGCGTAGGATTTCATTGAGAGATAATCCGTACAAGTAGACGTTTGCCGGGAGGTGGCTGCTTCCGTCGGGATTGATAAAGGCGGCTCGTGTGATCGGGTTATTAGAAAAAAAGGGCCCCTATATAATTTGCAGAGAGATAAGGACAATCAAGTTACTGATAGCAAAGGTCAATAAGAGGAGAGCAAATATAACTATATAAGAACAGGCAGGTATCATTAGCTCTTATAATGGATATGTAATAATCCTTTTTATGGCGTATTATTATTAATACTGACTGGTTACAGAGATGCGTGTGCGACGCGCATCTAGATACGATACCGCCACAACCGTCACGCTATGACCAGCCAATACAGGAACATGGCGCAGCGCTATGCAAACATACGCATATAAAATTTATGCACATGCGAAAACCAAACTAACAGTCTGCATAGCTAGATGGCACGCTACTCTAAGACGGCCCTGCCCATTACACCAATATAATATTATCTTGTCAAGATTAATTGTCAACAACCATCCATCTTGCTGGTATATTGACTTCACGCGTTTTACGCAGTATTGCCAACTATAAAGGGCTACATGCTCGAGAGCATCTGCAGCAGTCTTGCCAGATCCCCACCACTGCCACCGCCACCGCCACCGCCACCGTTCATGTCCGTGTTTACCTTGAGCAACGACATTAACATCTCGATATCCTCATTCCCTCCCGCCGGCCCCCCTCGCGTCGTATCTCTCGTCGCCCACGCGGCCCTTGTCATCCAAATGCCATAGGCCGAGCCCCTGACGCAGCGCCTAGACCTCGTCTGGCTTAACGTCCCTGTCGTTGCCGTCGACTATGCGCCGGCCATGGCCCTCGCTTACAAACTGTTGCAGCACCGCAGCGGCGGTACGCAGCGGCGCGTCACTCGTCGGCACCGTCTGGGCGCGGTCAAGCGACTGGCCCGCGGCGGCGGCAAAGCACACGCCCGACACAAAAGGCAGCATCTGCGCGTTGCTGTACCTGCGCGGTGTCGGCGCGGGGCCGGGGCCGGGGCCGGGGCCGGGGCCGGGGACTAGGCTTGCCTGCAGCCGCTCTAGGAAGAACTAGGCCTCTTGATGCAATGGTGAAGAAGTTGAATTCGGTGAGGAAGAACGACTCCTTCTCGACAATCTCAGCCACTTCGTGGACCAAGCCGGCCGGCGGGAGCGCCCCGTAGCGCAGCTTGGCCTCCTCGACCGCGGCCTTGGCTTCGGGCTTGATGTGCGATCGGCTGTCGGTGTAGCTGTAGGCATAGCCTAGGCCGAGCTCCTCCTGGACGGCCGCGACCGACCATGAGACCCGCGGCCCGGGACGTTCGAGGCGGTGGCTGACGGCCAGCGAGCAGTAAGCCAATAGCTTCAGGTTGCGCCGGTTGGCGCTGTGCACCTTGACCTTGTCCTTTGTCTTTGCGGCGGCTCTGTGCAGCCGCCCAATGGGTGACGGACGTGCCGATGCTCAGGCAGTAGTTGGTGAAGTAGGGCCTCCTTGGTTGTGAGACGGTCGCCGACGAACAAGGATGCATCCCCTTGCAGCTTCCACAGTGTCCTTCAGGTCCTTCCACACGCAGTCCTCGGGCACCAGGGCCCTCGCGGCGCAGCGCGTGGTACAGCTGCACCCACGCCGACGAGAGCGCCGGGCGCCGCCGCGTAGCTGCGCATGTGATGAAGCAGCAGCCCGCAGTACATTGGGGTTTTCGGCGGAGAAACTTGAATGGGCGGTGACCGCACCTTTGGGGAGCAATCCCGCAACGACGACGAGCTTGCGCGCGGCCTAGATCGGGTCTTCGTCCCAAAGGCCAGCGGCGCGGAGCACCGCGCGACGATTCGGCCTCCGGGACGTCAAGCAGCGAAGTGCTTGATTTTGGGGACTCTCCTCTTGTAACTATTGTTTCCAGCGCATCACCGTCTTGCCCATTCGTCTGTAGGATGCCCCGGTAGACCTGCACGGCAAAGGAGAGCCAGAGTATTAACACTACTATAGTCAGAGGATAATAATAGGGAGAGTAATCTAGGGGTAACTAGTAAGAATGTAGGCGCACGCCGCCTGTTACACCTGTTCCTGGCAACTGACGCGCCGGAATCGACGCCACACACGTGCAACAAGGAACACTTATATAGAGCAGCATTTAGCATAGAATAGACTTAATAATCTATTCAGATCTCGCCAATACATAGGTTGTGGGACGCTCAGAATAGTGCCATGGCTAATGCTAGTTTTTTGCACTGCGTACAGTAATAGACTGAGTAGGCCCAGCGATCCGGTTGACTATTGGTTTAGTCTAGAACAGAGGACTTGTCGATTCCGACAAGCCACCAGTCAATTCCGACCATCAGGTGGTCAGGACTGGATGACCTATCGCACCGCCCTATAGGGCGCACGCCGCCCTATAGGGGCCTACTAAGCAGGTACGCCTATATGTTTATCTATAGAAGGCTCAATACACGTCTAAATGCCTCCTCTATGGCATAAACAGACGTAAATAATCAAAGTACATTAAATCAGATTAAAGACAGGCCTCTTTCTTGATGATGTAGATGTGTGTGGTTATTGATCCCGCCAAAAGGCGATTTCTGGCTGGAAGAAACAGTTGAAGTGGGAGACAAAGTAACTTGGTATGACAGACTCGACCGCCGTCTTCAATCCCAGGATGACTATTGTTCCTCTTATTGTAACGGTGGACGGCAGACGGAAGACGGAAGAGACGGCAGCCTCGCTCGAATTTTGAGAACCGGAGGGCGACGGCAGTGGAAGCGAGAAAAAAAGTCTGAGCAAGTGCCTCTTTGACGATCTTGCGGGTTGATAATAAATGCTTTGGTTGTCGTCTCAGGTTCAGCAAATACTACCTTCAGAGCGTTCGCGATCCGGGCGGCAAGATTTAGTCAATGGCAGAAGCTTAAAAGCCCATGATGACGAGACAGCGCGGCTCTTTATTGACGTGTTTTTAAACATAATTTCGGAGTGATCGCGTGATCAGTATGACTCGGCTATGGTCTTCAAGAGCCGCCTTTGCGTCGGAGAAGTCGACTGATAGCGAGGACCCGGCACCTGGGTGCCGTGATGCCGCAAACGCTGGGGCGACGTGGGGCAAAAAAACGGCAGAAAAATGATGCCCAATTACAGGCTATCTAGCAGCTGGCTGTTGATGCTGGCGCTGTTGACTCTGGCAGCTGGCTGTTATAGCATATGCAAAGGACCTGCAGCGCATACTCACCGCCTTTGTTTTTTTGCCCCACTTTGACCAAAAGGTTGAGTGAGCTATGTGCTCCAAACGCTTAGGCGCAGTTTCAGCATCATCACCAATAAGAGGAGCAAGTTGCCAGGCACAGGGCGCAGAAGATGCTGCGTCTCCACACCCACTGGTTGTTGAAAAGAAACTTGTTCTGTTTCCTGACGACCCTGCAGGTTTCAGCTGGACTTCTTTCAGCCTTTCTATTTTCGGGGACCTCTGTTGAGCACGACGTCGAGTCGCTGGATTGACCGAGCGAAGATGAAACGTCAACGATGGCAGCAAAATCTTTCGATAAATCGGGATCAAAAAAGGACTAGATGCTTATCCAAAAAGTTCGTCATGGCGCGACCACAGATGCCGAGTTTCATGTCGCCTCCGAACGCTGGGTTCTTTGTCAAGGCCATCGGGCATGATTAGCTAAAATGAAGCTCTAATTCTCTAGACCCTTGTTTCGGCAAACTACCAAAAAGGGATCTTCGTCAAATATCTGTTGGTTCTCTATGTAATGTTTCAAAACGTATAATAGTCACCAGTTCTCCTTTCTTGACATCTTTGTCCATCCACTTCTGAGACCCCAGAGACGTCCAACTGATCAACTCATTATCCGCTCATTTTTGCTTTATTCTAAAGCCTTTTGCATAATTCACTCCACGAGAAGCCTCCTCCTATCTTTTACACTCTACCCTAGCTTTCACGATGCGGCCCCAAAACGCTCTTGTCGCCCTCTTCGTCGGGCTCGGCGGACATGGCGTCCTCGCCGTCCCTACCTTTGGAATGATTTGCGATGCCATGAACGGCGCCATGAACCTCGTGGGCGGTGGCAGATTTGCCCTTCCCTGCGGCGGAAGCGGTGGAAGCGGTGGAAGCAAGGACACGTCGCGGCCCTCTGACGAAGCCATGGCCGACGCGGCGGAGCAGTGGCGGGCCGACACGGGAATCGTCTCCAACTTCCTCTCCAACGCCGAGTCGATGACCCCGCAGGAGAGGCAGGACCAGGGCCAAATCGCCGCCGACGCTGAAAAAGACGAGCTGGTCCAAAAGGCCGTCCTGGACCGCATGTTCCTCAACGGGACGGCGGCGGACCGCGACCCTGCCGTGGCGGCGGCCCACGATATGCTGGCCAACCAGGGCACTTTCCAGTTTGTCCTGGACGCGCTCATCCTCTTCTCCAAGAGAGGATCAAGCTTGACACAGGATGAGGTGGCCAGCATGATCAAGGCGGTGAACCAGGATAGGTGCACGAATGTGCTGCCGTCGATCGATACTTATATTGGGGCGACGCACGCCGTGACTGGGCAGGAAAGAGGAGGGAAGACGGCCGTTCGACCTACCAATTGCTAAGTCCCATGCCGTTCGACCTACCAAATCGCTAGTCCCATGAATGCCGTCTTGGAAAACCTTTTTGCTTCGACTCGACTCTCTTTGGCTGCATGGCACGCGAGTGGAAATGCAACTGCAGTGGGAATTGTACGATGGAATATTGATTAGTATTATCCTTCTTTATGCCTTCCTTTTAGATTATTTTATTAGTGGAGGTTTCATATATTAATACATTGTTGAGATATGTTTCTGAGAGTCTCATCGTTTCATTGGTTTACATATAACGTAGGTTGATGAAGTCTTTGTCTCTCGACGCGCAACTAGTGCCCAAGCCTCCAACGACTGAAAAATGACTTGCTACGGAGAAATAGCAATTCAGGATATCTGCAAAGGCCTGGGAACATAACGCAAGGTTGATGGCAGGCTACAGGCAGTTACTCAAATTAAAGGACAGTGGCTTGGTTGGGCGTCCTGGCGTTCCGCCTTTCGGCTCTGTCCCGCGCTGCATGGCCAAGTTTGGCCGGTCTGGCCCCGTGGTCTTCCCATTGTCCAATCTGCCAGGCTTTTCTTGCAGTCTTTGGAGCGTATGTTGCTGTTAATAACTGGGGAGAGAAAAAGAGGGCGACGCATATTTAGCTACGGGAATGAAATGGACGGCCCGTCCAGTTCCCGTACCCCTCTCGATTGATAACCTTGACGCTATCAGACACTATTGGTGCTGGGCCGAACACTGGTGCCGGGACGAACACTTGCTGCTTTTCCTTGTGTTGGGAGTATTCAACCCCCTATTTTATTTTATTCTATTCCATGTCTCCTGTGATGAGTATTGTCCCGACTTACTGCAATACTCTTGCTCAATAGCCTCCTCGTACTCTACATCCGATGTTGATCAAACGCCAAGGATCCAACAACGAGAATAAATATTACTTCCATCAGCTTCATCACGCTAAAGACACGCAATTTTCCGTCTGACCAGACAATCGCTACCGATGGCGCCGTCGCACCTCACTCTGGAGCTGCCTCGCTATATCAAAATGCTGGTTCCTCTCGGCCGCGTCACACGGCGTCTGCCCCGAGACATTGGGAAGATCAATCTGTGCCTTGACATCGAGAAGTGCCTTGACAATGTAGGCGTTTCCCTGTTCACACGCATAATGAAGTGCCGTGTTATCATGCTGATCTTGAGCGTCCACATAGGCACGAGCTTTGAGGAGAAAATCCTCGACGACGCTGACGAGATTCAACTTGGCCGCGTCATGAAGTGCTGTTTGCCTCAAAATGTTGAGAGCAACCAAGTCGTCGTCGTCAACCCATCCAGAAAACTCCCTGACTACTCTGTTACAGCCCAACTGGCAAGCCTCCCGAAAAGCAGTCAGGCCTTTTGCTCCTTTCATCTTGAGATGGTCTCGGCCAAAACGAGGAATCAGCTCCCTCACCACTTCTTCGTGATTCATCATGCAAGCCAAATGAAGTATCGTGTCCCCTCGTTTGTCTTGGGAGCGTACGTCGTCCAGTCGAGACGGCCTGAAAGTGCTGCCACTATTTCAGCGCTGCCGGCCCTGACAGCGAGCTGGAGCGGCGTCTGTTCAGTCTTATTCTGAAGATTGGCGGCTTTTGGGTCCATGACGGCAAGTAAACGCTCGACTATATCCAAGTTGCCCTGCTTGCAGGCCATGTGAAGGGCTGTTTCTCCTCGTTTATTCTGAAGGCTGAAATTGGCTCTGTTTCCACGAGCAAGTAGCTTCTCTGCTATCTTGACGTTGCCCTCTGTGCAGGCCAGATGAAGCGCTGTCTGGCCAAATGTATTTTGAACATGGACATCCTCTTCGTCGAGAACGTCAAGTAGATTCGCCACTATTTCAGGGTTGCCCCCAATGCAGGCAAAGTGAAGAGCCGTATTTCCATCCTTGTCTTTGACACCCAACTTGATCTTGGCTGAATGAATATCTTCTATGACTCTTTCGTTTCCAAATTGACAGCCCTTCCATAAGCGGCTCAAGAAATCTTTGTTGACTTCGTACTCGGCCTGTTTGTGGATATGATCCAGTTCCACGAGTAAGATGTCTGCTGTGATTGACATGCCATTGGTCGCATCGATGATTCGTTTCATATTGTCCGTCACTTGCAGCTCGGAAGGGCATTTGTAAATGGTGTTGTGTTGCACCTCGGCCCAAGCTTGTGTCGTTACTGTTCCGAGCTGAATCTCGACTCTGAATGGAGCGAAAAGATTCGACATGGCGGCTGCCTCGAGGCTCCAGCCTGCCTTTTGCCAGTGGACGACCATCTGCCAAGGCTTGTACCCGTAGTGCTGCCAGGTATCTTTGCTGTAGCCAAGATTTTGGAGCCATGGCCCGTTGCCATGCCTCTCGATGCTTTCGTTTCGCTCGATGCTAGGGACTCGCGAAGGATCCCGAACGGTGCCAAAGTTGTGCACCACCGTAAACGCTCGACAGAGTATTTCTGCAACTTTGTATATATCGCCGGGTAGAAATACTCCGATGCGTATGCCCACGAGATCGCTCATGTCGGCATGCTCGTAAAGTTTGCGCACAAGCTTGTCCTCTGCTTGGGCAGGGCCTTTGGTGAGACCAAGAAACTCGATGAACTTGTCTCTCTCATCTTCATCATTCATCTTCTCCTGGAGCGACTTTGGACTTTTGCACCTACAAGTGACCACTCCCTTGATCTTCTCCTTCTTCAGTAAATTTTCGCACTCCTTCCTGACATCCCGAGCCAAAGCCTCGAACAGCGCCATCGTCTCCTTCTTTGCGTACTCTGCAACAAACAATCTCGCTATCTTGCCATACTGTTCCGTCTTGGAAAGCTCGTCCACACCGCGTGCAGAATGCAGTGGAAAAAAGGAAAGTAGGGACTGCAGCCACATAGTAGGACCCGCCTGCTCAGTAGTACTGGTAAAAAGCAAAGCAACAAGTCAAGCCGATGTGAGTGTCGCCAAGTCTTGGAGCGGAATCAAAAGATGTGTGCTAATAGAACTAATAGAGCTCGACGTATAATATAATACGATAAAGTGGAAATAATCATTGCATTCTTCAGGAGAGTCGAGATGCTTAAAAGCAGGATTCAGGCTGTTACAGAGGCTGGCGGCGGCGTCGATGATGGTGTGTTGTCGAGATTAGAGTGGTCAGCTACCAGTCAACCAGTATCCATATGGTACATGAAATTCTGCGAATCAGAGGATACCCCAGTACACAATGTTGCCTGACGGCTGTCTCATAGGCCGTGTGTGTACTGGCATCCGCCATTGTCCTTGACTCAGACAAGTATCCCCGAAACGGCTCGACGAAATGTTTACTTACCGAGTAGACTCTACTTTATCTACTACGTAATCTTCATGGCCAAACTTTAGTCGCAGGTATAAATGCGACATGCCCGCGCCCATCACTTTCGTGAAACGTATCACACAACCAAAGCCACCAAAAAGCAACTGCTTCTTTGGCGCGTATGGACTCGACAAGCTGAAGGCAGAGGCAGGAAAATGACACCCATCGAAATTTGATGGCTTTTTGAGCTTTCCATATATATCGAAACGCAACCCATGTTCTCGTCTGGCTTGGACTGGACACCCAAAATGAGGCAGCTTTGGCCTTTAACCTCGTCCGCGAGCTCGACACAATCCTTGCCAGCTCTTCAACGCATGACCAGTGGTCTGATGGACAGAACACAGAGCTAGTATCGCATGTCGCTGACAACTACAAAGCTCTGCAGGCGTTGGCAAGCCGCACATGGGTGAGCCCCAGAGGCCTCTCTGTATTCTGACATTAGGGGTCATTTTCTGGCCTAAGACACTAACGAAGCGCTTTTGCAGTTTACACGAGGATGGATCGTACAAGAGATAGGAACGAATGCCCCAGCTACAATGTACTGGGGGGGACACCAAGCTCGAATGGGACATGCTCGCTAGTGTGTGTGAGCGGCTCAAGGGCTATCATCAACTGCGTAGTGCCTTGGGCATCAGCACGTCCAACATCTCCTTCCTATATCGCCGCTTCATGGAACCAGATGAGAAGACGCACCACGCAAACCGATTCAACTTTGTTTACGAGCTCCAAAGATCGCGGCATCGGGCTCGCGCTACCTGCTCGTTGGTGAGTGCTATGCTCACGGGCTGATGAGAGGAGAAGCAATGGCTCAGTCACAGCGGCATGAGCTCCAAATAAGGGCTTTTCATGTAATCTAAACGGAAAAGCTAATTAATCATGCTTCGCTCTAGTGTGTGTCGGACTGAAGCGGACAGTAATCGAACGCTTGCAGGACAGAAAGGCAAACTTCCTCACGCGTGAAAACCAAGTCTATACCATCCGACTCGACTCTTCTTGCTTCGACTTCAGCTTTCGTAGCCCACACAAAGCGTTGATGCTCATTCGGGTCCAACTTGACCGCCGCTTCATCATCTGTTCTCAGCAGTACAACAAAATTAAACTGGCAGACCTTTTTCGTGTCGTTATCAACGAGGTAGAAATGTGGCTTTCCCACCTGACCAACAATAAACGCCGCCTCCAGCCCAGCCTCCTCGCTCAATTCTCGAGCGACAGCCCACAGGATGCTTGCATCGTCGTCTTCACACGCGCCGCCGGCAGGCTCCCACAGGTTTGGGTCGCTGTCCCCGGCTGCGCGCTGAAGAAGAAGAACGCGCGGGTCGGGGCTGGCAAAGTTGTCCACGACGATGGCGCTGGTCGCAATGTAGCCATAGGCGCCGTCTGCGTGAGCTGCTAGATAGTCCCTTTTGGGAACGGCAAAGTCTGCGACGGAGGGATGGTAGCGAAACTGAAGCCCCGCCATTGGTTAGGGGATGTGACTTGTTGATGAAAAGCTTTGCAAAGGTGTTGATGATGCTGATGACGGCAGGTTTGAGCCAGCCAAAGATTCAAGTTGAAAGACTTTCGTGCCCAAGGGCGGAGACATAGTCAGCTGACACAATTTATAATCACAACGCATCATGGGAGAAAGTTGGCTTCGTTAGAGGGATATGGTTGGTCATGAGCATTATTCGCAAGCACTGCTGCTGCCTTGTGCTACATCTGCTCTGTCATGGGCGGGTAGCAGCCCAACCCAAGTTACACCCTCGGTAACGGGGGTGCCTAAGGCAAGACCCGGATGCAGACATGTCTTCTGAGAACACCCAGTCTTGGTGTGAGAGGCCAGCTTTGCGCTCCCATCATCATCAGATTGGGCAACCTTCAGTATTACACGGACTCCGCCCCAGGGTATCTCCTACCTTGACCTATGTTTCTTTGACAGGTGAGAACCTCATACAGGGATCTGTGTGTTGAAGACAATTCTACCTAAATATACTACCACGACAACACCTCACTGCTCAGTGTTTCTGCTATGGCCTTGCCGCGGACTAACTGACCAACCACCCTGCCAACGCCGTCTCCGGCCGACACATGCATGCACACCCAACCTCAGCTTCATACTAACAATAGATAGCAGTATGCCAGAATTGACTCGATAAAGCCATGGCGGAATCCTCATCGCAAGTCGAACCGGCGCGATTTCGCTTCAATGATCTCCCGGCCGAGCTCAAGCTCATCATCATCAAAGCCGCCCTGCCGGAGCAGCGCATCTTCCACGTCAGCGGCAGGTGGACAGACGAATCTGAGCCAAAGGAAACCGGCGCTGATACGTACGGCTTCACATTTTACTATCGGCACCCGCCGCCCGTACTGCTCTCTGTATGCCCCGCGATGCGCGCTACCGTCCTGCAATGCGGCGTGTTTCTCGATTCTCTTCGTGGCGCCCGCGGCGCGTTCTTCATACCCGCCGTCGACATGCTGTATCTCGACGAGTACCACGCGCCGCGCTATATTAGGCAATGGTACGGCGGATCTCCTGACGCGGACGCCGCCCGCTGGGCGGCCATTCGACATGTTGGGATTTGGTGCCAGCACTTGCATTCAGAGTATGCTGGGAATCTGGTTGAGCAGAATGTACCGTTTATCGAACCATTCGTCAAGTGGGGTCCAGTGCTGGCGATGATGCGCAATCGTATGCCTGCGCTGCACAGTGTCACATTCATGGTGCCAATGCACGTGTGGGCCACCGATAAGCTGCCGAGATTGGACGGCACCACATACGTGCTGCCGAGATCATGGGACCGGGACGGGTGGCGGAGGATCTTGGGGAGGCGACACACCAGGGAGTGGCCAGGCACCAAAAAGCAGCGGCGGCGCGGTCCGCGCCGCAACTGGTGCCGTTGCCGGAGGAAATGGATGTGTCCTGCCACCTACTTCGAGCCCTAGCCAAGTTATAGGAGCAGGCGATGAGTAGTTTATAGTTGGTGGAGGTGCTGGAGGGGACGGGGCTCAGAGCTATCCGGTGCCGTGGAAGATAATGAGAAAAGCTGATCGTGGAGGCGTGGAGTTGAGAGGAGAAACAATGGGAGCTGAGACCAGGCTCTGCTCGCGCAGGGAGAAGAGACTGGCCGGCGAGACTGAAGAGTCAGGCGTGAAAAGTAAAAACTGTGCACGCTCGATCTGAGGGCATGCTTGTCGATAAGGGAACTTCGAATGCGGAGAGTTCATCTCCAGATTAGCAGTAGCAAACACGTGCATGGCGCGAAGAGCGGGCTTCAGCTGAAAACGTGAAATGGGTATATTGTTGACAAACGGTCTATCTCTTCTTTGGCATCTTCTTCTCTTCCAGCTCGTCGATATCCTTTTTCTTGTGAAAATGCGGCGCGAGCTCCGCCAGCCACTTGGCCTCGATGGGCATCACGCTGCGCATGTACTCCTTTGTCGTCTGCACAAGCTCAAAATACACAACCATCTTCTCTGGTGGGTCGACGGCCATGAGCACGCTGCTCGGGTGCACCCAGACGGTTGCGTTGCTCTTGAGGGTGCGGTAGCTGTCGCCGCTGCGCTGCAGCCGCGCGGCGTTGGGGAAGAAGCCCGCGGTGATGGCGCGCTTGATTGGGCGCAGGTTGTTGGCGCCGCACGTCGACGGGGCAACCTCGACGCGCTCGCATAGCTTGGCCAGCTGGTCGCGGACGTCGCGGGCGCGCGTCAGTGAGCGCTGCTGCAGGAAGTTCTCCTTGGACCAGATGGGCGAATAGTCGCTGTCGACCCACTGGTTCCAGACGTTGAGGAGGGTAATGTGGTCGCCGCCGTCCTTGACCGTGAAGCGGTTGCGCGCGCTGTCGGCGTGGATCTTCTTGTCCTTGGGGCGGAAGAAGAGCGCCGACGCCTCGCCGAGCATGGAGACGATGGAGAGCACCTCCTCGACGCAGCCTTCCTTGTCGGCCGCGATGACGGCCTTGGCCAGCATGGGGTCCGTCGGGAACTCGGCCATTTGCCGACCTAGCTTGGTCAGCTCGCCTTTGTGATTGAGCCCCTGCAGCGCAAAGAGTTGATTGAGCGCGCCGATGAGTGCCTCGGTAGGCGGCGGATCCATAAACTCAAAGTCTAGTAGCTCGTTGATGCCGAGCGACTTGAGCTGTAGCACCACACTGTTGAGATTGGTGCGCTGAATCTCGGGCGTCGTCGATTCGTCCATCTCATTCATGTAGGCAAATTTGGTGTAAAGCCGGAAACACTTGCCAGGGCCGACACGTCCGGCACGACCGCTGCGCTGGTTGGCCGAGGCGCGCGAGCACGGCACCACGATGAGGTTAGACATACCCGTGGCGGGGTTGTAAATATTCTCCTTGACGTAGCCGGGGTCAATCACGTAGACGATGCCATCGATAGTCAGACTGGTCTCGGCAATGTTGGTTGCGAGCACAACCTTGCGTGCGCCCGCCGGGGTGGGTTCGAAGATTTTGGTCTGCAGCTCTGAGGGCAGGTTGGCGTAGATGGGACATATAACGAGCTCCTTGACGCGGCTCCCAAGCTTCTTGGCCGTTTCTGCGATTTCCTGCTCCGCCGCTTCGATTTCGTCCTGGCCAGTCAAAAAGATGAGAATATCGCCCTTGTCTTGGGTAGTATGAATTTGAAAGACTGTAGTAATGGCCGCTGCGAGGTAGTTGGCCTCGGGGGCGGGAGTGTAGTAAATATCGACGGGATATCGACGACCGGGGATATTGAAAATGGGACAGTCGTCAAAGTATGATGCGAACTTTTCCGCATTCATGGTGGCCGAAGAAATGAGCAGCTTCAGGTCCTTACGCTCGCGGGAGAGATCTTTGAGCAAGGCCAGAAGAATATCGGTATGAACGGTACGCTCGTGCGCTTCGTCAATCATGAGGGCGGAATACCCGGCCAAGTCGGGTTCCGTCATGAATTCTCGCAGCAGCATACCATCAGTCATGTATTTAAGCATCGTCTTATCGCTGGTGCAGTCCTCGAAACGGACCGAGTATCCAACTTCGTTGCCAACTTTGACGCCGACTTCTTCAGCGACACGAGTAGCCACACTCATGGCTGCGACTCGGCGAGGTTGCGTGCAGCCAACCTTGAAGCCACCCTTAGTATAGCCGGCTTCGTGGAGATATTGGGGCAGCTGTGTTGTTTTACCGCTGCCCGTTTCACCGACAATGACGAGAACTTGGTACTGCTCAAGTGCAGCTATGAACTCATCGCGGTACTGGTAGATGGGAAGGCTCTTTCGCGTTTCCTCTATCGTCAGGGCTTTTTTCTCTGCGGCGTCGAGCTGCTGCTCCATGAAGCGCTGCTCAGCCGTCATGTTGTTTCGCTCGCTGGGCATGCGCGAGTCCAAACTCCATTTGATATACTGACTGTCGTCCATGACATAGTTGTATTCTGTGTTTTCGAGTTCCGGCCGGGAAATCTGTGCCTTGGCCTTGAGCGTTTGCTCGCGTTCCCATTCGTCGTGTTCAGTGACGAACTTTTCCTGGCCAAACTCGTCCTTTTCCACGTATCGTTTGTATAGGGCCGCCTCCTTTTTCTTCCTGTCCATTTTGCCTTTCTCTGTTAGGTAGTCTTCTGGCATGACATATCCATCGCGATGATCGTCGATTCTGAGGCGCTCTTCGGCTAGCCGCAAGATTTCTCTGTTCTTTGCGAATTCGGCCCGTTCCCTGTCTGAAAGTCGAATACCGCTCTGAAGCTCGGCTGTTTCCTCAGCGACTTGTTTGCGCAGCAATGCTAGGCGTTCCGTCTCTCGCTTCTTAAGGTATTCCTGTCGCGATCGTTCTCGCAGATCGGGGAGAGCAGCGTCTCGTGCGGCAGCGTCGTCACCGAGGCGTCTCCGTGCTGTGGCCTCGCCATCACGATATCCCTTTTTCGAGCGGGAGTCATCCTTTTCTTTAAGACGCTTTGAAAAAGCTTCACGATCTTCTTGGTCACGCTGACGCTCGCGCTCTTCTTTCGCGCCGTCGGAAAGGTCCTCGTCTGCAGGTTCTGGGTGGTCTAGCTTAACTCGCTTGCTGCCTGACTGTTCGAACTCGAGCTCGGGCTCGCCTTGGTCGGGATCATCGGAGGGGGGCGCCTCGTCGGCCCACCGGTCGTCGAACGTCTCATTGGCGTCGCGATTGCGGTAAGACTTGGATCGGCCGTTGTGAGAATGACGGGGAGATGTGGAGCGGCTGCGATAGCGACTTTTGGAGGACTTGGAAGATTTGTCGTCGCGATCTCTGTGCCGAGCGTGGTCGCGGTCTCTGCGGTGGCTGCGATGCTTCTTTTCCTTTGTTACTTTTTGCGGACCAACTTCGCCATCGTCCATGGGGAGGAAGGCATATTTCTGGGAGCTCATGACAGCTTGTCACTGTCAGCAAGGCCTTATTCCAGTCGGATTAATATATGATGTTTGTGAGAGTAGAAGAGGATCTGAACCTACAAATTGAAAGTTGCTGAGTAGCAAAAAGGCAGCATCCTGGCGCGATGGTTTTTTTGGCTGAAAAGAGTGTAGGGCGGCTGAGCTGCCGCCTAGCCGTCGAAGATGGCCCCACTAGTTAGCGGTTCAAGCTGCTTCGTGTGCGCTCCCCGTGTTGGTAAGATTTATTACATATACATATGAGTCTTGATAACATAGTGAGGTTCATTGGTATGCGTGTTTGATTATCTTCATTCGAAGTTAGCATCCATCCGAGCAGCTCTGTGTTGTGGTGTCGGATGCAGCAGTGTGTAAACATGTCAGAGGGGAGTCAAGTGTCGAACAGTGAAGATATCAAAGTCTCTCATGGGCTGGATAGGTAGTCATTAAATCAAACCTCGAAAATTAGGACAAAGCAGTAAGAGTTTGTAAGTAAGAAGCGAGGAGTTGATTATTGATACAATGCAGCCCTGTTGCTTCTGTAGATACCTGTCGAGCAGCCTTTGCGCACTATTGCACGCTACACGCTAGCAAAGTAAAACTTGATGGTTTCGCTGCATGCCTTGTAGACCGAAATACAAAGTGACAAAAGAAACAGGCCATTGTCGTTGCCGTCGCCGTTGTGTAAATAGCAACGCCGATGTGGTGTTGAACCCAAGGCGGAGGTCAAAGTCTACCTCTCATTGGCGGGGCTTACCCAACTCCGGCGCCCAACGGAGTTTTTGGCGGTGCGGAAACAGTGACGACAGCGGTACATCCGCTTAATCAACACCAACGGGAACTGTCTGGAGCGAGCTGATGCTCTGAAAGAACCCCTAGAGGTCCTCAACCGCTAAAACCTCACTCCACGCCGCGAAATTGTCCCCTGAAGCCGCTATAAGCCGCTAAAACCTCACAGTTTGCTGCTAAATCTCTGCGGAAAGACACTGAAAGCCACTAAAACCCGCAGCTCCAGCGACACCTGCCCCAATCAAGCCAAGCGTCAGCCCCCCATCCGAGTTCCAACAGCACCAGGATGCCCCGGCTCGACAACGCCTTGCCATTCTCAACGCTGACAGGTCCCCCTCAAAACCTCAACCACCACACCGAGTCCAGTTCCCTCGCCTCACTTTCGTTCTCTGCGTCTCAGCATCCCGGCCAATATCTCCTGTTCGCTACGCATGTACACCCATCTCCAACTTCGCCAAGGCCCCTGATCACTCCCTTCCTAACCCCTCGGCTCGTTGAATTGACTCGGCTGCGCGACCACAAGACGGCAGGAAAACACCTCCAGGCGTCATCGGCACAACCCGGTCCAGAGGCATTCGCGCCTCCGCGACACGCCAGCTCGCCTCCCATCCCATCGCCTGCCCATCCGGTGCGGCTCGTAACATTGCGGCCCATCTTACAAGGCATCTAGAAGCAAAGAAAGCATAACCGCCCTCTCGCGCGCCACGCCCGGCCACAACCTGTACATTTTGTCCTCCGTTCCGTCGGCCCATGGCTGGTCTGCTCGCGACTAAGCCACCATGAACTCGCTCAACATCATCACCTCGCGCGTGTCGCCGGCATCCAGCGCCACTCCGTCTCGATCCAACAGTCTCAGCTCCATGGGTCTCGAACTTCCCGGAATCGATGAGAAGCTCCACGACGCTCAGGAAGGCCATCGCCCCGAGGGCAAGGACACGGAGCCCTTTCCTGATGCTGCGGAGGGATCCAACGACGAAAAGTCGATTCCCTCGGAGCAAAGGCCGCTTTTGTCGGAAAGCAAGGAATCGCCAGAAGCATGGGACACTTCCCGTGGGCAGTGGCTGCCCCGGCGCATGATGTCGAGCGTCATCAACTCTATTCGGTGGCTCCTTTCTACGCTCGCTTCTCCTGGCGTCTATCTGATTGCCTGTTTTTTCAACGAAGATGATGTGTTTGCTCCTATATCGCAGCTTAAGAAGCTGTTTGGAGTGTATCCCAACTCGAGGCGGAAAGAGGCCTACGACAGCAGCCACCCCCACAGCGATGGCGACTCGCCCGACTCACAGACGACTTCTTCCGGCAACAACAAAGGGCTGGCACCGCCCGCCAATGTCCGCCCAGGCACCTCGTCTTCTATGTCCTCCGAATCTGATTCCGACTACTCTCAAACCCCGTCCATCGGCGGCCGCCACAACCGGTCCAAGTCGCTCCAATCCTCGGAAGAAGGCGAACCGTCGCGAAGGTCGATACGAATCAAGCTCAACAATGACGACGCCACTCGCCAACGCAAGCAGCACCGTAAGACGCAGTCTGCAGCACCGCGCACCAAGCCCAGCGAGTACGGCCAGGAGCTGTCTGCCCATCTCAAGTCTCCTACCTCCCCACACGCCGCCCTGACTAAGTACCCTAAAGCACCTGCGCCGCCTCGACCCTTGATCCCCCGCCGACAACCGTCCTACATCAATCTTGATCCCTCGCGCAAGCAGCAGAAGACGCTGATCCTGGACCTGGACGAGACGCTGATTCACAGCATGTCCAAGGGTGGGCGTTTAAACAGCGGCCACATGGTCGAGGTACGCCTTAACACGGCCTCTCTGGGCCTGAGCCCCGGCGGCAACGCGGGTATGGCGCAACACCCAATTCTCTACTGGGTCAACAAGCGACCGTACTGCGACGAATTTCTGCGGCGGGTGTGCAAGTGGTACAACCTGGTCGTGTTTACGGCGTCGGTGCAAGAGTACGCGGATCCAGTGATTGACTGGCTCGAGTCGGAACGCAAGTTCTTCTCTGCACGCTACTACCGGCAACACTGCACATATCGACAGGGGGCATACATCAAGGACCTGAGCTCGGTAGAGCCTGACCTGAGCAAGGTCATGATTCTGGATAATAGTCCGCTGAGCTATCTGTTTCACGAGGGTAAGCACACACCTGTCCGCGCCACTCCCTGAATACCATGTGCTAACAAATCAGACAATGCCATTCCGATCCAAGGCTGGATCAATGATCCTACAGATAACGACTTGATGCACCTGGTACCGATGCTTGAGGGACTGCAATATGTACACGATGTGCGTGCGCTGTTGGCGCTCCGCGGAGGCGAAGACAGCCAGTCGATGGGCTAGCAGCCTGCCTGACCTACCAAGTGCCATCGGAAGCACTGTATATTGGGAGCTTATGGCGCATGCTGATGTGCTCAACCATTGTTAGCCAGCTTCTACCTGTTGTGATGCTATTTGCTTTTTCGGGAAGTGGTGTTCTTTTCTTGCGGCTCGACGGGACTTTGTATACATGGAGCCATGGCGTTTTTTCTTTTTGTGCCAGCCACATGCAAGAAAAGTTGGTACCTTGTTTATATTAACTTGCAAAATCCGCGTTTGTTGCTCCTCTTCGTCGCCGGCTTGCTTTGTCGTGTGCATTTCTATTACATTTTGCAAGTTGATGCTTGGTTGTTTCGAAAGTAGGGAGTTGTGAAGGATGGAGAGGTTGACAAGTCTTCTTTTCTTCGTTTCTGCCGGGTCATTGTTAGCTTCGGTAAGGTGGTCTGGCCGTAGAAGGGTAAATTCATGGCGTGCGATCTGGCATGCGTCTTTTGCACGATCTGGGTTCGAACTAAACGTGACGGTGCTTGACAGTCTTCTTGCCGCAGAAGCCATATTGACTACGTGTGAACGAAAATGTACTCATGGAAGGTTGTTCGATGAGGATAGTGACATGTGGTAGGTTTGAACCATGGCCGTGTAACTTGTGGCTAATGGATTTTGATGCCAAAGCAGCAGGGTCGGAGACGTCGTATGCCGTCGTTATGCGTACCTCGCTTCCTGTAGAGGCACATTCACATGCTGGGCTTGAAGACCCTGATCTGACCCCTGAGGATTACAATTACGACATCCATTGTGAAAAAAAGAATTGCATAAACCTGGACGCTCAGCTGGCCATCTGGTCGGAGGATACCGCTGAGCCACATCTCGAAAACAGGGAACAAGGACCGCGTCAGCCACTTGTGGCGGTCTAAGAGCGGAGAGGAGTTATGGAGTATCAAGCAAGGCAGCAATATTTCAACAAGGGTTGGGGAATTGCATGAATAATACCGCGTCCATTTTCTTGTGTGAGCGGCAATTGTCGGGTTCAGAGTTGCAGTAATTTTGCTGCCATGACAAGCTAGTAGGGCGCAAAGAGTTGGGTGTGGCGCAAAATTCGGGGGCAGGGGAGTGGTGACATCATCACCCTAGCGACTGTGGGCATGCAAGCGACGATGATGGCAGCGATGGCAGACGCTGGCCAGCTGTAATAATCGTTGACGAAGAGAAGAAAGAAAGAAAGAATCAAAGGACAAATTAACAAGAATCTCTCGTGAGTATATGCATTTTCTTTTCTGCATAGATGGCATGCTTCAAAAGTCTGTCAATTCGCATATTGTGCTTTTTTGGTTGCATTGCGCCAGTATGACAACATCTAGCACGGGAAAAAACTGTCCCAAGTACCCAGTACAAGGCCTAGAACCAAGGTCCTTGCGCTTTTCACCCCGCCCGCGGGCATGGATGGCAAAACGTTAACAAGCAGGTGGCACCAGAATTAGCCTGCTGGCGAAAGCTGGTAGAAGTGGGCCCCCGCGCATTTCTCAACGATCGCGATCGGGGGGCGCAACCCAGCTTACAGAGACGCTCCAAAGGTACCAGCTACTTGGCTTGCTCGAAGCTTGCTGCGGTTTGGGAAAGCTCCCTCTCTCTCCCTTTTGGAGCTAAATTGAGTTGAACCAGTGAGCTGTTTTGGGCTCGCGGACGTGATGGGGAACATGCTGGGCCAAATAAATCTTGGCCTGTCCCTTTCCTCGTTCCTCACTTGCCCTTCTCTTCTTCCCTTCACACCACTTTTCCATCTTGACCACACCTTTCAAACACTCACAAACTACCATCACACCATCCTCTAATTTCTCGATCATCATGTCTCTGCAGTGTAAGTCCTTGTCTTTTGAGCCTAGAAAACTCACCGACGTGAATGCAAAGAGCTCAGCTTCTGCGCGCAAGGCCGTTGCTGCTGTGGCGCAAACGTCATTATGAAGCTTGTTTGGCGCAACTCGTCCCCGCTTCCGCAACAGCCCTCATCAGCTCTCTCTGCTGCTGCCAAACTGGCTCATGAAAACCGCGCAAGCAGCTTAATCAACAAGTTTCAATTGGATTTTTTTTTATCGAGGAGAAGAACAAGAGAAATTTTCTAATTATTGACTGCTAACAATTCCTTCTCCCGCCAGACCTCCCCTCCGTCAAGCCCTCGGCTATTGCCCTTGGCCTTGCTTTCAACCACGGCATTGAGCTCGCCATTCTCTCGCCTCTCTTTGGCCAGACCTACCAGCGCGCCAAGTCGGCCAACACCAAGGAGGAGTTTATCAAGTCCAAGGAGGCCGCCGGTGCCGCCGCCGCCTGGGGCACCTCGTTTGTCGGTGCCGGTCTTCAGGCCTACGGTGTCGCCGCTCTCATCAACGCCACCGGCACACTCTCTTACAAGGGCGCCGCTTACCTCGGCGGTCTCATCTTTGCTGCCACTGCTGCTCCCGGTGTAAGTCTTTTTTTTACCTGCAAAGAGGGGTTTTGACTCTCAAACCTCATTCATGTACGCGTCGTCGATTTGTGACCGCTAACAACGCTCTGCAGTTCCTCGCCCAGATCTTCACTGAGAAGCGTCCCCTCGACACCGTCGGTGCCAGCGTCGTCGCCAAGCTCTTCGAGACGGTCGGCTTGTCCCTAGTCCTCACCTGGTGGGGAACGCGTTCCAACCCTTTCAACTAAGCGTGGTAGCTGCGCGAGCAGCATCCGCGTAGGCAATGCGGAGGACGGATGATTCTAGTCGCTAGCTCTTATTACTTCCATTGGCCAGGGTGTTTAGAGGAGATGTTCGTGGCGATGTCTTGATCACGAATCTGTTTCCTTGCTGTAACTGTAGTTCAATAGTAATTGACAAAAAAAAAAAGGCATTATCTCGTGTGTCGTTTTGAGTGCATATGCCAGTGAATATCAATCACACACGTTCATGACTGTGAGAATCGATTAGTTCTAGAGGCAGTCAGGATTTTAACAAACTTTTTGTATCATTGATGACAGTTTACAAGCGGAGGTACAATGCCACTGGCTTTGCATCTGTCAGCATGAGCAATCCATAACATTAACTGTATGCAATAAAACACTTGGAATATACACCGTAAACGCCGCCATGCCCATCTGGCCAGTGTCTAGTCAGCAACTAGCCAATTGATCCAAATCAAGTCAGACATCCAATCCCTCTTTTTTCCTCGGACAAAACTACTTTGCCCCAGCCCACCTCCACTTCACCAAACGGCGTCAACTCTTTTACGCCTGAGAATCGCCCTTGGCCCAGAAACTTTGCTTCTGGTACTCCTTTTGCACGTACTTGGCCAGCGACGCGTACGCCTCGCCAAAGTCCTCGCCGTCCTCCGCCGCCGCGGCTCCCTCCTTCTCCTCGCCGTCCTTTTTGCCGCTCTTCTTCTTCTTGCCGTCCTGCTTCTCCATAATCATGACGACCGACGTCGGGCGCTTCGTCTTGGCGGCGGCGCCAAGTTCGGCGCGCGAGGTGACAAAGATGAAGGGCACGTTGTGGTCCTCGCAGAGCACGGGGATGTGGGAGATTACGTCGGCGGGGGAAATATCACCGGCGATGACGACGATGCCGGGAAAGGCGGTGCTGGAGGGGCCGCCGATGGGGGACTTGCGGAGCGTCTTGACGACCTCCTTGACGCCGCGCTTGAGGGTGTTGTTCTTGGCGGCTGCGTGCAAGGGTCAGCATCTCTTGTACTTTGGAAAGGAAGAACAGACCAAAAAGAAAGAATGGAAAAGGCAAAATAAGGTAGGGGAGAGGGAAGAGAAAACGTACACTTGCGAATCGTCTTGTAGACCTTCTTCATGCCCTTGTCGTCCGCGACGGGGATTGCAAACGGCACCACTGTGCGCTCGAGCGGCAGCTCCGCAGCCTTGTCGCCGTCCTCCATGTCCGAGTCCGAGTTATCGTCGGCAGCCGCAGCCGCCTTCTTCTTCTCCTTCTTGGACGGCTTGGCAGCGGCGGCGGCGTCCTGCTGAATCTTGTCCTCGACGGCGGCGGCGAGCTTGTCCTTCTTGTCCTTCTTTTCCTTTTTGTCCTTTTTGTCCTTTTTCACGCCCGACTCCTCGCTGGCGCGCTTCTCCTTCTTCTCCTTCTTTTCCTTCTTGTCGGGGCGTTCGGCGGCCATTTTTTTCTTCTTTTTGTTTCGCGAGTGGTGGTGGATTAAACTGAACAAGTCGGATTCGCTAAAAAGAAAAACGACGCGTCTGATGCAAGATATTGAAATTGGATGGAAAGATCAATACAAGATGCCTAGAAGATACGTCTCAAAGAATAATTGGCCAAAAAAATTGTTCAATTAGGAAATCAATGGGCAGTCAAACGTTGAGCGAGGTTGGCACTGGCTCGTCGCTCTAAATTTTTTTTGCCTACTCTCCAGAACTTTTTTCGACAGCCATAAATTTTCGGCGCCTCGTACAGCCGCTTCCGAAGGAATCACGTGATTCGTCTGGAGCAACTGGGCGAATGGTGTCGCGTGTATTCTGGATGACCACGCTTTTACACTACAAAGGTACAATGAGGGATAGTAATTTCCAATAAAATGATGTAACATATTCGTGACAAGCGTACCAGAGAAGCTTGTCACGATGGTAGACTGGAATCCAATCTGATGCGGCAATGGGCTGGTACTGTCATCTCGTCTCTCAGCACTTCGACATCGCCTTATGGCAACATATCCCAGCACAGTCATTATGACAAAGTAAGATGAGACGGGGCATTAATTCCGTCGGAGTGGCAGTAGCCACGTCTATTCTCGAGTCTGCCCGGTCTTCTGATGTACAAACGCGCCCGCAGGCGCACACAAATACAACCCCCAATTTATAGTATTTTCCATGTCCGTCATCTCTTACTCCTCGACATCGGCAAACTCGGCGCGGCCGGCCTTGGAGTTGAGGTACTCGTTGCTATACATCAGTCAGCGTCACTGCCTTTTTAACGTGACGGGTCTAGTGGTAGTCGAAGGGCGCAGGCTTACCGCTCAGTGGCCCAGTGCATCAGGTAGTAGCCGGCCATCAGCGAAGGCAGCCAGTAGAAGATCTGGGACTTGGTGCGGCGAAAGGTGTTGAAGATGGCGTCGTGGGCGGCGCCGGCAAATACGTTCTGACGGTTGGCGGCGATGCCGTAGGTGATGATACCCTTGGTCTTGCCAGCACCACCTGTGTCCGGTCAGCGGGTATTCTCCCATGTTCCGCATTCAATGCGCCAAATTCTCCATCTCCTCGGTGCTTGCGTCCCACAATCGCGGTAGGATTCGGGGCATTGACGCCGCTCTTGGTTCCAGGTCATCCTTCGAGTAACGCGGCGTGCCCGTTGTTTCCCGCATCCACCACGCATCGTTCCAAATCGTTTCACATACCGAAAGCACCGAAATCGTGGCCGAGCCAGCTGTAAAATTTCAATTAGGAGCCGCCTCTCTCAATTCCTGCCGCCGGCCATCGATCGCGGGAGCAAGACGATAGCCTCGGAAAAGGCGCAAGCGCTTGCTGTTTCCCCCCACGACCGTAGCCAATTGAATGCCACTTACTTGCCAGCCCTCCAGTTGGGGCCGGACCGCAACATCTGAGTCGGTCTCATCTTGAATATATCGTTTTCGCGACAGAACTGAAAGTGCGTGCTCGTCGAGGTACAGGTCGGTGGGTAAGAGGGAGGTAAAGGTAATCTTTCGGAAAGGCGAAGTCTGCACCCGCAAAGCAAGCCGGGCGAGGACTCCACCGTGCCACAACGGGACTAGCGCCAGCAACCAGCAACGCAGCAATTGGGAAAATGGGTTATGAACCTCACTGCTCAGGCACTCCATTGAAAGCTCTCCATCCACCTCATCCGGCGTCGTCTGCAATTCACATCTCCATCCCGCCTGTCATCGCCGCGACGGAGGATCAGCAAATCTATTCTCTATAAGACGAGAACTTGCCGAAAGAACAGCCCCGGCGACCCGCAAGTCATAATGGCAGCGAGAGCCCTCAACTCCATGTACAGGCTGGCGGTGCCTGCGTCCGCCGTCGCCTTTGCTGTCTCGCAGTCACTATTTGACGTGAGGGGCGGCACGCGCGCCGTCATCTTTGACAGAGTTTCCGGTGTCAAGGAGGACGTCGTCAACGAGGGCACGCATTTCCTCATTCCCTGGCTGCAGCGAGCCGTCGTCTTTGACGTGCGCACCAAGCCCCGAAACATTGCTACTACCACTGGTTCCAAGGATTTGCAGATGGTCAGCTTGACGCTGCGTGTTCTGCACCGCCCTGTGGTGAAGCAGCTTCCCAAGATTTACCAGGTACGTTTCCTCAATAGTCAATTCAGAACCTGGGGAAAGGCGTTGCCCCTCACTCTCTTCTTTCACGTCCGCAATTGCTAATGCCTGAACTTGCAGAGCCTCGGCGCCGACTACGACGAGCGTGTCCTCCCTTCAATCGGCAACGAGGTCCTCAAGGCCATTGTCGCGCAGTTTGACGCCGCCGAGCTCATTACCCAGCGTGAGGCCGTGTCGTCGCGCATCCGCGACGAGCTGACCCGCCGCGCCGCCGAGTTCAACATTGCCCTCGAGGACGTCTCCATCACGCACATGACCTTTGGCCGCGAGTTCACAAAGGCCGTCGAGCAGAAGCAGATTGCGCAGCAGGACGCCGAGCGCGCGCGCTTCATCGTCGAGCGCGCCGAGCAGGAGCGCCAGGCCAACGTCATCCGCGCCGAGGGCGAGGCCGAGTCCGCCGAGACAATCTCCAGGGCCATTGCCAAGAATGGTGACGGCCTCGTCCAAATTCGCAGGATTGAGGCCGCACGTGACATTGCCGCTACATTGTCTGCCAACCCCAACGTCGCCTACCTGCCGGGTGGTGGCAAGAATGGCGGCGGTAGCCAGTACCTGTTGTCTGTTGGCAGAGCTTAATTAGGAAGGAGAATGGGGAAATTCGGGAGAGAGGATGGGATATTGGGAGAATGAAAAGAATCTCCGCTTTGAAAAATGGCTTATCAATGGTCATTTTCTGTGTGCGTGTTGGGCGCCACAAAGTCTACAATCATGTAACCCATCTTGTAACAATACAACAATACAAACTATCACTCGAGCAATTGTCCTTTGAATAAAAAAAAACGGTAACGCCCGTAGGCGTTCCATGTATTCATTGCTAAGCGTAAAAGCGAGAAACGGTGCCTACCGAAGAGGGATATATCCAAACGCTACCCATAATCTTTGCGTCTATCGTCTGCCTTGTTTCCCCCGTGCTTCGAACCAGTACTATTCTGTTCTGTAAAGCATCGTTTTTTCTAGTCATCATTCTGTTAGACATGGCATGTTCAAATGTTAGTCGTGTTCGCTCTCGTCATCTGCCGGCGGTTCCGCCGCTTCGAGAAACTCCTCCGTCAAGCCACCTTTGCTATTGTTAAGGGACGATTCAACGTCGCCTGTCGCTGGTGAAACAAACTCGCCGTCGACGACCTTCCAGCCAGCCCTCTTCATGTCAGCCCACTCTCGCGCCATCCGGAAGCGGACGAGCTCGCCGGCGGCGCGCGCGTCCTCGGCCGAGTCGTGGCCCAACATCTTGGACCCGTGCTGGACCTGAATCTTGCGGTGCAGATGCATGCTCATGAGGGTTTTGAGGCCCATGCGAAACGGCAGGCCGCCTTTGTGCGGAAACGCGAGCACCGTGTCGATGAGCGTCGGGTGCAGGATGCGCATGGCGTTGAGGTCGTTTTCCAAGCCATGCCCTATGAGCGGCGTCGTTGGCGCAATGAGCGAAAAGAGCAGGTCCCGCGCCGCGGCCGGTGAGGACACGATCTTGAGGCCTCTCTTAGAGACCTGGCCGTCCTGGCTGCCTGAGGAATCGGGGCTGCCAGCATCGCCGTTGGCTGGAGGGACGAGGGGGTCGCCAGGGCACCATGGCTGTGCCTGAGCGAGATCGTCGGGCCAAACGCCCGAGAAGCGCGAGTTGAGATCTAGAATCTCGCCAAAGGGCCGCACGAGCACGTCGAGGAGCTCGGCACCATCAGGCCAAGATGTGGCTGTGAGACGAATGAGCTCCATGCCATACACGGTATAGCCCATTTCGCAGTCAAAGCACACGGCGCGGTCTGTTGGCGCCGAGTCGTTCTCTGGCGTTGCCACAAAGTTGAGTACGAGGGCGAGTCTGCTCGGGCTTGGGGCTTTGAAAACGTGATTTGGGTGAGTGAAGCAACCCGCAGAGTCGCCAATCTGCTGCCCGCAGCAGAGGTAGCGCTTTGGTTGCTTGCTACGGTCACCGGGTGTCTTTTCGGGAAAGTAAGCCTTGCCCCAGTGAAAATTGCAAGCACCTCCCGACGTCAGCGCGCCGTCTTCGGCGCGACGACCAGCAAACACCTGAAAGCGCTGATTGCAGCGGTCGCACAACTCCCAGCCTTGGGCCGTTTCAAGACCCTTGGTTGCCTTGTCAAGATCATCATCCGAAGGCATCGACGGAATGTAGCCGTGGCCGGCAAGGGCGTCGATGGGTGTGAGGAGGCGCTGGAGGAGGCGGACTTCTTGCGCAGGCGTCAGGCCAGTCTCGACGATGACGGGACTACCTTCCATGACGTCGTGCTGGCGCTTCTTGCTCACAGGCATCTCGTTTTCGCGCTCCTTGGTCCAGTCGCCAACCCGAAGACGTTTGTACTTCATGACACTGTTCTTCATGACATTGGCGTACACGGATGGTTTGCCAACGGCTATGGCTTCTTCTTCATTCAGAACCCGTTGAATAATTGCCTGCTCGGAGAGGATAAGTCGTTTCTCACTATCCTTGGCATTCTTGGTCAGCTCGCCATTTAGTCGCTTGTATTCCGCGAACAGCATCTTGATCAGCTTTAGCCGTATTTCATGACTGGCCGGCGAATGCTTGAGCAGCCGAGGATTAAGTGTTTCTTGCTTCACCGGTTCAGCCGGGGGCGGAGCCGATATCAGGGAAGCATCTTCAGTCTTGCGCTTGGGCGGCGGGGATATCGGCCGCTGAAAAGAGTGAAAAGGTGATGCCACTAGCTCTATGCCACTGTCTGTATGTGTCGGCCGGCTAACGGCCGCCCTAGCCATGATACGGGAAGAAGTCGTGTTGTATGAATTCAGTCTGGAGACCTTTCTGGGACTGCCAGTATCTGAACTATTGCCCAGCGTGACTGCTTCATCTTGTCGAGTGGCTCTGGGTCCCGTCGGCGTGCAGCTTATCTCCTCGCCGTCGTGGCCGCCAAAGAGACACATGTAGGCCGAGCAGTTGCGCCCGGCCGGACAGGGTATGTGCTTGAGCGAGAGATTCATGGCTCGATTGGTCAAGCTGTATGTCTAGGCCTCACACGTGAGATGAAGTTTCAACAGTGCAGCGTCGAGATTGGCGCGCGCATGACACTATTTAAAGGGAGTGCTTCGGATGGTTCAAGGGCTGCGCAGCGGCACGTCAGGCGAGCCAGCAAACGGTGAGGCCGGGCGAGCAAGAGAGGACGCATGCAGAATGAAAGCGAGTGCGCACAAGAATGGTTAAGTGGTGCACATGAGTAGTGCGCGTGGCACCATTGTTTGTGGGAGATTGGGAGATGAGAGGGAGTGTGGATGATGAAGTTGAATTGCCGTTGGAAACCCTGCACTTGGATTTCGCGGGCCGTCTTGGTGGATGCCGTGGCGCTGTTGGTGACATTAGGTAGGTATCAGGTGTGGCGACGAGGCGATTCTCTGTGGCACAGTTTACAAAACTTGGGAAAGTGGCGAAAAAAAATCAGAGTTAAATACAAACCGAGTCAGAGATTACCGTGGCTGAATGTTGTATTTCTTTCTGTGAATGTTGGTATGGATTAGTCGTTTCAGCGTGCTGTGTGGCTGTCTGCACTGTTTGGCATTACTTGACATCTGCTTCCAGATTACTGGTACCGAGTAGAAGCCACCACAGGCACAAACACGTGAATATCAACTTTATTGATTTTGGATATTGAGTTTTTCAATTATAATGATAATAAAAAAACCCTAAATTATCGAATTGTAAAAGCAATCAGTCATCTCATTTAGGATAGCGTGTCACTCTGCTATGCGTGGCGGTTTGAAGCAGTGTAATACAAGGTAGCTAGTCATGTACGTCTACGTGGGCACACAACCAATAAGTCGGGTGGCGGCTGCACAACACCAAATACCCCGTACTATGGTACTTCAGCCGCAAACAGGCAAGGGAATACAGAGAGATCTGCCGAGAAACGAACCACCATGCTGCTTGGGCGTTGATACCTTGTCTCGGCGTGTTTCACGACATGAGAAAAGGCCGCTGCCACAGGGCTCCGGCACACCAAATCCCTTGATTCAATGCAAAGTAGTCTGAAGATGGGAATGAGGCTAAAATGCCGGTGTGGATTCTATTCACTTCACGGCCCGTTGCAGCTACATAATTTCTTGGGCGTGTTTCGGCTGCCGCCCCCAACCGCGGGCATATGGTCTCTGCCTGGGTCTCTGCCTCTCTTTTATTTTCCTTTTGCATATTGTAAGCCTTGCTTTCGGAGTGCCATTCTTGCAGCTTTTGACAGTTTGGCCCTGATGATCATTGCATTTCGCGACTCGCCTTGCGGTGTCCAAGGAACTAGTCGCCACATTTGAGCTTGATGACACCTGACTCTATCACGATTCAAATATACCCTATACCTACAGCAATTTTCTTGTGTGAACTATATACTTTCTGGAATATATCTTCCCCATGGGAAACAAAATTTATAAACTTCGTGCTAGGGTTATCAATCGGTATAGTAAACCACCAGTTCGCAGACATCTGCAAGAACGCAAGAAAAATAACCTAGATAACGTAAATACCTATATTCAACACTTTTACCACACACCAACTCGAGAATACAATTGTTCGAACATTCTCTGCGCTACGAAGTAGGCAAGTGGGTTAAAGAAAAAAAAAAGCCGTCCTCAGCCATACTACTATATAACGTAACTTTCCTCGTTGACTATGTTACTCGGGCTTTCAACTCTAGTACCAGGTAATCTTCTTGTATCTAGGGCTTTGTGTTCATCATTGTTATAGAAGGTCGTAATTCGTTTGTTGAGTTTCATGTGTCGTCTTGAGTCTTGCTACCATGATGTTCGTAAAACAGTTTCTCGGTCCAGTCATATACATTATCGTGCTTGAAGCCGCGCTCCTTGAACAACCCGGCAAAGAGCCCGCGAAGATGGCCGTAATCCGGCTTATCGTCGTATTCAAGCCCGCGAACGAGGTCAATGTACTGGGCAAACTCTGAAGGAAGTCCCTCGCACAGCTCCGCAGCCGATATGGCCATCTTCTTTTCTTTAATCTTTTCATTCTTTTGCTTGTCGCTGTCGGTCTTGAAGCCCTGCCAGGGCAGCCAGCCGTTGGCGCAATAAATCAGCACATAGCCAAGCGATTCAAGATCATCGCACCAAGACTGTTCTGCACACGAAATCCTTAGCATACCGATACCTCTCAAGTTATGGTCCACACTTTACATACCTAGTCCGTTGTGGTTGTTGATGCTCGCATATCGGGCCGTGCCACCAAACGAGCGGCCCTCGAGCGAACGAAACCTGTCGCGCTCGTAACGCTCCCGGGACAGACCAAAGTCAATAGTGTACAGAATGTTGCCCTTGACGCCGGCGCCCATCAGAAAGTTGTCGGGCTTGATGTCGCGGTGCAGGTACCCCTTGCGGTGGATGTACGCCAGCCGCGCAATGGCCTGGTCCGCGAGCAGCAGCAGCGTCTTGAGCGAAAAGCGCCGCCCGCAGTAGTTGAGCAGGTCCTCGAGCGTCGGTCCGAGAAGCTCGTGAGCCAGCACGAAAAAGTCCGTCTCCTCGCCGAACCAAAACACCTCGGGGATGCCGACGCCTCCGGCGAGCGCGGCGTAAATTCCGGCTTCGTCTTTGATCATGCGCGTGTCCTCACGGGCGCTCATCAGCTTGAGAGCTACTTGGCGACCTGTCTTGAGCTCGGTGCCTAGCGAATTCGGTCAGTCGTGGGCTGGACGCGTTCGGCCATGGGACAGTAACTTTACCCAAGTACACGAGGCCGAAGCCGCCTTTACCTATCTTTTCATCGATTCGGAACTGATCATTAACTAAAATAGGCTATTCGAGTTAGATGGATTTGATAGTCATGGAATTTCAACGTACCTTCATCTTCAATTTTGCCCAATGTTATGGTCGGCGTGTTGTTTGAGGCAAGCTCCCACGCTATGTGTGTAACTTGGCCGCGAGCTGTTGTAACTCGTTACGATTACATGTGCCACAACCCCACTGGATATGCCACACATAGACAGTACCTATTTGATGACTATTGAGAAACCTATTTTGAAGAAAATGATAAGATAATTACCGTGACGTTTCTGATATGCTAGATCTCCTAATTTTGGCTATTCACAAGGGAAATAATGGGGGCGTGGCACATGTAGTAAAGTGCAGGACTGATAAGAAGCACACAAGCCAAAGAGATGTGCTTTTCCCTTTCTGTCACATCTTTGAAAGGCATGATTCAATGATTTTCTCGGTACGACGGTACGGCATTGAGCAGGCTCCTGCCCTGGGACTGGCTGATCAGCCCGCGTGTCAATATTTCTGTACTAGACGGCAAGCGTCAATTCGAACCAGGCGTGCAACAAGGCTTCGTTTGCAGACAGCCCGTCAATAATGGCTTAATCTTGATCGTTAAAGACATCACAGAGGAAGTAAGTCGCTCAAAGCCCACCGTCTGCTCCCCAATCGAGCACTGAGCTCCGTGGCGCGTAATGGTTGGCTGACAGTCGCTCTCTGGCCGCACCACTGAAACTCACACGGCAGTGCAAAAAAGCAAACGAGGCTAGACTCAACAATTTCTCTCGTTTCACGTAGGGTACAAATATTGACTGACTTGCTGCAAGGCGACCTGTGACAACCGCTTGTACTGCCTTCAATGACGCCTTAGATGTTGGGCTCCAACAGAAGAGGATGACAGAATGCCCCCCCCCAAACCGATAAACGCAACGTCTGACTCCCTCTCTCCCAAAGAAAGGAGAATCATGACAAACTTGAGCCGTGCTTTTACGATGGACTTTCCCAAGTCACCGTTTGTGCGCTGGGAGAACTGGACAGGCGGAACAGCAAGAAATCATCTAAACCTGCACCTACTGCACTAATCACCTTCGCTATCGCTCGTGCTCGTGAGAGAGTGGAAAGACTAATCTACGACATATTCGAGGGTCAGTTAGAAGTGACAAGATGTGTGGCAATCTCATTGCTAACCTACTTTGCCAGCGATCTGAGTCTACTGACTTCGAGATGCCAACTATATGGCTGTCAAAAAAGCTCCTTGCCAGAAAGTAAAGTCGAGAAATCCTCGACATGAATTGATACATTCGAATCTGTAACCCTCGACAACGACACATACATGGCCTTGGACACTCTTCCAGTCAAGCGTCCGCGTCCCAAACAAGTACACTTTGAACAAGTTCGTCGGTGCCTCTTTGAGCCCTAGCTATCACTGGCCTGCCATAAGCTTTGTCAAGACTCAGTCTGGAGCACTTGAGAAGTAATTCATCGAAAAACAACACATATATTTCATTGTACACGTTTGGACACAAGCGGTCGCGTTCCAAATAGGTCGGCTTTGAACAAGTTCGTCGCCGATTCTTTGCACCACGAATATCGCTCGCGTGAGATAACTACGTGAAGCTCGATTCGATGAGAAAAAAACACAAAAGAGCAAATAAGAAGTTTGATACAGGAAATAAAACGAAACGACGCAGACATTCACTCTAGCTCTTCACCCGTCTCTGGGCGCAAGAACAAGCAGTGAGACGGTACCACATACGTCTGCAGATATTGCAGCTTCCAAGTGACTGTAGATCTAGACATGCTACAGGATTATCAAGCCTGAGAGTTGCTTTCTAACTTAATGCGTCGTCTGAGCTCTGCGCCGCGTAATACCGACGTCTTGGATTCACAATTGAGGAATGTATAAAGGAAAGTAACTACTCAGTCGGGGTCTGTTTATTCACCAGCCACCAGAAAAAAGAGGCAAGACTGCCGCAAGAGACGCCATATTTCTCATCATGATTTTGAGCCTTATCAAGTCATGACATCGTCGCAGCGCATTGCAATTCTGCACGTTGTCCAGTCTATTCTTTTAGTGAGAGAGACTTGTAACTCAACAAATTGTAGTGTGTTACTATATATCGGCATTTCAATCATATCGTAAACGGGAATCCACATGAGCAGTGAAACCGGACGTGGGATATGCCTAGCTTCCATCTTGAAGGGGGGGTATCCAAAAGCATTGCATGCCGTAGCCCATCTTCACTCCTACCGAGGAATCTTTTTTAACAAATTCTTTTTTTCACTCGCTCGTGATGGAACCCTTTTCGACCTGGTGCATCTCGCGCTCCTTCTTCTGCTTGGCGGCAGCGGCGCGGCGCCACTTGAAGATGCCAAAGACCACGGCCGCAGCTACAAGAAGGAATCCAACAATGGAGCCAACGGCAATACCGGCCTTCTTTCCGGCACTGAGACCACCGCTGCTCTTTGATGTGACAGCAAGAGACTCCACATCATCGGTGCGGCCATATGCGTTGGGCGAGATACCAGACGAGTTGAATCCAGTCACCCATCCGGGCATGGCGCACGACGTCATGTTGAGCGTCTCAATCTCTTTGCCCTGGACCGCGCAGGTATTCTTGTACCTGCGAAGAGCAATGGTGTCATCGGGATTCGAGGCTGGGCGGATAAAGTTGTTTGTATACGAGGGGATCAGTTTCGGCGACACAATGGAAATCACGTCCCGAATCACAAGGTCCGGACGAGCACGGCCGCGGTCAAAGAAGTCTGTAAGAGTAGAAAAAGACAAGCGTCAGTTGAGTCAATTATCACACGTGCTGAAAAAGTACTCACTGTGGCGCTGGTTGCGGTTAGACGCCTTGTCAGAAAGGTAAACGTTCTTGTTTGCTACAGCATAAATGTTCTTTGAAGCACCCGAGCGAGCCGAGTAGGTATCCGCAGTGACACGCACGGCAGAGGGAGCCTCCTTGGGGGCTTGCTTGCCGGGAATCTGGTCGTACTGGGTGGTGTCAATGATTGCCCAGGTGTTTCTGGCAAAGTCATTGGCGTCGCTGTTCGCGCTGATGGAAACAAAGCCAGGCGTGGTCTTGCCCTGGGCCGCGGCTTGTCCATCTGCAGAGACATTGACAAGGCGAGATCCGGCATCGGAGAGAAGTGTGCTCCACCAGGCACTCTGAAAGACTGTAAACTTGTCGCCATCCTTCTCCACGGGAGAGATGAAGGCACCCTTGGGGTAGTCACCGGCAAGAATCGCCTGCTGGACATTGGCGGCAGCGCAGCGGTAGTTGGAAGCGATTTCGTCGTAAATCTTGGCGCCGAGCTCCTCAAGACCGTAGAACATGGAGACAAACTTGATGTAAGCCAATTGGGTCAGTGGAGCATACAATCCTGTGTTGTAGATGAGGACCTTTTTGCTGTCAGAGTTCTTCGTGTCACCGTAGAATGTGACATCGACTTCCTCGGCCTTGTCCCAGTTGTCATCGTCGTACGCCACCTTGTCCATCATATTGCCACGGATGCAGGAGCTGGTCACGTCCGCGTATACACCAGTTCGCTTGATCGTCGTGGACAACCCGAGCATCTTGATTTCAGCATTAGTATAATTGGTGGTTAATACAGGGTGCAACAATTTCGTACCTCAATCATGTTCTGAGAGAAGCCATCCAGGGCTGCCACGTTCTTGACAGGAACCTGGACGATCAAGGCATCATCTCCAACAATGGACCTCGGAGGAGCCTCCTTTGTGCAGTGAAGCACGACATACCTATGCTGCCGGTTCTTGATTGCGACATAGGTGTTGTTGTACGTTGGGAAAAAGGGCAAGTCATCGCCCTCAAACTTGGTCAGGAAGTAGTCTGTGGTCGAGTCCCAAGCTGCATCAGCGCATCCCTCACGGAACGCAGCACGACCAAGCGTGGCAGCAGCTGCCAAGAGTCCAAACTTGAAGAAGCCCTGCATTTTGAGATGAAGTTTGAAAGGTGATGCAACCTGTACGAGGCTTGAGGTTGAGACAAGCAGAATCATAGTCGAGGCCTGTTGACTGTTATATAAGTGCTGTTACATGTAAAAACCCCGAACTCGCCGTGCACTGGGGCATGCCGAGGCCTCAATTCCGGAAGTTCGCACTGCGTGGTGGAGTTTAAGCGGTAACCTTGTGGGACAACCTTGCAGCAACCCTGTAAAGGGTGGAAACGCAACAAGACGCTGATTGGAGAAAGATCATCTGATAAGATCAAAGTTGGGTTTGACACTCTCGGACCAAGCCTAAATAACCCGCATCAAACCCGCATCAAGAGGGGCGCCAAGCCCACCGTACCCAACATGCAGTTCAGCAGCGCGGGGGGGAAACATCCGATTTTGTCGGTTACCGAGTCATAAGCACGCCAAGCTTTCAATATTAAAAAAAGAAAAAAAAAAGCCAAGAACCCGGTGGCTGTTTTCTTTCCAGTCAAGCACCTGCTTTTTCCCTCGGCCGAAGGGTCGGGCCAAGCAAAGCCCTCCACAAACCGCAAAAAGAGGCGTGCCAAGGCGGCGTACTGGTGAACAAAGCTGGCAACTCGTGTGTAAAAAGGTGCAGCAAATTGATTGCCTGTCACAATACTGGACTTCGTATGGTCTATTCCCCCCCGGCCGCGCATTGTGGAGGCCACCTCCATTCCGGCCAAGTTTCGACGCCTTTGAGCGGATATTAACTTTGGCGACAGTGCTAGTTACCGGAGCATTAGTTGGCTGCTTTCAAGGCGGATATTGTTCTTCAGCACTGCCTTATGACGGGCCATGAAAACTCTACCGGCGCCACAATTACTAACCGAAGGCCTTGGTGCCCGAAAGTCGGCGAAGTAGCTGCGGAATGAATATGCCGAATGCAAACCGCGGACAGCGAGCTGAAAGCTAGCGATCGACTGCCATAGAGTAAGGCTTTTTGAGCGCAGACTGTGTCCAATGGCGCACAATACGTCTGGGCACCAACTAGAGGTGATTCCCTATACTTGAACGATCCTTTCGCCGCAGCCTGAGGAAAGCAATTCGATAAAGAGTAACTGCCGTATTGCCACCTCTATACTCTTTTCCAGTCTTGAAGAATTCCAAGTGCCGGTTTCTCGATCTCGAGACTGGCAGCACTGGCAGCACTGGCAGCACTGGAAGCACATGATGAACTACCAATTGAAAAGTTTGATAATCAAGGATATCACCGCAGAACTGTGTCATCGTAAGACTGTGGACTTGCTTCATGCAACATGGTACTTTGTAATCATGTCACAAGCTATCATGTGCAACCAGGCGACAGAAGCAAGCTGCTGGCCTGGCCATGAGAGGTCAACGGGTAAAAAAACGGCCTGTAGGAGAATTTCGCGGTTCGGACAATTGCCGGCGGAAGCGCCACTTGTCCTTAGGCCTGTCACGAAATGCGGAATTGATAAGACAAATCGACCACTTTTATACCAGACAAGCATGAGCCTAGGTCTCCAGTATTGGCATCCAGGACTTCGACGGCTGCATCCGAGAGGCAAAGGCTGGGCAAATGACCATCATGTGATAATATCACGCAATTCACCGCACAGTCATGACATTTGACAATCATGGTGTAGCCGCCTTAGTCCTCTGCTGCTTCTTCGTTGGCTGGTTGGTGCGGGTTCGCGGGCGCTCGATAAATCAGCCATGGCCTGCTCTACAACGTGGCGGTGGCGCTCTTTATGCTCGTTGTCTCAATATTCTGGAGAGGTGGTGTCCAAGTCTTTTCTCTTGAGTAGACAGGTATCAGTCTTCCCGCGGCTCCCAATTGGAGCTGGAAATTTTGAAACGTGCGTCGAGACATGGTCGCCGCGCTCAAAAACGAGCACGATTCGTTATTTCGTGCCATCCAACGAACGCTTGGTAAGCCACCAATCCGCCTGCATAGCCTCTTCCCAACACACCCCCGGTCCTGTCGCCCCAGAGAAGCAGTCTGTTATGGTTGCCAATATGCTCATACGCTAAGAGCAGGATCGCAATCACCGCCCGATGCACAGCTGCTTCCTCACGCTGACCGTCCCGGGGGGGTACTGATGGTTTGTTTTCCAATTTTCGTTCCCTACTTGGCCTTTCTAGCACCCAGAATAAAGAGAGTCTATCTGACGCAGGGGCTCAACCTCGACGACGAGTCCAAGCTGACCCTGAGCCTTCTTTGTTGGCCTCCGACAAGGTCATGCAGGATCACGACCCGTTCCGAGACAACATCGCTGCAATCTGCGCCGCACAATAATTTCTGATGTCAAAGTAGAGACCGGAAAGAAGTGACTCAACTCGTACTGGTCGGATTGGCAATATAATGACGACTTCTTGGCGGCTGCTTCTGTCAAGCCTACGGCGGCGGAAGCCAATGCGTCGCCTCTAGTGCGAACTTGTGACTTGAGGGCATTACTAACCAGAAACCCTATAATAAGGCCTTGGATTTCTTCGACGTGGCCGGGATCATACAAGGGGAGTTCGGTCAGCACATGATCGGAAGTAAATCTGCAATGGACTGGGAGTTGGCGCTCGCGTCTCGTTGATCCATCGTCATCCTCGGACTGCCTGTGCGGGAACAAAAAGATGAAAGTAGTATCAGGCATGCTCACGCATGTGTAAACCGCCGTTCAAGACCAGCGTCAGATGTCAGACCGATCACTACTCACTTGATGCCACTTCCAATACGAGTTGCCTGGAAACCCTTTCCGAGGACACCGACAACGACAATGCAAGTCTAGTACGCCGTGTCTCTGGGGTGGAGATTACTCGAGCAGCGAGGTTCCAGCCGAGATTGTATTCCAATTGCTTCGTAAACTAATTTCCTTGTTATGATTTTTTTTTTTTTTTGAATATATTCGCCAGTCGATACTCCATCATCACAGCCATCGTAAGCTGAAGACCTCATCGCCATGTCGCGAGTTGCCAACCTCGACACTGGGGCTCTTGACACTGGTAGGAATCGTTTCCTTCTTCTCCAGCACGATGCGGCGCGTCGTCTGCGGTAATTTATAAAAAGTACGTCCATTCTTGCTGAGAAAGTTTTCGAGCTTCTCCTGCGTGACGTCGGCGTCGGCGAGGACGCCGCGCTCGATGCCTTCCTGCAGGGCGAGAACGACGAGCTGCGTGACAAACGGCTGCGTAAAGACGCCGGCGGGGGCCTTGCCCTTTTCGGCAGATGTCTTGTTGGAGATGGGGTGCGGAGCGCTGTCGCTGCCACTGTACCCGGATTAGTTGGTCAATGGTGAACAATGACAAGGAAGCTTGGGGATCAAGGGTGTATGTACAAGAAAAACTTGGGATTGCCGCTCATGGCGGCCTTGAGAAGAGCGTCGCGGTCGAGAGGCTTCTTGGGAATGGGCTTGCAGAAAGCAAAAGGGTCGCAGCAAGCGTCGGCTTCGGTGAGATATAGATGATGGGCAGTAATGGTAGCACCGACGTTGGGCCCGCAAGCCTTGACAGCCTCGACCGCAGCAGAAGTAGTGCAGTGTTCGAGCTATCCATGATCAGCCAAATCTTTTTTTACTCCCGTTGATTTTTGAATTGCTCACAATGATGCGCAACTTGGAGAAGCGTTCGTGCAGGCTCTTGAGCGTGGGCAGAAAAGCCTCTTCGAGGGTCATGCCCGCGGGAGCCAGCGCCTCGAGGGCTTCACCGTGCAAGTTCAACACTAAGTCGTTTCTCTCCATCGCCTCAAAAGTGTCGTAAAAGGCCTTGAGATCGGCAACGCCATTGTCCGAGTTGGTGGTGGCGCCCTGAGGGTACAGCTTAACGCCGGTGACGCCGGCCGCGGCAGCCTTGTCAATCACCTCGGGCGTGACACTAGAGTGCAGAAAGAGAGACATGAGGTAGTTGACGTTGGGGTTGATGGCGAGAAGCTTCTGTTTGTACGCGAGAGCCATCTCGACAGTGGTCACGGGAGGGACCTGCGGTCGTTAGTCACACTTTCTGTCTCAACACCAGCCTCGAAGTACAGCAACAAATGCGTTGAGCCCAACACAGGCTTAGACGTACCAAGTTAGGCATACTGTATCGTCACCTTGGAATCAGCAACGATAGATTTTTTCCAGGAAAAGCTCAGTGGATTCCACGTCTTACACAAAGGCCGTATCAACGCCGCCCGCCGTCAGAGTCGGCGTGACAAGCTCCATCATGTCGCCATCGCGCAGGTGGACGTGCATGTCCGCTGTTGCGGGCAGCTCTATGCGTTGAATATTCTTCAAATCCATTTTCTCGCGATTGATCTAGATTCTGGGTATTATTGACCAATACTTGCAAAGATATTCCCAATCCAAGTTGGCGCAATTGTTCCCCAAACGGCTTGAAAATTGGGTTCGGCATCACGTGGAGGTCCCACAGCACGTCTTCAACTTCAACGTACTTTTCTAATTCCTACAATCCTAGCATGTCTTCACGAAGAGGCTTGCCTTCTTTCTCTTCTTTCTTTTCTTTCTTTCTTATTTTTATTCTTTATTTTTGTCGAAGAATTATTGGTAATTACTCATTGAATTTGGATATCATTTACATAAAAATCATGTGCAGTTCTTAGAAAAGCCACGAGACGTAGCGGTGGTAGAACTTGCGAGCTCCTGTGCTCTGGGCACGATCCACCTTCAGGTTCTCGAGGTACTCCTGCTCTTCATTGTCGATAATGCTCTTTCCAGTATAGAAATCGGCCTCATGGGGCTTTACACCGCGTGACTTGGTGACAAACATGTGGCCAAACAATAGAATGAAGTACATGGGAATGCCAATGTAGCCGGTGATGAAATCCTTGTAGGCAAAGTTGGTCTCCTTGGTGTGAATAAAGACGGTAAAGTTCTTGGTGAGGCAAATCAAGCAGCAGAAGAAGAGCGCAACGACAGTACCCCAGTAGCCTTGCGGCGCGACAAAGGGCATGGCGGATTTGGGAATGTTTTGGGCCTCACGAGCTTTGACAAAGTACATATGCGTGACGAGGATTGAGATCCATGCCAAGAGACCAAAGACGGTTGTGAGGTTGACAAAGTAGCCAAAAACGACCTTGGAATCGCTGCTGACGTTCATGAAGGCAAGGCAAGCGAAGAGAGCGGCAGTGGCGAGGGCGACGTACGGAACACCACGACGATCGGTGCGCTTGAAAATGGCTGGCGCAGACTCGTCCGAAGCTAGGCCGTACAGAGTACGGCTGGCAATATAGAGATCCGAGTTGGAGGCAGAGAAGACGAAAACCAGGATACAGGCGTTGATGATGTGAGGAAGAACTTTGACGCCGGCAAGCTGAGCAGCAACGACAAAGGGAGAAGAAGCAGCAGAGGCGCCCTTCTTGGAACCTTCGCTGTTGGCGAAAGCGAGCTCAGGGGAGTTGTAAGGGACAATCATACCCACGAGCAGCACACTGAGGCAGTAGAAGACGAGAATTCGATAAAAGGTCAGTCGGATGGCCTTTGGAATTGTTCGGCGTGGGTTCTGAGCCTCGCCAGCAGTCACACCGACCAGCTCGGTACCGAGATAGGCAAAAGTGGCATTGACCATGACAGACCAGAAGCCCAAGAAGCGGCCGAGGGAGCCGGTGGAGTAGCCCTTGAGCTCAGCAAAAGCACCAGGATTGGACCAGTAACGAAAGCCAGACGCATCGTGGTTGGGACCACCGCCGCAGGCAATGATGAGAGCAAAGAGGATGATGGCAATAATGACAATGACCTTGAACGAGGAGAGCCAAAATTCAAACTCGCCAAAAAACTTGATGCCACCAAAATAGTTGATGCATATAATGGCGACGAGGAAGATGGCGACGAAGACGCCGGGATTCACTTTTTCGGGTTTGACCCAGTACTGAATGACGAGGGCAGCGGCCGTCAATTGATTGGGCGTGATGACGAGGTACTTCATAAGATAACTAAGAACGATTAGCACATGAAGAGTCAAGTATCAAATCGTACATGTACTCACCACCAACCAAGAGCAAACCCAAGAGAAGGGTGGCAGTAACGGGTAGCGTAGCCAGTGAAGCCAGAGTGAAGCGGTATCCATGCAGCCATCTCGCCGAGCGCGGCCATGACCATGAAGACGAGACAACCAATAAAGAGGTATGAGATGAAGAGGGAACCAGGACCAGCTTGGGCAAGAGCCTTTCCCGTGCCGACAATGAGACCAGTTCCGAGGGCACCACCAATGGCAATCATGCTGATGTGACGAGCCTTTAATCCACGGTGCAGCATCGAGTCGGGATCCGTCTCAAGACCGCGAATGTGCTGAGGCTCGGCATCGTTGGGGCCCATGATTTTCTCATTGTGGCCACCGCTGCCGCCGTAGACGTAGTCCTTGTCACTCATGGTGAGCTGAGCTACAAGATAGCGAGCGGTGTCGTGTGTGCGTGTGGTAAAGCAACCTGTTGAAACAACGGGCTGGTGTGAGTGAGACACAATAAGCAGTCGAGTATCCTGTAATTTTTGAGGAAAATGGGAAGCCCTCGCTGGATTGAACCCTTGAAAGGAAGAAGGAAGCCTGAACAAGAAGTTGTCAAGAACAAGAAACTCCTCCGTGAGGAGTAGGAGGGCACGAGCTAAAGGACCTTTTGTAGGGTTTCCCCAATGTCAGCAGTCCAGCTGAACTTGAGTCGCCTCACCCCAGCCCAAGAAAAAAACGGCTGAGGAGGCAACTTGAACCAACCTTGTTCTTTAGGGGCGTTATCATTGGTGTGCCAGGCCAAACCCCCCCAGCCCATGCTCGCATACATACCCACCCATGCCCGCATACGTAGATAGTTACTCCGTAGATACGCACGACTTATCTACCTTGGGACAGCAGGCCCGACTCGCGCTGCGCCCACCGACAAAGTCTGACCAGTGAGATGGCGACGGAAGCCCCTCGGAAACGGGTCATCTCTGGCGTTGGTGGTGGCGGGCACTGGCGGCACACCTAATCTCCAACTAAACCACAACCAAAGACAAAGATTGCGGCAGGCTGCGCCTCGAGAGTTTCTGCCAAGCATTCTGTCCGTTGTTACTGATAAGTCTATCACTTCCTGGGTCTGGTCCACCCGTGGCCCCGTTGGCCCCAGGTCCAGGCTGGCAGGAGCTCCGCGCTCGCCAAGCAATTTCTCCAGGCTAAGAAGAATGGGGAATCCGAAGATTTGCGCTTGGTTAGGGTTCCAGGCCTGGGGTTCAGAAAATCAGTTCCATTTTATGTCTGTAAATCCTCGGGTGCGTTGCATCCCTCTCGAGCTGTTGGACAGACTGCAGTCGATGCTTATGGGCTGGACAACCAGCTGAAATAAATACTCGTAACTTACGGATTAGGCGCAAGGCAGAAAAAAAGGCAACAAGCGTCAATGCTCCTGCCATCCCAACGCAAGTAAAAATTTTGCGCTAGCCTGGTCAAGTGAGCTAGCTGCTGTCGCTTCAGTAGGTAGGCACGTAGGGTGGTGGGTGAGCTGCAGGCTGGTGTCGCCCGGTTTATTACTAGGTACTTGTCTGACGCAAAAAGGCAAGCCACCATGAACAAGAGCAGAAGGTGTTTGGGTGTGCATTCCAAAGCTGGCTGAGGAGGGGCTAGCTAACTAGTTCACTAGTCGGCTAGTCGCTTTGCGTCTGTGTTGTTGTGAATTTCATGCTCCCTTTGTCATTTAATATCTCGCCCATTGGCGGGGGGCCAAGATTAGGTGCCTGCCAACACCGCCAAGCAGAATGGTCCGACGAGTCGAGAAAGCCTTTTTATCTTTTATTCCTCAGCCAAGGCGCCAACTCTGTGGAATTCCCTCAACGGCTTCTCACGATAACTACAGCCAACCCCATGCTGCTTACTCGGTAGGTTACCAGTATTATTACTCGCCCTGATCCTGTCCACTCGTAGCCTCGTCGTGTCCAGCTCGTCCAGCTCGTGTCCAACCAGAGCTCGGCCTTGTCTCGTGGTCTTTCCCCTCTTCTAGTTAGTTGCCCGCAAACCCTCGTGCATGGACAACAAGGTGCAAGGGTTCTCCAACTCTCACGCAGTCCACGCTAAATAGATGAGGAGAAAGCTTAAAAAACTTCATATGTATGTACACAGGTTTATCAGTGGATTCGGGCTTCCAGAACAAACGTGGTCGCGCTCCACCCAGTACTATCGGGGGGGGGGGGGTCCGCTGTTGTTGCAGAAAAACGCCGCCGTTTTGCTGCTTGTTTTACTGCATACAACGCAGCAACGGTCGGACCATCGCTAGGCGGTGGCCAGGAACCATTGACTACACTACCTAGTGAAATTGGATGACTCGCGGACAGATACACGCGGGGACACGCGGAAACACGCGGTGAGGCAATTGCCAGACTGAGTAGCTAACAGACGCTAATAGACCTTGGCCTTGCCATGGTACCATTAATTTACCATGCAAATCACCCATTACCCCTCATTACCCCGTATTCTACAGCGTTAGGGAGATGGGGCTGCTATGCTGAGGCTGTTTTTATTGTCTGGGGTACAAGTTATATTTTCTGGGCTGTTTCAGGGGTTTGTGGAACAACCTTTACCACTCCCCGCAGTCGCCATTTGCCGATGAGGGACCACGCAGCTCGTGGAGATGATTCTCACGATACCTCAGGTCAGAAAGAGGGACTAAATGGACATAGACAAAGGTGTCGTAACATATGGCTCGAAATACCTCATGGTTCTGACCACAACAATGCCCCCAATGCAACATCTCGAAATATCATTCATTTGCCACGTGTGAAATGGCCCCCCCTTCGATTGACTTACCAAGATTCTCTTCTCACCTTCTAGAACACGAACATGCCTAGAGTACTCCACAAATATAGGCAATCAACCTTTTAGACGCATGGGAAAGCCTGGGGAGCCGTCAACGCTTAGTTCGCCGACCGATGAGACACTGCGGGTTCAATCTTCAGCGAATGTTCGCGCTCCTACAAAGCAGCTGCTAAACCTTGTTGCTACATCTCCAGGACAGATGAACAGCTTTCTCTGGTAAAATCATCATGGAGCTTGCATCGCGCCTCACCAAGTACAGCAGTCGTATATCCATGCCTGCAGAGCGAATTTGCCGCTGCTCAAGTGCGCCGCCGCCGACGAGTTTGGATGAAGTGTAATCAAATAAACAAAGTATACTTGGAGAAGAACCTTGAAGAAGACTAACTATAACTGGACATATCTATCACAGAGGAACAGCTGAATTCCTCTGTTGTACGATCTTGGCAGAGATCGAGAAAGCCGGCGCAGCAAAGGCTGCTACTTGCACATGTGTCCAAAAGAAAAACAAAAAGAAAAAAAAAAAGAAAAAAGATTCCAACTCGCTCTCGTCTGGAGCCCCTGACACAGTTCTGCATCCTACTAACAGCACTGTTCTCGGAGACGTGATTATTGGACAGTGCTGGGCACGCCATCATCTTGGCCATCAGTATCCGTATCAATTCAAGCGAAAGACCTCGACCAAGTTGAACGCTTAGCAGGCTAGACAAAATGGACAGAGTCCTGAGCACTCTACTCAAAACAACTATGTGCCCTGATAGAATCGAGGAAAGCGACGCCTTTTACTACGGAACTTTTCGAGAGAAGTTTGGAAGAACTGAATAAGAGTAAATACGACTACCTCAGCATTACCCCGCAAGTCTGAGCCACGATTCCGTTACATGTAGTAGTTGTTGTCGTATTCTCCAACGCCTTGGAAATATTTTGTGCAAAGGAAAAAGGCGCCCGCCGGGTACTGGAGTTGGGCTCCATTGCCTGACGGCGAGCCTGTGATTCCGTCACATGCATCATGCTCGGTAAGAGACAACTAGACGCCAACATGAACAATATCAAATTCTGAGAAAATTATTCACTGCACACTGTAGAATTACGCTTCAGTTACCTCTCGCTTCAATTACCACTCCACGGTCTTGTCTAGCCCTAGTACTGACCCCCTTCGACAGTCGATTTAACAGGCATGACGCCGTTTTACCCACCACCATTACCCGGTCTACAGTGTCGCCTTCGGTTTGCGACACGAGAAAAGAAGAAGCTTTCAAAAATAACGCAATTTTCTCAAAGTCTCCGTCGCTATCTCTTTCGAAAGCAGTGATCTGCAGTGGTACTGTATTGCCATGAAGCTAGGTGTCCTGAGTGTCGCATCGGCTTCGCCTCGCCCGGGGTTACACTGCCAGCCCTATCCTCCACATGAGAAAGCGGCCAAGTCTGAGAGACATCTCAAAAGGCGGCCAAGTCTTGGCACGTCTGATATTAAAGCCTGCCGATTCTTGGAGTGGCTTCGCTCTCGAGAACTTGGCACTGTTGATCAGACAGCGGCCGCTCATCTCAAGTGGCTTTTGCATCCAGACTTGGCACCCCTGAGCTGAAATTCTGTCCAAATCTCGAGCGGCTACCCCCCCAGATCCTCGGCAATCCCATCAGTAGACCTGTTTTCTATTTCTGTGATCCAGACGAGCTTCTATGTACTTTCAAAGATACCACGTTAGCTCACCGACCACTCTCAACAGCGGACATTCTACATCGCGACATAATCACCAACAAGACCATCTATCATTACGCGCCTACGTCCGAGAACCACAGGTTAAGGGGCGTTTCGCTAGCTGACCTCGAAATAGTAAAAAATGGCAACTCCAATCAGCTTCGTCCTACAGGCGTGAACTGGAACATTACAGTTTTGGTTTATGGCGTCACCTGCGGCGAGCACCACATGCTCTAGATTTACTCAATTTGCGACTTCGTCCGCTGTCCCTGTTCACAAGCGCCAGAATGCATGATAGAAATACATTAATTTAACCAGACGCCCACTAGCCGCTAGGCACTAAAAGACAACAATCAAAGTATGCTTGCACAAAACTCTCGTTACTCTTGCGCGAGCTTCGTAACAATGACTATGAAAAGAGATTCCCCCGGACGAGTTCCAGAACCCTCACACAGCCCAAAAGGCAATTCGCAAGTTATTTACGTTGTTATAGAAAAGAGTGTTGATTTTTTTTCAAGTTTGCAATCTGTTTTTTTTCCTTCATTCATTCGCTTGATAGGCTTAGTTCTCGTAGCCCGCTCCGCGTTGCCAAGGACTACCCGAGTTTTGCTGTCGTGCCTGGCGCGTAGGACCATTGGGGTCCAAGTTTGGGCTTGGGCGCGAAGAGGGCGATGGCGACGGCGAATTGCGGCCAAAGGAGCGCTGGGACTGGTTGTTGAGAGAGCCGAGAACGTGGCTGTGAGGCTTGGCTTCGAATTCCTCCTCATCAAACATGCGTGACTTGTTGTCGCCGCGAGCGACGGCGGCGAGGTCATCGAGCTGGTTCGACTTGTCAAGCTGTGTATTGGATTTCATGAACGAGGCACGGTCGTCGCCCATGTACTGGTAGCGCGAGTCGGGGTTCTTGCGGAAGACGGCAAAGGCAGTTGAGACAATGACCATGAGCAAGAGAACCAGGGAAAAGGCGGCGTTGAGGACGAAGAGGATGACACCAAAGATACCAACGACAAGGGCGGGAGCATCAAAGACGTTGGTGTAGATGAGCAGGCAGATGGCATTGATAAAGTTGACGACACAAATCATAATGTTGAAAGTGTTGGTAGGCTTGTCCATCCAGGGGCGGATAACGCTGGCACCGATGAGAGCGCCGGCTTCGAGAAGAATAAAGGCAATGGCCTGAGTGATGCCGCTCTTCTGGGCGACGGCGACAAAGAGAGCCTTGAGAAAGGTGTAAGCAAGCAGCGGAGCGATAAAGTAGTGGCACGAGGCGCGGAACTGGATGTAGAGGAAGCCCCATTTGTTGATGACGTTAGGATCGGCGAACAAGATGTAGGCAGGATTACTGTGATGGCTGATGGAACGACGAGCAATGGTGATGACCTTCCAGGTGCCAAAAGCCAGGGTGGTGAGTGTGGCGACAAGGAAGAAGACGGCGAGAACGACCTCGGCGGCAGAGTCGGCCTGAGTGAACTCCCAGAGGCAAAAGACGCTGACGAGGGGAAAGCCAAGCAGGGTAAGGCGGAAGATGATGCCCTTGAGGACGGTGACCCAGCCATTGCGGAACTCGAGGAAGCGGTCGCCCTTGACTGTACGCTTCTTGGCCAGGAGCTCGAGAATGCCTTTGTATGCGGCGACAGCAACAGAGGTGAAAACAACGAGGACGCAGAACCAGGTAATGGTGGTCATGAAGAGATTAGTGGATTCAATCCTGGAGCGAAAGGCGACACGCTGGATACCATATACAAGATAAGTTCCGGAGCCGGTCTTGATGTTACCGCGGCGAGCAAGGGTACCAACCCGTTCAGGGAGCAGATCGAGGCCGCGGCTAGCGAGATGGAGCCCACGCTTCTGGACCTGAACCGAGTATGTGCGGATGGAATCGAGAATGGTGGAAGGTGTACCACCAGTAGCACGCTGGTACCAAGTGAAGATGTCCTGCATGAAACCAAGGCGGATGATGCCCATCGTCCACTGAAAGTCTTGGGTCCAGGCGCGGACAATGGGAGGGAGCTTGACGGCAGTGAGACCAACCATGGCTTGGCTCTGGAAATAGCCAAAGAGGGAGAGGGAGTTGGCGGCGACGTGAGAAGCGGCGTTGGCGTGACCAAGGCTGTTGAGGACAGCGGAGGAGATGAGGGCGAGGAAGGCGATGACAGCGGTGGCCCATTTGACACCCACGGTATCGACAGTCTTTTGGTTGGAGATGTTTGCCTCGAGACAAGCAACCTCGTCATCGCCAAGCACAACGCGGACCTTGGCGGTAGCATCGAGATCGGGAATGGAAAAGGCGATACCGGGAATAGGGACGTTCTTGCCAATCTCGAGACGGAAATCCTGAGGCGGCTTGCCAACCTGCATGGGACACATGCCCTTCAGTTCTTCGATGGTGCAGGGATCGACGGCTTTGTTGTCCATGATGGGATAGCCATATGCCGAGACGGTGACGTAGAAGATGACCTTGCCGGAAATGGTCGACGTGGCGGTCATGCTAATGTCGGCGAAACCAGTGTCGGCGTCATATTTGACGTTGAATAGACTGGCAGTGAAGCCAGAGGCAGCAGAACAGGTATTGAGCGAGTTGGATACGAGAACGCGGGCTGCATCAGCGGCGGGTAATAATGTGGCGGCGTAACCAAGGGCCGCGAGGGCCGCGCGGCGGAAAGACACCATGGTAAGCGGCGGACGAGGGGTTTGTTGAAAGGCGACGACTATTGGGATCGCAGAAAGCGCATCGCAAGATGGTCGCGCGGCGATGGAAATGGACGATGGAAGCGCGGGGGCGATGATGGACGAGGCAAAAAAAACAAAAAAGGTGTCTCTACAGCCAGATGGTTTCGGTTCGTTAGGCGGAAGTATCGGTAGCGGGTCCCGTCTGATTTGCGATGTGACACTTGTTGACGGATGTGCGACCGGGCGAGAGGCTGCGGGTAGGACAACAGGGGTGTTTGACAGGGTCGAGACAATAGTAAAAAGGAAGAAAAAAAGACGAGGTTGAAGGAAAAGCGAGTGGATAGAGTTGAAGCGAAAGAAAGAAAAAGGTTGTACGAAGAAGGCCCAGAGGAAAAAGGATGAGCAAACGATAGGAAGAGATGGAAGGGGAACGAGGACAAACCTGTGTGGGAGGCTAGATAAACTTTTAGCAGACGAGTGGGTTGGGAGTCAACGAAGGGCGAATGAGTGAATGAGTGCTCTGGAGTCTGCATGCATCCAACACGTCAACAGCGGTTACGAGTGCTGTAAAACTGGGGGTCACGCACTAAAAAGCTCAAATGCGGACCCGTGAGGAATCATTGATGGCGCATTTTACAGCGTTTCGACGCTGGAGATGAATGTCGCAGAGCTTCTAGGTACAGTGCATTTACAGGGCATTTCACGGCAGCTTCTCGCCAAAGATGAATTTCATCGCGCCAATTACAGTTGCTGAGTCGCTGAACATGATTCTTACAGCGCACCTTGCGCCAATTACAGACAACCGTTCTGCACCACTGGTTGACTGGAACGTACATCAACAAAGGACGCGCCAGCTCTCCGCATTTCTCACCCTTTGGAGCTCCTGACTATTTAGTTAGAGTATGCAAATCCCCTTTTACCATGTCTCTCTCCCCTGCATCACTCTCTCTATGCACTGCCCAGTGCCCGCATTCAAGACCTGCTTTTAGCCCCCCAGAGCGGTCTATTTTCAGTCCACCCGTCCACCAGCACCGCGCTAGCCCACCTCGGCGCTGGCCTATCCAGATGAACAAGGCTCGTGGCAATCTTGTCAATACGAGAGCGCTTCATTTAATCACCGAGCAGTGTCTGCGAAATTGTGGCTGGGTGTCCAGTCTCTCTCTTTTCTTGTCTCTCATTCTTTTTTACGAGTGCTGCGTGATTCGGCTCGACGACTGAGCTGGCTGGCGCTGCGCTATTGCCCGCCACAGAAGCTGCATTTTTCGATTGAAAAAGCGACGTCATGGAGGCTGCGGGGCTCATACCTCGCAGCCACTTTCTACATCAGAGTGCACTATGCTTCGTGCCATCCATCTCATAAGCGGCATGGACACGTATCGGAAGAATACCTTTTACAAACGGCAACGCAAATCTGCGTTATAATCTGAGACGTGCTGAGAGCTTGCTATTTGTATAGTGCCACAGTGCCATACAGTTGCTGATGGGGGCCAATTACCACTATTCAGCACACGGTGCCGGAATACGAGACCAGCCCACTAAACAGCCCGGGAAAACCGATATTCCGTCATGAACGCGTGGCAGCATACCTGTAGCGGAAACAACATGGCAACAACGTTTGACGGCAACAGCCCTTGACGAATCTTTGCCTGAAACCTGAAACACTTTGCCAAATCCTGGAAACATGCTGGTTGAGTCCTCTCACGAAATAACAAGCATTCTTGAGACCAATAATTTTCAACCTGCTGTCTGCCAGCTTGGTCCTTTTGACATCGGCAGAATCACCCGTCTGACACAGCCACTGTTAGCCCCCATGGACCCCACTATCCCACCAGGCCACTCGAGATCGCTCGTTCAACAGATGTCTCTCGATTCTGAGAAACCATGTTTGGGAAAACAAACTGTAACATGTTTCAGAGAAGCTGAACGAAACTGCACAAGAGTTTCTATTACGCGAGTAATACATGCCGGTTTGACAGTGATGCCTTTGCCTGAGTAGAACATCTATGGCTTTTCCTCCTCCGCGACTTTGCCCACTCTTGAAGGATCAATATTTAATTACACGTTGTAATGCCATTGTCTTGGCAGAAAAAACGTCAACTTCTGCCAAGAAACTGTTTTGCGAGTCTGCTTTCCCCTTCTGGCAAGCCCTTGCTAAATAATTGAACCCCGGCCAAACGTTACACTTATGCTCACTACTAAACCCTTTGGTCGGCCTTCCCATCAGACAGTCTCCGTGCCTTATCTGCGAAAAAGGGCAAAAATTCGCCCAAGTCTCCACCAGTATGACAAATTGACGCCGGATGCAACTGATATGCGCGACTGTAACATGCAGTTCTGACAGGCACCATGTTTTTTTAGCTCAACACCATGTTACTAGAGATGGCCGAGCTAAGCCTAAGGCGCAACTCTAGTACCAAATTCGACAAAAGAGACATAAATACAGATGACCGACAAACAACCGCAGGTCTTGAACGAACAGCGTTGCCGTTGCTAACTACATAACCATTAAGTCCTGGCCTCTCTTCAACTCAAAATTTGCCACGGTCAACCACTGATTGGAAATTCTATTCTCAGCTATGCATCCAAGTTATTTACCTACATCTCTCCTAGGCGTGACCTCTGCTCGATCGAAATAAACTTACTAAATGTATCACCCCTGCCTCCAGCTCGAGAACCATAGCGGCGGGCGTTCAATGTCAATGGGGAGCGAGTCGATCTCACCTACCAAGCCATCGACCCGTTTTATAGGCACGGCGAAGTTATTCACTGCGGCCATGGCACGGCCATGGAAAGATCGGCAATACACCCCACAGTCTGTCTGTTTCACGGGTGTCCCAGCAGAGCACGGCCCGCGTGTGGTTGAACGCACGGCATGACAGCCCGGAGCCTGGCGTAGGGGAGTCGCGGAAATGTAGGCCGCTGTTTATGGCAACTCGCCGAGCCTCGTGGCAATTGTGCATCAAGACAGTCTCCTGTGCCAACAATGAGCGGTGTTCTCGGAGAACATGTGTTGTGGCCTTTGTTCGAAGACGGGTCGAGTAGCCACAGGATACAGATTTCGCTTTCATTCACGGGGAGCGTGTATTGCTTAATGTATGACGTTTGGCAGGTAACTCGAACAACACGGGGACCCTGTCTTACGGATGGAGATGCTCGAGAGAGAACTCGACTTCAGAGTAGGCGCCGAGGTGAGAAACTCATTCGTCTCATAGAGATACAATTTTCTAAAGCGACTTCCTGACTCATTCGTGTATCCTTTCCACCGCCACAAGAGCTTGTTCGGAACACATGGGAAAAAGTGCGCCTTCGTCAATCTTGCATTAGTGGGCAGCCTAAGCCGGCCGACTATGGTGCTTATGCTGGGTCTTATACAAGATGGAGTTGTCGATTGAAGAATGTCAGAATTGACAGTGCGATAATCGTCCGTAATGTGCACCTTTGGAGCACATACATGGTGAACACGGAAATGGCCTCCTTGGGATGTGTTGCCACAGGCTTGTTTTAATTGCCGCTGTGGCCGGCGGGAGCTTGTAAGATCAAGTCTAGAAGGTGGACCCCTTGCTAGCGCGGGGCAAGCTGGCTGCCAACAACGGAATAGAAAGAAGAAAAAAAGCCAATGAGAAATACAATATGGAAAAGTTATAAGAAAAATTTAGTCAAGTATCGAAAACAAGGAACGTAATAGTCAGAAGTAGTGCAATAAAGAAAAGACGGCAGGAAAAGTGGTAGCGTCAGCCTACGCCATCAGCCCTCTATTCGAATAAGCAGTTTCTGCCAGACTTTCTGAGAGCGATGGTTTAATTAATATGTGCGATTTTTGTTGGGAAGTACCTTTCCTATCTGATTTCTCTTTACAGCCCTGAGTGAATTAAATAGGAGTCGCAGATAAGACTCGTAAAAGGCCGAGATTGAGACCCTCCACTGCTTTGGCGTGAGCAGCGAGCGGCCTTTGCAGCGGCGCCACAAGCTACCTAGGTACCTTACCTTAGGTACCTACCTAAGGTACCTACCTAGGTAAGGTAAATAGGTAGTTACCTTGGGCAGTCTTACAGCGCCCATGGTCCAGCAGTACTGGGCAGCTCACAGATCAGAAGTATGGGATAATGGTGCATGATCTTGTGTAAGTAGGTGTCTACTTTCAAGTGTAATAAGAGACAGTTAAACTAGTTAGCCAACGTTCAGCCTCTATTATTAGGCGCCCATCAGCTGACAATGGCTGCTGCCAGCACTTGCCAAGCGTAAATGTGCCTGGCAACTGCGCCCCATGCAAGCCTCACTACACCGAGCCACCACACCCCCCCTCCAGCGCCAACTTAACCTACGCATTTTCCACGAACCACCTCTCGTGGCGAGCAACATTGCCATTGCCCGCTTTAACGTCTGCGCTCGCCTTCCGCGCGTGCTTCTATAGTTTCTGTACTGCCATACTTTCTTGCGCCGAAATCGCCTCTCGCAACGCCTGCATGTGCCCTCCATCCTAGGTAGCCCATTCGCACGCGGCGAGCCACTCTTCCTACGTCACCTTCCACCATGGTCGAAGTCGAGGCTATGCCGACTTTTGGCGCCGAGCTCAAGGTGAGCATCTCTTCCCCAGTCAGATCTTTGCAATCTCGTTACATTGCCCAACATTACTTTCGAACTCGGCGGTATCACTATAGCCGTATACTGACCTCTCCCACAAGGACGGGTTCAAAGGCGCAAACGCCTGGGTCAGCCACGGAATCGCCTGGCTCGAAGACATTCAACAGTTCTACCGCGAGCGCGCTGCCATCGAAAAGGAATACAGCGCCAAGCTAGCCGCACTCGCCAAAAAACACTTCGATAAAAAGAATAAGAAAACATCTCAGCTGAGCGTTGGTGACACACCGAGCCTGACTCCTGGGTCTCTCGAAAGGTAACCGCCGAACCTTGCCGCGGCCACGTTGGAAAGCACTCTGATACTTACTGGCTTCATCTGTAGTGCATCCGTAACTACCTGGGCGACCCAGCTGACGACCATCGAATCCCGAGCCGCCGAGCACGATACGTACGCCAACAACCTCATTTCCCAGGTCGCTGAGCCCCTCAAGTACTACGGTGGACGTTTTGAAGAGCTGAGAAGGCGCCATTCAGAATATGCTGATCATCTCACCGCCGAGCGCGACGCCTCCTACGAGCACCTGCGCAAGGTCAAGGGCAAGTACGACACTACCTGCCAAGAGCTCGAGCTTCGGCGCAAAAAGTCCGAGTCCAGCTACGACAAGGCCAAGGCCCAGAGCGCCTACCAACAACAGATGATCGAAATGAACAATGCCAAGAACACATATCTCATCACCATTAATGTCACGAATAAGCAAAAGGAAATGTATTATCACGAATACGTCCCAGAAGTCATGGACAGTATACAAGATCTCAACGAGTTTCGCATCATCAAGCTCAATGGCTTGTGGTTGGTCGCTAGTCAACTCGAAGAGGGTCTCATGAAGCAAAGCGCGCAGATGATGCAGAGCCTCACCCAGCAAGTTGCAAGAAATTTGCCCCATCTTGACTCCATGATGTACATGCGGCATAACCTCGGTACATTTCAGGAGCCCGTCAACAACACTTTCGAAGCCAGCCCACTGTGGCACGACGACAATCTTATGATTGTAGACGAACCGGCAAAGGTATATCTACGCAATGTGTTAAGCAAGTCTAAATCACAGCTCGGTGAGCTACGTCGCGAGGTGGATCGGAAACGGCGAGACGTTGAATCTGCCAAGAACATGAAGCAAAAAGTACGCAATGGCACAGAGAAAAAGGACGAGGTCGAAGTAGTCACCCAATTGTTTGCGCTCCAAGAAGATTTACACAGCGTCGACCGCAGGCGGATGACGGCAGAAGTCGAGACAACAACCATAACTGCCGCTGTCGGTGACGTAACGCTCGGCGCCAACAACCACAATTTCAAGAGTCAAACGTTCAAGATTCCTACCAACTGCGATCTTTGTGGTGAGCGCATATGGGGCCTGAGCGCCAAGGGGTTCGACTGCAGAGACTGCGGTTACACATGCCATAGCAAGTGCGAAATGAAAGTGCCTGCCGACTGTCCCGGAGAGCAGAGCAAAGAAGACAGGAAAAAGCTCAAGGCCGAGCGCCAAGAAGCAGCCGGTAAACTTCTGACACCAGCGAATGCGGCTGTCGCACATGTGGCCGAGCTGCCAGATCTCAGTAGATCAAACACCATGAATTCGCTGAGCTCTCGCTCAGCGCGCCGGTCAAATTCTGTGTCGGCACTCGAGGTGCCCGCCGATGACGAGAAACTCAGGAAACCTAGTCCGTCTCCAACTTCCACTGGTGGGCGCAGGAATCGGGTAGTGGCACCACCACCCGCAGCATACATAGCAGACTCGGCAGGTCATTCCAATGGCGCGAGCGCAGAAAAGAAGGGCAAGATGCTCTACCCCTTCGAAGGCAGCGGAGACGACGAGCTTACCGTGCAAGAAGGAAGAGAGGTTGTACTGCTTGAACCAGATGGTGAGTCCTCTGCATCAATCAGTCGGTTATGCGGCAAAGCTAATATGAGAATTCAGACGGATCTGGCTGGGTCAAAGTTAGGGCAGGATACAAGGAAGGGATTGTTCCCGCAAGCTACGTCGACTTCAGCAGCGCCGTTCCCGCAGCGATAGCACGTCCGTCATCCACATACTCGACCTCGACGACCTCCTCCATAGCACCGTCGATGGGCAAGAAGAAGGGCCCTGCTGTGGCGCCAAAGCGAGGCGCAAAGAAGCTCAAGTACGTCGAGGCGCTCTACGATTACACTGCGCAAACGGAAACGGAGCATTCGATGACGGAGGGGGAGCGCTTCGTGCTCGTCAAGGAGGATCCGGGCGACGGGTGGGCCGAGGTTGAAAAGGCGGGCGTGACGGCCAGCGTTCCTGCGAGCTACGTCCAGGCCGTCTAGAAGATGTGACCTGCCGTCATGAACTCGCAGTGACGGCGAGCTTGTCAGAGTCTGCCATTGTAGCTTGGCTCTTATGGCTCTTGTGGTGATTGTGGTGGTGCATTACATACACAGGCGGAATTACCAAAAGCAAGCACGGTGTCGTCTTTTTGTTTCGTTTAGAGCAAGGGAAGAAAGGAGGCCAGCATTCTACGGGAAAGACGGGGAGCATTGCATATTACATATTCTTGATTCTGATTATTCCTCTGTCGGAATACTTTTTCTCTTTTGTTCGAGTGGGACAAAATCAGTGGCATGCCTCTTTACATGCTACTTGTCTTGTTTGCCGAGGGACTTTGGAAATCAGTCTTACTAGTGATTAATTCAACTTGACAACGACTACATGAAAACAGAGAAGAAGAGCCGTGAAATGCAAAGTAGAAGAAAGAAAGAGGAGTCTGTTCTGGACGCGGCATTAACGCCACGCTTCTAATAATATAAATAAGATAGGAGAATATATGTGCACCAAGAAAAGTCATGATTAAGCTCCCGAGCCTCTTTCCCTGTCCTATTTTGGGGGGAGTATCCATCTATCCCGTTCCGCAGAAGAACCCTGAAGTAAATGTCCTCGTCGACTCATGTCGCTGTATTCGTGTAAACAAGAACGCAGAAAAAAAAAGAAAATCGACCGTTTCTTCTTGCGACTGGCAAGGAGCCAGATTTCATCCGTCACCTATGGGATATCTAATATTAATAAAACAAGTGTACAACTTTTTCTTCTCAACGAGGCAAAGTGGGGAGCAAATATCGATCGTGCATGTGTATGATCGATAGGAGTTGAATAGAAGAAAGAAGCAGGATGAAGTGAAGAAAGATGGCATCAAACTGAAAATGCGCCTCAAGCCGTCTTTCTTGGTTTGCCACTGAGCACCCATAACAAGGAGAAAGGGGAAAAAAGGCAATAAAAGTACATTTTCGGAATGAAGGCGAGTAGAAGAGATGCGGAACAAGGTAGCAAGATGCGCCCCAAGAAGCGAGCAAAATGAACCATCATCCCCAGAGCATCCAACATCTCTCATGATGATGATGACGACTGGGTAAATGTGCCCTGACTCGCTAGATTGTTCGCCGCTCGATGAGAGGGAAGAAGAAGAAAGATCCTGTAACGCCGGCTGCCAAGTCTGGTAATTTCAAAACAGTGCACCGTACGATGAGTAAATGGAGAACAGAGACCGCAGACAGGCTCGGCCGGTCTGGGAGCGACGAAGCAAAGAAGCGCAAAAACGCGGTCGAAATGTTGAGAGTGGAATGAAAAGGGTCCACGAAGAGAAAGTACTCGTATCGGCGACCGGGGAAAATATCGTTACAGTTGGCTTTCAAAGGAAAACCGCAAAGAGGAGAGTGTAACCGAGTCTATATCCGCTGAAATGCTTCCTTTTGTAAACAGAGGGGGGTATGGTTGTTGTTCGCGTAAGATTCGTAATAGTGAGTAGAGGCTGATCTTGTTTTTTTTTTTTCGGTTGTTCGTTGGCTGACGCGATGTTGTCAATTTTGGCATCTCTGGTCGAGAAGTTGCCTAAATCATTTGTGCCGTCGGAGCACTGAGGCCGTGCTCGGAGAGGCTGTGGCCGAGACTCAGCGCGTTCTGCAGTTGGGCTATTTGGCCCACCATAGTGAGCGAGTCCCGCGCCTGTTTCTCCATGTCTTGCTTGAGCTTCTCGTTTTCCATACGCACGCGCTTGATCTCTTGGCGGAGCTCGGCAACCTCATCCGAGGAGGAGGGGCGCTCGCCGCTCGACCGGCGCTTACGCTTCGCACCGCTGCGCTCGCTCTCGTTATCGTCGGGCGAGCCTGCGGCCGAGTCGACGGCGGCAGTGGCGGCGGTAGCGGTGGCAGCCAGCGGCGAAGCGTCGTCGGGGCTCGTGTGCACGCGGCGGAGATGCTCGTTAAGGTTCTCCTGGCGGGAGAAACCCTTGCCGGTGTAACGCTTGCAGTTGGGGTGCGGGCAGTTGACCGTGTGCTTGGGCCCGCCGTGCTTGTTGTGCACCTCACGCTCGTGTCGAGAGAGGCCACCCGGGTAGGTGAAGCCGGGAAGTTTCTCGCATCCCTCGGCCAGACATCGGTAAGGGCGCTCATGCTTGTCCATGTGTTTGCTGGGAGTATAGAGTTAGCGCGCACTGCTTCAGGCGCAAAAGAAGAAACAAAGGTTAGGTCATCGGGGTTTGCTCACTTCCACTCGCATTTGCGCGGAAATGATCGAACCGCCTCTTTGCAGTCTTCCAGCGGACAGTGAAACCTGCCATCTGCCTGCTTGCTGACGGTGCGGGAGGGCTTAGGAATCGATGTGATCCGCGACGAGGTTGGCGACTCAGCGCTGGGCGACGGGTCTTTGCTGTCGGGAAGCGCGGGTGACATGTCGGGCGCCGACATGGGCACCTCGAGAGGCGACGAGAAGTCTGCAACGCCGAGGTCTAGTCGGGTACCGTCGGGCCCGTCCGAAGGATCGTGCAGTAGGGCTCGCTCGTCCATGAGATCGCGGTCATCTTGGAGCAGGCTGGCATCGGCCGTGTAATGGCTGAGGTGCTCGGCAACATCGGAGTCGGTAAAGCGCTGATCAGCGCCAGGGTCGTGCTCGTCGTCGCCGATCAAAGGGTAGGGTTGTTCGTGGATAAACGATCTGGGTTCGTACGCGACGCTCATGATGCCGCAATAATGTCACTATTAGGCGCGACGGCGCTGAAGCTGGATAGGACAAACGGCCGGCCCAGTTCGGGGCGCAAGGGCAATAACGGTAAGGGCAACCAGGCCGGAAGGAATCGGCGCGCAACAATAGAGAGAACGGAGGCGCACAAAGGCGAGTATTGTATAGTATAGTGGCGAGACAAGTCGCCTTGACGGAAGCTGGCTTGGTGTAAGCGGCGTCGAGATGCAGCAGGTATGTGTGGATTTGGATCGCGACAGGGCGTGGCCTGAAAATTCTGGTTGAAAAGGATAATCAAGGCAAACACGCAGCAGCGCGATTGAGCTAGGTGGCGATTAGTCAGAGCTGAGCACGTGACCTGATTAGTCAGGAATACTGAAGGCGCGGGCTCGTCCAGAGAGGAAATAGGTTTCTGTGTTCTTGCCTCGCCTTTGCTTAGAAGAGGGATGTCGAGGTCTTTATTACTGCCCCGGGCAAGCTAGGCGTCCATCGCCTTTCGACAATTCTATTGCCGCCACCTTTTTGCCCAAGCAGGCCAGGGTGTTGGTGACTCATTGGTTTCGGTCTCGTGGAAGCACCCACGAATCAGATGGGCTCGCACGGCTGTAATACTTGTCAAAATATTGATTGCATACACCGTACAAGCTAGCTCTCTTGCTGCTAGCAGATCTCAAGTCACAAGTCCAGATCCAGCAGCAAATTCTGAGCCGGCCAAGTGACTCTCCATCCTAGCTGCTTCAGCCTCGCGCCGTTGCCTCGCTGGCGCGTGGGACAACTTGGGCAAGGAATTCCCAGCTCCAGGCATACGTGGGCTGTGGCGCTTCGTATCACCCAACGACATGCGTTGAGATCCGTCATATGTAGACGCCAAGGATTTATTCTTAGCTAACGGCGCCGGGGTCCCGCATTACATGAGTTGGCTATCGTGAATGACAACTTTGCATAGGCAGGCATCTCGGCCAAAGGCTGTCCTCCATAGACATTGCACGACACAGAGGTAAGTAATGATTTTGACACTTTTGTCCATGATCTCTCTCAGCTTCATCTTTCGTGAGACGAGCCTCAAAATCTATTTCCCTGACATGACAGCGTCACTTTGACACCGGTCCAGTCACATGCCACACCAAAACAGGATACTAGACGCACTGTACAACATTATAAGTAGAAATCCACGAAATATATCGAGGGGCACCCATCCTTATATCTGACAGACTGCTACAAGTATGCTAGGACAAGACTCACAGGAGCAGCAGGCAGTCGCTGCGTTGAGGTGAGAACAGCAAGGCAGGCTAGGCAGCGATGAGGGCGTCTACCGCACTTTTGGAGCGTGGGAACCCCTCATGGCCTAAGATATACCCCCAGGGTGGCAGAGAATGTGAAATCAGGAAACTTACCTTCTTTGCCTGAGCCTTTTCCGCATCGCTCAATGTGACAAAGGCTCCATCCCTCTCGTAAGCTCATACATTGAGTGCTTCGTAGACTCTCTCTCTACTTGAATGAGGAGCAAAGACTTGTCATCTACTGACCACTGGACCAAGCCGACAACGGGTTTTTTCTAGGTATCGACCAGAGTTTGGCTCGTATATTCGTACGACAGTATGTCGATTCCGTTCAAGCTGCGGAGACTGCGGCGTCGAGGCTTCCATTTCGAGCAGCGACTGTAGCGCGCCAAAGTAATGAGCAGGGGTAAATCAATATTATTTTTGTCAGAGAATTTGTGGCTGCCATGATGGGCTTGTGTTACGTGGTTCATACAAGTGGACGTCTTTGTTCGACACCATTCCAGGGGCGATGGGCACGCAATCGTCCACACAGTGTACAAATGACTGGTTATAAACGATTGCCAACGAATGTGCTGTATAATGTTCTGGTCGAACTGTTTTTTTCTCTCATCAATTATTTGAATAATCACCAACGGGTATTCGTTTCTGGCCGCCTTGAGATCTAGCGTGGTGTTCATGGCACCGCAGGCAGCGACACCCAGACACCCAGACGCCTCACCTTTGAGGTGTAAGCCAAGATTCGAAGAGTTGCGTAACAACAGATAGTATCAGGAGGTAACCATATATTTAACAGTGCCGATACAGAAACTATGAAACTTTTGTCGACGGTCAAGGCTAGTAAATTCTCGAATACCGATTGTGCATGTTGCCTGAGGCGCGCGCGAAAAGGAACGTAAGGATGACAAGAAATCATGAACTAAGCTGTACCACACAACTGCAGAAGATAAAACCCAACCGCCGTCTAAAAAAATTAAAAACTAGAGTGTCGCAGTCTCGCGCCGTACTCAAGTCTCAGGCCGCAGCACCAAGTTTTAGTCTTGCTGTCATACGGCGGTTAAGGATGCGCCCGGCTAGAGAATCAAAGATGGCAGCGGAGCAAGTATTGTTTCCAAAATAGTTAAACATGAGATAGTTGAATATCGAATCTTGACTAATTCTCGGCTTACTAATGACTGCATCGTTTGCAGACTGAGGATCTTGTCGTGTTTGCAAGCCGCGCCACACAAGGGAAATCTTCTCGATCATGATGAAATGACGGGGTGGGCAAGAGTAAGTTTTGGTGGCCGACACACTGTCGCCAAGATACAGAAGGGCTTGCCCTACATCGGGATATTCTAGCAATACTGGACCTTGCATGCCACCCGATTTTGTCATATTTAGGCCAAGACGGCCTGGGCTTATGACTGTTGAGGACCACGCGACACTCGGGATTTCGCCGAACAGTTACGACGCACGAAGACATTACCATATCAGTCTGGGCAGAAATTCCGAGCCTGCGACAACTTTGAAGCGCTTCGATTATAATCTGAAAATGCCACTGGCACGCACTACTACTAGTTACCATCTGCCTGATGGTACGACTTGGAGGAGATGAGACGAAGAGCTGGCAAGGCTGCTTGGTCCGAGCTGGAACGGTACATGCGTGCTCAACTGGCGAGATGCAGAGTACCATGGAAACCTGCTTTCTTCTAATCTTATTTCTCACATGTCTAAAAGTTTGAGTAACTTGGACCAATCATCTATGGACACGACACACGAAAGGTGCGATTGAATTCAGCCTGATGCAGAGCACAAGTCACCTTGCCTCGGTGAGCGACTGGCTGTGACAGTACAGCGCAGCAAGCCAGCAAGGCTCGAAGACAGTGCGTTATATGTGAAAATTTATTTGGCATATTCGATCAAATTTTGGAGCATCATCCGTGATCATGGTCGATATTACGGCCTGCTATTTACCACAGCTACCCGTGTAAGTGGTGTTCTAGCTAGACTTTGGGGCCGCTGCCAAAAACATTACCAAGGGTACCATGCTGAACAGCGTACTGCAAGGTCGACGCCTATTCAAACTCTCGTTTTCGACAATACGACTGGGAGAAATAGAAAGTCAATCGCTTGAGATGGCTAGCTATGTCTTTCTTCCGTCAGATCCCATCGGACTACAACTTGATTGTCTCGAAAGGTCCGCCGCAAATCCGACACCTACGTGGCATAATGTGCACAGCACTCTCCTCCAGAAAAAGCGACAACTTTCCTAGAGGCCCTGCTCTCCTCAAAGTTTTATTGCAGGTCATTTCACTTTGGGGGTGATTCAAAAGCTGATTGAGACTGTCGAGTCCACTATTGCATGCTGCGCAAAGAAAATGATGTTCATTGTGCAGTTTGAGGACTGTGTATCTGCTCGACCATGGATCTTGAAAAAGCATCTGAATCAAAATCCTCTTAATCGCTCACCTTAAATAGACACTATTTACTGATCGAATTCTCTAGTATAGTTGTCCGGTTCTATATCTCGAAACAGCCCATGCATTCAACTTTGATATCATTCGTCGTCGGTATAAAAACTTAAAATCCAGTCAGCGGTGTACCAGCACGACGGAAATATTGTCTTCAAGCGACCTCGGATCACAAAGAAGGAGCCTTCTAACAAATTCATCCTCGCTGAGCCTCCCGCGATAGGCAGCGTAGTAGTCATGCTCCAGCGCTTCATGCTTCATCAGCGCGACAGGTTTGCTGAATGCGCTCGGAAAAAGACAGAATGCGCATTTAATATTCCAAGATCTGCCCATTAAGATACTTTACATTTGCAACCAGCCAGTTGAAGGTGATGTGCACCGACAGCACTTGATCAAGGGGACGATGTCGGGTATCGCGCACACGATTCTTGAGAGCGATCTCGGAGCCGAATTGTATGAAGCAGATACAGTATGATATCACGATAAACAGATATTTCACAGTAGGAATCTAAATGCAGTTAATATCGCAATCTCACAGTATTTTTCGGTCGTTTGCACACGGCAAACGCAACGCACAAACCCGCCCTTCCATTGGCCATCATTCAGAACGCTTTGCAGCATTCACCACAACGATTTAAAAGATGCCTTGGCATTCAAAACTTTGACAAGGTTAGCGAGACGCTTGGTACTGTGACCAGCATGTGATTGGCCCATTCACTGCGTGTTTGGCAGCAAATTCACATATCGATCACTACGGTATCCGCGTGATACAGACTGAACCCGGTTTCTTCCATTTTCTGGTGGATATTTACCTTGCTTTACTGTCAGGGCTGTAAGCGGCAGGCAGCCAGTCTTTGCGCAAAGTTTGTTGCTCTGAAGAAGCTTCTGCCACATTGCCAATTCTTCCGTACTTACATCTGCACTCTTGCCACCAGGTCTGACCAAGGATTAGAATCTCGTTTTGCTCCATCATTGACATTTTGGTGCCAAATCTCTTTGAACAAAAGCTTTTGAGCCATCGAACCTCAAATTGTGCTCAATTCCTCCATCGGCCAGGATGGCAACTCCAGCCGACGTTGTGCAGGGGGAGCTCTTGACTTCCCCTGCCCGCCTTCGCAAAATCGACCTACTTCGCGACAAAAACATTGGAGCATATCTGCCCCTTCCCCAGCTTGTTGCGGTTGGCGACCAAAGCTCTGGGAAGTCTTCCCTTCTCGAGGGCTTGACTGGTATCCCGTTCCCTCGAGGCCAGGGTTTGTGCACTCGCTACGCCACGCAAATCACCCATCGCCGAGAGAGTAAGACCTCCATCAATATCAGCATCATTCCCGGACCAAATGCTTCTGAATCTGAAAAGTTGAAATTGGAGGAATACCAAAAATCGGTTTCGACAACTTCCGAGCTGAAAGACCAATTGTCCAGCATCCTCTTGGAAGTCAATGAGCGCATGGGGGTCTGCACTTCTCAGAACCCAAAAGGCACCAAGACGTTCACTGAAGATGTCTTAAAGATCGAGAAATGTGGTCCAAACGAAGACTATCTTACCGTGATTGATGTTCCTGGGCTATTTGAGGACACCAAGCACAACTCCACGACCGAGACTGACAAAGCAATGGTGCAGAGTATGGTGCGAAAGTACATCTGCAATGATCAAACTGTCATCTTGGCCGTTCTCCCTTGCTTCGTCGACTTTGCCACGCAAAAGATTTTGGCTTTAGCAGAGGAGTATGACCCAAATGGAGAACGCACCCTTGGTATTCTCACGAAGCCCGACTTGCTTGTTGAGGAAAGTGGCAAGAATGTCGTCTGCAGCTTGGTCAGAGGTGAACAGAGGCCGCTGAACCTTGGCTATCACCTTGTTCGAAGCCGGGGTGGAGATGATAAAGGAAAAGCTTTCAGCGACGAGGCGAGGGACAGTGAGTTTAAAAAGAAGCCCCGGTGCACCCTTCCTCCGGACAGACTGGGTGTCGTTGCTCTCCGCCAGCGCCTGCAGCATCTACTGGGCGACCTCACAGACAAGGCTTTCCCAAAGCTTCGTTCAAAGACTCGAAAACTTCTTCGCGAGACTCAGGAACAATTGGCCAATTTAGGTCACTCTCGTCAGACAATGCGGGAGCAACAGCTATTTTTGGTCAGCATTGCCAGCGAGTTCCAGCGGCTGGTTCGCGCGGCCGTGAACGCAGATTATTCATCCAGTCCGGTGTTTGACGATGACAAATTTCGTCTTATTACAAATGTGCTAAATGCAACCGATGACTTCAAATCAGATTTCACTGTCTACGCCCACACTTACGAGTTCCTACCGTCCAGCGAGGAGGCCAGCGAGGAGGAATCGACCACCTCTGAGCCCAGAGGTGACCATGAAAGAAAGCCATTTGAGCTGTTCCCGGACTTGGATGGTGTCATTGTGCGTGACCGCATTGAAGATGTCCCAAAAGAGGGAATTATGGAATGGTTAAAGCATTCCTATTATCGCTCGCGAGGAAGCCAGCTGCTTCCCTTGAACCCAATGCTATTCTCGGGTGTTTTTCGAGAGCAGACGTCGGGATGGACTGCGCAGACTGTCTATTACGTGAGCCGAGTCATTTACACTATCCATGATTTTTTTGTTGGTGCTTTGGAGGCTGTTTGCTCCGATAAGAGGGCTCGAGAAGAGCTCTTATCCCAGATATTGGAGCAAACTTTGGCGAGATATGCAGCTTGTCTGCAGCAAGCGAAATTCCTAGTGAACGTCGAGAGAGAAGCTCATCCTTGCACTTTGAACAGCATATTTCGCAGCAAGCTCGCCGAGCTTCAGAGTATGCAGATGGAGGAGAAGCTCACTGGCAAGACGAAGAACCTTAATCTCTATTACACAGAAGATAAAAGCGAGGAGGTCATTACCATGGACGACGTCTTGGCAACGCTACGGGACAAAGACAGGGGAAAATACGTTGCCGAGGATATTCACGACGTGCTCAAATCCTACTATGAAGTGGCGCGTGACCGCTTCATTGACACCGTCTACCTCCAGGTAGTCACCCATAATCTCGTTTCTGGGGGAGAGAGCCCTCTGATGTTGTTCTCGGAGAGGTGGGTGCTCGATTTGGAGCCCGAAAAGCTCGAATCTATTGCTGGAGAGTCTCTTCAAAAGCGAGAGCAGCGCGAAATGTTGGCCAGGAGGATCCAGGATCTGACCGACGCCGTGGTCATTCTTCGTTGAAGAACTGATTCGCATGGTAGACAGCCGGCGTGACGGATTGGATCTAGGACAGACGGAAGGGAAATTTGACGGACAAATGAAGGGACAGATGAAAGGACAAATGAAAGGACAAAAAATTGCAGAGACGTATGAAAATCAGGCGAGAATTAGATAGTTAGCATCAAGATGAATGAGACAATCGATTTTGAGATAGTCCACATAGCTGCCAAAGGACCAAGACGGAGTAAACGCAGAGATAACACGGGCGCATCGCATGCAATATTATTTCCCTATTCCCGCCATAAGCCATATCGGCCAATTGAAAATATACGTGTGTATCCGCGCAGATGAAGGAAAGCTAGGAGACTAGTCGCGTCTTGCTCGACCACGCGGTGCGGAAGAGCTGGACGTTTCATGCTGTCTTCTAGAGAACCCTTGACAAGCGCTTTCGTGGGAGCCGGCTGAAGCCTGTTACGTAAATTGGTTTGCACGACGCTTCGAGACCAACAATCATTCCATCGGTGGTCCAGCCGCCGAGTTCCATTGTCACTTTTATGGGCTGATGGTGAGAGCATATCAGAACAAAATACTTCGTACTGCGTATTGCCATCTCAGCAAATCCTCACATCCCGTGCCTGGCCTCCAGGATGCCTTGCTTTTGCTGCTCTGGTCCTTGAACAATAGCTCAATGTGGAGGCGCTACTAATGCACCTTGGCACGATCATTCAGTACTTTTCTGTTCTATTCTGGAGGATACATCGTGATGGCCAAAGAGGGGGCCACTCATTCGAGTCATCAACTAACAAGGTACCAAAAGCAATGACACCTTTTTGGATAAAGTCTGATCGGCCGTGTATTTTGGCACCCACTTGATTGAGAACCTTTTTGCCGCAGCACCTGCATTGATAGGTAGTGAGTAAAAAGTCAGCAGCGTGTGAAAAGTCAACAGCGGGGTGGTTGGGTGGTCCTCCTCACGCCCTGGCCTACGACTTCTCCAGCCCGCCAACCCGCCTTGCTCCTTCCCTCAAGCTTTTCATCCTCTCCACCTTGAAGGAGATTCTTAAAAAAAAAACACTGACTCTCAGATTCGAATAGCAAATAATCCTTCATCTTCCTACTATGGCAAAGCAATTATATGAGACTTTTGCCGGTAGCAAAGTCACTGAAAGCATGCTTGTTGAAGCCGCAACACTGTTCAATGAGAACTACGGAACATGGGGAGACAATTGCCCCAACAAGGGTGCGAGCGATGACCTTTTTTTTTCCTGCTCCCTCCTATTTGTTCCCTTCTTGCTTTCTCCAATTTCTGATGCTTCTTCAGGACGCCCTGTTCGACTAAGTACACGTCGACTCCGAGAACAATACCTTCCCGATGCTGCTCAAAGCATCTACACTAGAGTCACTGTGGATGGGGTTCTTGCTGGCAACGCGTTTGCCTGTCGCTGGGAACACGGCAGCAAGGCCGTGTGCTGGGTCACCCAGCTTGTGGTCAGCAAAGACTATCGCGAGCGTGGCCTAGCAACTGGTCTCTTGAGAGTCCTGAGGGCAGATAACTGCCATGACATATACGGCATCATGAGCTCTCATCCGGCTGCATGTCTTGCGGCGGCAAAGGCCTTTTCCAGTATGTATCACTCCCATTTTTATGGAATTTCTACTAAACCAACTTTGAGTAGCGACTGTCGAAAAAGTGTCTCTTGACTTCATCAGCAAGAACGCACACGGAGTGATGAGAGAGTCCCCAATACCATACATCCGGGATGCACAGCTGTGCGGAACAATATTTGACGACAATGATTCGACTGGTCTCGTTTCAGGTGTCAACACCGAATTCTTTGTTGACCACGAGAAACCAATGCAAGCATTGAAGATTATCAGGGAAAGCCTACAGTGGCCCTTGGGCGAACTCCCAGATGGTCACGAGTATCTTTTGATAGTGCCTGCCAAGTCTCGGAGATGCACATCTTGATCATTCAGCGTAGTCAGCACAGTCATATAGTCCGTCAATCAATCGTATCCATTAGTAGCCCACCAAGTTGTGCTTGGCATTTATAGAAGCCTCTGTTAGAATAATGGCCAGATAACTGCTGCTGACTTTGCAAAGCAGCTTTGGTGTGCTGTGCTGCGCTCCCCAGCTGGTAATCAACCCCGCGAAGCCGCCACCCCCACGTGCAGCATCCTTTCAAAAAGACCCCGATGCAGGCGTTGCCCCCTTTCCTTACCCCAACTCAATCGAAATTGCGCATTATGCGGCTACTGAATACAAGTACGGTTCAAGTGGAAGAGTTTGGGCTCGAAACTCTTCCAAGATACGCCATCTTGTCTCATAGATGGGGCAATGAAGAGGTGACGCTACAAGATTTGGAGAGCGGCCAAATAGCTGAAAAGGTTGGGTTTGAAAAAGTGTTGCGCTTTTGCTACAGGGCGAAACATGATGGGTTCCCCTATGCGTGGATAGATACTTGCTGTATCGACAAGGCAAGCAGCGCAGAGCTCTCCGAGGCTATCAACTCAATGTACCAATGGTACTTTGACGCGGACCGGTGCTACGCGTACCTCGCCGATGTGCCGTCACTGAAGGCTACATTCCAAGAGAGCGAATGGTTTGAGAGAGGCTTTACCCTACAGGAGCTGCTGGCTCCAGCAGAAGTGTATTTTCTTGATGACCAATGGAACGACATCGGGACGAAGACGAGTTTGCGCAATGCAGTGTCGCTCCGCACAGGCATCCCTTCTGACATTCTCTCTGGAATTGCTGACATCGACACTGCTAGCATAGCGCAACGAATGTCATGGGCAGCGAGCAGAAAGACGAGCAGACTGGAGGACCGGGCGTATTGCCTGATGGGAATATTCGGCGTCAACATGCCTCTAATCTACGGAGAAGGTGAACGAGCATTTACAAGACTTCAAGAGGAAATTATGAAGATATCGGATGACCAGTCAATTTTCGCGTGGGAGTCCTCTGATACTCGTACTGGATTGCTGGCCACCTCGCCTGCCGCCTTCGCCCGGTCCAAGAACATTGTTCCACTGAAAAGGCCTGACGCTCCCTTGTCGCAGTTGACTGTAACTAGTCGAGGGATTCACCTGGATATTCAATTCATCGCCACAAGCCCTCGGCGGGTTGGTCTTGCTGTTCTTCACTGCGTGGAAGATGATGGAACACCGAAACAAATAGGAATTTATGTGAAAGACTCGTTTTGGACAATGCAAAGCTTCGAACGAGTTTTGAGTCAGTCACTAGAGAGAATCCGTCCAGGAACGCTGGACTCGCCAGGCATAGAGGATCGTGTTTCACAAAGGAGAATATGCGTCCAGACGAAGCGCATCTCATTAACGCGGAACCTTGGAGCAGACAGGCAAGCGAATGACATACACGACCACAAAGAATGCTCTGGGCTAGCACTGCCCCAGAAATACTCCATGATAGCAGCACTGTACAATGCAGTCGCTGAGGGGGAAAACGGCGCTGTATGGCTGTTACTATCACGAAGAAGTATTGACGTCAACTCCCTTGATGCTCTCGGGCGAACACCACTGCGAATGGCAGTTGAACTAGGACACGAGACAATAGTCACGATGCTACTTCAAAGGGATGACATAAATATCAGACACGAACTCCAACAGAACCTTTTGTCTGTGGCTGTCTCAGCAGGCCACGAGGGTGTCGCCAAATTGTTATTGGAGCACGGCGTGGAAGTCGATGTAGAAGACGCGGCCGGAAGGACGCCGCTCTGGATAGCTGCGCAGACTGGACGACGGGAGCTGGCTCTGAGGCTACTCAATAGAGGCGCGGAAAAGGACAGGCGGGACGGGCACCAGAGGACGCCGCTCTGGGCAGCCGCAGACAGTGGGCAGGGGGACACGGTCAACCTACTCCTGGAGTGCCAGGCAGCGATAAATTGCCGTGACAAGTTCGGTCAGACGGCACTGGCGGTGGCTTGTTCCAAGGGTCATGTCGATATTGTCATGGTGCTTCTGTTCTATTCGGCCGACATGAACTTGTTTGACATTCGCGGGCGGACACCTTTGTGGACGGCCACCGCAAACGGCGACGAGACTGTTGTGCGTATGCTGTTGCAGACGGGCAAGGCCAAACAAAATACGGCAAGCGATGGGTGGACGCCAGTTTGGCTTGCCGTTCGGTACGGCTATGAGGAGCTCGTCAAGCTGCTCGTCAGCCACGGCGCCAACACCCAGAGCATCTTTCCCCTCGACTATGAGACGAGCAAATATCTGCTGTGGAAGGCTGTCAGGTGCGGCCACGCGGAATCAGCGCGATTGCTGCTGGACACGGGCAAGATCAATCCCGACACGAGATCTGATAAAATGACGCCGCTGGCGCTGGCAGCCTCCAACAACGACCGGCGACTTGTCGAGCTGCTCCTGCACCACGGCGCCGACGTGCGCGCCAAGGACAGTCACGGCCGGACGCCGATTTCGCGCGCCGCCGATGCGGGACACGATGAGCTTGTGAAGCTCATGGAGGAAAGCCGTCCGACGGCAGGCGATGGCAGATTAAGGGCCCTTTTCCGGGCAGCGAGGGATAAAGGTTGAGATGGGGTGCTGATTTTCTGACTGGGTGGGACAAAGTAGCACCCCAAGGTGCAGAATGACTAGCAGCTCTCTAGGAAGAAGCGTGTGTTGATGTTTGCAACTATCAGCCTTTTTTGTTTAATAGAATTCACCAATCGTACCTTTATTCAATTATACATCGAAAAAAAAAAACGCCATGAAAAAATCTCTGTAAATTGGCTTTGTGTAGGCCGCCAGCGGCTTAGGGTGCTGGTGGAATTAAGCCGCGGGTTTTTTTAGCTCCTGCTCCTGCCCCGAATAAGCAGCCGACTTCCGACATTGTTCCCTCCGAAGGCTGAAAACCCTTTTCCTGGGCGCGCATCTAATTTGATTCTATCCTGCTTCGCCGCTGCAATAATTCATCTCATCTGTATCTCTATTCGAAACTGGAACCTCGCCAGCCCGCACCAGATCACCCTGCAGTGGCGACTCAACTGGTCTTTGCTCCAGTCGCCATGGAGCAATCACCGCATTCTTCAACGCCTCAGTTTGGCTTCGATGGCGCCAGCATTTCTGCACCAGTATCTCCCAGCAAGCAGCTTGTCGCCAACGCGGCTGCCAGCGAGCCTGTCGATTACGATGTCGAGACTGTTGAGCGGGTTTATCGGTAAGCGCCAAATTCTACCTACCACAGAATGAAGAAGGCGTTCAATTAATGCGATGCAATAGAAAGATTGACAGGCGAATCATTCCGGGTAAATTTCCAACTAAACTTGATATTTGGCCCCTGCTCTAACAACTACAGCCTTTTGGATCCTCTACTTCCTCTGCTCCGCCATTCGCTCCAACATCGGCATCGCTCAGACCATGAATATTGACAAGGGTCATGATCTTGTCACGGTCCTGGGACTGAGCCCTCGAGATCTTTCTACCGCACTGGCGCTCTTCTACGTATCCTACGTCATTTTCGATTTTCCATCCAATCTAATCATGAGCAAGCTTGGCCCTCGCGTTTGGATGGCCCGCATCGTCTTCGCTACTAGTCTTGTCGGCGCGTGTTTTGCTGCCGTTCACGATGCTTGGAGCCTCAAGCTGCTTCGATTCCTCCTCGGGCTGGTCATTGCGGGTATGTGGCCTGGAATGGCGTTTTATTTGACGCTCTTCTACCCGCCGTCCCGAACCGCCAAGCGAATCGGCATGTATTTTACCGCTTCTCAAGTCTCTGCTGCCGTCGTGGGTCTCGTGTCCGCTGGATTCCAACTCATGGATGGCACTGCTGGGCTCGAAGGGTTCCGCTGGATGTTTTTGATCTACGGCTTGGTCGGTCTGGTTCTTAGTGTGATCCTCATTTGGTGGCTGCCTGATCGGCCACTTGCTCCTGGTCAAACCAGGGAAAAGACTGGCCTGTTCAAGTGGCTTCCCGCAACACCAGAAGCCCTCACTGGCGAGGATGCGATTATCCACTACCATGACCTCAAGCGTGTCTATCACTCTCGGCCCTGGGGAATGAAAGATCTAGGCCTGGTGCTTTTGGACTGGCGACTCTGGCCTCTGACGCTCATGTACTTTGGCGTAGTCGGTGTTGGTATCGGCACACAACTCTACGGCTCAGTCATCATTCGCGCCATTCGCCCTAATGCTGGTGGCATTGAAATTAGCTTGCTCTTTGCCCCTATCTGGATTGTGAGCCATACCGTCACGCCTGCGCTTTGCTAGCTGTAGCTAACCTCATCTTAGATGGACCTTATTGCTATCCTTCTTGTGACTCCGGTTTCCGATCGATTCCACAAGTATCGCGCCTTCTTCTTTTCCGCTGCCGTCTGCATCCAAATTTCGGGACTTCTCATGACTACCTTTGCTCACGGCTGGGCGCGCTACGGCGGTCTCTTGATGGTTGGATTTGGTCTTGGACCAACCGTACCTATTTGCATGGCTTGGAGCTCCGAAATCTTCCAGCGCCGCCATGGTGAAGTTGGAGTCGCTGCTGCTACCGCGCTGGTTTCTGGCCTGGGTAACCTTGGAAGTGTCACTACTACCTATGCCTTGTACACAGGTTGGCCGGAAGATGCCAAGCGTGGACCTCATCAGTTCCGCAACAGCAATCTCACTATGATTGGAATTCTTTGCATGAGCATCCTCAGCGCCTTCACCATGGTGGCTTTGCTCAAGCTTCTGGGAAATTCGCCGAGCAAAAAGCTTTATGAGTGTGAATCTGGTAGCGACTTTGAAGATGGTGCTGCCAGACGCGAGCAGCAGCAACGCGGATTCGGTCGATTCGGTCGCAACACGACGTCGCAGGCGTAAGCCTCTATCAGAAGCACGCACAATGGCCACGCAACTCTCACTAATTGCCGTGACGGGGCTTGCGGTCATATCTTTTATTTCTTTTCCGGGTAGTCTGACGACCATTGTCTTTGCTACCATTCTTTCTGAAATTTGTATTGTGCGCCGATTGCGCAATGTTGCATGGCTGATTACTGCGACAATGCTTCTACGCTATCGGAGATGATCAACTTGCTACATTGCTCTACGAGCGCTGCAATTCGTCTTTATCCTGCATTGCTTTCTATGATACCCATTCGCGTTTATACCCGCTGTCTTTCGAGTATTTTTCGACTCTTGAATATTTTTCTCGCCAGCGACAGTGCTGTTACGCCATCGCTGGGACGGCGTGTTTGGACCGAAGCCAAGGGCCGACGACAATGCTGGAGCGCTATCGTCCGGGTGGCTTCGTGGGCGTTTTGTGATTTTCTTTGCTGTTTTTTGAACCTTATTAGAGAGTATGTTTCTAAAATAAACTTACAGAATCAATTACGAAATAAGACTGGTGTCCTTGTACCTGATTTGCAGAGCTTACGGGCATTGTGGCGAGCCAGTTTAGTGTATGTCGCCATTGATTAGCTCTGAAAGCTTTAAGCGAATGGCCAACGGAAAGCCATTTCGCATCGCATCGCAATCTTGTCATGATTTGATAGCCTATACCTCAAAAGTGTGAGTGTCTTTGTGTCAAATTTCTCACCGAGCTCTTTCCAGTGTCCGGCTGCACCACAATTGTTATCCGCTGGAGCTGCACTGTACGCGCCAGTAATGAGGGGCGGTGGTGCCATCTTGCCGTATACAACATACCTATAGACAAACGCCGTCTAACGAGCAGGAGAGTTCTTTGCACAAGAAAAGATGAAATTCGGGCTAAACTATGACAAACACATAGTACCCAAGTGGTCGCAACATTACATTGACTACAATGGGCTGAGAATGCAGCTTCGGGCCAAGATTCAGCGTGGGGAAAGTATCCAAGGTACGCGGCCGGCCAGGGGCAAACAGCGTGCCGCCTCTCTGACGCGACGTTAGAATTGAGCAATGAGCTCATCGCCGAGATTGCACATGTCAAGGAATTTTACATCAATGCCACTGCGGCACTCGGTGCAAATGGCGACGCGACGGTTGAGCTAGACGGCGAGGGACAGCCGCCTGCTAATGCAGTCCCGGACGGCCCGGTAGCCGCTTCTCCTGATTCGTCTTCTCAAAGTAAGGCTGGCGCCTATTATACAACAGACGACTACAATGAGCTTCGGAAGTTTGGAAAGCTCAACATTATTGCGATTCGGAGGCTTCTTGGCAAGTTTGCGGCTACTGGCCAAGCCACATCACAGGACCTTGGCCGCGCGGAATCGGAGCTAGAGGAGTGGGCTGAGCCAAAACAGACGATCGACGAGAGTCTGAATGCCAACAATCGTCCATCAATTGGTATAGAGGTAAAGCTGAATGATACTGCACCGTCTCTTGATGGGCGTGGTGCTGGTGAGAAGGCACCTTCTAGCTCTTTGAGAATGGTTTCCACGCCTCGAGATGACATCGATCGGTTTCTTGCGCCACAATCTCTTGAAAGTTTTGAACGCCTTTTCAATAGTCATATCAAGAGGCACCCGATCTCTGGTATGGATTCAGACCAGGGTCAATTTTTCGGCAGGCTGCTTTGCTTGGTGGCCAGCTGTCGCCCAAGCAGCTTCATCGACGCCATATTGAAGCATAAACCTGATATTGGCGTCAAAACATCTCGCGGTGAGTCGGCTCTCTATTGTGCCTCTCAATCCGGATCACTATCAGTCGTCCAGTCAGTTGTCAAATATTTCCGTGGATGCGATGAGGGCCTGGACTCCGCCGTCCCGAGGACTGGATGGACACCGCTGATGGTTGCATGCGCAAAGGGGCATGCAGATGTCGCTGCCTACTTGCTGTCATCCGGATCTGATGCGCAAAAAGTCGACGTGTTGGGCTGGACCGCTAAAGAGCATGCTGCCTATCGTGGGCACCTTGACATTGCGTCTCTTGACGGCTTTGCATCGGCCAGTATAGCAGACGGCGGACTGGCAAAAAGAGTTGGCCTCACCAAGAAGTCTGAGCACCATACTCTGACTCCTGATAAGAAGGCCGTTGTTGTCACGCTTGGCAGTATCCAAGGGGGCCACGATCGAAAAACCCTGAAGCTGAATCACCAAGTCGGTGGAAGCGACGGCGCTGGCCTTGAGTCCAAATCTCTGGAAATTATCATTGGTGGCGCTGATTGTGCCTCAAAGTTTGTGCAGCTTCCTCTCTGGGAGGACCAAAGTGTAAACCCTCTGGTGGGTAAACTGGACTTGGGCGCGCAAGTACAGGTAACGGTGCGACTCTGGGATAATGGCGGCACTCCGGCCTCCAACAGAATACTGGCAAGCATTGGTACTGTTTTGCTGAGCGACGATTATGCCAGATACGGAGCCTCGCGAGAGAGCATGCTTCGAGAGACGACCGTCATCATGCTTGACAAGGAAACCATGGAGTTCTCCGGCACCGTCCTAATCAGCTACGTGATTGCAACCCCTTTTGAAGGCCTGGATAACCTTGAAGCGGCAAGCTACAAGAGAAAACCAGGTGATCCAGTGCGATTAGTCGGTCATAGAGGTATGTCTGGCAATGAGTAGTCCAAATTGGCGCCCGTGCTGAATAGTTGGTTCACTAGGTCTCGGCCAGAATACTGCGGGAAAGTCGAACCTACAGATTGGAGAAAACACAGTCACAGTATGCAAACGCCTTGTGGAAGAAACCCAATCACTAATTATCAAAGTCTTTTCTCTCCGCGTATAAACTTGGAGCCCCATTCGTAGAGGTAAGACGCTGAACAACGAGCACTTGAACCTGCCGCTGACATGATCTAGTTTGGTATGATATTTGATCAGTGACGAAGGCTCGATTTTAATGCCAGCATAGACGTGCAAATTACCCGCGATCTTGAAGCCGTCATTTATCACGACTTTTCCTTCAGCGGATCAGGATCCGATGTGCCGATTCACGACATCTCACTCGCACAATACAAGTACGCGGGCGACATGCAGAACCCTAGCGGCGCGTCGCTCCTTGAAGCGGGCACGCCGAGACCACGCGCTTTTTCCAGTGGCGAGGACTCTTTATTGAAAGCATTGCAAGCACAAGAGCGCCTGCGATGCACTGTCGACTTTGATGGCAAGGGCTTCAAGGCCAATATCCGGGGACACTCCATCCAGGACGCGCACGCCACTCTGGAAGAGCTCCTGGCGACTCTGCCAGAGGAAATTGGTTTCAATATCGAGCTGAGTAGGCTGAATGTCCCTGTGCGGCCCGGTCTTGTGAAGTGCGCTAAAATGAAGCAGAATATCAGCGACTGCACGAAGCGGTGGAAGCAGGGGTGGCTTCCGTCACCATTGACATCAACACCTTTGTCGACGTGGCGCTTGAAAAGATTAAACGGCTCGCGGGCCGTCGACCTATTATCCTCTCGTCTTTTACACCTGAAATTTGCATTTTGCTAAAATTCAAGCAGAATGCATATCCCGTCCTGTTTATTACGAATGCGGGCAAGCTTCCAATGATGGACAAGGAGCTGCGGGCTGCAAGCCTTCAGATTGCATCAAAGTTTGCGAGATACTGGCAGCTTTCCGGACTGGTGCTTGCGTGCGATACATTTCTGCTCTGTCCCCGGCTGATTTCTCTCGTCCAGAATGCGGGACTGGTGTGCGCTTCGTATGGGCTGGGCAATAATGATCCAGTAAATGCAAAGGTCAGTGCCGCCAGTCTTTGAGAATGGGTGATGTAGAATATATGTGCCAACTGACGACTTTATAGATACAAGCTGATGCTGGTATCGACATTTTAATAGTGGATAAAGTGAAGCTCATTGCGGACGCACTGGGAAAGCTGCCTTTTACAGAGGAGTAAACCTGTGACGAGTAGCTATACAAGCACAAGCCATAGTTGGAATCCTGGTTAGTGATCGTGCCGAGACTTTTATACAAGGTGTAACGCGGGGAGGCGGGCTTGCACAAAGTGATGAAGCAGAATCTTGACAGTGAATGGCATCCCACTATTCCTTTCGGACATGCTCCTGTTTTGAGCATAAAACAAAAGCCATTTTCTCGTCGGGGTGCAACGTTATACCTGCTGACCTGGTCTTGTGATCAGCAGCAGGGCCAAGGAGTGGCACGGCACTGCTATGTCGCGGGGTTAGCCGAATCTGAGTTTTCTCGGCAGTGGCAATGTAGCATAAAAATTTCGAGCAGAGTGGTCATGCGGTTGATCTTGTTGGCTGATTCGGTGCCAGGGTTCGCTTGGTGAGTGCTCGGAGAAGCAGCCGTACAGATTGTTCTTGCGACGTGCTAGCCGGATTCAGTCAACACAATGGCGAAGTTCTGGCCAAGGCTCTGCTCAGTATAGTTAGCGACTGACCAGACTACCATCATGTCTCGGGAATTCTCCGCACTCTTTGATATCATTGTAGTGTGTTACATTGCAGAGCATTGCATTGTATTTTCTCTCTTTCGTGCTAATAGTGGCGTGGAGAAGGAGGGGTGTCTAAATCGCTGGTGGCATCTGGGGCTTGTTAGATGGCTTGGTTGGCGAAGACGAAACGAAAAGAATCTAACCGCGATAGACATTTTTTTCACATTATTAAGATGGAATTTCTCGCGCGGCGAGGAGGAATCTCGCCTGTTGAATGTGAGTTGGGCTATCGGCAGTTCGCGGACCGCGCTGGCGCGCAGGTGGCAGGTGATGAGCGCGCGTTTGTGTGGTGCCACCCGAAACTTGACCTCGACACCATATTGATCCGCATTCCCAGCGGCGATATCACAGGCTGTCAAAAATTCATTGGATGCAGAACAATACCAGTCATGAGTATGCATATAGGTCTATATTTTACCGGCCTTGAAATGCTACAGGCCATGAACGATCGTGATGTCGACAGGGCGGCGTTCTCGGGTGATTCCACGCGTTTTCTAAATAGAGGCAATGTGCTAACTCGTGGTAATTACAGGCCACTGCGACTTGATTGGCTTCAATCGGAGGAGGAAAGCTCGCCAAGGAGTACATCCAAGCCGTCATCGGCCTTGGCTCATCTCCAGGTCCAAGGCGCGATAGGCTGTCAATAGCGCCTGAATAGCGCCGTGCGTCGCTCTACCGCCCTTCGATGTGCCTTCTAAAATATGCCGCCGCCCCCGATCTGGCCGATCAACTAGCGGCTTGACAATACCCATTCGCCATTCCTATGCGTGACATGTTTTAGCCATCGTCGTGTACGGCTACTGAACCCCGGATCGCCACCACGTTTACTGTGTCTCATTGGCACCACTTGGCCAGGGCGCACTGGCGTGAGTTCAATCAGCGCCAGCCATCTCGCGACACCCCCGCCAAAGACACACAAAGCTACATTTCCAAAGTCAAGTCGTGAAGTGGTGCTCGGTAACACGACAGTCGCGGAGACCGACACTGCACTGCGGTAGAGGATTTGTCTGCCCGGAGCTCATCGCTACACGACACGAAGCGCTTTGTGCACCACTGCAACCCTCGGGCATCACGCGGTGCTATTACAAAATGATTGGGAAGCTGACCTTTCTCTGCTTCTCCCAATTAGGCTGTTGGTAGTTTTAAGCAAAGCAGGCGGCGCGATCGCCGACGCCACCGTTACCCCACTGGGCTGCCTTCGCCCTCTGCCGGCGCCGTGAACCAGGCTCTCCGGCGAGGTTTCACTTACACCACATGAAGCGGGTACTGGTATGCTCTATACTTCTTTCTTCCCTTTGGGTCAGACATGTACCGGTTAGTGTGTTCCTGACTATCACTAGTGCCTGCACTTGGTTTGTTTTGATGCCATCGCGTCGCGGTGTAAGTGAGGGTCCTGATGTTAGACACGACGCGGCTCTGCACATGTACCTCATCTCAAAATGCACTGCGCATAGGCCCGACTAGATATACCCCAGACTCACATCCCCTCACTCATGCGTACCCCCGCTTTTCGATCATAAGCTTGGAGAGAATCTGTAGTCATGAGGACGACTCCGTGAGACGCCTACCTATCCCGTGCCAGAGACAGTGTACGACAAAGGGTCTCCGATTCACAAATGGCGCTACCCCTCGATCAATTTTTAACATAAATTAGTTCAACGGCCACCTGCCGTTGCTGCCCCTGCTCTGGTCAGCACACTGCATCTCTCAGATATTGGCTGCATCATGAAGCTTCTGCGAGTCGTCATTGCCGCCTTGCTGGCTGTCGTCGGCCAAAGCGATGCCAAGTCAACCTTTTCGCCCGCTCGCCCTCCTGCGGCCCCTCTTGCTGTTCGATCCCCATATCTCAATGTCTGGCTCAACGGGCCAACTGATGGCGGCGAGAGCGGTATTCTCCCGAATTCATGGCCTCGCTTCTGGACGTAAGTGTGACATAGGTATCTATGTGATCGTATCAAGTCACTAACGTTCGACATGTGGCACAGTGAGGGTGTCCAGGGCTGGCAAGGCTTCATCAAGGTCGATGGGAAAACATACAATTGGATGGGAAACCACCCAAGCACTGACTTTGCCAACCAAACCGCCCAATACTACACCTCCACCAAGACCGAGTTCGTCATGGACGTCGGCGGCAAGGTCGAACTGACTGTCAGCTTTCTCTCTCCCGTGTTTCCCGACGATCACAGGCGCCAGTCAATTCCCTTTTCCTACATGAACGTGAAGGTGAAGTCTATCGACCGTCACGCCCACTCTGTGCAGATTTACAGCGATGTCACTGGAGGCAAGTACAAGACGCAAGCAGCTATGGCGTATTTGATGGACTAACACAAGTGGCTTTGCAGAGTTTGCGTCTGGGGACAACCGCGCCGTCATCGAATGGGAACACAAAAAAGTGAACGGCCTCCGCTCGCACCGCTTTTGGCGACGAAACCAGGATGTCTTCAACGAGACCAATGACCAGGCTTCGTGGGGCAATTGGTATTGGACCACAAAGGATCAGCGCGGTGTCAGCTACCAAATTGGTCAAGACACTGCTGTGCGCAGCCAATTCATAAACAACGGCCATCTAGACGGCAGCATTGACAGCCAATTCCGTGCTGTTAGTGATCGTTGGTAAGAGAACCATATGCGTGGCCAGCGACTACAATAAATACTGATCATGTACATTTCAGGCCTGTATTCGCACTTTCTCGCGATCTCGGAAAGGTTTTGGGAATGGGATCTGTCACAACCCTCTTCACTATAGGTATTACCCAGGACGAAACCATCCAGTACCACGGCATTGGAGAGAAGAAAGGTCTCCCATCTCTCTGGAAGGACTACTTCAAAAATGACGCTGAGCTCGTCAAATTCTTCTACAATGATTTCAGCTACTCCTCGCGATATTGCATGAAGCTTGATCACCGCATCGAGACCGAATCTGCAGCTGTCGCTGGCCCGGAATATGCAATTATCACCACTCTGGCTCTCCGCCAGTTCTATGGCGCCATCCAGCTCGTGGGAACCAAGGAAGATACCAAGGTCTTTATGAAGGAAATCAGCTCCAACAGTGATATCCAAACTGTGGATGTCATCTTCCCGGCATTCCCTGCCATGGTATACCTCAACCCCATTCTCATCAAATGGAGCCTTGAACCCCTCTTGGAATATCAAAAGAGTGGTCGCTATCCCAACAAGTGGGCTGTTCATGATCTCGGCCGATACCCGCGGGCCCTCGGCTACGACGACGGCAACGACGAGCCGATGCCACTAGAAGAGTGCGGCAATATGCTCATCATGATGCTCGCCTATGCTCAAAGGTCCGGAGACAATGGGTGGCTGAAGGAAAACTGGGATCTTCTCACGCGATGGGCCGAGTATCTCATCGAAGATGCCAAGATTCCTGCGCACCAGCTCTCAACTGATGATTTTGCTGGCCAGCTCGCCAACCAGACCAACTTGGCCATCAAAGGTATCATCGCTTTGGAGGCCATGGCAGAAATTGCTACGCGCGCCGGGCATCCAGATTTGAAGCCGCACTACAGTGACATTGCACATGAGTACTACAAATTCTGGTCCGAGCATGGCATTAACAACAACACAGCGACTCCTCACTCGACGCTGGCCTACGACGACATGGAGAGCTACGGTCTGCTGTACAACCTCTGGGGTGACAAGGTGCTCAGGCTCAACTTTATCCCCGAGGAGATTTACAAGATGCAGAGCGCGTGGTACCCGCACGTGGCCAACGAGTACGGCATGGTACTGGACACGCGTGGGACACTGACCAAGACAGATTGGGAAATTTTTGCGGCATCCATGTGCGAGGAGTCGACCAAGATGCAGTTTGTCAAGCTCATTGCCAAGTGGATCAATGAGACCAAGACCTGGAGAGCGTTGACAGACTTGTACGACACCAAAGATGGCGGCTATCCGCGCGGCATCCAGTTTACGGCGCGGCCGGTGGTCGGTGGCCTATTTGCGATGCTTGCTCTACAATGAGAGCAGCGACGACAGTTTTCGGAGGATTGGGGAGATACAATGGAGGATGAAGCACTTATTCCTGATTTCTTTTGTGTTTGATGAACTACATGGCAGACCGCGGCCAATGTAGGCGAAATATGCCGTGGCGATCGCTCACGCGCTCAGCGTTCACAGAATGGGGGAGGCTTCCTTTGCTTTGCTGAGATGAGCCACGCACTATAATTATCTTATCCGCATGATACAATTCGATTCTAAACTTCACATAGACAATTATCATTTGACTATTGTATGGGCGTGTACTTGGTGCAATTTTGCTAGCCAAAAGAAAGCGCTCCATGGCAAGTTAATGGTATAATGGGCCAAGTAATCGCAAATTTGGAACAGGTGCAAGCGCTTCCGCTTTACTAACGGGGCTCGACGCGAAAAGACCCGATTCTTCGCTTCGGATCGACCTTTCTCTTCCCACCGGTCGGTCCCTCGACTGTAAGGCTCGGGCTGCCATTTGGCCATGTATCACTGCGGTCAAGGTTAGCACGCACACGAGCTCAACCGTGGATTTATTCTTCATCACTCACGCCCAACCATAGAGAGTCACATTACGGCCCTTGATTTCGATTCCCTGAATTTTGCTATGAAATGGTTAGAAGTTGTAAAGTGACTAAAGGACCATGTACTTGCGGAGAGCCTTCCAGCGTGAAGCTTGTGTTGATCGGGACGTCCATCGGGCGATCTCTGCCGTTGTCAACGTCCCATTTGACCTGTTGTTGTTTTTTTTTCCCTTAGGTCAGCCACCTGTGTGACATGAATCACAGTCTTTGCTTCTATATGTTGACATACGTAAACAGTCTCCTGGGGAGCAGGGCCATCAAAGACCTCCTCGCTGATGGCTGGGGGTTCTGGAGCAGCAGTCGTCATGTTGGAAGATGTATTAGATGGGATGATACTAGTCGATAAGAGGTTTGGTCGAATGTCAAGATGAGAAAGATGTTGTGAGTTACCTATGGATTGAACAGGAAGGGAGTCTGAACTTATATGGTTTTTTGCAAGGTGTCTTGCTCTGAACTATCGTCTGTTCCCTCAACAATAATCAGGTCACAAACCCAGCTCTCACGTCTACCCCTCTCTTTGATGTCGAGTTCCGTGTCACTGCAATTGATTGTACGGGTCAAATGAATCCTTTGCGGGTCGTGAGGCTGCGGTCTTGAGCGAATTCTCATATTTGCAGCCAGGACATGGCATCAACAGTTGTGGCGATGCAGTGTGCTACAGTAGGCCGCATGCACAACAGAAGCAGGACGGGATACCAAGAGCTACAGAGTTTCAAGCCACGTGCAAGAGCCATCATTTCAGCCAGTTAACACTGATACTATAGAGACCCTTGTCTCGGGTAGTCTCAGGACACGGGAGAAGGCTGAAGGTGATCGATGCCGTCACTGCAGAACTCAGCTGCAAAGCTCCAAGCCACAAAAATTCAAAACGGCGTTTGCAAGCTGACTAGTGGAAGATGCCGGCGAATCCTACCGCACCCAACAGGGCCAGACTCGGATCTCAGTATGTAGCTCTTGTCGGGCTGCCATGAACCGGCAAAAGAACGCAGAGTGGGCGTCCATGCAACGACGGAGACGCCGGAGGATTCGACAAGGCGATTTTGGGTAACAACGCAAAGGGGCGGCCTGCGACCCTACAAGTTGCATAGTTCTTGGCAATAAAGTCCCGAGACATTCAGCTGGTGTCTCTTTTCGTCTAGGCCGTGCAGTGGCTATACTCGAATGCTGTGTGCCGACTATACACCTTCTTCCAATCATCATGCACATACATGTACGAGATATTAGTCTATAATTCGCAAGAGCCCAACCCGCAAGACCCAAACCAATCACTTTGACGACTTTATCAATACCCTGCATCTATCCCGTACTGATTCCTGCGTTGTATATATTTTGTGATGGCATACTCAAGCCCACAGAGCGGGGGGTTCAACACCGGCAGATGGTGGCATTGGCACTTACCGAGGGGCTTGCCATATGTTCTAGATATTAGCTATGCTTCGCCGTCTTTATGCGGTGTGACAGTGGCTTAATTCTGCGATCCAATTCGCGTCTCTCTAGCAAGAGTTCTGCGGCCTGTGAGCTAGCCCAGCGCTTGCGTAGGTAGACGGAGTCTTGGGAAGGCGTGAAGGTAAACGATTTTACAGTATGAGAAACCCAACAAAGCAAGACATGCCTTGGGTACGGAGAAAATGCGCGGTTGGTCTCACGCATGCAATGACTCAAATATTGGCATCGCTGCCCAGTAAGAGATGAGCTTTTGTCTAGACCCTTCGGATTGGCGGCCCGCATGCAGCATCCTACATACATCCATCTACCCTAGCAAGTAGGTGAAGATAACGACAACGCCAAACTCCAACCGCTTTTGTTTTGCGACGCGGCACCATGTAGATGATGACCGGTGAAGGCTATATCCCTCGTTTCCAAATCTTGGCATTACCTCCCCTATGACGAAGCCGGAGGCTGGAATATCCTTGGCTCGTTGATGATACATGACGAAATTTCTGCACCCAATTCCCAGGATTGGGGAGAGGTAATTATGCTTGATAAAATTGATCATAGTGCATCTTCATGTGCAATGTACCTGCAGTCGCTAAGAGGGACTGGAAACAGAACGCTGTACGGATAGCAGGCCAAGGTGCTCGCACGAGACATGTCAGTGTTGCAGAGCAGCCCCGTTGGGCAGTGACGCAAGTGCAGGGGCATGAATATCAATGGTCAGCCTCAAAGCACAATCAAATCCGAGTCCGGGGCTGTTACGACACTGTGTAAAGCTGTACAATAGTGATGGAGGTGGCAGGAGCGGAGAGCGAATAGTACCATGTCGAGGCATGTTGCAGCGGCTGCAGTACATGACGCATTAGCAAGCCGCGGTGTGACAGTGGCGGTTCGGGGTATGAAGCTCCGCGGACAAATTCTTCTAAATATAATCTTGATGGCTATGGCCCGTCTCTCGGGGGCAAGACAGACCGCCGATGAGCCTCGACGCCTGCCATGGAAGCCATTGCCTACCTCACCAGGACATGGCCTGAAAAAATCAGGAAAGAAATGTAAACCCATTCTTTAGCTACCAAGGTGTAGATATGGTAGCATCAGAATTAAATCTTAGATTCTATACAGAGATGGTTGCTGTTAGTCGAAGTGAGCCTTCTGACTGGGTGCGTCGTCTGTTTTGTCCCCGAGGTGCCCGTCTATAGACTCGCAGCTCTCTTGTGCCGTGGCTGATTTTGGCACATCCATCTCCTTCTGGTGGCCGTTCTGTTCCGGCAAATTCTTGAACTGATAACTTGCAGGCCGCTCCCATGTCAAGTACGGCTCATTCAGCTTGATCAAATCCGACCGGCTCAAGACCGGGGTAGATTTCATTTCCTTTCCCTCGACAGTTCCATCAAGCCCTCTTACCGCCACTGGTGCCGCTGGCTCCTGTGGCATCAGCGACCACTTCAAACATGTTTCGACGAGCTTCAATTCCCGCGTCCTTCTCTTGTCAACCCACGCATCTAGTACCTTTCGGAACACGTGTACATCAGCATCCAGTTTCACGTCCGGGTGTTTTATCCACTCAAGCCGTAGTACAGCTTCAGCATCCTGCTCGATATGAGGTACTCCTCGGAAATGCTCATCCAAAGTGATGATCTCGTACAAAGTAAAGATAACGCCTTTCATATCATCACGCTCTGGGGTGTAATGCTCGTGAAGCATAATAGAAAAATCAAAATCGAAGATACGGAGATTCTCCTTCTCGTCGATGAGCAGGTTACGCGCAGCAATATCCTGGTGCATGATGCCGTAGCGATAGTTCAAATCATCTACAACAGACAGGAGCTGTTGTAGCCACGCTAAACGAAATGGCCGGGTAGTAGCGCCGTTGTCTTTGAGAGTTCCGCCTGGGATGTAGAGACTTGTAAACCCAACAACGCCTCCCCGAATGTCGTCCAACACAACGGCGTCGAATGGAACAATGTGCGGGTGGTCTCGCGGTAATCGAGCCCAACATTGAAGCTCGTACCATTTTCTAAACATACCGTTTGCAATAAACCACTACTTGAAAGCTGCCTTTGTGTGGTTTGCCCTGCCGTCGTCGACTGTAGTGGGATAGTCTGGGTAGGTCACCAAATCCACCTGCGGGCCCATCCTGTCAAGCTCCGTCATGCTCTTGAATCTGATGGTCTTGACTGGGAAAGGAAGACTGAGTGCAGTCAACGGCTGGCAGTTTTTATACCACGTTACGTCATCCTTTAGGTCCGTAGATACCGAAATCGGTCCTTCTGGATCCGAGAAACGAATGCCCAAGACGTCCGTGTCAAGGTCGTCGATGTGCTTTCGTAATTTTGCTAGACAAATATCCTCTGTCTCCTCAACGTCTTGTACTGCTGTCGGGGGGCAATATGTAACAGAGAAATGCCTTCGCTGATCAAAGTCGGTAATGTGCCATGTGTAAGGCCCTCCCGTAAGCAAGCTGCCACCACCAGCCCAGAGCCGGTCTCCAGGGTCGATCATAGTGAGGGTCAAAGGGGCGTTGGACGGACAATCAAATATCAGAGTTAGGTAGTTGTCAACAAAAAAACAATGAGAAATTAAGGGTGGAACTTGTAGAGTAATTCCCAAGTGCTGCTTCCGGTTTAGATGAGCTAGATGGTGAGTAGTCAAAAGATCACAGAACGTTGGTTGTGCATGCATAACGATGGCATCTCTGCAGCACTGAAACTCACGTGATGCGCGGTGCTTGCTATTAACATATTTGCCATGTTGGCAGCGCACACTAGGTTAACAAGCAACATTACGGGGCTTGAGCTCGGTTTCTGTTAGCAATTATATCCAATGCAGAATCGTTTCGGAGCAATCGTTTTGTTGTTGTTGAGAAGCAATGCATCAAGTCGAGTCACTAGAGCGACTGGGGTTAGGCCTCGGCGGCTAGAGATGAATAGAGTTTTTTACAAGTCATCTGGCGCTACAAAGGGAAATATTATAGGGCTAATTTAGGGCACCATGTCGCGCGCGCAGTAGCGGCTGTCTTGGCTGCGCCGCCGCGTGCCGGAACGCGTCAGTACATAGGTACCTTTGTCTTGCTCTTGTCCATTCTTCGTATCCCTGTTTTCAACGTCAGCATGCATTTCGTCAAATCGCTCCTCCGTCTACTCAGATCCGCGGGCAGAGAAGGCATTGCTGAGAAGCTGGCTGCCGTGTAGGGTGTCTATACCAGTGTAGCGCTGTAGCGCCAGGTTCGGGGGTCTAATCCGGCGCCCTGGGACTCGTTTTCTCTTGAATTCTCGAATATTAAGACCTATTTCTCCTCCTTTTCTGACTAGTTGATCTTTTGCAGTTTTTCTTGTACAATTTCATCACCTTTTTATTTTTATGTCTCGTACATGTGCAACTCTGTACTGGGATCCAAGTCAGCGGTGTTGCGGTGGTACTCGAGATGAGACATGACTTAAGGAGAACCGTACTATCTAATGCTAAGTCTTACCCCGCACATCCCGCAAGTACCAGGGACTAGTTGCCGTGTAAGACAAGTATAATGAAAGCAAGGGGCTGCAACAGCTCTTTGTTCCTCTTGCAAAGCTCAAAAATCAACCTCGGTGACTGCTATACCTCGCCATCCCTGCAAGCGCTTTCTATTTCGCTCTTGTATTAAGAAAAAAAAAGAAAGAAAAAAAAAGAAAGAAAAAGACACTCAACATACCAATTACAAGCCACAGCGGTATGACGTGCGAGGTACGCTCAAGAGCCCTATCACTTGCACACTTTCGCAAGTACCTACCTAACGAACAAGTCTTGCGCCATTAAATACTTCGTACCCCAACAAGAATTGGGGTCATGTACGTATTCATTATGCATTGGCTTTCTTGACGGGCCTAACCCGCGGGGCTCCGAGTCTTGACACCCCCTCGGAGGTAGGCCCCTCCAGGCCCCTCCTTGCGCCGGCCCCCCTCTTACGCAACTTCTTCTTGACATCCTCTCATCGTCTGCAAATCTATCACGACAATAGTCGTCGTCTGATTGCATCGCAATCTTGCAATGGCTTCTCCAATTATGGCCCCCAATTGTTAACATTGCCGCATCTATCATTCGCCCTTATAACTTTTTAAATTTCTCCCCTCTCGTACCAGATATCGCAATCGGGATCTGATAAGCCAACCGCCGATTCACGTCACGAGGGCATCATTCATTTCGCTTCGCCTCGCCTTGATCTCTGTCTATTCTCTGAGCTATACGAGAAAACCAGCAGGCCTACATTAATCCATGATGGCTCGTTTCATCGATCTAGAAATCGACGACAACGGAGGCGATACGCAGGATCCCAGTAGTAGTGTTTGTTCCGCCGCGCCACCGCCAAACGCCGATGTCGAGTTGGTGACAACGCCGACCGTATGCAACGCCGTGACGCGTGCCTTTCAGTGCTATCCGTACGTTTTCGGTTTACCTCGTCACCACTAGCTTGCTTCATGTTGTGACGCATATGCTAATTCCATGTAAAGCATCGTCGTCGGCGTCGTCTCGCACATTGATCTCACCACCCTCGACTCGCTCGCGCGTGCAAGCCGCATGATACACCACGGCCTCGTACAGTACCGCGTTGCACTACTCGCGGCCACGCTGCGCTGCTCCAACGAGAATCTGCCTCTTGACACCGCCGCCCGCGCAAACGCCGGCATCGACTCCTATACGGACACGTCCCGGCAAGCGGCTGGCGCAGCCAAGGCAAGCCGCTGCTGCGCGCGCGACATGGTGGGCGAGTGCCGACGCTGCGCCGCCGTCATCTGTAGAGCAAGTCATTTAACCCCTCATCTCTCGCTTATGCGGCAAGTATCAGTCAGCTGACCAACTTGTGCACAGAACTGCGCAACCAAGCCCCCAGCGGCGAGCACCCTCCGCGAGCGTCATCGACGTCTCTGCGCCGCCTGCGCTAAGGCGCCCCTCGAGCAGGTTGCGTGCCCGGGCCTCGACCCGGCGCGTCCGGGAAGCGCCGACGCCATGCAGCGCTCGCTTTGCGACTGCGCCCAGGGCGGCGTCTGGCTGTGCCAGCCCTGTGGCCGCACCATACGCAATGCCGACCATGACTATCTTCGGTATGCCTTTGCACCATCACCACCGCCCATCAAACTCCCTCCCAAGCACTAACGCATGCAATTCTACAGCATCTGGCGCTGGCGCAACCACTACGGCGAGGTCCTCGGTTGTCTGGGCACCGGCATCGGCGACGCAGACCGCGGCGTCGTCTGCGGCCGCGAGGAGCGCTGCCTTGCCGCCCGCGAATGCGAGCAGGAAATCGACTGCGACGCCGAAGACGCCCGCAGCAGCCGCGCCCCATCGACCTCGTCATCATCCGACCACCACCAGAACAACAACCCGGCCACGCCCCCCGGTGCTCACAACCACGACTCCTACTTTCCCGCCTCCTGGTCCTCCGAGTCCCGCGCCAACGAGCGCATTCCGTCCTCGCCGCTACTCCTCGGCCCCGGCTATGAGCGCCACGAGATTGAGGGCATCGGCGGCATCGTCAAGCGCAAGCTCGTGCGCATGGTCCGCGTCGGCAAGTGTGTTCCCGAGTGGGAAGAAGAGCGCACATCGGCCCGCGTCCTCGGCAGGGAGGCCCGCGGCGAGGCCCGCAGCTGGTGCGGGTGGTGCTGGCGCGTCGTGCCCGGCCGTGACGACCCACGGCCTGCGGACAAGTTGTCTGCGGTGCCGTCGCGGCCTCTGGCCCAGACGGCGGCGGAGGCCGCGGCGCAGCAGAGTCGTCCTCCGCCGACACCAGCAGTGTGTCCTCCTGCTGGTAGCTGAAAGCCAAAGTTGCTTCGAGAGGCGTATTGAACGCTTTCTGATCTAGAGACTGCCTAGATTTAGACACATTTTCGGCATTGCTTTTCCACGATTTGGGTAATGAGTCTGCACATCGCAGTCGACCGACCATCATTTGAGATGATTGGTCAGTTTCTGGTTTTATTACGATACACGATATACGATATACGATGCGCTTACTATATTTGAACACGTACAGCACTTTGTTATGACTGTTGCATTGGCACATATTATACATACTGTTTTAGACGCACTAACAGCGACTCGAGATGTATGTTGCAAATCTTTTTTCATTTGCATCAACACAAAAAATGCTCTTCTTCACTGCTTTTGCTCTATATGACAATGCCATGACGCTCTGTAAACCACCCTGTACTTTACAATAAATAGTACACTTTCATCCTCACGTAGATGCTCCATCTTCATCTTCCTCTAGATACGTGTAAAGGAAAGATCTTGTTCCCTTGAGTGGCTCAGACCTCGATCATCGAGGCCTAGAGCTAGATATAATACAAGTGTATGCAAGTTTGAGTCATCGTTCCGCCGAGACTGTTGACAAATTATAGCTCGCCGCGGTACATGAGCTCCGCGCGTCGCTTGCGCTCCTCCCGCGCCGCCGTCTTCTTGCTCCCCCAGCGGTCCTCGCGCTTCCGCTTTTGGCTCTCTAGCCAAGCCTTGTGCGACGCAGGCGCGGGCGCCGCAATCTGCACAAAGACCTGCGAGCAGTTGAACTTGCGCGCGAGCGCAATGACGCTCCATGTCAGAGGGTCCTCGCTGCGCAGACGACGCATCTCTTGGACTTGCTCGGCGGTGAGGTGGTATTTGGGCTCGTCGGCGCGGTGGCTGTAGCGCATCGCGACACCGTTTGGTGTTTGTGGAGCGCTGCCGCCGAGGCCGGTGGTCTTGCGCATGCGAGCGGCGGCGGCGCGGCGCGGATCCGACGAGGGGAGAAAGAGAAAGGGCGTGTGCGCGGGCGAGGCCTCGGAGGCGGGCGGGTTATAGATGATGCTGTCGGCGGCGGGAAAAGGCGCGGCGCGGTCGGGGAGAAAGGAGTCGTGGGGGGCAATTTTGAGGGCGCGCTTCGTGCGGGCGACCGTCTTGTGGCCGCGGGAGGATGTCAGAGGGGTGGTGAGGAGGCGCGGGTGGGCGTGGCGGGCTGCTGCGCCGAGGAGAGAGCTCGCGGGGCGGGCTGCCAAGCAAAACTCCATGGCGTAGTTTGTGAAGGAGGTTTCGAAAGATTGAGTGGTATCCGATTTGGCAAAAGAAGGTGAGGTTGGGCGAGAGTAGAATGATGGCGCGTTGTGGCTGTTTGTGAAGCCAGGACTATTTCCTTTCTTTTTCCTTGTCCTCGAGCTCCAAGTGAATGGGTCAATTGGACATGTAGCAGTCGAATTTCGGGAAAAATTGATATAGGACAGCTGAATGACGATCAATTGCCCCTGGCAGGCCGTCGCTGATGCTAACGTGGGTATTTGGCGTGGTGGCGAGCGATGCCGTGCTTGTCGGGTCGTGATCCAGGAACACGGGGGTGAAGTTTTCTGTGCAAGCATGCAACATTGCCTAGAGTGGACAGCTACGTGCACGTGCCAGGTCACGTGTAGTCTTCAAGATGAGAGAGCAGGCGGCGGCGGACGCGGGAGATGGTGGAGCACGATGGTAAGGACAGGCTGTCGATTACATGATTCCTGAGTGGCATTATCAATTTGATCTGTTTCGAGTCATTTTCAAGCATAAGATGAAAGTATAGTATGGCCGCTGAATGGCTGGCCGTAAAAGCAGCTCGTTACTGCGTCTTCATCACAACAACGCTAGGCGGTGGAGGGGAGATCAGCACCAGGCTGCCAGTAGCGCTAGGGGTCCTAGTTCCAGGACGAATGTCTGGCGTGTGATTTTGATTGCGACGGGGTTGTATCGCAAGTATCAGGTACGAAGTATTGCATTGCATTGGCCCTTGTTTGGTTTCAATATTGCTGTACCTGTGTCAAGCGGGCTTATGCAGTTTCGCATTGTTCTGCAATGGATACGTGCATGACAGCAACTACTCAGTAGGTGCGGATAGCTCCTTGTAATTAGTTCAGTCGGCCAGTTGTTGTCCTCTACGTCATGCGTCATGGCGAGCCTCACCGCCGCCTACATTGATAGTGAGAGAAGAGCAGTCACTACAAAGAAATATTGGCAGCAATCGGTGGCGCCAATACTGAACAACGTGACCCAAGGGGAGACGCTCTCGAGAAGCTGACATGGTCAGTGGTGAGGGATGTTGGCGTTGCAAGGGTCTGGTATTGGATGAAAGGCGAATGTACGGAGACCAGCCTGATATTATTACCAGACTAAAATCTGTGATTCCGTACCAACACTGGAATCAGCGCAATGTCACCCCGCATCCGTCGTAGCCTCACCTCTGGTTGTACCGGATTTTTCGGTTCCTGTCTGCCTATTATTACATGGAAAAATTATTCATCAGTAAATAAATAAATAATACCTAGGTAATATACGGGTAGTGCCGGCAACTACCTGAAAAATCCCAGGGGGCGAGTCAAGGTGCCTGAATACCTACTGGCAACGGCATGGAAGTCAGCAGACAAGCCCACTACAGCAACCACCCCCCGGGCTTCTCCCGTCACTCACCTCTCCCCTGCTCCTTCACGTCATCAATTTATTACCTGCAGCTTTCGCTTCTTCATTGCACACCCACCTTCTCTTCCTCGAGAGCTTCATCCTCCTCTGTCTAGCTTCATCCGCCAGCTTCATCCGCCTTCCAGACTCAACCTCTCCGTCATCCCATTCGTGCTTGCGCCCGCTCCGTTATACTGGCGATCTGACAGTGGCTCCACCTCGTCGCAGGCAAGCAGACCCTGTGATCCCGACGTCCTGCTTCTCCCGACTTGTCCTACCATTCTGCTGGGCCAGAAAATCTCACCCTCTTATCCCCATCATCCGTTCAACATCTCGCAAACTCGCTTCGTATCCGCCGACAGTTCCGACACAATGAGCCTCGCCGACGCCGCGCCCATCACTAGCGGCGACAGGCTAGCACAGCTTGATCTTGCAGACGACAGCAGCCGTGGTACCTCAACGCCCCGTGCTGCTGCTGCTCCTGCCGCTGCAGCCGCTCCCTCCAACTTGGAGGCTTCGAGTCAGGCAGACGACATTAAGACGACCTCAAAGGGCAAGAAGCGCGCCCTCTTTGGATTCGGCAAGAAGAAGCAGTCCTCGTCCTCTGCCGACTCGCCGGCTGACGCCAAACCCCCATTGCTAACAAAGAATTCGTCCAAACTGTCTCGAGTCACGCCAGCCACGACGCATTCAACGCGCAGCTCGCGCGACTATCCATTCCCCTCGCCATCATCGCCTGGTCGTGTTCTGTCTACATCCCCTCGCCTCGCCTCTCCTGCTGGCTCACAAATATTTGAGCGTGATGTCCAAGATAGCACCGTCCTCAAGCCCAGCTCGCCTGCCATACCCACCCATATTCAGACCGAAAACTATATTCCTTCTGTGCTCGACGATGCCTCCGAGGCCATTACCAACAATAAGCTCGATCCCGATACCGTAGAGATTGTCACGCACTCCTCTCATCAGCCAGCCTCGGTCACTGTCACCGGCGCCCCCAATAGTCCCACCGACCACCAAACATCCACTGAGTGGGCAGCAGAGCTGGCGTCCTTTGCCGATCGCATTGGTGTTTCTGGAGAGACTGCTTCCAACTACGGATCTCTCGACTCGGCAGACGTTCGACGATTATCATTCATTTCATTCGCCGACGTGGTGCAGTCTGAGCACAGCGTTGGAGTGCGCAGTCCTATTTCTCGAGAAAATCTACACCTCGCCGGCTTGACCTCTCTACCTCCCTCCGCATTGAATCGATCGCCTTCGCCGATTCGCTCGCCAGTCTCCAGCCAAGGTCTTGGCACTTCACCACCAACGAGCAACCCTGCTAGCATCAAGGGGCTTGAAATGAGCCCGCCGCGCAAGCTCATGGGCAGCCCCAAGAGCACTCAACATTCGCTCGCCGCGCCCAGTGAGCTCAATATCGAAACAATGCGACAGGCTCTTCGACGTACGGGCAGTACGGATTTGGCCAGCGCCCGCAGCATGCCGGTGAGCCCCATTGACGCACCTGGCCCTCGCTAAGCACAGATTGCAAGGGATATGTCTGTTATATCTGTCTGGTCGCGGAGCCTGCTCTGCTTGAATGCTTGATTTGAAATAGCTCGGAGTTTTGAGGAGAATTTGCTGGCACGCGCCGTCATACAATATTTGAGTCTTTTCTATTCTTCCGGCGACATTCTTTCTACATTCTTTCTCTCACTTTGCCAACGCCATACCCGGTGATACCTCATGCAAAGTTGGTCGAACATGTTGAAGACAGGCTCACTCAGTGCCGACCATTGCTATCTGCTATTGTCAGTGTATCCTTCTCGTGGGTACGTGCTGCCTTTTGCCTTTCCTTACAGTCGCCGTTTGGTAGGAATGTGACGCGATGCAGGACATGCCAGTTACTTCCCATGTCTATTTGGCCTAGCCTTTTTTTGTTTTACATTTTTGATATTGTCAAGGTATCGTTGGAATTTATCAAGCATAAGGTCGGGTGGTTCAGGGTCAAATCGCCATAGCAACAAGTATATAATAATGATACTCCCTGAGATAAATGCATCAGAGAAATGCTTCCATTCTTGCTTGCTTGCCAAAGAGCAAGGTCCGCAATGTCCTTGTTCTTTTTTTGTTTCTACTCTTAGAAGGGCGGAAATTAGCGATGCACCGAAAAGCGACTTTTCAAAGATATAAATAGCCTCGCACCCTGGCTATCAGGGGGTGGCCTTTTGCATCGCCACAATGCAACATTGCGATGGCCCATAGAGTCGAGGGAGGGATATTAGTGTACTTTTTGGATAGCACGAGTAAATTCATACACGTCTAAGCTTCCTTTCGACTTTTCAGCACCTTTTTGATTACCGGTGCACTTATTTCTCCGGCGGGTATCACGGATGTCTCGGGCCGGTGCTGGAGCACGGAAAGGAGACACTAAGTACGGCCAAAGCCTTACAATACAAGATGGGGAAAAAAAAAAACCCCCCCGACATCTCTAAATTTCACAACAATAGTCATTGATTATTTTTTAAAGAAACCTCGGATATCATCAGAGCCCGGTATACGGATGCCGGACGGACGTGGCATTGGTTCAACGCCGTGATGCTGGCAGGTCCGCTCGCCCCGCCCCCCAGCACCACAGCAAATCCGGGGTATTGCGGCGCAACACCCGAGGCACTGAGCGCTGACCGATCTCGCCCTCCCCCACCCGCCTTCACCTCTCGGAGCTTTTTGACCCAAACAGCGACTTCTCAACACGATTTCAACCACCAATTGACAAGTGACTAACGGAGTGATAATATACCTATTCATTCAGAATGGTTGCGCCTATTCGAGTCGTGCCCAATGTAAGATGAACAGTGCATCATTCACCCCCGCAACTCCTACAACAACGTGCACCATTTGGCTGACCGATGTTTTGTCTTGACTTCCCTCGATGTCTAGGCGGCCGTACGTGCGGGCAGCCTCCTCCGCACCATCCAGTACACGCATCCGCCTTCGTGCCCGTGCCACTCCAACCCGGGATATCATCAGTCCCCGCCGACGCCGCTGTCGCGGCCCTCGTCCAGCCGGGGCTCCCGCCGCTACGCGACGCCCACCAAGACGGGGGAGACGCTCAAGGAGTACGCTTTTGAGATGGCGGCTTCGTCGATTCGCTTTGGGCCCGGCGTCACCAAGGAGGTCGGCATGGACTTTGCCAATCTCGGCGCCAAGCGCGTCGCCGTCGTCACCGACCGCACGGTGGAGAAGCTGGACGCCATGAAGCAGGTCGTCGAGGGCCTCACCCGCGAGGGCATCCCCTTTGAAGTCTTTTCGGACGTTCGCGTCGAGCCCAAGGACAGCTCGTAAGATTTCAGCAGCAGCATTTCCTGGCGTCGGGTCAGGAAAAAAAAAATTCTCGTTCTTGCTAACATCTAATGCTTTTTTTTGTAGAGTCAAGGAGGCCATCGCTTGGTCGCGCCCGTACCAGCCAGACGCCTTTCTCGCTGTCGGTGGCGGCTCAGTCATGGACACGGCCAAGCTCATGAACCTGTATACCTGCTACCCCGACGCCGACTTTCTCGACTTTGTCAATGCGCCTCTCGGAAAGGGCCGGCCGGTCGACAAGCCACTGAAGCCTCTCATTGCTGTGCCCACCACGGCCGGCACTGGTAGCGAGACCACCGGTACCGCCATCTTTGATCTCGTCGCCAAAAAGGCAAAGACTGGTGTTGCCCACCGCAACCTGAAGCCCACTCTGGGCATATGCGACCCTCTCAACACGAGGACCATGCCGTCGGCCGTCAAGGCCAGCTCTGGTTTGGATGTACTGTGCCACTCGCTCGAGTCTTGGACCGCCATTCCCTACAATGAGCGAACTCCTCGTCCGGCAAACCCCCTTTTGCGACCTGCCTACCAGGGCGCCAACCCCATCTCTGACGTTTTCTCTTTCCACGCTTTGCGCGCCACTGTCAAGTATCTTCCTCGGGCCGTTCGAGATCCCGAGGACTTTGAAGCTCAGAGCGAGATGCTTCTAGCTTCTACGCTAGCGGGCGTTGGGTTTGGTAACGCTGGTGTCCATCTTTGCCATGGTAAGTGGTACACTGATTCTATTAAATGAAAGATGACCAGCATCTGACAACTATGTGTAGGCATGTCCTATCCAATCTCGGGACAGAACCCCGCCGGATACAGACACGCTGGCTACGAACTTCCTGCACCGCTTATCCCCCATGGTGTCTCAGTCGCAGTCTCGGCCCCAGCCGTCTTCCGTTTCACTGGCGCTTCGAATCCCGAACGCCATCTTGCCGCCGCCGAAGTTTTTGGTGTCGACATTTCAAACGTCAAGCGCGAGAGCGCTGGTGAAGTCCTTGCCGAGGCGCTTAGCAAGTTCCTGGCCGATCTTGGCGATCAGCCCAGCGGTCTTAAAGATCTCGGTTTCGGTAGCGAGCATATTGAGGCTCTGGTCGAGGGCACTCTCCCTCAAGCCCGCGTCCTCATGCTTGCGCCCGGCCTGGCCAAAGAGCTGGAGACCGAGCGCGATCAGCTCAGGACGCTCTTTGAAAATGCCCTGTCACACTAGTTGTAGAAAATCCGCGTGCTTAGTTGGTTGGAGTTGTGTAGAAAGTAGCGGCAATATATGTGCTTTGGCTCTTCACTTGAATTTGTCTGGATTGCTTGGTATCATGTGTCGCAACACAGCGATTTGCTTAACCATGCCGAGTTTTCGCAAATCGGAGGCATCTCGCTGGTCTGTTCGTTGCGTACCATTCGAATAGACAACGGTATAGTCGGGCAACGTGGTGCCGGGAGGGATAACAGACTTTGGGGCAATTGTGCAGTTCTTGTACCACCATTAGCTCCTGCGAACCTGTGCAACGAGTGAACGGGCACCAAAACATACCGATCCAATCTTAGTGCCGCTGCCAATCTTACTTCCGACCTGGATCAAGCTGCCCTCGCCAACTTCTGTACCACCTGACTCTATGATAGAACCGACTTCTATCTGTACATAATCACCCACGGAAACACCGCCGGCTCCCGCAGTCTCTGGATTCTCTGGCCGAGCGCCGATATGAGCCCGCTCGTGAATAATACAACGTCGGCCAATAAGGACACTACCGTCGTTGGACTCGAAGCGACAGCGTGGATGTATCACCGTTTCAGCTTGCATAGTTATTGAGTGTGTGCCTTGAAGTATAGCATTGTCGGATATTATGAGGGAGGACGAAAAGTTGACTGGGGGCTTCGGCCCGGACCTGTCAATTGCCGGTAGGATTGAGTGGCGTTTGCTCGACATGATGTACAAGACGTTCTGCGAAAGATGCACTGAAATCGTCAATTTTGAGATGGAAAATGTCACAAGTATTAAACAAGAGAAGAGAAGAGTTTGGCGACCAGGCGAAGCTTAAAGTTCAAGACCGAAGAGGCGCAGGTAATAAGCTATCCATGTCCGGAGGTGGGAGCTCCTAACTCAAATCCAAGTTTGGCCTAGTGAGGGTCTAAATGGTGGCAAGGATCCAGTGTTGGGCAGTACACACTGCCCACGGCCATTCATGTGATCTCCAGAGTACTCACTAACAATAGCGCTTAGTCATGTATGTGGCTCGGATTGACCAACCACATCACCCGCATTTCTGATGCCCAGATTACTCGCAAGGTCGCGGATCGAAGTAGCGCACAGCACGTCTTTCAACCTTCAAACCGTTCAACGGAAGCGAACAAGATGCTGTCCACGAGAGCGGCCCCCAAGACGGCCGTCAATGTCTCACGGACCGCCGTGAGAGGATTGGCCACCGTCCAGGATGGTACCCCCAAGCGTACTTACGGCGGCCTGAAGGATCAGGATCGTATTTTCCAGAATTTGTACGGACGATACCCGGCCGACCTCGCGAGCGCAAAGAAGATGGGCGATTGGCACAAGACCAAAGAAATTATTCTCAAGGGCCATGATTGGATCATCAACGAGGTCAAGACCTCCGGTCTCCGTGGTCGCGGTGGCGCTGGTTTCCCCTCTGGTCTGAAATGGGTACGTTTTAGCGCGGCTGCGTCGGGGTGGCGATGATGCGACCGTGAACGGCAAACTAACCAATGCGTGTGCAGTCGTTCATGAACTTCAAGGACTGGGACAAGGACAACAAACCCCGATACCTCGTCGTCAACGCCGATGAGGGTGAACCCGGAACCTGCAAGGACCGCGAGATTATGCGCAAGGATCCTCACAAGCTCATCGAGGGATGCCTCGTCGCCGGCCGAGCCATGAACGCGACTGCTGCCTACATATATATTCGTGGTGAATTCATTTACGAGGCCGAGGTTTTGCAGAAGGCCATCAACGAAGCATATAAGGACGGGCTCATTGGCAAGAACGCCTGCGGTTCCGGATACGACTTTGATGTATTCATCCACCGTGGTGCCGGTGCCTACGTCTGCGGCGAGGAGACTTCACTCATCGAGTCACTCGAGGGCAAGCCTGGCAAGCCTCGTTTGAAGCCCCCGTTCCCTGCCGCTGTCGGTCTCTTTGGTTGCCCCTCCACCGTTGCCAACGTCGAGACAATCGCCGTCGCTCCCACTATCTGCCGTCGTGGTGGCAACTGGTTTGCCGGATTCGGTCGTGAGCGTAACCAGGGCACCAAGCTATTCTGTATTTCCGGCCACGTCAACAACCCCGCCACTGTCGAGGAGGAGATGTCTATTCCTCTCCGCGAGCTAATTGATAAGCATTGCGGTGGTGTCCGCGGCGGCTGGGATAATCTCTTGGCCATCATTCCTGGTGGTTCCTCTACTCCCATTCTCCCCAAGAACATCTGCGACGACCAATTGATGGACTTTGATGCCCTGAAGGATAGCCAGTCCGGTCTCGGTACGGCCGCTGTTATTGTCATGGACAAGAGCACTGATGTCGTCCGCGCAATCAGCCGTCTCAGCCACTTCTACCGCCACGAGTCTTGCGGTCAGTGCACCCCCTGCCGTGAAGGCAGCAAGTGGACCGAGCAGATCATGTCGCGATTCGAAAAAGGCCAGGGCCGCGAGCGCGAGATTGATATGCTTCAAGAGCTGACGAAGCAGGTGGAAGGGCATACTATTTGCGGTACGTGAAAGAACTTCGATTAAGCCATTAGCACGGAAACTAACACATTTCATAGCCCTGGGAGAGGCTTTCGCCTGGCCCATCCAAGGTCTCATCCGCCACTTCCGCCCGGAGCTGGAGGCGCGTATGGCCAAGTTTGCCCAGGAGAATGGTGGTCCGGCGTTCGCTGGCGGTCTGCCACGCTCCGCCCGCGCAGAGGGCAAGCTTCTGTCACCCGGTCAATAATTGTAATAGTCGGAGTAAAAGAGGGTTATTGAGCGAGAATTAGAGATTTTGCGACTCGAAGCGCCATTGCGCAACCTATCCGCACGTTTGTGCGGCTGTATCTATTTTACTATGTTCTCAATGTTATTTCTTACAATTTCAACGACTGTTGTATGTCTATATATCCTCTCAAAGCCGCATTAGACCTATCTTCTCGCCCCAGCATCCAATGCTGGATCTCTCAGACCACGACATCCTTCACAATTCAGATATGACCATTCTCAAAAAATAAACAAAAATGAAAAATAGCCTGTAAAATCGGACATGTATCTTCGCTGCTCACAGCAAGCTCTCGGAGTGGGCCGAGCGCGGGCTCTGCAGGCTCAACGAAACAGTGCCACAACCAAGGACTAATAAGGGGCTCACCTACTGATACCCAGTTGCATTTCTACCCGCGTAAGCCCAATTCTGTGCATACTTTGCATATTCACAGACCCCTTTTACCTTTCTTGGCTCTTCCATAAAATTCCAAATCGAGGTCGTCAGTCCTCACGGCCAAAATTCGACCTTCCCCAAAAGTGTAGTGAGAGAGGCATGGCCAAAAATGTAGACACATTCATCGCCTTTGGGGCGGACATCTGTAAGGCACCCCCCTATCGAGCACATCAGCTCTTAGCCCCCCCCCCCTCAACAGCAACCACTTGTTTCTGACATGTCCTTCTTGTTCTTTTGCAATCAGTCGCCCTGGAGCGGATGATGCGTCTCCTACAGGCCATTGCCCTGATCCTGACCTCCTACACCAGCCCCCTCGCGCTCCTGCAGCCGCCCTCGGCCGGCGCCGCTGCGCAGCACCTCGCCACGCGCGCCACGCTCCTCGCGCTGCAGGACTGGCTCAACGTGACGCGGCGCAGTCTGCGCACGTTTTGGTTCCTGCGCGCCTTTGACAGCAGCTACGCGCGGTTCCGCCGCCAGGCCGGCCCGCTCCTCGGCGCCGAGGCGCTGCTCGACGTCGTCGCCGGCTCGCTGCTCGGCGTCTTTGGCCTCCTCGAGACGGCGACGCTGCCAGACATGCTGGGTATCCCAGGCCTGGCCGTGTTCGGACCGGACGCGGCGCGGCGGCTCAACGAGCAGGCGCAGCTGTGCTGGCTGCTCGCGCTGCTGGCGGCGTTGCTTGCCGCGGGCGTCAGGGTGTGTCAGCTGTGGGCGGAGCGTGCGGTGCCGGCGGCGGCGGATTTCGGCGAGGGGAAGGAGGCGGAGGAGGAGGAGGAGGAGGAGGATGAGAAGGGTGGTAGAGATGACCTGGTGAAGAAGAAGAAGAAGAAGAAGCGCGGAGTGCAGGAGAAGAGGAGACGGGACAAGGAGGAGGCGGCGAGGAAGACAAAGGCGGAGATTGCGGCGCTGACGGTCAAGATGGTCAATGACACGCTGGACATGGTTATTCCGGCCAACTTTTGCGGTTGGTCCAACTTTCACCCGGGACAGGTTGGTGTTGCCATGGCGATTACGTCTTTGATTACGCTACGCGGTCACTGGGAACGTTGTGGCAGGGCCGTACAATAGGGCCATGCTGCGACGCAAAGAAAACGACAATATCGATTAGAGACGCCCGTTTCCTGACTGTGGTCGGTTCAGAATAGACATATCTTCATACCACCGGATTATTAGACAAGACAATGGATATATACCTTCTTGGCAAACAATCTCGAGATCTGGACAGAATTCGTCTCTCGAAAAGGAAACTTGAAAAAAAAAAAGGGTTTGTGTACAAACGCCCACTTGCTGTCCAGTCATATTCCAAGCGTGTGTTACATTGATTCAACACATGAAATCCTCATCGCCGTCCACTAATTGTGGAAATTGTAGACCAAGCTCTATACCGCCAAAATACGCAAGCCAAGAAAACGCAATGAACTGGTATCTTTCCCGCCGTCCTCATCATCATAATCATCATCATCATCATTACTTCCCCTGAGTGTTGCAAAACGCAAAGAGAAAGTTCAGCGCCGTCCACTGATTGTAAAATTTCCAGTGCCCACCTCCACCTTCCAGCCATCCTGGACGAGAGCCGCGGCCACCGCCCTTCGCAGCTGCGAAACACCCCCCGCGCTGTGCCGTCCGAGTCCGGTGATGATGACGAGCGGGCTCACCCTGGCCGCCTGAGTCCTGTACTCGCCCAGCTGCTGCCACCACGCCTTCGCGCGCTGGCGCGCGATGCGTGTGCCGTCCTGCACCGAGACGCCGTGCAGATCGATGCTGGATCCGTGGCTCTGCCCGTCAACCAGCAAATCGGCGGCGGCCGACGTGGCGGCCTTGGCGCCGCGGGCGTGCTCGCGCGCCTGCTCGGCGTAGTAGCCGGCTGCCTGGCGGTAGAGTCCATGGGAGCCGCCTTTACGGTGCATTTGGGCGGCCGAGGCCGCGGCGTCGCGCCGCGCTTGATGAAGCGCCTGCGATGTCTTGATGGCCTCGGCGAAATTGACGGCGACGGCGGGTGAGGAGGAAGCGGCCGTGGGCTTCGCAGGAGAGGGGGATTGCGCAGAGAGGGGGCTCGCGCCTTCAAGCTGGTCTCGAGGGAGGGGTTTCCTGATGTCGTCGAGGGTCATCTTTTGCCCCTTCTTTCTCTTGCCGCGAGCGAGCTGGGTGCTGACGAGCTGTGCTAGGTCCTCTGAGAAGGGAATGATGGCGTTGGTCGCGTTTACAATGACTTTGAGGTACTTTTCGGGAACTTGTCTGTATTTTCGTGACAAGAAGTTGACGGCTTCTTGTGCACTGTCGTCATCAGCCAGGTTGGGACCCTCCGAAAGTCGCTGATCCAGAATGGCAACGACGGTGGATGGGGATGAGCAGTCGTTGTCATAGTATGTTTCTGAGACAGCATCAAAAGTGAGATTGAAGCGTTCTGCAATGTAACCAATGTCTGTTTGCTCTGTGAGGATGCTTGTTAGCAGAGGACGAGAGACGTGATTGATGTCTGAGCATACCTTTGGCTTCTCGAATGAGTTCTGCTGGAAAAGAGTTTCTTGTGTCTGGTGAGGGCTCTCTTCGTCTGCGCCCTTTGACTTTGCCCTTTTGTTTTCTGGGCTCCGCGAGCTGGGCAAATCCATCGATACCCTTGGTTTGCTGACCAGTTTCTTCTAGGTACTGCATGTTGAGCAGGTGATCCAGCGCAGACTGGAAATCATTGTTGCACTTCTTGAGCGCATATTTGACGTCAAATACCTTCATTTCAGGAAACATGGCAAGCAGCTGCAGGGACTTATCCTCGATGCTACCGTTGTTGAATGAAGTCACTCGTGGTGCTACCCACGTTGCGTCGGCTGCATCAGAAGTTGACGAGGAACTGGTAGAGTTTGACTCCTGTTTGCCAGAAGCGTGCTGGCTGATGCTCGTCGCAGACGTGACCGTTTGAGTGTCTGGTGTGTCCTGGCTCTCGGCGTCCTGGAAGCCAGAGACGCCACTGGGGTTGAAACCACTAACTTCTTCGGCAGGGACATCTTGTGAGAGGCTTCGAAGAACTTCAGTGGCCGCAGCAAACCCCGACTTTTTGTGTAGCTCATAGTCACTTGCTATGGCTGTTACGAGAGACTCGTCAAGTAGAGTTCTAAAGGACTCCTGCAAACGCGCGAAAATGTTAGAAAACCCTGAGCACCTGAAGCCAGGAAAGATGGTATTCTTCACCAACCACAAGCTTGTGTAAAAGGACCTCGTTGCGCTCAGCTTGAGGCATGGCTGTCGTAAGCGTGAGTGACAACTAGGGTTGCGATCTTGTATTGATAGCGAAGCCAGGGACGCTAGAAAGTACGAGGAAGATGAGGAAGCTGGAAAAGACGGAAAAGGAGAAGAGAACGAAGTTTTGGGGAGAGCAGAGGCATTATCTCAAAATTTGTTTTGTTCAGTCGCAGGATTTGGAGAGGCAAGCAAGTTATGAAGTCATTCTGCTAGACTAAGGTAGCGGCAGAAAGTTGATGTGCTCCATGGCGATAGATTTCTGTAAAAATCACGTGCGGGGCCGTCTACATCGCGGCCACCATATGTCAATGACTTGCATGAGTAAATTCAGTAGATGCGAGAATTCAAATCGGCTGAAATTTTGGTTTGATCTCGACTGCTCCTTGATTTCAGAGTTTGGCTCAAGTTTTCCCCCTCGATGGCTTTTCGAGTGCGTGAAATGTAGTGGTAGCAACTAGTCGTGTCGGTTGCATAGAGGTGCATTAAATCTTGACAGGGGATGTCAAGTTGCGACGCGTGACCCGGGAGGCAGCCAAGACAGGGCGGCCGAGACCGGGACACTAAAACAGTTTTGATTCAGCATAATGAGCAGCTCAAAAAGGGACCATAATGTATAGCGCTCATGGATTTTCTTAACGCGCTGGAATATTCATTTTCTTAACGCGCTGGAGTATTTGCTACTTATTGGTCGCTATGTAATCTGATAACCTGTTATGGTGATGGAATCATTACGTCAAGTATGCGAGACGGGTATCGGTACCTGGTTGTGGCGTCGGCTATCACCAGCCCGTTTGTCTACCTACCATTCTCCCTGCCAACCAGACACTCGATGGGTGATTCGACCTTGCTTGATGATAGTTCTTCATTTCATTCTTAAAGTGAGAAAATCATTATCAGTAATCGGAACGACGAATTCAGCATCGCTGAGGAGCATACACATTGTGCTTGCTACCCACCTTAATCGTTACCAATAGCTTGGCCCACCCCAGAAACACTTTGGGGAAGCTTGTCATGTACCTAACGCCTTGTTTTTGACGCTAACTACCTACTGCACTGGGAGCTGCCGAAAGCCCACTGGAGCTTCCTCACGCATCTCCCCGCCCGTCTACTTCTTCCCCAATCATCACCACCACAACTTTGACCTGTCCAGCGCTATTCGAGCGTTATTCAATCCTCGTTTGGCGCTTTACTCATTTCACATCTTCGAACTGCAGCTGGCTGCAGTCTTCGTACGCTCGCCGCGCCCCCGAGCGCTCGGCCGTTTCGCGATGCGTCACCACTCCATAGCTCCACGACTCGTCGCCACCCTCGCCATCAGCACTGCGCTGGTCAGCGCCCAAGACTATACACCAAAACATGAACAGGGACGCTGTGCCTTCCGCGGGCAATGCGGCAAGCAGAGTTTCTTTGGAAAGGAGCTGCCTTGTGTCGATAATGGCCTCGCACAAAACCCAGAGGCCGAGCTTCGGAGCGAGCTAATCGAACTCTGTGGCGAGGAATGGCGTGAGGGTCCAGTTTGCTGCACGCTGCCGCAAGTAAGCTTCAAGTCATAATCTCATACGACTCTATTAGAGAATACTGACATATCCAAGGTACAAGCCCTGAAATCCGAGCTTGGTACCCCCAACACCCTGATCGGATCGTGCCCGGCATGCAAGCACAACTTCTTCAACACCTTCTGCAAATTTACTTGCTCTCCGGACCAGTCGCTCTTTGTAAACATCACAAGTGCTGCTGAAAAGGGAGACAATCTGCTAGTCACCGAACTTGATCATCTCATATCCGACGAATACGGCGCTGGCTTCTATGACAGCTGCAAGGAAGTCAAATTTGGGGGCGCCAACTCAAGAGCCATGAACCTCATCGGAGGCGGTGCCAAAGAGTACAAAGCCTTTCTCAAATTTCTTGGAGATAAGAAACCCTTTGCTGGTTCTCCATTCCAGATGAACTTCCCGCGAACCTACGACGACCCAGCAATGCGTCCCCTGGATATGAAACCCAAGAAGTGCAACGACGAGGATCCAGACTATCGCTGTGTCTGTGTCGACTGCCCCGAAGTCTGCCCCGATCTTCCCGAAGTCAAGAAAAATCGTTCATGCCGCGTCGGTGCTCTGCCGTGCTTGTCGTTTGCCTCCGTCTTCGTTTACAGCGTGCTGCTCTTTGCTCTGGCGGCGCTCTTGTCCGGTCATGTGGCATGGAAGAAGTATTCCATGAGAAAAGCTGAGCGAACTAGGCTTCTGCACGAAGCTTCTCATAGCGATGATGAGGACGAAGGTGGCCCTGTTCACTCTGAAGCCATGCGCGATCGTCCCGTCAAACGATACTGGTTAAACGATCGATGTGATAAGGCCTTTTACCAGCTGGGGCTTTCCGCTGCGAGCTCCCCCGCCTTGACTATCAGCATTTGCCTCGTTGTCGTGGCGGTATTGAGCGCGGGTTGGGTTCACTTTGATTTAGAAAAGGAACCTGCTCGACTTTGGGTCAGCCCATCCTCTGCCGCAGCACAAGAGAAAGCGTATTTCGACGACAACTTCGGACCATTCTATCGCGCCGAACAGGCTTTCCTTGTCAACGACACCATCTCAGATGGACCCTCTCCGGTTCTCAGCTACGAAACTCTTCAATGGTGGATCGGCGTTGAAAGAAGCATTCAGAACCTTGAAAGTCCTACTTATGGCAAGTATCTTCGAGATCTTTGCTTCAAGCCAACAAATGATGCGTGCGTTGTTCAATCTGTTTCGGCGTACTGGGGGTCCAAGGGCGGTTTTGGACGCGAGACTTGGCAAGATGAGCTCCGTGCCTGCGCAAAAAGCCCAGTTGAATGTCGCCCCGAATTTGGCCAGCCCATCGAACCAGAGATGATTCTCGGCGGTTACGAATCTGATGTTGCGGAAGCAAAGGCGATCACAGTGACGTGGGTGGTAAATAATGCACCTGGAGACACCACCGAATTTGCTCATGCTGTTGACTGGGAGAATACTCTTCGCGACAAGCTTCTGCAAGTTCAAAAGGAGGCTGTTGACCGTGGTCTCCGCCTTTCTTTCAACACCGAAATCAGCCTCGAGCAGGAACTCAACAAGTCTACTAATACTGATGCCAAAATTGTCGTCATCAGCTATGTCGTCATGTTCATCTACGCCTGCTTGGCTTTGGGCATGCCTTTGAAGCACATCTTCCGCAATCCTGCTGTTCTTTTGGTTGAATCCAAGGTCACTCTCGGATTGGTTGGCATCATCATTGTTCTCATGTCTATCTGTGCGTCTATTGGTTTCTTTTCCTGGGTGGGATTGAAGGCGACTCTGATCATTGTCGAAGTCATTCCATTTATTGTGCTGGCGGTTGGCGTGGACAACATTTTCCTCATCGTCCACGAGCTGGACAGAGTGAATCTGAGCTGCCCTGACCAGTTGGTAGAAGAGCGAGTCGCTCGAGCTCTCGGCAGAATGGGGCCTTCCATCCTGTTCTCTGCTCTGACGGAGACTGTTGCTTTTGCGCTTGGCGCCGCTGTCGGTATGCCCGCTGTCCGCAACTTTGCCGCATATGCGGCTGGTGCCGTGCTTGTCAATGCTATTTTGCAAATGACTATGTTTGTGTCTTTCCTGGCGCTCAACCAGTTGCGTGTTGAGGATCATCGCTGCGAGCTGTGGCCATGGTGGCAAGTCAAGACGGCTCGGGTGCATCTGAGCTCTGGCAATGGATACACCACGGGCAGGGCATCTGATATCGACGAGGAAAGCATGCTGCAGGTGTTCATCAAGAACACATACTCGACCGCTATCCTTGCGAGAAAGGCCAAGATTATCATCATTACAGTTTTCCTGGGCCTATTTGCTGCAGCGATCGCCTTACTTCCAACCATGCAAATTGGCCTTGACCAGAGGGTTGCCATTCCAGATGGATCATATCTCATCCCCTATTTCAACGACATGTACGCTTACTTCGGTGTTGGGCCCCCCGTCTATTTTGTCGCCAGAGAGAATGTCGCGCAAAGGACCGAGCAGCAAGAGCTCTGCTCAAGATTTACATCTTGCCAGCAGCTTTCATTGACAAATACTCTGGAAATGGAGAGGCGCAGACCCGATGTTTCATATATTGCATCGCCAACTGCTAGCTGGATCGACGACTTCTTTTTATGGCTGAACCCAGCCTACGAGACGTGCTGCGTTGAGGGTCGATCGGCCTGCTTTGCCGACAGAGACCCTGCCTGGAATACAAGCCTTTCTGGCATGCCTGAGAACGAGGAATTCCTGCACTACCTCGACAAGTTCTTGAAGAGCAACGCCGACGAGGAGTGCCCGTTAGGAGGCAAAGCTGCGTACGGACAAGCCGTTGTTCTCGACCAAGCTGCTACTGGTATCAAAGCCAGTCACTTTAGAACGGCGCACACGCCGCTTCGCAGTCAGAAAGACTTCATCAACGCCTACTCTTCTGCACGCCGCATCGCGTCTGACATCTCTGCGCGGACTGGTGCCGACGTATTCCCATACAGCGTTTTTTACATCTTCTTTGACCAGTACCTCAGCATCATCCCCCTCACTGCCGGTCTCTTGTCCGCGGCCGTCGGCATCATCTTCGTGGTAGCCTCTGCCCTGCTCGGCTCCGTGCTCACCGCCACCGTCGTTTCTGTAACCGTCATCATGAGCGTCATCGACATTATGGGCGCCATGGCCGTCTTTGGCGTCTCCCTCAACGCCGTCTCCCTCGTCAATCTCATCATCTGCGTCGGCATCTCGGTCGAGTTTTGCGCCCACATTGCGCGCGCGTTCACATTTCCCTCGCGCACCGTGCTCGAGAGCAACACCAACGCTCTGCGGGGCAGAGACGCGCGCGCCTGGACGGCGCTCGTCAATGTCGGCGGCTCCGTCTTCTCCGGCATCACCATTACCAAGCTGCTCGGCGTGTTTGTACTCGCGTTTACGAGCTCCAAGATTTTTGAGATTTACTATTTCCGCGTGTGGCTCTCGCTCGTCATCTTTGCGGCCCTTCATGCGCTCGTCTTCCTGCCCGTCGCCCTGAGCATTGCCGGCGGCGGCGGCTACGTGGACCCGGAAAGCGAGGGTACAGCGGCACAGGATCTCACGGATCGTCGGTGGCGCGCGATTCGCATCGGCGACCAGAGCGACTCGGAGGATGAATACTAAATCGCTCGTTAATGGGGTATGGGGCTAAATAGATTGACTGCGCGAGTTCTGAGAAACTTTGCCGAAGACAAGCAGCATTCTGTACACACGAGTTGGATACATGCAGATACACCATGTATCATGGGAGTTGGAATATACAGCGAGTTATTATTAATCATATTATTACTTTTTTTTTCCGAGACGCAAACCCGAGACGCTTCACTTTCAGCTCATCATGCCGGTGGCAGAAATGTAGAAAATAGCACAGCTTGTATGCCCCCATACATGACCATGAAGATAACCGCCGCCCGCCCAACCCCCCGGCGGGACTTGTCCATCAGACACGCCGCGATCCACCAGTACCACACGGCGTAACCCGACGCCAGCCGCGAGATGACTTGCACGTGGTAGCTCGTGAGCGCGAGCAGCGCGACTATGGCCTGGCTAGCGGCGAGCGCCTGCACGAGCACGCGGTGATCCAGCGACGACAGCGCGAACCCCCCGGCGGCTGGCCGGCGGAGCACCTCGTATCCCGAGGCGATGAGCAGTGTGAGGACCGGCGCAGCGAGGAGAAACAGCGGAATCTGGTTCGGCGTCCAGTAACGCAGGAAGCCGACGTTCCTGTTTTTGTTCAAGTCAACCCCGTTAGATGTTGTGATTAGGAGAAAAAAGAAGAGCTGGAGCCGTGACGGCCGGCAAAAACTTACCAGTAGACGTCTTGAACGTAGCTGTAGATGCTCGGCACCGTCCTCTCGCACCACGGCGGCCGCATCACAGCGGCGCGCTCATCTCCGCCGCCGCCGCAGTAGATTGTGTACGCGACGTACTGCGGAATCGCGCTCCCCATCGCCACCAGCACACCGCCCACACCCGCCACGCCCGCCGCAACCGCCAGCTTCACCCCCGGCGCCTTGACAAACGCGCCCGCTGCTCGCAGCGCCTCCACCGCAAAGAGCAGGCCGTTTGCGAGGCCGTTGCTGCGCACCGCCGTGGCGAGGCCGAGCACCGCGCCCGCCGCCAGCACCGCTGCGCTCCGACGCGCGCTCCCGAGCGGATCCTCGTAGCCAGCCGCCAGCACCCACACGCCCGCAAAGGACAGCGCCGCAAAGGGGCTCTCGGCGTACGGCGCAGAGAGGAACACGCCCGCCGGGGAGATGACGCACAGCAGCGCGGCGAGCAGCGCGCGGCGCGCGTCGCCGCCGGTCAGAAGCAGCGTGAGGCGGTGCAGGGTAAAAACGGCAACGGCGTGCGACGCGTGCGCGAGCGCGATGCCCGCGAGCGCTTCCAAATCATCGTCCTCGGTTCTTCCGTCGTTGAGAGGAAGCCGGCCGAGGATACTACTAGTACGGCGCGCTTGCGCAGCTAGCCATTGCAAAAAGAGGGACAGCGCGGGGCTAAATGCCCATTGCTGCTCGTAGACGGGCGCGCGGCTGCCGTTTATACCGCCGCGCGCGGCATGCACAAAGTAGATGGCGTCCCAGCGAGTGAGGCGGCGCGCGAGGAGCGTGGCGGACGAGGAGGAGGAGGAGGAGGAGGAGGAGCGCGCGAAGAAGAGAGAGGTGGAGGTGTCGTAGCCGGGCCCGACGAGGGCGCCGCCGCAGGAGAGCAGCAGAATAAAGGATTTCCAGGCGATGAAAGCGAGAGTGAGGGTGAGGAGCGGCGAGGAGGACGAGGATGGGGAACGTGAAGCGTTGGGCGAGGAGGCTTTGAGAGCCATGGCGGGCGGCGGCGCCGAGGGAGTCCAAAAAGGGGTTTTTCTTGACTAAAATTGGTGAAATGCCGAGTCTATTTCTTTATTGACATTGGAAATTGGTCGTTTTGTCTGAGCTCAGATGCTGTTTTACCGCTGATGAGGATGAGAAGCGTAGGTACAAAAGGTAATTAGGCTGAAGGGAGCTGGTTGTGTGGCATTTCCCCTTTTGGACAGCTCTTCGGAACTGGCAGAACCAACGCACCTGCTCGAGCTCTATTACCATGTGTTCCGCCAACAACCCGTGCGCTGAATACTCAGTTATGCACTCTCAATTCCAGGCTTCACTAAACTCGATTCAGTTTTTTTCGTCAGCATACCATTGCGTAGTATGCTCGTCAAGCCCGTCTTGAGATGAAGCTACTACTGCCTGCCCCAGCTACAGCAAAACGGACACATACTAGAAGAATCAAAAGTAAAGCTTCAACAAATGATCATGTCTTTAAAAAGAGAAAGACGTAAAATATAAACCCTAGAACAATGAGCGGCCAAGCATGAACAAATGATTATGCCATTGTAAAATAAGATAAAAATAAAAATAAAAGCCCTAGAACCATGAGAGGCCAAGCATGAACAAATGATGATGCCATTAAAAAACAACACTCAAATATAAACAAAGGAAAGGTACAGAATCAAAACGAAACGATTGTGCCCAAACGCCAGCATTATAATACTCCTTAATTACCTTCTCCCAGGTTTCGCTTCATGGTATCTTTGTTTTCCGTCTTTTCTTTTTTTTTGTCAAAAGAGCGAGCCCCTCATCGGAGCCCAATGACAGACATCTCCAGCGTCCATACACGTCGGATCCAAACCTTGAGCTGGCCCTCGACCCCGTCGACATTGTCTAGTTCAATGCCCTCCCACCAGCAACGGCGTGCCGGCTTGCGCCAGAACAACAGTAGCTTCTGAGCCATACCCATCGCATTGTTGCCAAGGTCGCTGCCACGGATATCACTTCTTAGCCGAGTCAGCGCCAGGCTGCAAATGACGGCCTTGTTGGGCTCGCCGGCTCTGTGGCCCCAGCAGTCATCGTGGTTGAAACCTCTGCAAGTAATTAGCAATTCTTCTCCCGTCAAATCAACGTTACATGCAGTCCTTACCCAGCAGTCAGCATCTCAATAAGATGTGCCTCGGTGGTTCCAGGCTCGTCGCTGCGTTTCAATCCCGAAAAGATGCCATCTTGCTTCTGTAGAGCCCGTGCAGCAGCTCTCTTGACTTTGATCATGGCTTCCTGTGTAATATCCGCCTTGGGGGGAATAACGTAAAAGTCAAGGTCTTCTCGAAGAACGATGATACCAGCGCGCTTAGATGCATCGTCACGAGAGTCTAGACCGTGCGAGTCTCCATCGTTGGAAGCGCCCTCTGAATCGACGGGTATCGACTGCGCAACATCGCGGAAGAAGTCGAGCATGTATTGAAGAGACACAGGGTCATACTGGACCAATGTTAGTTCCACGAGGCTTAGTTCCACGAGGCTCAAGGGGAGGAAGGAGACATACGTCGACTTGAACCGCGTCATCGTTGGGGCCACCCATGTGGCCTTCTGGGAATAGACCGTTGGGGAAGAGAGAAAGCAACACAAATTCGGGGAGTGTCAGCAGCTCATCTCTGGATAGCACAAATCTGGTACCGCTATAATCTGTTAAAATATGACAAGGCCAAATGACCGTACAGGACTTACCGAAGGTCCATCACAATGGTTTCATCGGCGCCAACATCTCCAATTGCGTTGATGGGCGGTCCACCCTGCTGGACCTGAGTAATGATACTCGACGTTCCACCGGCGGCAGCCATCAGAAATGTAAAGGATTGGAGAGGACTGTCTCCTTCAGAATATGCGGGTGGCGGTTCTGTGTCGTCGTCTTTGCCGCCAGAGTCGGCCTTTGTATCGCTGGGGAGAGCGCGTTTGGTCTCCTGAACAGGGTCCTGAAATGCTCGTCCTGCGCCCTGATCGGGATCAAATGGCGTAGACTCTTCGAGGCTGGACGAATAGGCCGGCGCAGCGACGGAGCCCGACGCGATAGCTTCTTCGCAGGGGGCGGCGACGGCTGCTATGCCGACGGCGGGAGGAAACTTGCGAGCCGGTCGCTCGGGGAGCTCTACCGACGCAAAGAGCGAGGAAAAGGGCGGGGGCCGAGACGAAGACGAGGCTTCAGAGACGGGATACTGCGGCGGAGGCGGCGAGTGCTCGGCGACGTCGTGGTCGGCGGGCGAGGAGGCTCCTTTGGTGGCAGTATCGTGGTTGGCGGCGCGGCGCTCGCAGTGCACCAAAGTCTCAACTGACTCCGGGGACGCTGAAGGTCCAGTTCCAGCCTCGCGTGATGCAGACAATGCGGCGGATTATCAGCGGCTGCGCAGCTATAGGCGGGGGCGAGTATTTCGTTTTCCCGGCGACGGTGCGACGGCAAAAACACGCAACAAGCACAAATGAATGCGAGGCCCTGTCAACGGCCGATAGGGCGGACGACGGGTGGGTAGATCGTCTCGACACGGAGAGGTAGAAGAGGGGCGGAATCAGATTGTCATCGAGGAATAGCGGAGGCTACAATGTCGAGAGGAAGCGATATAGAAAGTGTAGCTGTAAGCTGTATCTGCTGGACTGTGGTCTGGAGGGTAGATGGTGCACGGATCGCAATAGCGGTGGGCACTGAAGTGGCTAGGTTTGCTGCGGAAGTCAGGCTATCATTGGCTACTGGTAATAGCAAAAAACAACGCGGGTGCACGAGAGACAAATGGTCGTGCTTCCTGACAAGATGAGACGGCCAATAGTCGTCCCTGATGTAGAAGAACTGGTCTGTGGATTCAAAGCTGGGGATGCAGATGGTGATGTCGGAGATGAAATGGATTCAGAGAGGAGAGACTGCAGTGGACAGAGTGGGGAAGCAACCCAGGTAGCCGTTGAAGTTGGTTGGTTATCGGAGCTTGCCATTCATTTGCGCAGCAAGTGGGCGCTAATTTCAGTGGGTGTAGCCAAGGTTGAGAGGCACCCAATTGCAGTCTTGTTGCGCCATTCTAACTAAGGTACCTACCTTGTTACCTAGCCGCCCGCAACCTGGCATTCATCAATGGATGCAAAAATGTTTAAACGTGTAACATTTATTCTCAGGGTATATTATATTATATCGCTGCATAACTGACAAGCCTCGACCATCTATTCTTCGTCTTCGTCACTGTCCCCAAACACTGCTTTTAACAAATCCTGGCTCGCCGCACTAGCCTCGACAGCCTCATTCTTTTCAGGGTCGACCTTGACTGGCTCAGGCTTCACTAGCGACGGCGCACTTTGCTGTCCTGTCACTGCACTTGCACCCTCAAAAGTCAGAAGCAGTTGGCTTGGCTCCTGGTCAGCAGCTCCTTGGGCCGCTCCTCTGGTGCTCTCTGCCTCACGGTCCGGCTGCGAATGCGCCGGCGCTCGCACGTTGAACCGCTTGCACAGGAGCCGACTCGGATAAAAGTCCCGCACCGATCTCGTCAGCTTGCCGTACATACCAACTTTGGCCGCGTCTTCGGCGGCATCTGTCACCTTGGGCTCTGGCTGCAACACGACGTCGCTTGTCTTGGAGTCATCTGCCGTGCCAGGTTGCGTCTTGGCCGTTGTGAATCGCGAGGCCATGAAGCCCGTCATCGGCTTGAATATTCGAGCGCAGTTGTAGAATTCCGTCATTTCTCGCAGGTAGTCGTCGTCTGAGAGACCTACAGCTTTGGCAGGCAGTGGACGATCTTGATTCGCACCGTGCTCCAGGTAAGCTCGATATCGATTCCTCTTGCGCTCGTCGTCGGCATATGGACCAGAGGACCCTCTAGAAATGGCCGCAATGGCAGTGTCCTTGTCCACCTTCGGTACCTGCTCCCAGAGCGCCTTCAATTTCTCTTCTTGAGACAGTGCGTACTCTGCCGGTACCTCACCCAAGCCAGGCGGGAGGTTTGCTTTTCCAGAAGCGGTCACGAGCTGATCTCGCGCGGCAGCAGATATAAAGTCAAAGACTGACTTGCCGGGAAGGGCCTTCTCACCTAAGATGGCGGCCCTCGACCTGGGGTCCAACGTCGACACCTTTGCCGCATCTGCTGCAGGCTGGTAGGCACTGCCTTCTGATCGGGAGATTGCCGATTTTGTGGAAGTCCAGCCCTCGGGGACCCCGAGCGGCTTGTACTTTGATAGCAGTGCCGTCAAAACGTCTACTGCCTTGGCCAGCATAAAGCCATCAAGCGGTAATCGACCATCGTGGCACCGGTGCAAGCTCCTGCCAGCGCGAGCTCCCTTGGGTAGAAAAACGGGTGCGGCTCCCAGGGATGGATTCGCCACTGCTGTGGCTTTCTTTTTTTTTTTCTTGTCACCACCTAGAACGCGATTGTAGCTGATCTTGGGACCCATTTCATACGGGTCTTCATCATCTGAGCCATTGTCATTCAAGATCCCCACTCCCATTCCACCACGCTGTAACTTGGATTTGTCTTTAAGCTTCATACCGGGCGCTGAGAGCTTTCTCGGGGCTAGAAAATCGACTTCATCTTCCTTATCACTCCCGTTCTCAGGTTGTGATTTGCCAAGTTTGGCTTCGCCTTGGTATCCGAGACCCATGCGGTCCGTTTTTCGTACGAATCGGATCATGTCTGTATCATCGGGTGCAAACAAGTAGGTAAGGTCGTCTGCTTGCGACGAGATGTTGCTTTCCAGTCGTGCCGTCCGCCGCACCTTTGGCCCTATACCTTGTCCGTCCTTCCAACCCATTCTGCGCAGCAGCTTGAGTCCCATAGTATCTCCTTCGGTCTTGAGTAGGCCTGTCAAGCCACCAGCTTGTCCTTGGTCATCGGCAGAGGAGCCAAAGCCAGCAAATGCCTGCGAGGTTTTGAGCTGCTGCGCCTCGGCTGCGTCTGCTAAGTCCTCGTCGTCCATGAAATCTTGCGCTCGTTGTTCAATGGTCCTTTGATCGAATTTGTTTCGGCTGTTGCGACTAGATACGAACGTGGAAGGCGTCCAGCCTTCTTTCGAGCCGACTGTGTTGAAGTACCTAGACAAGCGCGTCAGCAGTGCGTTTGAAAAGAGCGACGGGACAAATTTTACCCAGCACTCCAGCCGCCAGTGAAAGCTCCATGCAGTCTTTTTCTTCCTCGCTCATCACGGACATCTTGCTTCCAGAGAGGCAGATAGGAGCCATCGTCACGGCCTTCATTCTCGTCTGGAAGTGGTGTGCCGAAGGCAGCGTACGGCGCATGCTGATCTGATTCGAAGTTCGCCCGGGATCGCTTGTAAGAGGACATGGCTTGGTGGAAGTAGAGAATATCCACCTCTCTGTTAAAGGCACTCTCAAGTCATTTATTCGTCCCTCGGCCCGTCACGAGTTGTTGCGACCTTGTTGTCGAAGTGAAGCGCGGCCTAAATTTGGCGGGACTGGGCAGGTGCCTTATCGATAAAGGCAGCCGCCGAGCCCGCCAACAAGGACATATATCCTTTCATGTACTGCTTTTTGGGAATGTACAGTTCAATTTTGTTCCTCTCGGTCAGATGCTTCTTGTCAAGCCGAACAGAGACTACGATGTTCTCTGGCTCGTGAATTGGTCAGGTTTCAACAGAGGGCGCCTTTAATCTTTCAGTGTACCTAAGTGGATGATAGGTCTTGTATGTACACTGCTACATGGCTTCGTTGCGTGTTGTCATCGCCAAGCCGAATAACTGTTTAGTTTACTGGGTTTCTGGGACTGGATCTCTGCCATGAAGGAAAATCACCCTGCTCACATTACAGAGCTGTGCTGGCATCACTTTCCAGTTGCAGTGCGCCCCTGTACGACTTGGTGGAACCATGCTTGTTGGGTGTGATGCAAGGGCAAAAGAAGGCGCTTGAAGGCGATAACCTTTTATTCTAATGGAAGAGCGAGAATCTCCGCTGCAAGAGGTCGAGACAAGCGATAGAAGCTGAAGAGGTACAACAGCGTGTAGAAAAGTGGCATGCCGCCGATTGCAGGGTATGTGGTGTGAGAAGAGGCCTGTATAAAAATAATCAGAGGAGCAGCACAGAATAGACATACCTGGCATACTAGTGCCACCATAACATGCTTATCATGGTAACGCCTACAACCGGCGCCAGATCAGAAAATTTAGAATGGCAGTCAAGAAAGTCCTGTTCTTGTCATGATGATAGCGAGCTATTGCATGGCAATCATGAAGGACATGGCGAGCGCACTGCGAAAGTCCCGCTCATTGATATTCAAACAGGCCTCGAGAGAAGAAAGAAGTGAGAAAGTCAGATGTGGGATACCGGGCATTGACAATTTTACGTTCCCCAGCTGCGCGTCAAAGAGCATGGCAGCGAGTCAGGAGTATTAATAGTGGATATCAGTATAGGAGAGAATGGGCGTATGTTGAAATGCTGCAATGCAATTCTCAGACCGCCATGCATTATATGAATGCGCCTTTGTCTACGGGAGGCTGCATCTCGTGCCTTGACCTGGGATGTGGTTTACTTACCCAAAAGGTTGCCTGGCATATCTACCCGCACACTGGAATCAGAACCTGTCGCTTGTTTTATTTATGATATTTATTGCTGTTACTTGCAGTCAAGCCCCTGGCTGGTATCGAGTACCCTACCACTCCACCAACTATCACCACTTCAACATGCCCTCGGACCTGTGGCCCTGGCATCAAATAACAAGATAATTAATGACAACTTCAGCTGCGACCCCACAATCATTCGAGCACCTGGGTTGCTGGGCTGTTGGACCTGGCGGATTGACTGGCAGAGCTTATGAAACGATGAAACTTCTATTTAAATGCACCAGTATTTTAGCCCCGCATCTGCTAATAAACAAACTCGTTGCCCAAGTTTGGCAGGCAAAAGCAAGGTACCTTGTATCTGGGTACCTTTTCCACTGTATTACCTCTTTACTGGCGCCAAATGCTTAGCAACCAACTATTCTACTCGCCGTGCCAGTAGCCATCACTCGGGCCAAATGTGTCTAGACCATCGAAACAACAACAATCACCATATCCATATGTATTTCCCCTCTCCCCTTCACACCAAGGTTCTGCGCTACTGTGTACTGCCACTGCTAGCAGACCGCTGGCCAGTGGCTCCAGGGTCTCTTTCCGCAGCCATCACCCGCAGGGACTAAGGTATACCTTACCTAGTGCGGGTAGCTGGCAAACAAACCATCTTGTTCCGCCACGGAAAGGCAGCAGAAAAAAAGCCTACCGGACAAGTCAGACGCGAAAACAATAAAAAATAAATATTATCGCAGTCTGCTTCTCCCCCAGCTGAAGCACCGCAGTCTTTTCTTTTTCCTTGCCTCATCACAAAAGCAAGGCATTCGTCAAACATCCCCCCCCCTCTTCCTCCGCTAGAGGCCCATCATGACGACGACAGCGGCCCCAGGCTCCGATCTTTCGCACGCCTCGCCCTCGCGGCCACCACCATCCCGGTCGTATTCCACTCGCAGAGATCCATCACACTCATCACGTCCCTCGACCGCCGCATCAGTCAGCTCCAACTCTGCTTCTGCTCTTACCTGTGCTACTGCTTCAGCCAGCTACCACCAGGCACTGCGCTCCCACCACCAGCGCCGCCCTTCTTCGCACCGTTCTGCCAGCCAGGTTGCTACGCCGCCCCAACATGACTACGACACGACGCGCATAGCCTCTCACTCCAAGCGCAGTTCCAGCCGCGACGTCCCCAGGGGCAACGACCCCAAACGCTCTCACCGACGCAGCAGCTCACGTTGTAACTATCCCCATCCTCAACAGACCCCCGACATGCCTTCTGCTGCGGCGGCCAGTGCCGCGCCACCGCCCTCGTCCCACGGCCGCTCCTCGCACGCCGGCACCGACGCCCAGTCCTCCCACGGCACCAAGCAATCGCGCTCGCGCACCACTATCCCTACGCAGTCTGGAAAATGGATTCTTGGCAAGACCATTGGTGCTGGTAGCATGGGCAAGGTCAAGCTTGCCCGCAAAGAAGATGGCAGCGAACAGGTTCGTCTCCTTGCCCCTATTCACCCCAACTCTTGTGTGCCCATCACCAACCCCAGATTATAACTAACGTTTGCCTTGTCCTCTCGATTACAGGTCGCCTGCAAGATTATTCCTCGTGGCTCGACCGACGATGCTCATCAGACCCGTGCCGATAAAGAGCGCGCCGACCAGTCTAAAGAAATTCGTACCGCCCGTGAAGCCGCCATCGTCACCCTCCTCAACCACCCCCACATTTGCGGCCTGCGCGATGTCGTTCGTACAAATTACCACTGGTACATGCTTTTCGAGTTTGTCAATGGAGGTCAGATGCTCGACTACATAATTTCCCATGGCAAACTCAAGGAAAAGCAGGCTCGCAAGTTCAGTCGCCAAATTGCTAGCGCCCTCGATTACTGTCACCGCAACAGTATCGTTCACCGTGATCTCAAGATTGAAAACATTCTCATCAGCAAGACCGGCGATATTAAGATTATTGATTTTGGCCTGAGCAACCTCTTTGCCCCGCGCGGCCATCTAAAAACCTTCTGCGGCAGCCTGTACTTTGCTGCTCCTGAGTTGCTACAAGCCAGAGCCTACACAGGACCAGAAGTTGACGTATGGAGTTTCGGTATTGTGCTCTACGTGCTAGTCTGTGGCAAGGTGCCATTTGACGATCATAGTATGCCCGCTCTCCACGCCAAGATCAAGAAGGGTGTCGTCGACTACCCGAGCTGGTTGTCAAGCGGTATAGCTTTCCACCTTTTTCCTCACTCAACTTGTGACTTTTACTGACCATTGACATAGAGTGCAAACACCTCATGTCCCGCATGCTTGTCACCGACCCGAAGCAGCGGGCGACGATGCAAGAGGTCATGATCCACCCCTGGATGACCAAGGGTTACAGCGGACCACCAGACAACTATCTACCCATTCGCGAGCCCCTAACCCTACCTCTGGAGCCCGAAGTCGTGCATGCCATGCAAGGCTTCAATTTCGGCTCACCCGAGAGCATTAATGCCCAACTGACCAAGATCATCGAGTCGGAAGATTATCAACAGGCTGTGAGGCTGTACTACCGGGAGAGAAAAATTTCACAGCAGATGCCCGAGGTGGAAAAGAAGAAAAGCTTTGGCTTCGATTTTTATAAGCGCCGCAACTCTGGATCCGCCAGTCGCGACACGCTGACACACCCTAGCTCTGATGCGCTGCAGCTGGGTAGCGATCCCCTCAATGCTTTTAGCCCCCTGTTGTCCATCTACTACCTTGTGCGGGAGAAGCAGACGAGGGAACAAGAAAACTTGATGACGCAGAACCCCGCATCTGCAAAGGAAAAAGAAAAGCAGAGAGAGCGTGAACGTGAGCGAGACCGAGAAAGGGATCGCGACCGTGACGCGCGTGACCGACTTGTTGATGCCATGCCACTCGCTCCACCCAAGGCGGCGCATACAAACGCTGCCGCATTCGAGATGCCCGGAGAGAAGCCAACTGGCGGGCGTACGCGACCACGGGCTCGAACGCATGGAGAAGATGACGAACCTGACATGGTCAAGCAGCAGAAACCGCAGGAGAAGCTGGAGCCAGCACCCAAGAAGGAAGGCACAGCAGCTGGTCTTCTGCGTCGTTTCAGCACGCGCAAGCGCAGAGATCCGCAACGTCATGAAAGAGACCGCTCGCATCCTCCCATGGTTCACGTTCATTCCCCTTCCGAGTCATCACCTATACCACCACGGAAGAGCTTCAGCATGCGTCGATCGCGCCCTGACCCCGAGGAACTGCATTCTGGTGGAAGTCAGCAGCATCACAAGGAACTTCTTAGCCCACCGCTCTCATCGGGGGGCAGGCCCACCAAATCAGGTCTTGGGCGCTCAACCAGCGTCAACTCCGGCGACACGCGTCGTCGCGATGTAACAAGGGCAGCTCGCGAGCAGGCTGTGACTAGTGGCAGTGACCAGTCAGTGGAGAACGACTTGCCCAGAAGTGCCCATAAGGGCCATAATCACTCACAGTCAATGACTACACGAGCCAAGTCTCTTGGCCACGCCCGTCGGGAGAGCGTTCAGCGTCGCCGACACCGGCGAGAGAATGCAATGGAATCCAACGTCCCCGAAGAGACGGACGTAGAGATCGAGCAGAGCGGGCAGTCTACGGAGCGGCTAGCAACTAGTGATTTGGCAAAGCCTGTGTTCTTGAAGGGCCTCTTCAGTGTGTCGACAACATCGGGCAAATCAGTCCCTGCAATTAGAGCCGAGATACGCCGAGTGCTAGATCAGCTCAACGTGGAATACATTGAGATCAAGGGCGGATTTACCTGCAGGCATTCGCCGAGCATCGACTTAAATAAGGTGCAAGACCCCCCGGGCACCGCTGGCGGGCAATCAGGTGGTCACCGACGCCGCTTCAGCTTCGGGGGTCTACGCCGTGGAGATGACAGAGACGACTCTGATCGAGGTCCCCTCACGCCGAGGACGCCCGCGCGTTCGGACAGAGATCGCAGTGATCGAGACAAGAGCGACAGAGAGCGCAGCTACTCCAACTCTGAAACGTCGCTGGACAGCATCCCGCGAACGAATGGAGGCACAACACGAAGAGCACCGGGAGAAACGAGCACGCAAGTGCAGAGCGACCTTGGCGGCAGCATGATTTTAGAATTCGAAATTTTTATTGTCAAGGTGCCGTTGCTATCATTGCACGGCATCCAGTTCAAGCGGATGGAAGGCAATACCTGGCAGTTCAAGAATATGGCGGATCAGATTCTAAAGGAATTGAAGCTATAATAGACGAAAGGGACCTTTTTTGGTATACGATGGTGGACAGGTACATGGACCTGTCGTGGCAATTCGACATCGTCTTGATTGGCAGGGGAGCAGATTCATAGGCTCCCTTTTCTGTCTGGCCACAAGGCGGGTAGCTGCGGTAGTACCGGAAATATAATTTGCAAAATGCATTTGAGCAATACTGGATAGCAGTCATGACTATTGCATATTCGTCTGAGGGGTCCGGCATTTTGATATCTTTTTCTCGTTGGTCTTGAATTGCTTGAAGTTGGGAATAGAGGGGTGTATCAGCATGGCAATGCCTCAGTCCTTAATATCATGTTATTTCTTGTAATGGATAATATCTTGCTGTAGCACAAGGGCGAACGAAAGTGAGGCTGTAGTGCGCCTGTGCTGCTTGGGGGAGTGACTCATGGTACCGATGTGATTTGCAAAAGTTGGCGGTCAACAAGGTACCGGCTGTCTTGAGTGCTCGTGCGGGCTTTTGTTCAGTGCGGTTGGGCACCGGGGTGCGCTGTGGAGAGATCAATCTTGTATCCCGTCACACAAATTTGGTGGCAAAATACATCGCGAATCTGGCCCGTGCGTCACACTGTGTCGCTCAAGGTTTGAAAAGCGCCGCCAATCCGGCTTCTGCTCCCTCGCAGCTTCTGCCGGCTGTTCCCGCCTTCGTCCTCTCTCAAGCATCGAAGCAGCCCCGACCACGCTCAACGACACTTCTTCGCGTCAAAAGCCAACGCCGTTTGTATCGCCTTCTCGCACCAGGTGTTCTCTCGTCGTTGCACATTCAGCAGACCTTTTCGACCCGTTTACAATTATTCGACCCCCCAAATCGATTTATTTCTCTCCGGCCCAAATTGGCCCCCCCGTGAAACCCTGGCCGCCCAAACGCCCACTCTCCCAGCCACGCACGCGCAAAGCAAATCGCATCGACCCCCGCCCTTTGAAATCGAAAGTCGCAAAACACGGTCAACGGGCCTGCGCACAAAACTCGTCTCCTCAAAGAAAATCGCCCTTTTACCCGAGGTCTGTGCTGTCTTGCGAGCACAACACACCCGATACGCCTGCTCGCTTTCTCGGATCCGAGCGCAGCGTAGCCCATCATGATGCCCTCGGCGCATGTCTACGGACATCACCAGTTTGGTCATCAGACCGAGTCATCCTGGATGCATCAGCAGACGGGCCATCATCAGCAGCAGCACCCGCAGCAAGGCGGCGCCGCGTCGGCCGTCCAGCAGCAGCAGGCCGCTCAACAGGCGCAGCAGCAGCAACAGGCTCAGCAACAGCAGCAGCAGCAACAGGCGCAGCAGCAGCAGCAGCAACAACAACAGGCGCAGCAGCAGCAGCAGCACTATGGCCGCCTCGCCGCAAACAACCACGCCAACACTGGCAACCAGAATGTCGCTCACAGTCAGCAGGATAATGGCCACGAGCACATCTCTGAGGATAACCGGCGCACGATGACCTACATTGCTGATCTTCTTCACGAAAACACTCGCGAGGCAGCTCTTCTCGAGCTGAGCAAAAAACGTGAGCAGGTACCGGAGCTGGCCCTCATCCTTTGGCACTCGTTTGGCGTCATGACGTCCCTCCTGCAAGAGATCATCTCCGTATACACGCTGCTCAACCCGTCGCAGCTGACTGCCGCGGCTTCTAACCGAGTCTGCAATGCACTGGCGCTGTTGCAGTGCGTCGCATCGCACAACGACACGCGCGCCCTCTTCCTCAACGCGCACATTCCTCTCTTCCTGTACCCATTTCTCAACACCACGTCCAAGTCGCGACCCTTTGAATACCTACGGCTCACTAGTTTGGGTGTCATTGGTGCGCTTGTCAAGAACGACTCGACAGATGTCATCAACTTTCTGCTCACCACCGAGATTATTCCCCTTTGCCTCCGCATCATGGAGACTGGCTCAGAACTTAGCAAGACTGTGGCCATCTTTATCGTCCAGAAGATTCTTTTAGATGACAATGGCCTCAACTACATCTGCGCTACTTACGAGCGATTCTATGCTGTCGGCACTGTCCTTAGCAATATGGTTGCCCAACTCGTCGAATCCCAAACTGCGCGCCTGCTTAAGCACGTAGTCCGCTGTTTCCTTCGGTAGGCTACCTTGCAACGCGACTAGACGTCAATTTGCATGCTAACATGACCCTCTAGCCTTAGTGATAACGCCAGAGCGCGAGAGGCCCTACGCCAGTGCCTCCCCGAACCGCTCCGCGATGCTACATTCTCGTCTGTTTTGCGCGATGACGCAGCCACGAAGCGTTGTCTAGCTCAACTGCTCATCAACCTCTCCGACAATGTTGGGGACCACAGTAATTCTGGCATCAGTTCCATGTGAAGAGCTTGGTTCAGAATGCGCACGCGCGCAGAACAAGACGACGATACAGACACAAGTCTGCCTTTGTGCATTTCCAAGGCGATCACGGTGGACCGGCGAATTTGATTTATCACTTGGCAGTATGGCATGGAGTAAAAGAAGAAGGAACCATGGATTTATCACGACATTTGTTGCTTTAGCACATTGCTATCATTAGCTGTATACGCAGGATGGGCCCGGCGCTCCGAGTTTGGTGGCCGCAAGAGGGCCTTTTGGTCCCTTTGGCCCTTGAGCAAAAAGTTTTTGTGCGTTGACGCCCTGCTAGTGTTTCTCTGGGGGTTATTGCTTTTTGGCGAGGTTTCCATTTTCGGCATCTCTGGCCTCTTGATCATTTTGACTGCCGCAGCATCTTTCGAAGAGACCCGGACATGGCCTCAACCCGGCGGCGCAATTTTGAACAGCATTTTGCCATGATCTAGAGTTGGATACTCGGGATTAGTGGCTGGAGGCGAGTTGTCTATCTGGCCTGCTGCTAGACACCAACGAATCTCTTTTCCACATGCTACGAATTTTCTTTTTTCTTTATTGTCAGCAGATTTTTGGTCAAATGGGAGTTTGGAATTGGCTCGGGCATACGATTGTACAGGATGGACAAGGCTGGAAAGGAGGGGTATCTGACTGACGTTGGTATGGAGTGTTGAACTCGGTGAATGTCACTCTGACTTGATGTGGCTGATGCTTAACTACAGAGAGACAAGATGGAAGCGGCAACATGGACATGAGCGCTCTCAAAGCGAAGAAGAAAAATTCCAGGGTCAATGGATGGATGGTGTGTACCTGTGTGCAACACTATGTATTATAAATGCATTCGGCTGGAAGGGAAACCAAATTACTTGGGCGGCATTTACTTTTTTTTTTCTTTTCTTATTTATTTTTATTAGGGATGACCTTTATCGTCGGACGACGTTGGCAGGCAGTGGATAGTAGCAAGGAATGCTCTGGAGGCGGTTTACGATGTGGCTCTTGATGATTGCGGTGACTGTATGCGTAGTGCCAACATTCATGGCGATTGGTTGTGGCTTGCCATGAGAGGTAATGACTGGAATTCTTTCAAGGCATTGTACCTTGTTCATGGTAGTGTGGTAAAGGATGAGATACATGCGGACGCAGGACTGCAATGAAGTGAACTCGTCCATTATACATTACATGTTAGAATCGAAACCTCCCGAGGGCCTCGTACAATTACACCGTTTTGACAGACGCTGTCCTTTAACCGGCAGCCGACACAATTCTTCTATGCACAAGACTCGCACCTCGCGACACACAATCGTCGTCGTGCTCGTTTTCGCTTCACCACAGCTTGGGCACCAGCCGCGGCGTCTCGCTGCGCCACTTTTGGTAATCGGCGCGGTGCCCGTATCGCTCGTCATACTTTTTCTCGCTCATGGGCACGCCCGACACGCGCGTCACGACGAACCAGCTAAAGAGGGGGCTGAGGCCGCACAAGGCCGTCGTGGCCACGACGCCGAGGGGCCCCGTCCAGCCGAGCGCGAGCTGCACGGGGCTGCGGGCGAGCACGCCGGCGGCGGTGACGGCGATGCCGGTCCACATGGAAATTTCGCCAAAGTAGTGGGGGAAGCGGCTAAAATCAGACGGGGGGAAGTTTTCCATTAGTATTCATGTTAGAAAGAGAGATGGCATTTTGAATCCTTTGCCTCCCTTCTTGCCGTGGTGTAGAAGGAGCCCGGAGGGAAGGGAGAAAAAAAAAAAGATTGATGAGAGAAACAGCATACCTGACGCTAAAGAGACCGCTCGTGAGGAAATCCTCATCGTGCAGCTTGAGCTTCTTTTGCTTGACCCACTGGCTCTTTTGGTAGTCGGCGACGGCCTCGAAGAAGAAGCCCACGCCCCAGAGCGACAGTCCGAGGACGTCGGTGGCGGCGAGGCGCGGCAGGGCGGCGGCCACGGTGGCGGCGGGGACGGCGCCGAGGGCGAGGACGGGCAGCATCGGGATGGTCACCCAGATGGCCTGGATGAGGAAGACGCTGGCGAAGCGCACGGGCTTGTCGCGAATCTCGTCGAAGCGCGAGTCGTGGCCGTGGCCGAGGACGCGCGAGAAGAGATAGGATCCCACTAAAAGTTTTTTTGTCAGCGCCAGAGACCAAAAGGTTTATATATATATAAAGACATTTAAAAGATGAAACTGCAACTCACATCGAGTAGCCCACACCATGGTCAGGCCGACGAGGACCAGCTGCCGCCAGTTGCGGGCGCCCGGGACCGCTCCGCCGCCGCCGCCCTTGCTCCACGCCGAGGCGGCGAGCTGGGCGATGCTGGGCGTCTTGGGGAGGGCGGTCTGGGCGACGCCCTGAGCGGCGGCGAGGGCGCGGGCGCGCAGCGCTGGCAGGTACAGGCTCAGAGCGCCGACGGCCAGGTACGTCAGGGAGCCCGAGACGTCAAAGAAGAGCTCGGAGCGGGCGGCGACGGAGGGCGCGGCGGCGAGGGCCTGCAGGGCGACGGCGGCGAGGCCGCAGGGGACGACGGTGCGGAGGATGGGCGACTTGAAGTTTGTGAGGGCAAGGACGACCCTCTGCATGGTGGTGGCCGTGGACATGGTCTTTGGCTTGGCTGGCTGGGCGGTGGGCTTGGATGCTGGGCTGGTTTGGAGGGGGTGGTGAGGTTTTGAGCACAGAGAGAGGTAGGTTGGAATGGGCGGCACTAATGGGTTGGTTACACGAGGAATTGGCGGAAGGGGATTATATCGTGCAGAGTTGGGGTTGACAAAGTCGCTCAAGGTGTATGGAATCAATTTTTCAGTGACTACAGGGCTGGTTGGGCGGCGAAGCACCTAAAAAATAAAAAATAAAAGAGCGTCATCAGTTATGATGTCGTCGACTTTGCACCCGGCGGCCGAGATGGAACTAGATGGCGGGGACCTCGCGCGATCGAGGCACAAGTACGGATTAAGTACCCTGCGGATCGGATCGACCCAGTGACAAGCTTCCTCCGGATTGCAAAAGCCCAGCAAACCACGCACTACGTTTGACATTGACTGGTCAACCCTCTTTGCATTGCATCACTTCAACAACCAACAACCAAGTTTATACAAACTCTTTGGTGTTTTAAAACTTGACCGCAGCATTGCGGCAACATCCGTGGCGCGCAAGCAAAAACAGGAAAAAAAAAACGCTAATAATGCGTCGTGACCTCTGTGGCGCACTACCCTCGAAAGAGATACGGATTACACTTGAACGCACTTGACGCACTTGAACACACGCACGCAACACGCACTCATCATCAGGCTTCCAAGATCTCCGCAGTTGGTCCGGATATCAACGCGCCGCCATCCGTCAAACAACGATGCAGAAGGGGGGTGTGCCTCGTTTTTGAGTAGAGAGACAAAGAGCAGCCTGCTTTCTCCCCCCCCTTATTTCATGGGGGCCTGGGGGGGAAGGAAGGCGTGGAACTGGCTGCATCGTTTTGTTAATAAACGACAAGCTCTTCCCCGTCCCTGCTAGGGCGTATGTATCTCTCGGTGACAAAATTTGACGAGTCAGTGGCCGCCAGTTTTGGCTTGATGCAGATCGAACGTCTTGTCACTGCATCCCGGTCGCGGAACTATGCCGACAAAGGCCAGAGCTGAACGCACGCCCGTGATTCAAAAAAAAAAAAAAANAAAAAAAAAAAGGAAAACAAATTAGAAAGGCGTGTGCATACGTACTTTTACAGACAAGCCCAAAAGCTTCAAGACAAAAGAGGGTACTTTTGAAATGCGTGCCAAGTTTCGAGGCTAAATAAATAGGCGTCATGTCGCAACGGCTGCGGCAGGAACCTGGTTTAGGTAACATCAGGTAACAACTTTTGTCTCTCAGCCTATTTTACCCTGAAGCACGTTTTGCCATCATGTTGCATGGTGTACGCTAACCAGCGCTGCAAAACTACAGATTAAACGAAGAGGCAAAGAAAACAAGGCAAGCCAGTGCAGACTTTTTGCATCTGAACTGTGGCTGCTCGTGCATGCTTCTGGCCTCGAGGCACTGCTGCCGGCGTCTACGTAAGTTGGGTTACATGATGCTACGCTTTCATACCGTGTATATTGCCGGCGTTGGCTGAAGAAAGCCATCTGCCGTAGCTTTCCTTCGGCCAGACCCCCCCCTCCCTTCCTCTCCATCCCGGCGATGCTGCGCCGAAACCACCCTCTTATAACAACGATCGTTGAGCTTGTGCTTGCTTGCTTGCTCATCCCAACACCCAAATCTAGGGCCACGTTACAAGGTGGGGAAGAAAAAGATGGCGGTATCGGTCTTTTCTTGCCTGCTACGCCGCAGCGTTGCATCGCAGTTTCTGCAACGCCTTTTCCCTCCTGACTTCTCAGCTCGCATCGCCCGTATAGAGCATAAAGTAGTGCGGGCACGCACCTCAGCCTTCTAGGCTTTCTGCAGCCTTCTTTATTACTATTATTTTCTTCTTGGTTCAGCCTTTTTTTTTCTTTTTCTTTTTTTTTGTTTTTTCCTTTTGGCCCCCGAAACCCTCGTCGCCAAGGTACTTTGATCTGTCACTGCTCGTTGCCTGGACCAGGTTCCGGTGCAAGGGCCGAATGTCTACCAGTACGTCGCTCTTCGGACTTTGCGAGCTCCGCGAGGAAACTGTTCCTCTATCGATACACCTTGCCGAGAGGAACAACGTGGCAAGGGGGGAAGAGGCGGGGAGGAGGCTGTCCCTGTTTTGCATAAACGTTGTCTTTGCACATGAGCCGAGCGAGCAATTGTATCAAGCGCAAAGAAAATCTTGTCCTTTGCAAAGATCGTGATGCCTAGCATCTTGCCAAGTAAGGACTCTCCTTAACAGGTAGTCAACGCCGAGCAGACACAAAGAGCAAGGCAATACTCTTGAATCTCCGCGGCGGTAGTGAGATCCCAAGGGGTCCTGCTTGCAAATGATGCCCCCCCCTCTCTTTTCGCTTGACGACGTCAATCTCCCCGATCAAAACATGCATCTTATATCAGTGTTCCGCCGTGCCCCGGCCGGCATCAACGACTTGTCCTTCTACAGTCCAGCCCCCAACAGCGGAATAGCACCCGCGTGCGGGCGAGTCATAGTAGCTCGAAACCAGGGGCCCCATGCGAAATCGTAAAGATACGCCGCAGCCACGGATCTTGGCCATCTTGGCCACCCTTCTTTGCTGGCCATCGTATCTGAATCAAGCGCCGCCAAACGGGAGGGATCTCGCAACAGATACCCGGGAGATGAGCAACCGCACGTAGGTGAACTTGTATGATGCTGTCAGAGAGAGTCAAAACTCTCTTCGTTACTACGTAAAAGCCGTGATTGCGCACGCCCATGTACATTATAGGCGCGAATAACATGTTTGACAATCCAACAAGATTGATAGCAACCGTCGTGCCCTCATTGCCACATTCTGCCTCGCAATTAAAGGCAACAACTTGTCAACAAGTTTTAATTAATGTCATTACTGGCATCAAAACGCCACAGCCAGTTTTTTTTTTCTTCTTGCACATCTCCAGCCGGATTGGGGACATTGGCGAGAGGCGCATACCGACCCACGGCGAGCTGTTGAAGTAGCCCGGGGGAGGGATAACCATGAACCACACTCCCTCCCTCTTGTCGACTGAGAATTAACATTGTTCTCCCTAACCGTCATAGGGCCTTGTTGGAGATGGGCGAGCTTCATCTTCTCTGCGCTGTGCGAACAGCTTTTCATCCGACGTGACCTTTCCTCATTAATCATCGTTGTTGGAGAAGAGGAAAATATTATTTCTGTGGCTTGTTCATTATACCTTCTCCACCAAATCTCAAGGCTAGTAATAAAAGTACAGTTTCAGCAAGTCGTGCCGGCATCTGGAGTCTGGACACGAAAAACCACTTTTTCCCACCCATTCTCCAGCGGAGTTTGATAGGAAACCCCCACAGCACCCAAGTTACAGGCGGAGAGAGACATTGGGGGAGAAAGCCCTGCGGAAAGTGGGATTCTGCTGCTTTTCCCCCAAATGTCCCCGCTGCCGCCGGCCGGGCATCATGATAGATAGCCACGCCATGTTCCTTGCCGAATTACGCCCGGTACCGAAGTTGTGTGGACTCGCTGGCCGCTCCTCCCCTGCTGTTGCGTTCCGCACTCTGAAGGCAAGTCTGCGCCCACCTGGAATCGTTGTTGCCACTTTAAAAAGGCCTTTTTGTTGCGCTATTCCAAAGTACCCAACAAGATCGGCCCTTTTCCTTGTGTCTAATTACTGATAGTCGACCGGATCAAGTAAAGAAAAACGGCTAGTTTGGACTTGGTGAAATCGGGCCAGGCAATGGCGGTCCGACTCGGCCGTGTGCGGCTCGTCTTTCGGCCGTCAGTAACCACGAATCTCGGTAATCCGACGAAATGATTCATTGCTCCGTATCCCTGTACACAGACTTTTGTGATTTTGCGCCCACTCCTCTCGATGGATACTGTTGCTTCGTTTAATTTATATCATAGAAGAAAAAAAGAAAAATCAAATCGGGCCCTGGTACGCGGAATCGGAAAGTGGGAAGAAATGGGCACATGGCCATTCACCATTCACTATTCTCGCATCAATCCGCCGACCATCCATGCAACACGCTGTGCAGCGGAGTTTTGGACCCTGGTCCCGGTGTCGCAATGATTATTAGGCAAACCCGAAATTATACGTACGCTCATTCGCATGCTTTTATCCGTATTCTTTTCTTTTGGGTATGCGCAACGAGGAAAGAAGGCTTGTTGATGGGACCATGGCCCAAGCTCTGCGACAGTCTATTCTGCCTATTCAGCCGTGTCTGCCCTTGGCAAAAGCAAACCGTCTGCGTAGTATCCGTCAAGTCCGTATAATGAAGGGGGGAGGCTGAAGAACGTCGAGACAAGCATCTTGGCGCGGATCCCCGGAAGTGAGAACTGTAATTTTGGGCCAAGCTTTTTCTTATTCCTTTTGCTGCTTGCAGCAGGTTCGCCCGAAACCCGACTGCAGCCAACGCCTTTTTGACGCAGAATTTCTTGCCAACCTTTTGTCGACATTTTCAAATACACGTACTTTGTACTCCATTGCCCTCTTGCTGTCTTGCCTTGTCATCGCCGAACCCCCAACAGAACAAATTTGATTCGTTCCTGTTGTTGCAGCACAGATAGCTTACATGCCCTATTACTAAAAACACTGGAGTGTCAAGTGTATCCTTCGGCGCTGCGCAATTCATTCCGGCCCTTAGGAGCGCCGTCGGGATCGCTACTGCAAGCCATACTGCAACTATTGTTTGTGATTTCCAAGTCAATCCCCGGGCTTTCTTTGTCAAGGCATGTCTTTCAATGCGTGGAGAGAAAGTGAGGCGACGCGCGTGCTCGCGCACATACGCCCCTGTATGTACAATTTGCGGCTCAGGATATCGTATCCGGGGCTCCCCGTCCATTCACAAGGCGCCAAAACGGATCATGTGTGTAAAAAAAGTGCCCCGCGCGGGGCAGGCGTGCGTACAGCGCAACTCTCCTGCTATACTTGCCATTCCAGTACTGGCAACACAGTAAATAGGCCGCGCAGCGGCGCCGTCGTCGGTGGCTTGAGCAGTGAGGGACAGCATGCACAAGTGGCGCCTTTCTCTAAG